TGATGAGGAGGAGGACAAGAAGGAGGTACCTGTGTTATGTCCTGAACGCCAATTCAGAAGAAATCGCGAAAAAAATCAGATTTATACTCCAAGAACTACATGGAGTAATACTATCATCAAACCTATGATGTTAAGTTGGTGTAAAGTAAACTTGAATAATTATATTGATCAGCACCCTGATCCTGAATAATTCTCTGTTTTTCTCTTTTACTTTTCAGATGCTCTTTTCTTTCGATAATTTTTGTATGCTCTTTCTTTTCTATAATTTTTGTAAGCTCTTTTCTTTCTATAATTTTTGTAAGCTCTTTTCTTTCTATAATTTTTATGTACTTTTTTCTTTAGAATACTTGTATATTAGCCATTTTTTTAGACGATTTTTATGTGATATTTTGATTATAGACCAATTCATGTATTATGATTTTTTGTTTTAATAAATAAAATTTAATTGTAATTAATCAACTTTATTTCTTTAACTGATTGAAACCATACTTTCGTCACATTCTCACAAGGTGTAACCACTTGTGCAAATTTAATTCCTATATCACGTATGAAGCCAATATATGTATCTCAATGGCCAATAAAGGTCGCATTGCCAGAGTAGATCTCAAGGGGATAGCAGTCGTAGCGAAGCTTACGCGCGTTACGTTTCATTCGGCTGGTAGATAACGAGTGATAATCCGAGACGCCAAGCTCAACTTCGATGGTTCGACATTGCGAGCACATAAAGGAGTAATCGTTGACAAGAGGGATTTACGAAGGTGATCTATGTGGATTTCGCTTTTATTGATGCTCGCGGAGATTCTAAATTTGCAGTTTGAAAATACCGTCAAATCACGAGAATTCGTATTTGCTCAACTATAACGTCTGTCGTCAATTAAAGAAAAAAAAATTGTCGTTAACATTATTACATTACAGATAAAACGAAGGCGGAGGACCGAAATGTATGCGTGTGGGGGAGGGGGGGGGGGGTTGTAAAAGCTGGCCGCGCTATGAAAATTCAAATGTAATCTAGTATACGCGAGTGCCCCGCAAAACGCGTTCTGCCCTTAATACGCCGAATCTCATTTGGCCCCTTTTCCATTAGCGTGCACGCGAGTGCAAGACTCGCATGTGTTGCTTTCTCCCGGTTAATTATCTCGTCCTCCCTCTCTGGTTAATTCGATTGGCGCTATTAGCGAGCCGTCGCACGGGAGGGACAGGAAGAGTCGTGTTTTTTTTTTTTCGCTTTTAAGGCGTTATTCCCAGGTCGGAGCAGAGAAAAATAAAGCGAGTATCCTCGCCGACGTCATCTTCATTTGGTCCCGAACCTCGTTATATATCTCGATCCGTCTTTAGGACGCGCGCGCGCGCCAAGTAGTTGGCTGCCTGAGCGCTCAGTCCCATCTTCGCGGCTCTAACTCTATAATTCAGAAAATTCGCTAGCTAAAAAGTTTGAGACTGATCCGCTGGACTTAACCCTGTTCGCTTTCGGGCCGTAAAACTTGCCGCGACTCCACGCTAAAAGCTAAGGATTACGATAGCGATAACTTGCGTTGATTTGGAGGGTAGCTCGATGACGAACGTTTAAAAGCACGGTACAAGGCCAACGGAGTCACGAATGGATATTAAGCGTCGGTAACGATCGTCTCAGGACAATGCGGCGCCCGGGCGAGCGCGCGAAATTCCAGTCGCTGCGGGCCGCGCGGAGATCGCCGAGAAGCGCGGGTCATTGGGTTATATCAAGCATCGGCGCGAGCCCGCCAAACGAAATTGCCGACTCGCTGACGTTCGCTCGGCCGGCTTTCGCGTCGGTAGAGCACCGGGATCCCAGACGAGACTGTTCTCCCGGTCTCGCCCACGCGCCGCCGGCTGCACACCTCTCGCGAAAAATAGGTCAATTGTGCAGCGCGGACACGCACAATCCGGCGGCTCCGCACTGCGCAAGACGCCTACGTTCCTCGCTCGCCCGGGATGCTCGCCCGGCTGCTGCTGCTGCTGCTGCTGCTGCTGCAAGCGCGGAGGAGGGGGAGGACTTTGATCTTACTCGCTTTGCCGCGGAGGATGATAGCCGAATGATTAGCGAGCGCGGAGCTGCGCTCGCAGTTAACAAGTTATTATACGGCGCACCGTCGAACTTAATCACTTCGTGAGAAGGAATGCTGTTTGCTTATAGTTTCCGTATTCTAGCTTTGACGCTGTGGCTTGATAGACTAGTCGTATATAGATACAGTTGGAAGGTTTCGTCGGGTCGCGTTCGTCCTCGTGAATTCGTAATAAGCGATGTTTGTTTTAGCAATGCCTCGGAGATTTTGCGCTAATCAAATAAACGCCCAAGTTACGAGCAACTTGGAAGCTCGTGAATTTCGAAACGATCATTTGTCTCCGTTTTAACGGGATGGGCGTTGAGCGACCAAATTGGTTTTTTATTCTTCGTTCTTTTATCCCATGCGAATCCACGTTGCGCAGACTCGAGGCAGCCGAGCTTGATAAATAAGTTCATTTCCTCTTCGACGAGAGTGCAGTCACAATGAAAAATCCACAAAGCACCTACTATCCCCCATTTCTACTAATACACCGAGATGAATTGCGTGCAGAGAACCGAGATTTCTTTACGCGCGCTACCCCAAGTTTGGAATACTCTCTCTCTCTCTGTACACACGTCATCTCTACAGAACGAAGTCAATCGGTAGAGAAGAAAAAACAAGACTCATGGCCGTATATACGTATTTTTATTTTTAACAAAAATTAGATCCAAACAAATAAAAATATATTGTCATTCAATTTTTATATGTCGCATTAAAAAAAACGAGCGTATGTAAAAAAATTATTCTAAATACTAAATATCAGTGATTATAAAATGATAAAACTTATGCGACATTTGTGCGTGGCTTGAACATCTTCGTATATAGCCATTTAAAATTTGTGACACCTAAACTTAGAAGTTCAAACTAAATATAGAAAAAAATTACTTCGTCTTATGTTGATAGAAAACTTGTAGAATGCCTTTAGAACAACGAAATAGAATTCTTATTTCAATTTTTTAAACTAAAATCTGTGTAGAAATTTTTTTTATTGAATTAGGTTAATTCGTTAATTAGTTGCAGAAAAAACAAAATATTAAGGACGTCTACGAGAAAATTGAAAAATTCAAGGTCGCTTAGAACTTAAAAATAAAAAATGAAATAACGCGAAATTAGGGGTCCCTTAAAATGTTGACCTCTACTGTACTTGGTGAACGCCGTTTTCCGGCTTCCGCGCGAGCCTCGCCTAAGCTCCAGGAGCGCGGGCACACGTGGGCGGACTTGTGACATCTTTCCCTGCGTAGGTCGGGTCGAGTCTCGTAAATGTGTAATCCCCTCGAATGCGCTTACGCCATGATCTCTCGATGGAGAAAGAAAACGTAAATGTGCGAGCTAACTGAGCGACAATTTCTCTCTCTCTCTCTCTCTCTCTCTCTCTCTCTCTCTCTCTGCCTCTTACGCGAAATAAGTCTCCTGGCTTTCCGCTCCGTCACGCGAACGCCTCTCGAGTATCGATCCGAGTTGCGCGCGCGCGGCATTAATCTCGCCGAGGGCGAAATTCTAATCAAGGCGACATCGGGCCAACGAACCGATATGCGGCAAATTGACAAGTGGTACCCGTTGAATTGTCGTGAGCGTCTGAATGGCAGCCCCCTCGGAGGTGGCGCTGCCAGGGAGCGATCGAGACCGGAGTATCCGAGCGGAACGCGCACGCGAGAGCGTCACGCGCGCCATAAAACCAGCGACACACGATCCCGCGCAACGTCCGTTGACGCAACGAGGCAAGGTCGTTAACACGCCACGGCTTTTTACCGGGCGACGACGCACGTGTGCGCGGCCCAACGATAGAGTCCGACCGAGTCGATTCCTGGAAATTTGACGACCGAGTCACCTGGATACGACACGCGCGCGTTCTTCGATTTGCGAATACATACTGGAAAAACAGAGAGAGTGCACGTGTTTCCCTGAGAAAGTCGCGTTGGTATTCGGTGCGTGTTTTATTTTCATTGCCGCGATTGCATATCGCCTGGGAATTGCCATCGAGCGCCAAACTTCATAATTAGGACGTGATGAATATCACTGAGAGGACTTCAATGGAAGTTGTTCTTCAGGGTATACGGACTAAGCTAATAATAAAGAAAATATAAAAAAAAAAACTAAAAATTTTCCACAAGTTTGCCCTATAATATGCTTGTTTGTGAAAAGCACGTGCGTCGTCACGGGCAAGCGCGGTGGAGCGCAAACACCTCACCCTCGGAGGTGGTTACGTTGATATAGTGCGAAGACTACGATCCCATCGCTCCGAAGAACTAAATTTATTCTGCCTTAATCAATTGTGTTTCGCGCAACTTTCCATCTCATCTAGATCGTTCACCTTCGAGCTTGCTATTCGTTTCATTTGTGTAGCGGTATAAGAATCGAATTGCGTGCCCATTAGATTTTAAGGACAAATAGTCTTTTCTATTTTTTATATAATCGTAAAGTTCACGATGACTCGTCCTATACCACTGCAATCGAATAAGTATCTTATCATTCATTAATTTATCGAGTTGCAGGCTAAATCTCTTGGATTATCTTTCGATAAGAAGATAATAATCGGCTTTACCTGGTACTCGCAGAATAATCCTATTTCAATGAACGTTAGGTAACATAATTACGCTCCCGTCCATACTTCAAAGTCGGGCTTCACGCCACGCACCAAACACGTGACAGTTCAAGTATCCAGGATGGATTTCGAAGCCAGTGTACCCCTTTCAAATTACTTTCGTATGCGTTAACTTTTTCTCTTTCTACGTCTCGCATTGATCTAATCTATTTTCGGCGAATAAGTGCTCGGAGCGTGGAGTATTATTTTGAGATAGATAAGATAAAATATGATCAACAGTGGCAAATGAATTTATAATGCAGTCTGGCAAATGAAATGAAATTAGCGGGATAACTGGAATTGCGTGACAAGCGTCATTGTGATTTAATACACTCTTATAAAGCATCAGCCTTCTGTTTGATATTTTAATTGGGTTGAGGAATTTTTATCGAAATCACGAGCTTTACTGCTTCGTCTTGAACAGCCTCCAATCTATTTCATAATTCTTAACATTTCATTAATTTCAGTGTCCGACGGTATTATGCTATCCACAATTTTCAAATAGTCACCGATCGGACAAAATTCTTTGTTGCTCAATTTCAACGCCGACAAATTTCCAGCGCCGTTCCAAAAGAGGAGCTACAAACAATACGAGTGACATTTCACTTTTATAATTTACTTAAATGTTCCAAGCCAATCATTGCCATACTCACTCTGACGTAAACTTTGTCTTCGAGATCTCTCAATTGTTCAAATATCAAAGCACTTCCAAAGTGTATGTATTTCAATTCATTGATGTTGAGTGCCTTAACGAACATCGATATATTTGCCTCGTGAGCACTGTACAAGTATAACTTTTTCGGGTTAACGATCATTCGTTCATGATTCATATTTTCAGTGAAAGCTTTGGCGAGCGGTCCAACCCCGATTCTCTTCATTTTTGGCGTAGCGATCATTGCGTCCCTCAGAATTTCTCCTGCTTCCAAAAATTTCTCTCGCACTTCCGGCGTGTACCAGTCAGGCAACGGCATGTTCATGAACTCCTGCAATTTCATTGTTTTTAATTTCCAATCGATATTTCTCACGAGACGAATATTAATGAAAGAGTTACGTTCGCAATTAGAATGTCGAATGTTGAGTGCGTCGTCCAAAAAGAATCAATATTTTTTATAATCGTTCTCTCTTCTACAAACTTAAAAAAATCAGAGAACTTTGCCAGTCTCCTTTTGAACTGATCAGAGTCAAGTGCTCGGGTCATATGCTTTCTAAACCTGTCGTTCATTCATACAACGTCTGGTAAATGCGATCGGCTGCGCGCAGCGCGAGATGAAAAAGCTCTTACGTGGAAGTTTTGTAACTTTCTAAAAGAACGTCCGACTCGAAGGGGACTTGTTCATAAGGTATTGGGGACCACTTCAAGCGAGGATTCCATATTTCAGAATCCGAAGGAGGATAAAGCCCAGCGAGCACCAATTGAAGTGACATTTGCGTACGAGCTGACGTACTCGAATAAGTGTACACATCTTTGGATTTGTAGCTAGTTCCGAGATAATCGTCGTATCGTTTTCTCAGGAATCTTCCAAATTCGTATTCTTGCTGCTTCCCCTTCTGTATTATCGAATTTGCAATCGTGTCGTATAATAATACAGAAAGAACTTTCTCAGTGAACTCACGTTGGTCAGCTGTCCGAGACCCAACGGCGCGTACATTTCAGCCAGCGTGTAGTTATTAGTATTTATCTCGACATTGTTGGGAGTTCGAGCTCCATGTCTGAAAAGCTGTAGAGCAAGAAAGAGCTAAACCTGTTGTTCAACGATATTTACAACGTGTCCGCTCAAATATGAAAGTGTGCTCGATGAAAACAAAAAAATTATTAGTGAATTGAAATGATTTCTGCAAAATTCTCGGCTCAATGTAAAAGTAGGAAATATTCAAAAAAATAGAGTTTTAGCTTACCACTTGAACCAATTCTAATTTCAAGTATCTACTATTGTCAATCGCATCAGCAATTATTATAGACGACAAACCAGATACCAGTAGAATCACTATTGACTTCATTCTATTGAATCAATTAATTAGTTAAAAAAAAAAAGAAAAAAATGTTCAGATCGTCCACTCAGAAAGCAGCGGTGGAATACTCAAATCAAGCACTAACATTGTTGTGCAGTTCTGCGTATTTTTGCGGCTCTCTCTTGATGCGAAACAAAATTTACGATGAGGTTTCAGGATTTATACGTTTATTTAAATGATAAGACCAATTCTGGAAATATACTAGCTATAAAGAGATTAAAAAAGCTCTTGAAAATACCAGACTTAAATAATTGTTACAGATGCTTCGAAACAAACAAACTCTGTTTATAACACATCCAGTTTATTTTCATATTCAGACTACTTTGATCTAATTACTGAAATTTCGTAACCGTTTGTTTAATTTAACCGATAGATTAATCTTGAAGCATTTAAAATTCGAAATATTTTTGCCTTTCTATAGAGAATACGTATCGGTAAAAAGCGCTGAATATCAGCGTTCACTCATTGGCTTTCGTCACTTGATCGTCTTTGAAGAAAATTTTTCTGATTTTCTTGGCACTTAGATCAGCCAACATGTCATCAATTTCTTCATTTGACGGCATTACGTCTTCCACGATCTTCAAGTAATCTTCGATTGGGCAGAATTTCTCGTGGCTAGCCAGCTTCAATGTCGTCAATGAGCCGGACCCATTCCAACCAAGCAGCTACAAATATTCGGAGCCGTCAGCATAATCAACATTCTAAATATTTTCATCGAGCGTCTTTTTACTCACTCTCACGTAAACTCGATTTTTCTTATTCCTCAACTTTTCGAGTATCACTGCACTTCCAAATGACGGATATCGAAACTCATTGACGCGGTGTGCTCTCGTGAACATGCCTATATTCGTGTTATGGCCTGCGTACAGATAGATTTTTCTTGGATTATTGACATTTTCCTCCAAGTTCATGTTTTGTACGAAAGTTTTGATGAGCGGTCCAGGACCCGATTTCCTCAGTTCCGGCGTAGCAACGTAAGCGTCCCGTATGATATCATCTACATCCAAAAATTGTTGCTTCACTTCCCAGGTATACCAATCGGGAACGGATAGATTCATGTGTTCCTACGATGCAATCACTTTAAAAAATATGTTTACTTTCACGCAAGACGCTCGGATGAATTGGTACTCACATTGGCAGTTAGAACGTCGAACGTTGAATCGATAATCGCGCGAAGATCGTTATCTCTTACGTTCGTTTTTTCTTTTACGGACTTGATGAAGTCGGAAAAGCTGGCGAGTCTTCTTTGGAATTCCTTGGACTTAAGCGCTCGCTTCCTGAGCCTCTTAAACCTGTTTTTAGCGAGGCGCCGTTTCGTTAAAATGTCATTCGAATTCGCGTTACACCAAGATGCTTAATAATAATGATGTTTATACTTGGAGCTTTTGTGGCTTTCGAGGAGGATATTCAGCTTTTTCGGAGCGGTCACATACGGTATAGGAGACCAGTTCAACTTTGGATTCCACGCTGCAGAATCTTTCAGTGGATATAATCCAGCGAGCACGAGCTGGAGTGACATTTGCGTGCGATCCGCCGTACTCGCGAAAGCGTAAACGTCTTTGGGCTTGTAGTGTGGTCCCAGGAAGCTGTTGTATCGAGATCTCAAAAATTGACCAAACTGATATTCTTGCTGTTTGCCCTTCTGCGTCGTTTGTTTCGAAAATTAATTGGTACAAATGTATTGATCTTGAAAAATTTATATATCAAATTGAGATCGATCCGAAGAATAAGAATTGCGGAATTTCTGTTATACCTACAGTGGTCAATTGACCGAGGCCGAAAGACTCGTACGACGACTGTGGGGTGAAATTGTAAACATCTATTTCAGATTTTTTAGGAGTTCGAGCTCCGTGTCTAAAAAGCTGTATAATAACGTCAAATAAAAATAGCGTTTAGTCGTTTGGCTTTGAAAACAGAAAACGTGGAAATAACTAAGAATACGAAAAATCCACTTACCACTTGTACAAGTTCTAGTTTCAAGTCTTCGTTGTCAAAGTTCGATTCGGCAATCGTCATAGAAGTGCAGTAAGACATGAGTGAAATTAATACAGTGAACTTCATGATGTTGAGTTAGTCGATGAATTATGAATAAAAAGAAGAGCAAATGAAATGAAATATAGCTTGATCCAGGAAATAGTCTGGTTGTAAATTACGCCTCGCGTCTACGAGATTACCGAGCAGTGTGTGTTCCTTACACACGCCGGCTCTTTATATTATCCGGCAGATGGGTCTTCGTACTTCATCAATAGAGTCTTAACATGCATTGAGTATTGCCAAAGGCGCGCAGTTAACAGTTGCTTCTGCGAACGCAACGTCTGTTTGCTCTTCGTGACGTTCAAAGAACAAAGCAATGCCCGACGGCCACTGGCTATAACGGAGTTTCAACGCATCGCCCGTTTGGTGAATGCAGTTCCTAAGTGGATTGTTAGCCGCAAAGTCGTCGAGGTCAACTGGTTTTCAATCGTGCTAACACAATCCCGTTACTTTCGGAGTAGTGAAAAATTTGCAAAATCTTATTTATATCAATGTATATTTTGCAGAAAAGTTATCATTTCAGTTGAAAAGAGATGACGAGCCGCCAATTCAGTCATTAGAATTTCATGCTCCGTGCAAATACTTCGTTTTTGCTATTCGATAAAATTTTTGCTGTCGCCTGGCAAAAACACGTGTATTTCAGCTAGAAGGTCGAGTTCCGCGTCGAGAAAGCCGTATAACAATATCCCACCGTACTTACAACTTTTGCATGTTCTTATTTTTTAATTATCATTATTAAGATTCGCTTGAGCGATTCTCGGAGAAGAAATACATAACGAGCTAATTAACAGGCGGAATGAGATTCACGGTATTAAATAGGTGAACAATCGTGCAAATAGTGAAGAATTTATGTAACGCAACTCTTAATATTTTGAATGCAAGCTAATTGTGATTTTAAAACTTTTCGCCTAATAATTCATGAAAAAAGATAAATTTGTCATCCCGGAAAACTCAACGTACGTCGCAAAAATGTTGTCATCTATTGCATGGTTAAAAATGACCATGTCTACAATGTCTAAAGCAATTCAATAGAAATATCACGACTAATAGAAATTATTGGTATTGATCTTTCGGTCGAACAAGCGATGACTTGGAAGCGCTTTAGCCGCAGCGAGCTCGCGATTTGAACGTTAATACGTGCATTGCGTCGATGCCTCATTTACATCGAAGCGGTTGCCTTGAACGCGACTCGCGGCATCGCTGGGGTGCGACGAAGCGAGAGATGAGCACGCAAGTTTATATCTATCGTACGGCCACGTAGGAGTCGAGGCGCGCGACTCAAGCCATTCGGAGACGTTAGTTCGATTGCGCCCGGCAGTGTGCCGGCGGGGCTTCGTTCTCGGATTTGCGCTCTGCCTATTTGTTTGTTCAATTACGGCCGAAATGCACTCGGAGGCGCCTGAAAAGAAGCAAATCTCGGAATTGACGATGGGCATTCGTTTGCCTCTCGGCCGAGCGACGCTAACGAAGCAGAGGTCGGAGCTTCCACGGCACCCCGCGCATGTACTCGTATATATATCCTCCCAGCCTGCATCGATCCTCCACTCCCGCTGCTATACAAATTGCTCGTGAGTGCGCGCGCGTTGTTCGCCCTTGAAATGGAAAGTGCTCTCGGGCAAGAGCAAGGAGCCGCCAGCTCCAGCGCCTTCTCTCTTTAAACTCGCTGCTGTTTCTCCGCGGACCGATGCCTCGTGCCTGTAACGCGCACGTCGAATGTGGGCGTTGACCGACGCGCGCGCGCGTATAATGACAAATGCGCTGGGCTCATAAGCCACTTGAAATATCGTAGAGTAGGCTCCTGATTCGTTTGCCACTCCTGCCAACCAGGAATTCGTCGAGAAGTTCGTCGGTTTCTTTTTCCGAGGGCAACATCGCCTCGGTTATTCTCAAATAATCTTCGACTGGACAAAATTCCGAGTGGTCTTCGAGCTTCAAGCTCCGTATACGGTCTATCCCGTCCCAAGCAAGCAGCTGAATAAACGATAAACGCTCGTCACCGTCAGTCCAAATATTTCGGAAAAGACATTGTCCCTAATTACTCACCCTCACGTACGTTTGATTCTTGGGATCGTGAAATTTTTCCAATATTACGGCACTGCCAAAAGGAGGAATCCGAAATGGTTGTAGACCGTGTGCTCTAGCGAACAGATGTAAATTGACGTCGTGACCAGCGTATAAGTACATCTTTTTCGGCTTTTCATTCTTCCCATTCAAATTCAAATTCCCGATAAATGTTTTCACGAGAGAACCAGCGCCAAGCTTTTGCATTTCTTTCGTTCCTGTAATCAGGGTATCCAACGCCAATTCTACTAGTTCTTCAAGATGTTCCCTCACGTCGGGTGTATACCATTTCGCCAGCGGTAGCTTCATGTGCTCCTAAAATAGATTCCAAGTTTTACGATAAATGCAATGCCATAAAGTACCGCGGACTGTGTTCGTTTCGCTCACATTTGCAACTAGAACGTCGTACGCTAAAGCTATATGTAGCAATGAACTGCTACAATTCTTAATTACTTCTTTCTGCTTCACGAAGTTGATGAGGTTCGAGTGAGTGGCGAGGTGACTTCTAATTTCACGAGACTTCAAGTTTTGCAAAACAGTCCTCAGAAACCTACGACCAGGAAGAAGAACCATGTATTCCGAAAGCGAATAATCGTTAAAATTAGTACACCCTTGTATTCGATTGGTCGCACGACACCTACTTCGGGTGTCTGAAACTTCCCAGAAATGTGTCCAAGTTCTTAGGCGTGTATATATAAGGTACGCGAGACCATTTCAACTGAGCATTCCAATTAGCAGGTTGAACTGGCGGATAAAGTCCGTTGAGAACATATTCGAGTGACGCTTTGACGCGTGACACATCACTTGCGTAAGCGTAAAGGTCTTCGGACTTGTATCTGGCTGACAAGTAATCGTTATACCTGTATCTCAAAAACGAACCAAATTTATATTCTTGTTCTTTGCCTTCCTGAAATCTCGAATTCAGATTAAGCATACAATGCCGATGTAATTACGCGGGAAAGGAAGATTCTTGCACTCACGTTCGTTAACTCCCCAATACCATAAGATTCGTATGCGGAGGTGTCCGCGATCTTGCAGAAGCCGATGCTCGATAGGATAGGTGTTCGAGCTCCATGCCTGAAAAGCTATGAAAGAGGAAATACGACCGATAGTATGAAATTTATTACGTTATTTTTGAACCAACGATTGTGTTTCAGGCAGAGCATCTATTTATGAAGAGAATCACGTATAAATATTAAATAACATACAACCTACCACTTGCACAACATCCAATTTTAATTTTTGAACGTCTAAAGTCGCATCTACGTGTGTAGTATAAATGTAATAACAAATTAGAACTAATTTTGAGAATTGCACTGTGTTAATCATCTCGAGTGTGAGAATGCAATAAAACTCCTTGAAAGTTGCTGTTGCTCTCGATCTCGGGTGCTGACTAATAAACCGGGTGTGAGACTATAGACGCTACGGCACACTACCGTTTACGTTTAAACAGATAAGACGTATTCTGTTGCGTTGGTGATGATGTCGCGTAGATATAAATAGCAAAGTCGATAACATAATTCGGAATGTGACTCGACGATTTAATCACCTGTGTATCGATGATAATGCGTACAACTGAAATTATTCGATCTGTTTGATCTGGAAAAAATGATTGATTAATTTGCGTCTGAAAAATTTACATTTTTTTTCTATAAATAGGCCACATAGTGGTAATATACAAATTACTTGTCAATCACTAAAAAAATTAAGACTCCACGATATCACGAAATAAGTATTATAAAGTGAATGTAATTTGCACTACAAATCAAATAAATAACCAAAGAAATCTACAGGCGAAGGAATTTTAGAGTTGAAGACACTTCTGGAAAGATTGCGTAATTCATCGAAGAGGTGCGGCGGTCTGTTAACACTGGTGAAAAACACATCTCGAATCTCCTTAGGACTTTGAATTCCTATCATGGCATCCATTTCCTCTGCGGATGGTATGACTGGCTTGACAATGTTTAAGTAATCAGCAATGGGGCTGCACGTTTTCCCGTTGCCGAGCTTCAAAGCTTGCAAATTACCAAGGCCATCCCAAGATAAAACCTAGAAACTCATTGTGCGTCAATATTTTTCGCACAAACAAACCGCATTTATCGTTTTACGCACTCTCACGTGAACATGGCTTTTGGAATCGTGCAGCTTCTCGAAAATCACCGCACTCCCGAACAACGGATAGCGCAATTCCGTTATGCCGAGAGACCTCGTGAACATGGCTACGTTCATGTCGTGGCCTCCGTACAAATAAATTTTCCGAGGTCTTTCTATTGTTCCATTTAGATTCATATTTTCTACGAAGGTTTTGATCAACGAGCCAATTCCCAATCTCTTTGTCTCCGTTGTCGCTGTCGTCGAATCCCATACGAACGCCGCGAATTCCATAAACGTTTGCCTGACTTCAGTCGTATACCAAATTGGTAGAGGTAGTTTCATGTACTCCTGGATAGTGATAACCATTCGTTAATTTATTATTTCTTTTTTGTAATGACGCTTGGCGAAAGTGTCAGTATACTCACGTTAGAAATTAAGTTATCGAATATCATTATTGTATTCATCAGAGATTTTATACCATTCGTACTTTTTGCCACGAAGTCGAGGAATTCGGAATAATTGGCAATTTCAGCTAGAAATTTTTCTGATAGTATTATTTTTAAGTACGACTTCAAAAACCTACACGAACAGAAAAGTAAAATTCATTTAAACTGTTTGAACATTAAAACGTCAATTTGCAAGTCGATTTATTCCGTTGTTAGTACTTGACATTCTTGCAAGCTGAAAGTAGAATATCCCATTTCTCCGGTGCATAAGAATACGGTATAGGACTCCAGTTCAAAAGAGGGTGCCATCTAGCGAATCTATCTGGTGGATAGAGGCCGGCTAGTAATAACTGTAGCGACATTTTTGTGCGGGCAGTGTCGCTCGCGTATCCGTAAACATCCTTTAATTCATCAGTAGAATTCAAGAAATTCGCGTAGCGCGTCCGCAAAAATTTACCAAAACTGTATTCTTGTAGCTTGCCTTCCTGAAATTGTACGCGAAAATTGTTGATACCATACGCGTAGATTTTTATCGAAATGTTTGCTTTTAACCTTCGTCAATTCTCCGAAGCCGGGAGGTTCATACACTGAATAATCTGTGCTATTCAAAATCTTTATTCCTTTTGCAATGGGAGTCCTAGCTCCGTGTCTAAAAAGCTTTCGTGAATATTCGTTGTACCATCTTGAAAGCGATGCTTTATAATAATCTTTTTTATCAATTTTTACTTACTACTTGTATCTGCTCCACTTTGAAGTCATCACAGTTTTCATCTGCTGTCGAGGACAATAAAAATGTACAGACGTACGATATGATAACTAATTTCATTTTGCACAGAATGAAAATAAGTTCAAGTAGACTATGGCATTGGTAGGATAAAGAACGAGATTATAAATACGACCTTAGAGAAAATTGTTCAAATAAACGTCCAGCTGTAATATTGTTACTTCAAGACTTATTGATACGATGAAAGATAAGGCTGCTTTTTTTTAACCGACTTTTAATGGAGGACTCAACAATGTAGAGTTACTCAGATTACTCAAGTGAGATTTTGAAGTTGAAAAAAACAATAAATCCGTCCTTTAGTGTTAAAAAATCTGTCTTACAAAAATTTCTATGGCATATGAATTTGTAATCGCAATTAAACTCAAAATACATAAATTAACAATGTCTCAATAAAAGGTGCATTTGTTAGAGAAATTTGATGTAGTACGACAAATATTTTATATCTATTCTTATCAATGTCTTTTTTAATCAGTCGTATTTTCTATTATACCAATAGCATACGTGCAACGGAAAAACAGGAACGAGAATGATGAAAATGTCCTTTTCTTCTGTACATTAAATTTATTAGTGTAAATTTATCAATAACACTAAAAGCTCAAGAAGAAACGCTGAACGTGTCGGTGTTCAACAGTTTCTCCAATTCTGCCGATCCCTTCATTTGGTATAAACATCGTGACTCTTCAACAGTGGGTAACGAACTGTGAAGGAGTTTTAAGTACAGATGCATAGGGCAATATTCGAAACCGTACAGTTTGATTGGAATTTCTTCTCCCGATCCAGTCATATAGAACATCTGAAATAAATATATTATTTATTCGGACAATTATTTTAATAATTGACAATGGCGTCCATTATTGGCTAGTCGCTGCAATAAGAAGACCAGCAGGAAAACATCTTACCCGAACGAACAATTTATTATCGTTGTCTCGTAATTTCTCCAGAACGAGTGCCGAACCGAAAGCAGGTGACTGTTCAAGTGTGATATCATGGGCTTTAGCTAGCGCGTAGATGGTAAACTCGTGACCACTGAACAAATAGATTTTTCGTGGATTAGGTTTGTTAGTATTGATGTTGAGGTTCTTAAGCCATTTTTTAGCCATATGTCCACCGTTCATTCTGATCAGATTTGGCGTGTAGGACAAAGTGTCCAAGTATAAAAGAGCCGCCTTGCTTATTCTTTGATGAAGCTCGGTCGAATACCAACTTGGCAGTTCTACTCCTGTGAAGTTCTGCAATTTCATTAAAATTTAGTCAGTTGCGGTATCTCGCAGCAATAAACTGTTAGTGCAATCATTTAACATTATTTACCAGATAGTTTAAGAAATTGTTCATGAAGAATAGTTGTGCCAAGTTGAACTGCTGGTCGGGATAGATTCTGCACAAGAACGCAAAAATGTCACTGTATTCCATCACGCGCATCTTCATTTCTCTTGAATTCATCAGATAATCGTAAGTTTGTTGATACCTGGAAATCGTTTCCAATATTAGATACTCATTTCCTCCTCAATTAACAAAACGAGTCCTTGATAAATGTAAATTATATTTGTTGACACCGAAAACGAAATTTCGTTTAAATTAATCCGAATGAAAATCAGCATGAATAACGTCGAAAATTTGACAGGTAAAACGCAATAAATCTACGTGATTCAGATGAACACAGTTTGAATCATTCGCTTATGTAAATTGATGTACCATGAAGATTTCATCAGGAATAAGTCGTACGGAGACACAAGTCGGTGATGTAATTTACAAAAATTATTGCCACGAGCAAGGTAATTTAAGTAAATTATTTGATGTAAAAAGTGAACACTTACTTGTGGCATTGACCAGAGTTGAAAAGAATATCAAACTTAATAGGCACAAAGTTAATGGGTATAGGCTGCCAGTCGAGTTGTTCATTCCATTTGAGCTCGCCCTCGGGTGGATAAAGCGAAGCGAGAACTAGTGCCAATGACGATTTCGTTCGATCGAATGGTGAACTGATTGCGTAAACGTCTTCGGGCCGATAATCGCCAAGGAAATCCCCATATTTCTCACGCAGTATTTGGCCAAGCCGATACTCTTGTTGCTTGCCGACCTGTTGGAAGAGCAAATTAAATGTCAAGCTTATAAATCGCAGTTTTTTTCGTCACCTGTTCGCGGAGCTTTTCTCCTTTGCGCGAAAATCGCGGCGCGGAACGTAAACCCAAGGCTTTGCTCTTGAGATTTCGAAAAAAAATCGTATTTTTCTTATTTCATACCTGCAAGCTTGCGTTCGAGAATTTTCCCGCGTGTGCCATGAATGGCAATTCGAGCGAGTTATATTACTTCTTATATACCGTATTTCGTTTATCGTAAAAGGAAGTTTTATCGCGCAGACATTTACATCAGCTAACGCATTTCGCGCCGTTGAATTTCGTGTTCTGCATCGAGATTACTTTACCTTCATCGTTGTTCCGACATCTGCGATATTTCGAATAAAGTCAAGCGAAAGCTCGGAGTAAGCACTCCTTTCTTTTCCAGGGACAACGATTTGCCGCGTGAACGTCGATCGATTTTGAGTCGAATCGATCGCCCTGCTGATCGCATCCACGCCAAGTAGCAACGAGTATCGCCGGGCATCGCGGAGGAGCGTACAAGAAAGATCTCGCGATATAGCGTGTTTCTGTCTCTCTTCCTCTCTGTTATTTTCTTTTTTCTCACGTGTGCCTCGTGTCGTAAGAGACGTTTTTTTTTTTATGTATGTAGCTCTCATTCGACGTGCTCGCGCGCCAACGGCACGCTCACCTGCGCGTTTCACCATTGAGCATAATGAGTCGCGCGTCGACGCGGGCATTACAAAGGAAATCCTTAAATTATACGCTCGCGCCGCTGCTGCGTGACATTGATCCACGCGACACGGCAATGAATCTTTAATAACACGCTGTATTAGCGATCCTTGATTGACCTATTAGAATTTGTGATTTTATCGTGCTAGCCAGGTGTGTGCATAATTGGAGCATCGTCATCGTCGGTATTTCCCTCCTCTGCATTACGTACGTTTGTTAATTGAGAGTATCCCCAAGGTCCTGCTAAGGATTGGTTTGAGTCGGGAATGAACTTAGCCTCGTCCTCCTGGGGCGTTCGTTCTCCGTGCCTGAATAACTGCAAACAAACGGACATTATCAGCGGGCAATGCTGGCTAATGAAAGCGATTTACACGCGAATATTTTTCTAATTTGCGTCGGTCAGATAAGTTTAAGATTGCAGTTGACGTAAAAAAAGTATTTTCTTTATTCTTCATTGTGTCGCCTAGTTCGTTTTTTATTATAACTTCTTTAAAAGAATGTCGTTGTCTATGGTAATCAACTTTCAGGAAAAAATTCATAAAATACTTTTTTAATTGTTTCAACAGACCCGTGATGTTAGGCATACATACATACATACGTGCATGCATACACCAATTTTTTAAGTTTCAGTTAAAATAAAGTGATAAGCTATTTGTTTTCTCGTTTCATCTCAATGTTCGAAGGTTCGTTTTGTTTCTTAAACACTTATTATATCACGTATTTCTAAAAGATTCTATCGATAGTTTACCACGAGAAATAAATTTTTCTATTCTTCGTCGTGAAATGGTTAAATTCTAGATAAATGTTTAAGAAACAAAATGACCCTCCGCGTATTTAAATAAAAAACGAAAAGTCTTATTGCTTTAATACGCGCAGTTTTCTTTTAGTTAATAAATATATATACATGTCTCGCACTACAAATTCATCCAAACTTTTTTTCTTACTTTTTAAATCACACCTCTAAAATATTGTAACTTTTTCTATTGTACATTGAAAAAATATAATATTCATTTTTTTTTCTAAAAAGTCGATATCCTTAACTTAGAGTTGCATTTTTTATCGCTAAAGTATTCATAAAGATGATACCGGTTACCTTGAATAGAACACGATAGTAAATTTTATTATCTTTCCGGTCGTTCACACATCGGTATGATTTTCACTAATTTTTAGTTCATAATTATTTCCATGCCGTTTCCTTGTGAGACCTTGATTTCACTTATGAATTATTATGAATTATTGATTTCACTTAAAATTTATATTTCAAGTGTTATTTATTGATTTGGTAAGAAATAATGTTCATAATGCATTTGTCCGTCAATAATCATCAATTTCACCTACTTCGTGCACAACGTATTAATTTTCATTTCGTAAAACAAACTGTTGGCATCACTCGTGCTAATTTTTTTTTTCGTCGATAAAAATGTTCTGTACATCTCTGTTTTAAAATGCAATAGTTCTTAATATACACAACGTTCCCCAATCTTTTTAAATTAGCAAATAACGCTTGCGTTCATCCCGTTTATCAAGCAGTAAAATCAACCGGTGCCAGCAATAAAACGAAAAAAAGTGCGGCTCCGTGATCTTCGAATGGTTTGGAAACAAAAAAAAAAAGATAGAAACGTTCATACGTGTAGTGTCTTGCCGATGCAAAGACTACCTTAGAAAGTAAACATCTGTGTTGCAGCCTCCTTCAATCATGGAATTGGATTTTCCAACTTTCTTCAGTAAAGTCACTCCCAATCCCAATCACCTTGAAAATATAAAACGTCTCACAAAGTACATACTCTTCCTTTATGAAATTCGGCGACATTTACAACCAATAAGTAATCACCAAAACCCATAATATATACCACTAATTAGATGAATAAACCCTGTAATTACTTACTTTTTGAATGTGCGGTTACACGTTGACAATTTCATAATCTCTACAAATTTTCGTACTTTCCATGTCATTACTTAACATTCTCACGTAATACGACAAAATTTGGTTTTTGTAGGAAAATATATATTTTGCATTTTTCAAGGTGGTCCGCGGGTCAGTTGTGATTTTACTGTAAGAAGTTGAAAAATCCAATCCTGCGATATTAAAGGATCTTATTAAAATATCCGTGTTTTCATTGCAACCTCAGAGCTGAAAACATCGTTGAAAAAATTGTTTAACTCTTATTTTGTATAGGGAGTATCGAAATTCTTGAAATTCATTGTGATTTTTTAAATTTCAACAAAATCATCACGAAATTCATGTATACGCGTCTTACTTGCTAAACAAATTTATTTCTCGAATTTCATCTTTAGTCATCGGATATGTTAACAAAATTATTAGCTTTCATTGCCAAACGTATCCATGTCACAAATTATTAATCGAAATGAAAAGTGATGAATTCATCAACAATCCAATTCTAGCTTGTCATCGTTTGTTTAAATTAGAAATCATTAGTTTTCGTGATCACTGGTCACGATTCAGTAATAATTTCAAATACACATATAAATTTCAAATATATTTTAAAAAAATAAAAACCAAGTACTCTTATCGCAATACAATTGTCCTTATGAGCCCATATTATTGCAGCAAGAGGAATTGATCTTGCGATTCCTTTCGCTGAAAGTGAAAGAATAAAAAAAAAGAAACTTTGTCCTTCATCGATACGTTACTTTGTGAGGCGGATGCGACGCTTGGCCCCATACTCACAACTTGCACGAGCTCGAGGCTCAGCTGGACCGTGGAAACACAGGTAGCGAGCTGTAGCGTCGTCGCCGTGCACAATAGCAGCGTCAGCTTCATCGCGTTCACACGTGCGCACAGCCCCGCGCACAGCCCCGCGCACAGTCGCGTCCGACGGCTCTCAGCCTCGCCAGAGTACTCGACCGACTCTGAGCCGCAAGGTAAAATCGCGTAGCTTTTTGTACTTACGGCAATGGTCTTAACAGCGAGCAAGAGAGGTGGCAGGTGAGAACGTGCCTGCTTTCCTGCATCTTTATTTCTCTCAATTAGCATCTTTTTATCATCACCGGCACAAATATTTAATTAATAAAGCGCGCGAGTCGCTAATATAATGCAGGAAAAAATAAGTTGTTTTTTTTTATCTCAATTTGATTTGATGTTGTCTTTATTTTTTCATCGCGCAATAGTATTAAATTCAATTTTTTTCCTTCAAATAATTTACCGACGGTAAATTAGCTAATGTTTATTTCATCGTTAGAAACGAGTACAGCATTTTTCTTATGTGGAACGAAGACGACGTCATTATATGTTCAACTAATGCAGAAAATATACCTACGAACGAATGAATTAATTTTTACGGTCGGTAGTTTGTCTGTACCGTAAGAACTAATCGTTGTAATAATATTCGATTATCGGTTTGAAATTATGCTTTGAAAACTACCGGTTAATTTAATGTCAATTTAGACAAGTGCATAATGTTCATTTTCAATGGCACTTCCGAATCGCGCATTCACATAATATTTTTCACGAATTTTCGACAAGTATAGTTCACTTGCAAAGTAATCTCGCCATCAATTTAAGAACAATCTATTTATATCTAAGAATCAATTGAATTGTAAATCTCAATTTAAATATAGTTTTCATATGCAGCTTACGGCATATTTTCAATGGAGCAGTCTAAATAGAATAAAATTAATATAAAAAAAACTCGTATAATTAATTCGAAATGATCTCATCCACAGTGTTCAGCGCTTTAACATACGTTCTTCGGGAACACGAGGAGTCACGTTCATAAGATCACAAACTATCGCTCTTATCAATTGAATTTATTCCTGCAAAAGTGCAAAACGTATAATCATTTTAAATTTTTACCGAGCTCTAGTTTTCATAACGAAGAAGGTAGATTTATCAAATGGCATTCTTTTACATGTAGATACTTTCGAGTAAATTGAGTTAAAAAATAAAAAAAAGGAATAAAACAGCCAACGTTTCGGTTTGGAATTATCCTTATTAAGGCTATTAAAAGGACGAATTACATAATTTCGATTAACCTTCACTTCTTATTACGAAAATATTTCATGAGCGAGCTGGTCGATAGAGCTAGATAATCGTAAGAGCTCCAGTTTTCGTACAAACACTAAAAGCTGACTGTAACATCTAATGAATCGCCGTCTCTGCTTGAAATAATTACTTTTCTATCTTTTAAAATTATAAGCTTCATGGTGAATGACGATTCTACATCGCTTCTCCATTTTAAAGCTCTATTGCTATCTCTGAATGGCATGTCAAGCAGCACACGACGATCATGCGTAGGCACTCATTCGACATTTTCCTGTCAAACGAGTTCGTCCTGTCCTCGGGTGAATAAAGCCCAGCGAGCGCCAATGCCAGAGATTGCTTTTGTCCTGTCGCGTTGAGTACTAATTGCGCGCACGTTCTCAGGCCGATAATCGTCAAGGAAATCTTCGTATTTTCGATGCAGGCGCTCTCGCTGTCTGACTGCCGGTCGCATCGGCAGCAGCGGCCAAGTCTCAGGGTCCGGCTCTCATTGGAGCTCCGTGGCGAAAAAGTAACTCCGCTATTGTGCCGGCGATCGGCGACGATGACCTTCTTTTTGAGAGCGAATTAAAACTTTTCCGACGAGTTCACAAGCTGTTCTCTGGCTGAACGTTCTACACGAAATCCTAGCCGGTAAAAATAGCCGATTGTATTAAATCCAAAACTGTACTCGACAGCTCGACGCATTTATTTCTATATATATTATATATAGAACGGTCGATGTACTATTTATCGCGTCGTCCATTTAATTTCACATTCGCGTGCAGGGGCTTTTGGGAATAAAACTGATTTGTTCGTATCTAAAATTACCGTCGATTTATCAGTAGCGCCGTCGATTCGAGTTTAAGTTCAATGCTTGCGTCGCGTCGCGCAGACGTCTAATCGCCGTCACGTGCCCGTAAGTTATGTTTCACGTTATGTCACTCTTATTATGAAATTGTAATGCGTTCGCAGTGTGACTTTTGAAATGAAACGAAGCGCTCCTTTACAGGTTGTTAGAATAGTCATATTACGCCTTTGCGGTTTGCGAGCTCCTCTGTAGATCCGCTCCGATCAGGAATGTATACGGTTTCGTCCCCTTTTGTAAAATTCGATTTCCATACCTGAGTAACAGCGGATAAAAGCTTATGATTATTGGGAAATTCGGGATAATGGAAATCCATACGATTTGCGTATCTAAATAATTTATGCCCGAAAGATAAACTGATAGATTGAGTAAGGTCGAAAATTGATTATATTTCAGTAGATCAATGCGTATGTCGAAGAATGTATAGGACGATCTACCGGATAATATGCAGAAGCTTTGCTGCGAATGATATTCTTTTTTGAAAAATAATGAAATGGTCATTAAGAAGTTAAAAATATTAAATGTTTCCCGATGGTATCACAAGAATCTGTGAACTTATGCACTACCATATGTCGTGTATAATTACATACAGATATTATATACCGCTATACTTTAATTCTGTGCATAATTCCGCATGCTATTTCTTCTACATGGGCGTGGGAGCCAAAAATGCAATGACTTTTCTAAATTATAATTAACTTCCCTTATGTCAAACGTAGGGCTGTACTCGATAAGGTCGCTGAAATTCCAATCAATTTTGCCCGGAAAAGACGTTCAAAGGTCGGAAATTCATTTATTTTACGCTAATCATTGGGTTTGTTAACGAGTTAACAGATTTGGAATTGTCGAGCGCAATAATCGCAAGCCGCACAGGCTTGCGCGAGATATCATGTCTATTGGTTAAGGGTATAATAGATCGTCACTTTGCTAGCCGTTTCAAGAGCCTTTTTTCATCGTCGTTAGCGGACGAGCTTCGCGTGATTTCGCTGCTGCGTTGCGTTCGAATTCCATATGCACGCGAACGTTCGACGCACACTGCCGACAATTCCAAGTACATAACGCAACGCTCGCGCGTCATTTGATTGACGCGTAACCCGCTCCCTTTCAACTATTCTTAACTTATTCCGTTGGCTTTCTAGTGCGAATGAAGACGCGTAAGCTCAAGGCTGCACGATGGGCAAAGGACGCTGCGCTTGTTTCGGCTGAAAGTTTGATTGAGTAAATTTGGCCTTGACGACGAAGCGCATTTACGGCAAGCGCGTGCCAGCGAAAAAATGCATTTTCTTTCAACTCTGAAGCTTCCTTCCTGGATATTTAACATTTGCAGCACTATTTTTATAGTCAAGCGAAATACATTGTAAAAGGAAAAAGATAAATCTGAATAATGTAGCACGACTATCTCTTAAAAAATGTTTACGTTTCCATTCTCCCGTTCGCACTGTCGCTTCTGCCATAATCCCGTATATGTAGAGTGATTAGAAAAGATTTACGGTACAACAACGGAATTGACAATTCAATTGAATCACAAGATAACGACGTAATTATGCAAGCGACAATCGCGCACGACTACCTTTTTGCTGATTTCATTGAGAACACGCGATAACGTTCAAATCACAATCAACTGTGCGCCTCGCGAGCGGCTTTGGCGCACGGAAAACATCATTAATCGGAGCTTGCCGCGAGCGACGACGGAGCAGTCAAACTGGTTGACATTTGCGCGTCGATAACGTCTACACGAAAATCGTCGCTGTCTCGCCACGAGGAGTCTATTTTTAACCGCGCGTGCTCGCTGTTTACTTTCTCCGCGGCTTCGGACGATCGCGCAAACAAGCAGAGCCGACAAATTGGCGTGCAATTACCGGGGCTGCGCGAGAGCTCGCAATTAAGCCGCCGCGCCGACGGAGTGGGAATCGCGAGACGCGCCGTCCCCGAGTGCGCGCGAACAAACAATGCCGAATTAACGTGATTGAGCGCGGGAGTTAACGCGCCTCTGCGCGAATCGTCACTTTGCGATAAGGCTCTTGCGCAACTCACGCGCTCTTTCCCTACATCCAAGCTCGTAGCGCGGGATACGTCCGAGATTTCGCGGCTGCCGCGGGACGCCCCGATTGGCAACGACGCGCCAACGAGCTTGCACGAGAAATTCCACGGCTATCTGTATAATCTTTTCCCCCAACTGCACGGAGGGTGCGAGCGGCATCCAGTATCCTTCAAACGCCAGCCTGTTGACGGAACAATAAAATCGGAACGCGTTAATGCGAGCTTGCGATTAAGAGGAATGAATTGAGAAACTCAAGGAGGATATTTTCATGAGATTCCATAACTCTCAATTGTTTCTCCTTCCTACAAAAGCTCATTCCGCGCGATCCATTCTGATCTACCTGGACAATATCTGTCGATAAATTTGCATATAAATCCTGTCATCCGACGGGTGCGTCGCGTTCGCTAGATTTGCTCTGGGGAATTAAAGGAAATGAAAAACAAAAACAAAAGGAACTTGAACCCGACGAAGGAAGCGTGATTTCACGTCGCAACGCGGCAAATCTCGCGGGCGTATATTCATTGACGTCATATTTCCTCGGCGAGCGGCGAGGATAAAAAGTGCGCGTAGCGTCGGGGAGAGAGAGAGAGAGAGAGAGAGAGAGAGAGAGAGAGAGAGAGAGAGAGAGAGAGAGAGAGAGAGAGAGAGAGAGAGAGAGAGAGAGAGAGAGAGAGAGAGCAACAGCCGCGTAGCAAGAACAAGGACAGTCTCTCTTTCTTCCAACGACTTCCTCGTTCTCTTTCCGATTTTTCTATTTTTCGGCTTTTCTTTCTTTTCATTTTCCTTTTCGACGAGCGCGAAAATTCCTTCCTTCCGTCCTTTTAAAGTTGGACAGCCGATCGCGTGCACACCGGCCCTCGTAATGTTCGAGCGGGCGACAAACAAAAACAAAATACATAAACGCGCGCAATGCGCGTAAAGATCTGCGTTGAAAACTTCTTCTGGATTTTTGCTTATTGGGATTTTTTTACGTTCAAATACTGCGTTGTGCGATCTTCGGATCTCTCTTCCAAGTGGATGAAACTATATATCGCGGAAGGATCTAGAATGCTTCGCTTCGAATGGTTTGCGCGTCCCGCGGCTGATTCTCATCGAGCGTAAATATTGTCAGTGTCCATTAGAATCGCGAGGAAAGGAAAACAATTGCGTGCTCGGCGTCGTCGGTGGTCGCGCGACGCGCAAAAAGCACGCAAGCTGCGCGCAAGTCGCCGAACGGACGGAAGGACGAGAGTTCGCGCGTTGGTCCCAGGTTTCCAAGGCTACGCGTAATAGTCCTGGCGCCAACGAGGAATCGATCGGGGCGCACACGCGTGCCATAGAGGATAGGGACGCCTGTTGCCGTCGGGGCTCGCTTTCATTCATGAAAATGTCGGCTGCGCGTGTGCGTCTGTCTCCCTCTCGGGCGCCGCGGATCAATGTCAGCGTGCTTACGCAACGACGCCGCGCAGTTCTGTCCCGTCTTTATTTATTTATTTATTTGCCTCTGCTCCTGTCGCCGCGTGTACCTCGCTTCGGTGCTTTCTACGGCTGGGACTTCGTAATACAAGACGGCCATTGTTTACCCGGGCGAGCTTTTGCGCTTGCGGCGACAACGGCTGGAATTGTAAATTGCGAGCGCGAGTAACCGGAGGCTTGTTACAAGGAATATAAACTCGATGCTGTAAAAGTACTCTCGCCTTGCTTTGAAATACAGTCGTTCTAAAGCTTTAATTGTGCTGCGACCCCCCTCCTCCCTTGGCGAGGCGACCTTCCCACCCACCCGCTCAGCGCAAACTTACTTTCCTCGTGGCATTGTCGAGATTTCATTTACGAGATTAAATAAACGGCGAAATAAAAGTTGAAACGCGCGTCGGGCGATAAAGCGGGCATTGTTTGGGCGCTCGGTTATTGTGCGAAGCTCGAGCAGGAGCTTTTGTCTTGATGGAGTTGCGGCTTTTTAAAACGCCACGCAGAGAAATCGCCTGTTTGCGCGAATTATAAAGCCAACTTTCCCGAATATCGCTGAGAGCAACCCGATAGAGGAAATTCGCTTTCAATGCTGATGTTATACTAAAATTTGAGAAAGGCTTTCGCTCGGCATGCGATTCAGACATTTATCTCTAATTTTCTTTACCTGTTGGCCTGAAAAGATCGTTAATTTCATAAGTTACTATGCTGACTTTCTAACGTAAATACCAATTTTAATTTGATGTATTTGAGTAATAATAAATAGAACAATTTTTCAATTAAAACATTTATGCATAGTTCAAAATATAAGTAAAATTTGTATTAATAAAAAAAATTAACTATCTTGATATTTTGATTTTGTTAAAGTTACTCCACCGAATTTCGTGTTATTGCCCAATACAACTTCTAAATTGATATCTGAAAAGAAATGTACAGGTCATTGAACTTTTTAAAAAAGATATTGAAGAAAAACATGATAAATTGTCGCATTTTAAAGACGAAATCGTGAAAATAGCGATGTGAAAAAAATCTTTTTTTTTTATTTTTTACTGTTAAATGTGAATAACTTAATTTCTGACCGAGCAGTCAAATATAAAATTATTTTTATTAAATATTTTGAAAGAAAAGATATCAATTTTATGAAATCTCTAATGGTGCTCCAACGTGATACGGATATGGCCCGTCCTAAGGTGGAACCACCGCAAGTTATTGTAGAAATTTACTTTCGTTTTAATTTTTTCTAATAAACAATCTAATATTTCAGATAAATCACGGATTCAAACAAGTATAAGTTTAAAAACTCCCGCCGGTGTGAGAATTTTGCAAGTCTGCTATGCAGCGTTGCCGTTAAAAAAATTTCTCTCAAGGTTCCTTGAAATTATTCCACTTAACATAGTGCAATAATATCTAGGGACCCTCGGAGATATTTTTTCAGTGGCAACGCTGTAGTGCCATATTGGGAAAAAAAGAATTGACAACCTTTAGTCGGAAAAGAAAAAAAAGTGAAAAATATGTACAAGTGCCGACCGAGCGATGGTGCAAGTGCGGAAAACAAAAGTAAAAAAGTGTGAAACTAAACGAAAAAAAGGATCAGTCAAAGCTTTTGCCGCAACAGCGAGGTTAGGTATCTTCTGTATAGCGGCAGCTCACGAGGAAGAATATCACTTGAGGAGCGACGCTCGCTAAAATCGTATAACCTCGTTTTTGCTAAAATTTTTGTAAAGTCTGTGCTGTCGCGTGATGTCCAAGAACTTGTACAGCATTATCGAGTATCACTCGAAACTAGAAAAAAATCGATGTGGATATTGTCATAGCACCAACACTGGTTACAGTCATGGTAGGATTTTTTGTAATGTCTACTGTTATCAATTTCTTTTTGTTCTTTAATATTAAATAAATTGATTCGACTCAGTCATACGTATAGAATCGAAATTTTTTTATGTAAATTTTCTATTAAATCAACTATCATGTAAATTTTGAATTGGAATCTCTTTATTTCCGTATATTCAATTGTGCACAATAGTTCAAGTAATTTTTTAATCAATACAAGTAATATTAACAATTAGAAAAATATATGTTGAGAACCATTCCTAAAATTACGAAGCGTGTAGAACTTTTTTGCTGAATTTACTGGTAAAAAAAAAAATTAAGTATAATCCATATAAATATTTCAGGAATGACTGCATATGCATTATCAGTTCAACATTATCAAAATTTAATAGATAGAGGATGGAGAAGAAGTGGCACTTATTGTTACAAACCTATGATGAAAGTGACCTGCTGCCCTCATTATACAATCAGGTAAGATCTAATATATTGTGTATCTTAAAATTGAATTTCAATCATTATTTCAATTTAATATTTTCTTTCAGGTGTGAGGCATTGAATATCAAAATATCTAAGTCACAGAAAAAAATTTTGAAACGAGTGATCAAGTTCCTCAAAAATGAATTGTCAAAAGATGAAGAAAAAGCTAGTCCGATTGAATGTGACGATGATATAGGTAACGAAGTCATTAATTTCATAAATATCTTTATTTATAATGGAGCAATTTGTTAATGTAATTGATATTTGCAGATAGAAATATGGAAGTGCCAAAATTTTCTAAGTATGCTGAAAGAGCAGAAAAAAATGCTCCTAAAATGCAAGTAACTTCTGTATCAGAAGAGCTTAGCAGTAGATTAGGTACTAATTTAAATAATACTAAGTCAACTTCAAGTGATAGTGCAAGTACAAGTACAAAGAAACAGTTGGTGGAAAGTGCTGATAATTCACCGATTCAATCAATGGAAATTTCCAATAATGAATCAAGTTGTTCAACTTTTGATCCAAACAGAGCACCTCAAAAAAAAGCTAAACTCTTACGTCTAGAAAGAAAGCAAAAGAAACTATTAGCCCAAGGGAAAACTCAGGGAGAAGTAGACTCCCTTCTAAGTAAAACTAAGCCTCAAAATACTGAGAAAACTTTAGAAGATTACTTTAAGGAGATTAGTGAATGTTCAAACAAATTAGAGGTAAGATTTTAATTTTTCATACAAACTTATAATGTAGACAGTGCTCTTTGCTCCAATTCAGTGATTTTAATATTGATTTTAACTTTTTTTAATTTTAAGTTAAGATTAGTCAGAGTATCACCGCCAAGTGATAGTTACAAGAGCAGTGAAAAAGAATCTTTTGAACTGTATAAAAAATATCAATTGACTATTCACCACGATAGGTTAGAAAGACTAACTCAAGAAGGGTATTCAAGATTTATGGGAAAGTCACCTTTGCGGGTAACTAATATTTTTGGTTGTAAGCTCTTCATTAATGTACTGTAATTAATACAGTCATTCATAAACTTATCAACAGTGTAATGCATATTTGGAGCAAAGTGGACTCGTCAAAGTAATAATTCAGTCCTAATAAACTTTCATTATAATTCTTATACAAAACAATCAATTGTTTCTATATCAGATAAAATTGATAAGAGTATTGTCAGATGAATTTTTAAATACTCTAGATGAAAGTGCAGAACTTTTTAAAAAATATCAAATGACGATTCACAAAGAAAAGCCAGAAGAGTGTGACAAACGCGCATTCTTTGATTTTCTTATCAAAAATCCATTGCAGGTACACCTTGCTCTTTATTATGCATTGAGTTGTTGTGATTGAAATAAAAATACTTTCATGTTACCATGACTTTGTACAGGAATGGAAACCAGATGGTGATCTGCCTCAAGGATATGGGTCATTCCATGAGCAGTACTGGCTCAATGGTACTCTGATAGCAGTGGCCGTTTTAGATATATTGCCGTCTTGTGTATCTAGCGTTTATTTTTTCTACGATCCAGCATATGCTCATTTATCATTAGGAACATTTAGGTATCATATCAAAACGTTAATTTGATTTGAAGTTTGCTTCACTTCATAATCATTTTTGTTACAGCTCTTTACGAGAAGTATTTTTAACGCGACAGTTGAATAAGTATGCTCCAAACTTAAAGTATTACTATATGGGCTATTACATCCATTCGTGCCCGAAAATGAGGTACAAAGGAAAGATGCGTCCATCTAAGCTTCTTTGCCCAGAAACTTATGTATGGTATGATATTGATAAATGTTTACCAAAGTTGGACGTTTCAAAGTACAGTAGATTGAATGAAGATCAATCTGCTACAGATGAAGATGGAGTAGTTGATATTCAACAGGTAGCGTAATTATTGGCGATAATTAATATATTGATATAACATTTATTAATATTTTTTAATAGGTCCCAATCCTGTACGAAAAGAAAACGTATACCTATGGAGTTTTTAGAATAAATTTCAATAAAAACATCAAAGATAACCTGATAGAATATTCTTCCTTAGTCGGTAAAACTTGCGCTTTACAAATGTTATATTACGTTGATTGATGTTCTCAAGGTCATGTAAATTTGAGCTCAACTTATACATTCATATTAATGATTGCTTCTAAAGTAGTGAACGCGTCACTCAATTTTAAATTAATATAAAAAGAAGTCGATGCAAATGTTATACTCGCATCCATTCATACACCAACGTTTTTAAATCAAACGTACTACTAAATATTACAAAAATACAAATAATATATTTGCTAAAAAAGAATTGTTAAATTATGACAAATTAAATGTAGATACAAAAGTATGAAAAAAATAATATAATTATTTTAAAAATATATATGTATATTGGATGAACTAACCTTCACTACATGAATTATCCCTGCTAACTCGTAAAATAAAAAAACATTAATTTCTATAACAGCATCAATGTATAATTTATATATCACAATGGAAAATGACAACAGTGCAATTTTGCTCGATCCTTTACAATTCATTACTACAGACTAACATAACAAAATATTCATTCACCGAAACGCACACATGTCAATTTACACGACAAAATTATTCTTAAAACATAAATTATGAAAGAGTACTTGTCTCAAGCTCGAGGCTTCTTGCCTTCGTTCCACGGCTGTATTTGTGCACTTCCTCCAAGTATATATATAATCATGGAGACGATGCAAACACTTGCGCCGATCCAAAAGACAATTTGCCATTGTTCAATCGCATTCTACAATAGTAAGAAAAATCGTGGATTTTGCACGAGAAAACGTAAGAAAATTCAATGTGTAAAGCGATGATTGATAAGGCAGCCGGTGAAGCTGAAGCATTGGCAATCATAAATGGTGCCTTCCGACCGTACTATGAATAGTTATAAATCATCGTAGCACGGTCCAGAAGAGGCCATCGAGGTATGCCTTTCAATGGAAACCTCTCTAGATAACGATGGTGGCCGAACAAGCGAAGCATTGCGATGATGAGAAAAACGCAAATACCACATATAAACCCGTACTATGAACGTCAAAGGTGAACATTGTACGAGCTATATCTGGTATCTGTATTTTTCAGTGTTAGTGGTTACATTGCGTATGGACATTTAGTGGCAGGTACTCGAATGCCGGGCGCGTAAGAAAGCGTGGATGAACAGATGCGCGAATGCGGGGTGCAGCTCATACTAAGAAGCTATTCCTCACCGGTTTAGTACCGAACGGCACAGTTTGGTACTAAGTTACATCTACGCAGTCTCGTACGTCGGCGAATTTGGCGTACGTTTTGTAAACAGATACACGAGCGGCGAGTGCCGGCGGGTGTATCCAAACTTTGTTTATCAACGCAGTATCTGTTAGTACCGCGCCTTTATTTCTCGCAGCGCGGCATGCATGTCTACTAGAAAGCAATGGCGCGGTCGATGCGAATCGCAAGCGCTGACCGTATTACCGAGTAGCAGCGGTGGGTGCATTGCGTTCGCGTGAGCAACCATATCCATGAGCGAAAGTAGCAAGCAGCAACGAAATCGATGTGTTAGCAGCGAGCACAAGTGACTTTGTATCATCTGCACCCTGAACTTCAATATCCTCAGGATGCAGGTAGTACAAAGCATCCGTGATCACTAAATGAAACAGCAAGCTTGGTGCAAAGCGAACAGATGTATGCTCGAGGAAAATCGTGATATACTTACATTGTGTTTGCCGGCGATCGCCTCGACCATAGGTGGAATTATCATCCCGGTAGTCGTTCCAACGGTGTTCATGATCCCATACAGAAAGCCCGCAAAGTTCGGCGAAAGATCTTGATTGTTCGACAAGTTTGAGATGCTCGCGGCACCGTTGAATCCCAACGCTAGAAACAGAAAGGTATTGGCGAGGACGAACGAGCAGCCGACGTAGCCGACGATGATCAGGCAGACTCCTGGCAATAAGTGAGCTACAACAAAAAATTAAATTAGGTACATTCGGTCGGTCGATTCATCGTCGTCGGGGTCATGGTTACTTACAGAATATCATAGCGCTTTTGCGAAACGCGGTCAGCGACACGATCTGCTTGCGCTTGACAATGTCACCGCCCCAGCTGAAGAAAAAGCCGAAGAGCATTCGAGCGAACCACGGCAAGGACGCGAGTAAGCCACCTTTCGTCAATTGAAAGCCGAGCGCTTTAGTGAGATATAGCATCATGGAGTTCTGATAAAAGAACAGCAGGAATAAGTTGCCAAAGTGACAGATGATCAGCGAGATGAACGGTATCGAGGTGAAGATCGCTCCGAGTGGCGTTTCCTTCAACGTTGGCCTCTCTGCGCGCACAGTGCCGGCTTGCGATCTGGAAATAGAGAACCGTTAGCGAACATGCAGTTAATCTAGTCACGCAGTGCAACAAGCAGTGCAACAAGCAGTGCAACAAGCAGTGCAACAAACAGTGCAACAAACAGTACAACAAACAGTGCAACAAGCAGTACAACAAGCAGTGCAACAAGCAGCGAAACAAGCAGTGAAACAAACAGTGCAATAAGCAGTGCAACAAGCAGTACAACAAACAGTGCAAAAAGCAGTGCAACAAGCAGTGCAACAAGCAGTGCAACAAGCAGTGCAACAAGCAGTGCAACAAGCAGTACAACAAACAGTGCAATAAGCAGTGCAACAAGCAGTGCAACAAGCAGTACAACAAGCAGTGCAACAATCAGCGAAACAAGCAGTGCAACAAGCAGTACAACAAGCAGTGCAACAAGCAGCGAAACAAGCAGTGAAACAAGGAGTAATTATACAAAAAGCAAAGTCGCACCGTCAACAAGTTAGTAGTAGGCAATGCAGCAAGCAAAGTTTAAATAAGGAAGCGCGTACGAAACGTTCAGCAACCAAGCAATAGCGATGCAACGATCAAAGTCAATGTAAGGGCGCGCATGTAAAGCATTCAGCAATCAAGCAAGGCAGTCAAGCAATAGCAACAGTGCTAACGGTATCTCCAAAAACTACTTACGAGATTATATAATTCTTTTCCTCATCGGTGATTCCAGGATGCTCGTTTGGCGAGTCGTAAGCCAGCAGCCACCAAAAGAAGCACCAAAACAGCAACAGCAGCGACGGTACGTACCAGCCACTCTCCCAATTGATTTTTTCCGCAAGAGCAGCGATCATTGGGTAAGTGAATATCGTGCCAAAGGTCCCACCGAGCAATGACCACACGAATCGCGATTTTTCGTCGGGTGGTGCCCATTTGGCAACGAGAGTGTGACAAGCTGGGAAGGTTATTCCGCCGGTCAAGCCGACGATAACACGACTTGCCATCAGGAAGCCCCAGTGAACATTTGCCAGAAGCGGACTCACTAGGGACACTACTGCAGCGAGCACCGATGTCCATAGAATTGTTTGCCGTGGACCGAACTTGATGGCCAGTACACCGCCGATCAGATTGCCAGGTACGTTTCCGTATGCGTACGCGGCCAACAACTGGCCTGACGGTCAAAGGACGATGGGTAACAAGTGTCGTCCGCTCTTAAATTTAAGATTCGACCGTACCTCTGAGCGACGGCGACCAATCGAAGGGATTACCCGTGAACCACTCGGTCATTGTCCTCTTTTCATGAGCGTGATCGTCAGCATCGTCCTGACGTCTCAATCGGCGGCTCCACTGCTCGTCCACGATATCGTGCATCAACACGTCGGTGCTCTGCCAGATCCTTCGCACATCCCCGTTGGAACCCGCGGCTCCGCCGTCACCGTTGGAATTTTGACAGGCGTTCGCGCTCCCCGCCTCCCCGGCCTTCTCACGGATCATCGGCACCGCGAGGATGGGCATCTGCAGCCGACACATGTACGACGTCCAACAAGCCGTGAACATCATGACGCAGATTATCGCGCGCACCGGTATCCATCCTTCAAAGACAAACAAAACGAACCAGTGACCATTTGTGCGGAGAGCCCGCAAATTTCTCTTTCTATTTCCGCGAGGATCGGCAGCGGCTCTCGAGGCTCACGCCCGATTTCGTCCAATGAAAATACAGCTCGCCGCCGTCGCGCGACCACTTACGCAACAACTTCCAGATGTCGGGCATGCTCAGCGCGTCCGAGATTGTCACGATCGCGATCACGATTTTCGTCAAAGGACGACGACAACGGAATATGGTTATGTTGAAAAATCGGAACGCGGCATTGCTATGCCAACCGACTACTGTGCGGCGCGAGATGACGCCGGGACAAGCTCGCTCCGATCGCGCACGTCTCGGAACTTTAGGAATGCAATCGGCGCGCAATAACGCACCTAAGCACAAGCGACGTTGATTTGCGCACAGACAGACACACACACACACACACACGAGTAAACAGCCGAGGACACTGCACTATCGGCGACGATGAATATGCCAGTGGCGTCCGACACGACCGAAACCGGGGAAACACTTACTCTGGACGAACATGGCCGGATTTTGCCGCGCGCACGAGCGTCCTGCCAGGAGGATTTTCGCACTCTGCTGGGGGGCCTCAAGCGGGCTGCCTTATATATCCGTGGACGCAGGCCCTCTGCCGCGTAATTTTCCCGCGGGGAGGCTTTCGGCCGAGGGCGGCACCCTCGTCACTCGATGAATGGTAAGGGCCCAGCAGAGGGAAAGGTACTTTCGCCGGATTTGTTATGGATTTATTATGGACCATCGTAAAATCTGTGCTCGGGTACTTTGCCTCTCCTCTTCGATCGCTCGATCCCGCGCGACGATTTCCCTCTAATGCCTTACGGTCTAGGCGAAACAATGGCCTCGACACGCCTGCCGAAAATGAGGGATTTATTTGCGAGACGAAACGCCCCCCCCCCCCCCCCCATTGTCTCTAATTACTTTCTTCGTTCTGTCGAATCGTAAAAATAAGTAAATGAATAAAGGACAGCGTGTAAAGCCGAGTCGCGAGAAAACGCTCTCGAATTGGTAAAATATCGAACGAGCGTGCGGAGAGCTTCCTGAAGCGCGTCCCTGTCGTGGCGTATTACGGCGATCGGAAGTCGGGAAAACAAGCGGCTTTTACGATCACTGCGCTGTAATAAGCCAGCAATTTTCGAGACTCACGTCGCCGAAGAAGATCTTTTGTTTTTTTTTCCTTTTTTTTCGCGAAAAGTCACGCGACTCCGCGGGACTGATTGCCGATTGTGTATGCCGCAGCTATTCTTGTTTAGTTTTGCTGTGCAATGTAATTATTCGAAATCATGATGCTCGTGTAGAATAAAGTCACTTGCCGTGCCGTAATGCGTTCTTTTATTTTGCAAATGCTTGTAATATTTACTCTTGCAAATCGTATTGATAACAATTACACGAGTGCACGTTGGAAATGCTTTCAGTGACTATATACATACGCGTCGAATGAAATTCCGAAACAGCTCGAAATTCGCCGTTTGGTCATTTATTAAAAACTTGAGCTTGATATTGAAATGCGTCTTGCAATCATATTGTTGTGTCAATTAGTTATGTTGGGCTTGAGTAAGAGTGACTCGTTCCTTTCGTAAGTTTTCAAGGCCGTATTTTCATTTTTGTATTTGTATCGGCATTTACACGACGAATACAATTTCTGAAATAACGATTATCTTAACTTGATGCAAAATGTATAAGAACGAGATATGTTTTATCTAAATGAAGGAAACTCAACGTTTCGTTTAAATAGAAAAATAGCGTATTTTACAGAATACGTTGAAATTTAAGAAAGTTATTGGTGAAATCAAGCAACCTGAGCGTCTTGTTTGCACGGAAAAATAACGTATTTTAGATAATACGTTGAAACTTAAAAGCGTAACGTAACGTATTTTAGATAATACGTTGAAGCATAAAACAGCGTTGACTAGGTTTTAAAAACAACTCTCTCGAGATAAGAGATTAAGCTTTGACGATTAAGAACACCACGTAAGAGAATTTTTTGTACAGTGCAGTGCAGTCGCGACACGCATAAATCTATCAAACGTCTTAGAGATTTGCAGAGATGATTTTTTTTTCTTTGCGACGAGTGCAACGTACTGCATGATTATGTAGCGATTGTTCATTTAATTTTCTTTTCTAATCACGAAAGCTCGCGACAAAAATGAAACATCTCACATCAGCTCTTGATAAGAGCGAATGAAACGTCGACAATCATCGTTTGTCAATGGTCAAATAACTTTTACAGCGTGACAAAAAAATATGACATAATAAATCTGAGCTTTAATCCAAATCGTTTCGGAATCCGTCAGCTTACGACAAATATGCTTAGAATTCGATGAGTGGGATAATCGGTGTATAAATTGAAGAGACAGATGCTTGTAAATGTATCATTGCCGCGTGACAATTACGATAAACCCTTGTCCCGGTGTAGGAACACGTTATGTACTTAACGGACATACGCTCAGTAGGAAAGACGCCTGGGTATTCTTGTACACATTGCAGCCTTAGGACTATACCCTAATGCTGATTAAAGGCCTGATGACATCGGCGAATTCGGACGGGAATCGGTTAAATGCGGTGGCATACTTTGAATTTCCATTTTCCATTCTGTACGCTGAGTCGGACGGTGACTGTTTTCGGTAACGATGCATTTCTTTTACAACCGACCTTCCGTTGCTGATAGACCTCATTGAAAAGTCACCGTTGCCTTTTCGATAGCTGCTCTGTGGCTCGATGCTATCATTCTATTATCATCGGTAATAAGTCACTCGTAACGCTTCGGGATTCGTTGGGAAATTCGCGCAGTCCTGTTCGCTCTATTTACTATTAACACGCGCGTCGACTCGAGCGCGCCAACGTGTCCTCCCAGACACACGGGAAATGAGAATGGCTTGGCGAGCGGAGCTGCGCAAAGTATCTCGCTCGATATCATTCGCATTAGCGCCATGAACGCCTTCTCGAGCGCACTCAGAGCTGCATCGAGCGCTCGCGCCGTGGGAGCCGCGCCGCCGAGTCTGTCGCGCCTTCGTCGATTATTGCCAGGCCGGGGCAGCCAATTAACGCTTTGTCGCGCTTGGTCGAGGTGGACCCGGAGTGCAAGCGGTGCGCGGAACGCGTATTCGACATCGGCGCAAAGCGAGGCAACGCCAGCGAGTTTGCAGACGGACGCCGACAACAGGTCGTCGATCATGACGGAAGCGAGCGGGGATCAAGTCTTGGCGGAGGCCCTCAAGGAACAGGCGAGTGTTGCACGACTTTGTTCGCGCTGTCGCGCTCGCCGAGAAACGCGTCCTTTGTAGGTTATACCTCGAGAAGGCTCTTATCAGTTTCGTCATGACGACTCTCGACAGCTGCCGAATTCTGTGGAAGTTGGATCGTTACGCAATTATTCATACACATCGATGTTGACGATAACGCCTTTATTGGACGACGTTGTTTACCAAATATAAGCAGCGTACACGAACAAGTCGTGGCGGTCACGTGACCTTTGGCGGTTTATTCGAAGTTACGCAGACGCTCGTTCTCTTATTTATTTGTTCATTCAAATAACGAAGCCTTCGTTTCGCGAATACGAGCCGGCTTATTCGATCACATTCGATCGCTGCCATGATTTCAATTCCTACTATCTTCAATCCCAATGATACTGCGCATCGCCCTTCTTTGCCATTTTTTTTACTTAATTATTAATTTAACGTCGCGTGTACGCGCATTTCCGCGAGCACTAATTTTTTCAGAGAGCATGAAACATTCACCTGTTCGTTCTCTCGGGATCAGTGGGATAAGTTCGCCTTCGGCCGGAATAATCACCCAGCCCATGGTGTCAATCACAATACGATAGGTTGAGATCAATTAAGATCGCGCATACTACTACGACGACGTCGTTCAATTATTGTTGGGATGTAACTCTGCTTCACACGAGAAATACGAAAACTTAACTGCAGTACTAGGCCTGTGGAGACGGTTTCGCGCGTTTTATCGTTTCTTATCACCAGTGATGTCTACCGCTCTCTGCCGCTTCGCGCGCTCATCTTTTTTTCTCGTTCATTTTAATGCACGAACAGATCGAAACTTTCATTGGCGAAATTGGAAATTCGAAAATTCAATATGCATTAATCAGCCCCATGATTGGCAATGAGATATAGCCGACAATATTATTTATTAGTAAATAAATATGCAATCACGTTGATAGTTAATACTCATGATTTTAAAGTGCTATGAATGAAGTTTTAAGTTTTTGTCGTTAAATATTTTGTTTTGAAAAATCATTAAAAAGTTTGAAAAACACAATAAAAAAAAATTAAATACAATTTCTAGAAACGTTATAGTTTTACATCAGTGCATTTTTCTGAGATTATTCTAATATTTTACGCAACTGAATAAGCCGAAAGCACCGTACAATATTTTATTGAGCTAATTTGTCGAGTTATATTTTTTTATTGCCTATTCGGCTTGTTCGAAGCTAAACTTTCGCATAGAGCAAAGTTCAATTAATAGATCTATGTAGATATCAGTTGATTTTTATTTCAAGGTTAGGCAATCAAATGCGCGTGTACATATTTCTAATTGTTAATGATTGAATCAGTCATATTAAATTTATGTCAACTATACTGATACACTTTTAGAACTTTTAATCGTCTGCATGAGTATGCAGTAATCTTTTATGAGTGCACACGCACATACATACTATCCCATAATAGCTGGTCGCGTGACTATCTTTCGCTTCACTTTTATCCGGTTTACTTTTTTAGAAGGGGATTGTATCATCTTCTTCTTCTTGTTGATACGTTCGAAAGGTCGACGTAATTTCTGCCGCGGTATTGCCAGCATTGGATATATTCGTGAACAGCGTACGAAAGGATTTGGATGTCCGTTTTACTAAACGCGAGAAAGGGCTTGCTTGCCGCGCGCGTTGCCGGTAACGAACGGCGACGCCGCGCCGAAGCGATAAGGGCATTCCGCGACTCATTAACATTTCGACATTGCGCGTGATTGGCAGGGAATCGATTACATGTTCGGCATAATGGGCCACCCGGTGATCGAGCTTGCCGTAATAGCGCAAGCCACGGGCATCCGCTACCTAGGATTCAGAAACGAGCAGGCCGCCTGTTACGCAGCTCAAGCCTACGGATATCTCGCCAGTGAGTTCTCGCTCGATTCCCGATAAAACTCCCGAACCACTGTCGACAAATGATCGTTCAACAGAGAAACCAGCGGCAGTGCTATGCGTCTCAGGACCAGGAGTTCTCCATGCACTCGGTGGAATGGCAAACGCTCAAGTCAACTGTTGGTACGTGATCTTTTGCTTTTCATTGATCGAATCGCACACGTGCACGCGCAGCGTCGCTGTTGTTCCTTTGCGCCTGTCGGCACGGCAAAGCTTATCGTGGCAATTCAGATATTCCTGTTTCCGCGTTGAGCCACAAAACTAACTGTAATTGTATATATTAAACGAGATAATTTTTTAATGTCGTTGAGTATTGTCAGTCGAAATCTAGGTGATATAACGTACAATACTTTATAACGACAATTGCGCAGTTCCAGAAAAGAACCGCCGAGTCTTATTAGTCATCTCATTATACTAAATATAGTAATTTTTAAAACTTGCCTAATTTTATTTCAAATGGAAAGATGAACATTGCTTGCCATTTATTCTACAATGTGTACATAGTTACTTCTCGAATTGGCATCTTAAAAATGGCTATCGGAAGTTTCGAAAATGAACCGAAAAATAGCACAATACCGGAATATTCTGTTGGGAAACTTAATTGCCGAGGATGCAGGCTTACCTAGCCGTCATAAATCGTACCGAAAAGTTTGGAAAGTAAAAATTGAATCAAAAGCATTAAACGAATTGTTTTGACGGCAGGCCAGTATTAGTGCTCGGGGGTTCGTGTCCACAGGATCACGAGGGTATAGGCGGCTTTCAGGAGTGGAACCAGGTAGAGGCAAGTCGGCCTTACTGCAAGTACGCGGCCAGACCCCCATCGGCCGCTCTCATCCCTATGCACGTTGAGAAAGCCATTAGACTTGCGACCTACGGGCGCCCAGGTATGACGGTCGTGCCCCTCCCTCCGTCCCTCCTTCCGACAGACGCGCCGTGCTAATGTCCCAGGACTTTCTCTCGTCGGGGGGATCCTTTTTTTCTTCGTCACGTTCTGCGACGGCTGTGTGGATTTTTGTCAGGATTCGGTTAATGGGATCACTAATTTTGCTGAATCGCTTGCCAACATGGACAAACAAGGCAGCTTCGAGCGCGTGCCCGGTATATATATTTTCTCGGTTGCAATTGGCCGATCAAGCAGCCGAATTGCCTGTCATTTTTTTTATAATTCGATTGGACTCGTGTTTTCTCAAACTGCAACAAGACAGACGGTTTTCAAACGCGAAAACTGTGACTAATGCAAACGCTGACACGCCGTTGAAAATGTAAGCATCCGTTCTCCAACGACGAATATATTGCCCGACGAAGGTCGCGTCAGCTCGGAGACGTAAAACACGGACGGTATAATAAAACTATTCGCAGAGAAAAGGAAAATCCAAGCGGCAGTTGGGAAAGCAGTTTTTTTTTATACGTTGCTCGGTTCGTCGTGCTTCTACCTTCTCCAAATGCAAGCGACGTTTCGCTAACTAAGATGCTTCGCACGCGCTTGCCGGGTCGTTAAAATAATATGTAACGAGGCGCTGCAACGAGAATGATCGGCGACGGACGTAGGGCAAAGCATATATTGATCTCAGTTGTATCGTTCGACGAAGGTGCCGCCTACCTGGACTTGCCGGCGACTTTGTTGAAGCAACGCGTCGACCAGGAAAGAGTGGCGAGAGTGATGCGGGTGCCGCCGCCACCGCTGGCTTATCCGGATGTCGAGCTCGTCGAGCGAGCCGCCGATCTGATCGTACGCGCTAAGAAGCCCCTCGTGGTCGTCGGAAAAGGTGCTATCAATGCTCGCGCTGCCTCTCGCTCCTTGCCAAATGAAATTTTCATCTCGCGATCCACTTGGCGCTTCAGGCGCTGCGTACGCGCGAGCGGATTCGCAGGTCCGCGAGCTGATCGATGCGACTGGGCTGCCCTTCTTACCAACGCCGATGGGTAAGGGTGTCGTGCCCGACGACGATCCACACTGCGTGTCCAGCGCCCGATCGGCCGCTCTTCAGCGGACCGACGTCGTCGTACTCCTCGGTGCCAGGCTCAATTGGATGTTGCATTTTGGACGACCGCCTAGGTATCAGCCTGATGTCAAATTCATTCAGGTTCGTCGAATTCTTTTCTGCAGTGTGCACTTGGCGGCGTTGATCCATAACGTATTGCTCTTCCGATAGGTCGATATTTGCGCCGAAGAATTGTATAATTCGGTTTCATCCGGAGTGGGAATTCAAGCTGACATTGGTCCGGCAACTGGAATGTTGACGAACGTTTTGAGAAGCAAGGGATACAATGTGTCAACGAACGATCCCTGGTGGCAAGAGCTTGCTGCCAAGGGAAAGAAGAATAAGGAAGTCGTTGACGTGAGCGATGCTTTTCTTCAAATCCATTTTAAAGTGATTTTTATTTTTATTTTCAAATTTATTGGTGTTGTAGAGGATGTGCATGGATATAAGAGAACCTCTAAATTATTATGCAGTCTTCAAAAATATACAAGAAACAATTCCAAGTAGTGAGTAAAGTTTACCTAGGTAAATAGTAATCAATTTGAAACACTAATAAAATTGTGCTTCTTTAGATTGTATAATATGTTCAGAAGGAGCAAATACCATGGACATTGGTAGAACCATATTGTTGAATAATTTACCAAGGCACAGACTTGATGCTGGTACTTTTGGCACTATGGGTGTAGGATTAGGATATGCAATTGCAGCAGCTCTCTACTGTAAAGATAATCATCCTGAAAAAAGAGTTATTTGTGTCGAAGGTGACAGTGCTTTTGGATTTTCTGGCATGGAAATTGAAACAATGTTCAGGTTAGTGGAATTTTTTTCATGATACGATGAGTAAGGATAATTAAATGCCAATTAATGAAATGAATTTTGTTACAGATACAAGTTACCAATTATTGTTATTGTTGTAAATAATAATGGAATCTATGGCGGATTGGATAGCAACACATACAGTGACATTCAGGCTACTGGAGAGTAAGCAATTCAATAAGTCTTCATTATTTTTTTAATCAAACTTATTTTTACAGCTTCGCAATAACTGCTTATTTACTTTCAGTGTACCACCTAACACATTAACACCTAATGCACATTACGAAAAAATGATGGAACTATTTGGGAAAAAAGGATATTTTTGTAAAAATGTTGACCAAATCAAAATTGCTTTGAAAGAATGCTTGGAGGTATTTTTGATTAATTTTGTACAAACTACTATAAATAACTAGATCAAACATTTGTGTTCATTTTGTTTTTTGTAGGTAAAGGATGCTCCAAGTCTTATAAATATAATGATCAATCCTCAAGCTGATCGTAAAGAACAAACTTTTAGTTGGCTTACTGAATCAAAGCTGTGATATGTTAGTGGTCATCAATATTTTTTTATGCTCTATAAAATAATTTAATGGTATTGCTGGTGTACATGAAGTTGTTTATATGGTTGATTATTAAATAAAATAACTTTTATTTTAAAAAGAATGAAAAATTGTTTTAATTTACTTAGAAAAATGTATCGATATTTACATAATTATTCACAGTAGTATTAACATACTTTCAACTCATCTTAATGTACGTTTAACTTTTTTTGTAAGTTTATCAGCCGCAGCAGCCACAGAAGTAGCATTTGTTGAAACTGTTGCTTCTTCACTTCGTGACTCTTGCATAACGTTTTCTCTGTTGGATTCATCTTCTTCAGATGCATTGTATTCAGAAGCATTTTGTTCAGAAGCATTGTGTTCAGGTACATTTTGTTCACAAATCTCTTCATCACTTGATTCTACTTGAACATCAGCTAAGTCAATTCCAGCTTCCTTAGCAGCTACCATTAATACTTCATTTACCATTTTTGCACTTACAGGTAGAGAAGCATCTTTTTCTAAGATATTATGCAGAGATTCTACCTCATTTTTGCTACAAATCAAATTAATAAATGACATTATGTTTCAAATATTAACCTGTTAACGGTTTTTGAATCCTTACAGTTTATTCATGTTCTTGTTAATTTCTGCTAAAAGCTTTTGGATTTCAATTTGCAAATCATCAACATTTTCAATTTGAGACATCGTTGTTTTATTCAATTGCTGTATTGCGAAATAAAAACTCGTAACAAATAATACACGAACTTTAAATGTCACTATGCTCGTGAGCAAAACATATTTGGCTGAGGGTTAACTAAGGGTTATTCATGAGTGCAGTCATGCTGGGAACGGGCGAACGGGAGTCAACAGGACAACAGCGCTGGGAGTCAAACATCCATGGAGTCAATTCAAAGATGAAGAGAGGTTGGTAAGGTAGAATTCGTCAATAATCGAGGCTCGACCCCATATGATTTCGATGGTCGGTAACACCTACTTCAGATACTCGGAGTGTACAGGCCATAAATGCAACGAGCGTGCGTTTTGTTCAGATCTTAAAAACTCGCACCTAGATATTTTTTTTAATAGTTCATCATTGCAAGTAATATATTTTATTAATGATATTCGTCCACAGATTTACTCCTTAAAAAAGCAAATTAAACCTGAGATCAACTAACGGCATTCAGCATAAAACTGCATAAAATCGCAAGGATATAAATTATTTATCAAATTTACAATATATTTTGGCCCACGATTAGAAGCTCGCGGGTTACTAGTTGGAGCAATATCTGTTGCACTGGCTCGTCTGGAATAATGAACATACATATAATTTGATAAGGAACAGGTCAAACAGGTAAGTCTCTTTCGCCAATGACTTTTCGTTCCGATGGGAAGATTTATTTCACGTAGAATACGTGACTACCGCAGTGGCTGATTCTAATAGGGGATAAGTTTATTTGTTGATATTTACGTGTTTTTTTAAAGCAAATCTGCGAAAATCAAGGTATGAGGCAATAGTGTTTTTCTATTTCTCTCTCGATCAATTCTCAGTTCTCGCTCTCTCAGCCTGTGCTGTATTATATAGCCATAGCATAGCTGCATAGGTGAAGTGAAGTGTTACACACTTTTTTTTTAGATAGAGCGGTGAGTCTTTATCTGAGACACCAATATGTCAACACGCATGTGTGCGTAAACAAACTGTTACACACGCTGTAACGCATATGGCCGCGAGCCTTTAATCATAGGTCAAAACCGTATTACATTTTTAATTTAATAAATAATTCATTTACTTGCGATTTCATCCTAGATACCATTAATTCATTTTATGTACAAATGATTGGCTTGTTAATAAATTTTTTTATTAATTTTTCTAATATTTTAGCTCGATTCAAAATTAAATGGGGGGTTCAGCATCTAAAATTTAATTTGCTTATTTTATTGGATAAATGTGAACGAACAAGCAAATGTTATGAACAAAATTTATTGCTTAAATAAGTAACTATCGAATGATATAATTATTTTTTCAAATAATTAAAAAATTTTGACTGCTAGTTTTGAAGATTTATCCTACCGTTCGCAGACATGTCAATGCCATTTGATCGTAGATAAGTGAACCACGAGAATGCCCAAATTCGCAGAAATCACGGGAACAGAGGTCAAATGATGACGATGACCTGAGAGTTTTTTATCGATAAAATAAATCATTAAAATTACCAATCGTGTAAGTGAAAAAAAAATTTTAAATGAAATTTAAATATCTTTATAATTAAAAATTTACGAATTCTTCAGCGTTAATAATAAAGAAACAGGTAACAACATTAATTATAAGAGATGAATAATTCGTAGGTGAAATGTTTATTTTCCATATGTACAAAATATAAGGTTTAGGAAGAGTGAAAAAATGATATTTCCAGATGTCTCGTAATATCGGCGCTCACATCATTGAAAGCACATATACAAAGTCTACTCTCACATCTGCTTTAATAATCACAGTGAAACTGTACTTATAAAAAAGTTCTTGACTCCATTGTTTTATTGTTTTTATTGATTTCTTATTCTGCTTTAGATTTCGTATCTTCTTTGTAGTGCAAGAAAACAATGGTGAAAAGAAAAACACCACCCATCATCGAGAAGGCACTGATGTAGTATGGGTAAGCACTGGGAATAAATCGTTCGTATTGAGTATGTTGAAGTGGTCGAACTGACACTTGCGTTGTGCTGTAGAGGTGTGTAAGACCGACGCGGGTATAATCAACTTTGAATTGATAAACACCATATACATCTGGAATTTTGAATCTCGCTTCATAACGACCGTTTGATACATGCTTCATAGTTGTCCTCACAAATGGATCGATTCTGACAAATTCCAATTGTAGGTCGTTAGTTATAAATGGTACCCACTTATCACCTACTAATTTTTCAATATTAATGGAATAAACTACATCTTCCATAATGGTGTAAGCTGATGGAGGTTGTGATTCTCCAAGCTTGTGATGATGAACAAATGAAACTCTGATTACTCCGTTCTCTTTGAACACCCATCTTGCCATTGCCTCAGCTACAACTTGGTTGCCTGAGACTTCATGCTTTTTAGCATCTAAAAAGATATTAAAATACATTTAAATATATAAGTAGTCGTGATTAACTTTCAACAAAAAAAATATTTACCTTGAGCTTTCTGAACAGAACTAGTGAAAGCCTCATCACTGAAAAAGTACAATGATCCAGAGAACAAAACTCTAGCATTATTTCTGGCTTGCAGAGCTGCAATCAATAAGGTATTCTTTCCAACAGCATGTGGGTATTCCTTAACAGCTTGATCAGGATTGTAAGTGTAAGCAGAGCTAGATGCAGAAAGTAATTTCAACACTAAAGGATTATCTGCATCTGCAATCAATCCTGTTCCCTCATATAGAAGAGGTGCTACATTCTTGTTGCCAACAATGACTGGTGCATCAATCAAATTAGCTGGATCAGCAACGATTTTGGTGTGACGACCAGAGTCTGAGATGTCGTAATTCATATGGTCAATGACAGTAGCACCATCTTCATCGATTTCAAACCCACACTCAGATGCCAAATCCCTGAGAGCATCTCCAGAGTTGGATGCACCAGCAACCAAAACATTACCACCTCCATCAATGAAATCAGTTATAGCATCAACGCTCAAAGCTCCTCCAAATTCTTCTACAGTTGGAGCAAAAATTATGAGATGCTTGTACAAAAACTCGCCATACTTGGATAGCACTAAGTTTGCATCATCAGCAAGTTTGAATGTAAGAATGTAGCCACTATCTGAAATATTTATAATTTAGAAAATATACTTTTTAAATTTATTCTTATAGAACATAAAAAATCGCGCGATTACAAAGTTTGGTGGTTATGGGATTGAAATAAAGTAGTAGAATATATGTTTTAAAAAACCCGTCAACTTTCTTAAAATTTTTTAGAGAACTACACAAAAGCGAACAAATCACTTCAATTTTTCTGAGCAATTCACAATTGTACGTCGATAATCAATAAAAATCATTAAATGTCATGTTTGAATTACTTCGATTAAAATAATAATAAAACAAGCAAATTTCACTAAAACTAAGTTGTGAATATGTTTTAATTGAGAAATAATACACCAAACAATCACTTGTAATCAAAAATCCTTATCACACAGGACAACTGACCTTGCAAACTCTTGAAGAAGATTGAATGAGTTTCCTTCACAGCGAGGTTGTCAAGAAGCACGAGGGTAGGTCCTGCGGCATTCACTGTAGAGATCCCCAGGAGGCAAGCAAATAACACACTCGCAGCTCTCATTTTTTGTTGTGAATTTGTTAATTTATCAACGCCGGCTTTATTCAACGTGCCAAAACCAAAGAAAATACACGTCGGCACAGCAGTCGACCAGCACTCGCTTGCCACGAAGCCGCATCGACAGCTGCGCCTCTGGCGTGAATTTAATTTTTTTCACTTTGCGGGAATTTTTAAATTAATACGTATGTACTAACAGTATTTCATTGTTTATTACTTTGTGTAATGAGACTAATACGTTGTTACTCTTGTATTTTCGAAAGGAATAACCGAATGCCTGGTAAGTAATATGATGAAGAAAATCCTGTTAACATCAATTAATTGCACATAATAGAGGTAACTTTGATTGAATTCGACTTCAAAAAAATAAAGACCAAGTTCTTATTATATAAACACAATGATAGGTATAACTACTAAAATCTAATTAAATGCAATATCAATAACTAATAAATCAACGATTCTATTTTTGTTAAACGGAAGACATGCAGCACACAAGAAATTAATTTACGAAACAAAGGAAACGAAATGTCGCGCATATCGCGAGTGAATTATCAAAATGAATAAAAAACAAAAAGAAGAGGAAATCCCTATCCGAAGGAGAAGGGGAAAATGTAATTAATGAAAACGGAGTATGGTGTGTGATTCACGCGCAACTGTCGTATATTCGCCGCGTGTGCGTGGCAGCCGTAGAGGGAGGCGTGACAGAGAGCACAAGATAATCCTTACAGCAAATCATACGTGCACGTACACACCCACCCACACGTATAATCTTGTGTAGCTCATGTGTGAGTGAGTGAATGCAAGGCGCGAGAAAGCGACTAACGACGACGTCGAACAGAGCGCTGAGCAGCAACTTGTGTCAAAACGTACTCGTGTCAGCAGCCAAGGAGACATGGAATCGTTGCCGGAGACTTACGAAAGCGTGCTTCTGGTGAAGCAGGAAGTGTTCGTCTTTAAAATACCACCAATGTCGACCAACAGGGGTTATCGGTAAGAAGGATTCTCGAGCTTGTCATTTTTTTTTCGACCCTCATTGTCTCTGTTTACACCTTGTCTTCCTGTTGCTATCTGTTTTCACCTTAATCCTTGCGAAATCGCTCTTTCCACAGAGTTTTTATCACGAAAGTCGCCTGTTTTCTCGTTATATGCATCTTTTTCAGTAAGCTTTCATATGTGGTTGGTGGTATCATTGTATTGGCATTGTTTTGATCAGAGTGGGTTGATTTATTCATTATTGTGTGTTTACAGAGCTGCAGACTGGAACTTGCAAGAACCTTCATGGACGGGACGTATGAGGGTAGTGGCAAAAGGTGATGCAGTTTGTATAAAACTAGAGGACAAGATCAGTGGTGCACTCTTTGCCAAATGTCCTATCGAGGCATACCCTGGTATTGCTGTGGAAGCTGTGACAGATTCCTCTCGTTACTTTGTCTTAAGAATTCAAGATGATGATGGCAGGTCTGCCTTCATTGGTGTAGGTTTCCTCGACAGATCAGACAGTTTTGATTTGAATGTTGCACTTCAAGATCACTTCAAGTGGTTGAAAAACAGAGATCAAATTGAAAAGGAGAAAGAGGCACCTAAGGAACAAATGGATTTTAGGTTTAAGGAAGGAGAAACTATCAAAATTAACATGAAAATTACTGTAAGTATATATCATTTGTGAATATTTCAAAATAATTATTAGCTGATCATATAAATATTTAATTTTTCCTATTGACTTTGAGTTAATTATAAGATTGATAAATCAGTTACATGTTATATATACCTATATGTTGATTGAGTAAGATGAAATAATTATGCTAATTTGCATCAATTAACTTTTTGATTTTATACTTTAATTTAATAATCCTGACATTGAAAGTGCAAACATATTTGCTATATATACTTAAAGAAAAAAATTATACTTTTAGAAGTTATTGAGATAATATTTTTGTATGTACATATGTATGATAAACATGTTCTAAAAATTATATTTTTAGAAGCTATTGAGATAATATTTTTATACGTACATATGTGGCACAATATTTTGGTGATAAATGAATGCAGTTTGCTCTTCATTATTTTATCTTAAGTTTTTGATAACAGTCAACAGTTATGATGTCAACATTTATCTATATTGATAATTGCATATTATTTTTCATTGTTTTTGAGACATTAAATTTAATTTTTTTGCTTGTTTGAGTAAATGACTTTGACATTTTGAACATTTTTACAGAAAAAAGATGGCAGTGAAGTATCTTCCAAAGCAAAACAACGACCAAGTACAGGAATAGGACTTCCGCCACCTCCTGGGAGTGTGAAAATAGCTCCACCACCTGCAAGAACACCAACTCAGTCTCCAGCGCACAAACCACAAAATAATTCTAGTGCAGCACCTGGTGAATGGGGTGAATTTGCCAGCGCCTCTCAACAGCAGAATACAGGAGCATCAGCTCCAGCGCCAGCACCTGCGCCAGCTTCAAATGCTAGCTGGGTACAATTCTAATAAATGTTCTGATTCCAATGGAATTGCGCATAGCTGCACCATAGGTTCTTGATTTATGTATGTATAATTTATATATAAATATATATATATATTTGAAATAGCAATGTTATGCACACATATGTGCAAATACTGCTTGTAAGCGTTTTAAAATAAGTATGGTATTGTTGAAAAGGATGGAAATGTGGATGCATGGTCTTGAGATTGTCCATATATTTAAGATTAAAAATGTTTCGCTTTGAGATGATTCAGATAAAAAAAAGAGGAATAATTCATGATTTTGCATTTAAGTGGCAAACTCTTTGTTCTCCATTTTACATAGATTTCCCAGCTTTCCTTTTCATTCATACTGGATTTCTAATTGCAGTATTAGCTTCACTTCTATTTTTTGTATGACATTCACCCTTCCATTTTCTGAACTTAAGTCGCGTGTAAGGCCTCAATTGATGCCAGAATATATATCTTCAAGTTTGTACATATTATTGTAATTGAGAGTAAACAAAAAAATATCTATCAAATAATCAATAGGCCTACGTAGAAACAAAAAAGAAAAAAGAAAAAAGAAAAAAGAAAAATAAATATTAAAACGCGCGTTGAAAATAATGTAAACAAAAGGAAAATGAGAGCATTATTATCGTGGCGAGGCGAGATGACTATGTTGTATGCTGGTTCGAAAAAAATGACAAAAAAATATTACAAATAAATGATTCCGTGATCATTATTCAGTATAGCACACTGAATAAACGTGTTAAAGCAAATCAAGATGTTGTTACGTCGATCATCACTGTTGTAACTAGTATGAATAGGCTAAGAATATTCCAAATGTGCAGAAAATTATGAATGCCCTCGATATATATTTTCTTCAAATATAGAATAGATCTAATGATGACAAACTACAATCTCATATTTCTTCGGCACCTTTTACCACAAACTAATTATTTTCGGAGGGTGAGGAAAAAGAAGCAATACACTGAGTAACCGTTCATCAATAGTTTTTATTTAACAAAATTCAAGTGTATCCAGTCGTCATTACAAATATCCACGAGATTCAAATGAGAGCTATGCACTCAATAGAGGAGCGCATACGGGCGCGCGCGCAATAAAAAAACATCGAGCCAATAAAACTTATTGCTCCGCGATGGCATCCATCGCTTATTCTTTTTTTATCAAATTTAGCCGCTTAATATTCTCACTACTCTTTGACAATTGACTCAAATACCACTCACGCTCGATCTATATTCCTTTTCGAATGTGTGAGCACATGTATTTATAATTGTCCTTAGACGTTATACAATTAAGTACAAAAACGAAAGAGAAAAAGAGATGATTTGCGCGAAAAATCATTGCGGTTTCTTGCTTTGTTTTCTTATTGGATTTTTTTTTATCTTTTGCTATCACAAGAAGAGACGAGATGGACAGAGACAGACAGTTGGGTTTTTCGAAGAGAAAAATTCCGTAGAGGGAGAGAGAGAGAGAAATATAAAGAGAAGAAAGCAATGGTTGCAGCAGCAAACGCATCATCAGCGCTTACCACGCGAAACATTTAATCGGAGGCTACGCATTGCCATCGCTCGATTGAAATGACGTTGACCCGATGTGCGTTGCGGCTGCTCTGTACTCATTGTCGAGTCCTCTTCACACTCGACGCTGCTTAGCACCACTAGCAGCACACCAAGGACCTGTTGATAGAAATAGTTGAATGTTGTTAATTATTTAAAATGAAATTTAGTCGTGCTACGACGTATTTATGCATTGACTATTTGACTTTTAGGTGCAGAACAAGAAGTAACGTCCATTAAATTTTTCCGATGCAAATCGAATTAAAAACAATCGGCACTGTTTGTCGTAAAAAAAATTATTCGCACGTTTTACAAACTCGTTTTACCAGCTCGTTAATCGACACTGTAACTACTCGTTCTAATAATAAAAAATCGAACGCTCGAAATGTGTTCTTTTACGTGTACACTCGCGCTTATCGATACATTGATCACGACGCGCGCGCGTGTACGGGCAGGTAGTGTAAAGACCATTACCAGACACACGATGATGAGTAGCGTGTACACGTGTATGCTGGCCACTGGAAGCGACTCCACCTCTTTGAGAGCCTTCGCCGCGTCGACCAGGTCAGGCTTCAACTCCAGCGCGTGTCGCAGGTGAACCGCCGCCTCTTGGAAGTGCCCGTACGCCTGCGCGGCAAGATGAGAGTTGCAGGTTGTCATAAGCGCGCCTGCGGATGCACTCTTGGCTGGCGAGATTGAGGGGAGCGCGCTCGATGACGCTCCAGCGCGGTCACCAACGAAAATCACTCGCGTCCGCTTTCCTCGTATAAGAAATTTATCTAACGTGATGTAATGAAAATCTTAGGTCTTAGCTCGCGATTCGTCAATTCTGTTGTCTTTGTTATGACCTTGTTAATCATTCAGCCGAGTCACTATAATTACTTTCTCATTGAAATTCGCGCCTCGCCGATGTGGTTTTCAACAGTCTCGATGGAAACGCCGACGACGGCAAGTCTCCCAATCCCCGCGCCAGCCTGCTCGAATATTTTTTTTTTCACAAAAGAAAGCGAAGCGCGCAACGAAAAGAATGCCAACGACATGCTCTTTTGTTTGACCACGCGACAATACGAGAAATCCTTTGAAATAGATCTCGTTGGGAGGATAGGGGGGGATAAAATGTAAAGGCTTAATGCAAGCAGAGAAGCTCATACCTTGAAAATCTGTCCAAGCGTGAGATATTGTTCCCACGCGTTACGATCGGGTGGTTGTAACTCGAGAGATCGCCTTGCCAGGTAAGATGCGTCGTCGAGATACTCGAGTACAAGGAGCACGCGCGCGAGATTCAGCAATACCTCGGCATTGTGCGGCGACACTGCCAGCGCTCGGCGGAAGCACTCGATCGATCTCTGCGCGTTGCCCTTTATACGCCAAAAATTGCCGATTTGATTGTAAAGCTGTACCGACTTTGGCTTCTGTATGGAGGATGGATCCTTTATTAGTTGACAGATGATGATTGGGATGCTCGGAAGAGCGTGCAAATCAAGAAAAGATGTCGATGCTCGCTAAAAACTCAAACTCGTCTCTGTCTACTGGGATTGAAGCTACCACGCACGAGGTGTCAGAATACGTGTCGATGTTTTTGCTTGCGTTGCACTTTTCGTTCTCGGTATAAATTTGAGTCGTAAAACGATGTGGATTGCCGCTTGGTCGTGCATAAGCAGAAGCGGCACAGTATCGCGTTGGTTTTCGAATAAGAGAGCTACTTTCGGAGCCAACGACAATTGATTTTCCAGCAATGCTTACCTCTCTCTTGGCCCTCTTGAGCCGTCGCTCAAGCAAGTCAATGTCGAAGTCTGTGACCTTTTCCTCGGACTTTTTGAACATGAGCACGACCCCGGGCTCGGGCACAAGCGGGTGCTTATTCCGATTGGCCACCCCGAGCAAATTGTCGTAGTACGTGAAGTTGACCGGTTTGCCGCAGTCCAGCACGACGTCGTCGCAGCTTTGGCCCGGCGAACCGCAGCTCAGCTGCTGCTCGGTCATCGAGCTCGTCGTGAAGCTCTGCTCCGTGACGTTCAGCGTCGTGGGATACCGGCTGCACGTACGGGATTGTTTTTTCGTTTGTTTTCGCTTAGAGCAATGCGCGTCGACTTTCTCGTTTATTTTTATTAATGGCCACACAACAACAACACTAACTACGAGCAAACGAAAGAGAAAACAAAGAACAACGTGATAGATGCTACAGCTCTGTTTGTCCTTTTTTGTTTTGTTTTTTAACTGTTTGGTGCGTTTCAATCGGTCTTTATGTGGGGTGGGATAATGGGCTTGGGAATGGGGCTGAAAAAAAGATAACATGCCATAATTATTATCATGCTTAAAAAATTATAAAGGGGGATTTCGATAATAATGGATTTTCGTTTTCAAATTAAAAATTGTAAAACAACTGGTCGACAATCAAATTAAAACTATGCGTTGTGGGTACATGTAGTGTGCTAATTGTGATGAAATAAGTGGAGTGTGATTAATGTATGTGCTATACAAATTAATAACGAAATAATTTTTATCTTGACACCTATAATGAATTGAAGAATTTGCTTTAATTGCGCTTCATAAAATAAACATATGATTGTTTTAATAATGGAAAATGTCACGTCAATCGTCGTTATTTTAAAGATTATTTTAAAGATAGGCAGCAATTTCAAAGTGTTATTAATCTGATCAATATGGAAACAAATAAAGTTGAAGTTTGTCCCAAGCTTATTATCAAAATCAATAGATCAATGGAACTTAGCACTTACTAGGTGAAATTTATGATAAATATATTCCATGCATAATAATAAAGAAGCGTATACCAATTAGGGTAAAAATAGAAGTTTGACATGGTCTTGCATACTTTCTACAGAGATTGTTGCATATCAAAATATATTTTTTTCCATTTCTATCATGCGTTCACTTTTTCAAATGTAAAACATCAAATTTGGAATCAATTAAATTTATAATTAGCTGAGTACAATTGGCCAAAATTTTGAGAAATGCTTGCATTACTCAAATTAAAAAAGTTTTCTGGAGTTTGGTAAATGCAGTAAAATTCAGTTAGCAAAGTTGTGGCATTCTGACCATAGCTACATATAAAAAAATTTTGTTGTATCCTAGTTATAGTTTCAAAGAGACTGAAGACCTAGTTTGCCTACAATATTACAATATTACATACTGCTCAATGTATATTAAAGCTATAAACTTAACAATAAGAAAACAAGGTGCAAATCTATTTGTCACTGTTTAATAACTTTCTCATGCAACCAAAGTCATGCTTTATTTTACACTCTTAACAATCTAATTATTTTGAAGTTGATTAGTTTTTGGAATACAATAATAGTTAGATTAACTCTTGAAGATTTATGCTTAGATTATATCGCTATTATATTTGTCATATAAACAAGTATTCTCATAAAATTTTCACAGTTAAACAGCTGCTTTTTTTAACTTTATTTGACCAATGACAATTTATTTTTCTTTAATGCGAATCAACAAAGTGCACAAAAATCTATTCGACTGTGACAAAATCTTTCGTCGTTATCATTATGGTAGCACATCTGTGCGAACTCCAAAATCCAAATAACAATTCCAAAGCAACAAAAACAAAAGGAGCCATGTACTAGTATAGAGCAACACTTACCTCTCCTGTGCAGCAGCAGAAGCCACAAAGCTCTTGCATTCGTTACAGTAGACCTGGACTTTATCAACTGCAGTGCCAGTGCCAGTAGCAGTTCTGGTCCAGCCTTGTCCATTACCAAGGCTCGTGCTACCCGTGAGAATATCGAGAATGAGATCATCCTCTTGCTCGAGTGTGGCCGGTACGCTACTCTTGACCAATCTATCGGCGCTCAATCGCCACGAGGTTCGTGAATTAGAGAATTTCACTTGGAACACTAGGAAACAGAGCGCGTAGCTGGCTAAACAGCCTCGCGCCCCCATTTCCTCGATTATTCGCTCTTGTGCGTAATTTACGTTTTTTTGGCCGACGACGACGACGACGACGACGATGTCGTTGTGGTTTCTACGATGATGTGTTTTGCCTCTATCAGACTCACTCTCTCTCTCTCTCTCTTTTTATGCAAGGAACGCAAGTGCACACACTGAGTCGTTGCGTGCGCAACTGCAAAGTCTTCTGCTCGCTCACTTCAAGCTGCACGTATATGTATGTACTTATGCGGCGAACTTCAACGAGATGAAGTTTATGAAGTACAACTTACGCTAGAACTAATTTATAAGCTCTTTAATTTCACTCTTTGCATGTTTGATGAATAAGTCAATGTTTAGATTGAATGTTAATTTGACAACGAAAGTGAATCCCTTATGCTTTGGTTATGTTTTACAGCTGGTCGAAAAATTTGAATGTAACTCTACAATGAGATTAATGAAGTAAAAAGGTTCACACATAGATTTAACACAAGCACATGGTATACAGTCGTCTGCTAGTGAAAACAGCGCGACTACAGCCGTGGTGGCAATGAAGGTATTTTCGTGAGCGAGCTCATCATTCCATCGACTCGCGTCGAGCTGATAGGTGCATATCTGTATATCCTTCTAGGCTATTCAAAAATGAGTATCGTTACTTGCATCGCACCAATTAACATTGCAGTTATCAAATACTGTGAGTATTGTTGTTAAATTCAAGGGAATTCCATTCCTTAGCCTCACTTTTTTTCTCGTTTTTATTTTGACATTTAGAAAATTGATTATCGCTTAGCGTTGGAATTTCTCGAATGCAAAGTGATTTACAGTTATGTGACACAGTGTATAAGCGATTGAAAGTGTTTCGACTTTCGACGATAGTTTGTCGTTATCGTTATGGCTTTGCATTTTTTATTAAATGTTTTCAAACGATACAAAAAAGTTCTTTAAATCGACATTCAATTAGATAGTTTCATATTTTTGACATGTTTTGTAAATGAATAAATTATGCTGATTTAGATTGTACTGAAAGGAAATCTTTTCTGAAAAGAATTTCACAGTTGAAAGAAACTCTTTATGTTCTGAAAATAACTTATCTATTTTAAACTAAAATATCTGTTCTATTCAATTTTATTATTCACTCTTTGATAAAATTTCTTCAACTTAGAGAGAGTTGTCGATTTTTAAATTTAAGTTTATTCATTAAATATAGAAATTTAATATAGTTTTACAAAATTTCTCTTATTATTTTAGGGGGAAAGAAAGATGATAATTTAAATCTTCCAATCAATGATTCCATTAGTGCTACACTAGATACAGAGCATGTAAGTTTAATATTTTATATAATTTAATTATTCTATTGTAAAATATATATTATGAATTTAATCTTTGCAGCTCTGTGCCAAAACAACAGTTATAATTAGTCCAGATTTCAAAGAAGATAAGATATGGCTGAATGGAAGGTAAAATTTGTACATTTAATTGTGCTAATATTGCTATTAGAAATAAATAACTCCATCATTAACATCTGATTTATTTTAGTGAACAAACAATGGATAATCGAAGATTACAAAACTGCTTACAAGAAAGTGAGTTATGCTTAATAAATAATTAATAAAAATAATTTTATTTATACTATATTTATTTTCCAGTGAAAAAGAGATCTCAGCTATCTGAAGAAATGAAGAACTGGAAAATTCACATTTGCTCAGAAAATAATTTCCCTACAGCTGCTGGCTTAGCTTCTAGTGCTGCTGGTTATGCTTGCTTAGCCACAGCCTTGGCTAAACTTCACAAAGTAGAAGTAAGTAAAAGCATTTTATTAAGTAATAAGAATTAAACTAATTTTATTTTATTTTAGGGAGATATCAGTGGAGTAGCAAGAGTTGGCTCAGGCTCAGCTTGTAGAAGTATTTATGGAGGATTTGTTAGATGGTATATGGGTACTGATCCACAAGGCTGTGACAGCATTGCTAAACCTATTGTATCTGCTTCACACTGGCCAGAAATGAGAATTCTAATTTTAGTAGTAAGCGATTCGCAAAAAAAAGTGCCTAGTACGACGGGAATGAGAAGGGGTGTGCTAACTTCGAAATTTTTGAAAAATAGAGCTGAGAACATTATACCGGCTAGGATCGAAGAAATGCACAAAGCGATAGTTGATAAAAATTTCGAATTCTTTGCCGAGCTTACCATGAAGGATTCAAACAATATGCATGCTGCTTGTGTAGACACTTATCCGCCATGTGTTTATATGAACGATGTTTCATATTTGATTGTAGATCTTGTTCATACTTACAACGCGATTAGTAACAACACGAAGGTAATTTTCATTGTTATTTATATTTTTAAAGTAGTCAAGTCCCTTAGTACTGTAAAAAAAATTTCCTTACCTCATTTACATAAAAGAGTTCTATTATAAATCGCAGATAGCTTACACTTTTGATGCTGGCCCAAATGCAACGTTATATTTGTTAGAAAAAGATGTCGCGAAATTTACTGGTGTCCTTAATCACTATTTTCCTCCAGCGGAAAATGTTGATGTTGAATATCAGAAAGGAATACCTATTGAACCTGTTAGACCGTCTGAGGTGAGTTTTCCGACATAATATTAATTATATTAATTTCTTACAAATTATTTTGAAAATTTCAGGATACGCTAGAAAAACTGAATCTTACAAAACATTTGCCTGGAAAGTTGAAGTACATTATCCATACGCGAATTGGTGATGGGCCAAAGCAATTGAGTGGCAAAAACGTGCATCTTTTAAATGAACATGGTTTACCTATTAAATTATAAACTAAATAATATACCTAATATTAAAATATGTAATATTTAAAAAATTTTAATTTTAAACTATGAAATTTAAAAGAAATGTTATAAAGAGGATTTTTTTACAGTAATACCTGTTTTTCAATAAATTTTATACTAAAATAAATTTTTATGTACTATTTATCATTTACATATGACAATCACCTACAAATCAATCTTGAGTTAATTACATATACTACTTTATTCATCACCTAACCACACAATTCGCCTTTCTTAAATTGTTAAGAAAGGCTAATCTTACTATAGCTTTATTATATATCACGTCGCCGATAACATGTTAGCTCATCTCGACGGTCTTTTTACTGATTGTATTTATAAATACTGCGAGAATTGAGTAAAATTGATTGTTAATAAATTGAAATATAATAGTTACACAAAACGAATTTAAAATTATCCATGTTTTGAAACGTTTCTATAATATTTTGTAAAATTTTCACCTGGTAAGAAACTATTTTCAACGAATGTATTTCTTTTGTGTTTTGAATATTTATAAATTGAACAGTTTTTGTTCCAAAAAAATTCCACGGCACGGAACGTCCAAATATTCTTCAAACTCTTTTACGCCTTTTGAATTTGATTGTTTTGAAATTGATTATTAACAATAATTTTTCGACAGCTATTGATCGATAACACGCTTATCGGCAATGTCGCACGTACTTGCAGTTTTTTTATTATTTGATGTCCACGTCTGAAAATAATCAGGTAACTTCTTTATCAGGTTCAGCGATAAAAACAATTGTCATGCTTTTAATAAAACTGCTGATCAGAAATAAGGTAAGCATGAAAGCAACGCCATGTAAGATAATGTTATATTAGTCGAGTAGATTTTCAGGCTGGTTACACGTATATACGACGTTAATCCAAACGCCACGGTATATTTGTTATAGAACAAGACGCTCCAGAACATTTCGCGACTATTGTTCACTATCTTCCATCAGCAAATATTACTGATACCTATTATCACAGAGGAATTCAGATTGAGCCTGTTGAATCCTCAGGGGTCGGATTTTATTTTCTCTTCATTCTAACTCGTGAGATTAGTGTTCGACGCTTCTTTACCTTTTAGGGTATTTGTTGACAAATTTAGATCTCCGAAAATAACAGCACAGAAAGCTGAATTGTGTCATTGTTACGGTAATAGCTTCGATAATTGGATGATAATGAATCTTCTGGATAGGGGGTTTTACCTATTCAATGGTGTAAAAATAAACTGCGTACTTCTATGACAAATATAGCGATTGTTTTGAATACATTTTTGGATAAATAAAAAGGTACTCACACATTTGCTATCATGCAGGATTTCATCGAATAAAGAAAAACACCCCAAGGAAATTTCTCTTTCTATTATTTATGCGTGTAAAATTAAAAAAAATTTTATCAAACGGATGGTGCGACTTTGTGGTGTATTTGATTTTCTTAATTTTTCCAAAACGATAGACGAGTTTTTATTTCATTTCAAAAATATTAATTCAAACGTATTTATGTATTGCATTTGTTCAAAAAATTACGATACGTATTAACTAAATTACAATTTTACTTCCATAACACTTCAAATTCTCTGACTAGTAATTTCCTTATGAATCCGTCGCCATTTATCTTTAGAGTTTTCTAGTTCCTTTTCTATCTGCTCAAAAACACAACCAATGCGTGCAAGTTCGGAATATATATATTGGACTTTAGCAGTCGACAAGTGTTGTGATTTAGGTTGTGTTTTCTGAAGAATGCGTTAAAATATTAAAAACAATTATATTTATACAAAGATTTTTATACTCATATGTAACATAGAAAATATGGAAAATAATAATTCCGATTCAATGAAAAATGAAAAATGTTTGAATAATACTGAACCTATATTAAGTTTAGAACAAAGTACACATCCTATTTCAGGGATAACATTGAGTAAACGTCAGTTAAAAAAAATAAAAAAGCGTGAAAAATGGCTCAAATTAAAGCCAGAAAAGAGGTATTTGTTGTTTTTAATAATAGCGATTTGTTAAGTAGATTTCCAACAGAAACAGATTTGATAAAATACATTTTTAGGTTGAAAGAGAGAGCAAAAGCAAAAGAAAAAAGAGCGTTTGCCAGAGCTCACAATTTAGATTTAGGACCATCGAGAAAGTTTTTGAAAATGTGTACGATGGCTGACAGCCCATGCAAATTAAATGTGACGATTGATTTATCATTTGATAATCACATGATTAGTAAAGATATTGCTAAATTGATCAAACAAATATTAAGGTGCTATACTTTAAATAGAAGAGCAGTTGCTCCTGTACAGTTTTCTTTGTGTAGTTTTGAAGGAAAGTCGTTTGAAGAAATGGGTAAGCATAATGGATATGAACATTGGGATGTGAGTAATAAACTAAAAAATAAAAATTTCACTTTTATTAAAGGAATTCTGAAGAACTAATTCTATTGTGATATTTTTTAGGTGAAATTTCATTCAGAAAGTTACCTAAATGTTTTTCCAAAAGATAAATTAGTCTATTTGACAAGTGAATCTGAAAATGTAGTTGAGGAATTGAATCATGATCACATTTATGTGATTGGTGGACTAGTTGATCACAATCAACATAAAGTGAGTTTCAATTATTGTCAATAATCTGCGTTTATAATTTGAGTATTAAAAATCGTTGTAATAGGAATATTTTTGTAGGGTTTATGCCATAAGTTAGCTGTTGAAAATAGCTTAAAACATGGGAGATTACCATTAGACAAGTTTCTACAAATGAAAGCAAGAAAAGTATTAACTGTTGATCATGGTTAGTAAAGAAAATTTTACAAAGTATAATTAAATTCATTCCAATATCATAATTTAGTATTATTTAAAAAATTATGTTCTTTTAGTTTTTGAGATTATTCTAAAAGTAACAGAAGGAAAGACTTGGCAAGAAGCTTTTTTACAAGTTTTGCCAGAGCGTAAAAATGCCCAACTTGTTCCTGCTGACGTTGACACGACGAATTCGAATGAGTCACAGACTGAAACAGAAGCAGAACAAAAAAAAAACTGAAACGAGTTAGCAACTTAAGGATTTTGAGAGAATTCTTGTAAAGAAAATGACAAATATTTTTTAAATTGATTTTTATTCGAATGGATCTTGAACCTATTTGTCTGAGTTGATTTTTATGACACACACTCTTGTTACATAAATATGTTGAATGTTTTTTTTTCTGTTTGCATTGGTATTCGAGTGTACGACAGAACTGTACATACGGTTTATTGTTTTTTTCTTGTAATCTTAAAAATATTAAATACGATTATGCTACTTATGTAACTAAATAGGTATGTATGTTTATACATAAATAAATAAATTTGATCTATCCGCGTTCAGTACTACAGACTTGCTGCAGAAAGTAAGCAACATGTGTTTTGTTGCTCCCCGTCACACGAAAGTTTCTGTATGAAAAATTTAAGCGTTAAAATAAAATCGTTATAACTTCGCAGAAAACGTAGTTGATTATATCGAATCGTTTCATAATTTTAAATATAATAAATTCTAGAAAATAAGTCAATCAAAAAACGTAGTACTCTTTCCACAATAAAATTTCATAGTTTTGTCGTAAAACGCATGATCAATTAATGAGAAAAAAAAGATAAAATCAAAAAACATTCATAAAGGCATACGTACGTGATAGGTACATACGTAAGAAAGAAGTAAAGGGTAGACGAGGACATAGAAAATTGGGAACGTCATACACATCGGTGAGAGTAAGTGCTTTGCAGAGATAAAACACGACACGTCGCGACTTTTTCTTTCTTTTTCTCTTTTTCACAAAAAAAAGCAGTAAAAGACACCTACAGGCGTCGGCGAACAAAGCCAGGTACATTTTACACAGATTGATCGACGGCCTATTATAGAATCCCACAAATTTTTTTTTCCTTTTTTTTGTTTTGTTATACACAGACTCGCGCGCTCTCCATTGATAGTGCCGGAACAACAATTATTATTGATTGAATCTCACGATGTGTTCGCAGCACAGCGTTCATCGGCCAACATTTCATCATACGTTCTTGATGTTGGCTAATTCACGACTGTCGATGATCTCGAACTCGCTTTCTTCGCTATCCTCGCCGGTATCGACGATCTCAGCGAGTTTTTTTGGATTTATTCGAAGATCAACTTCATCATCCGATGAGGAACTGCTGCTCTCACGTTGGAAAGGACCGCTTTTAAATCGGATACCGTCGATATCGGTGTCAACGCTGCTTAACTCCAATTCCGATAATTCCAGGCCGTCTATACTGCCGTCATCATGTGCTGGCATTCTCAAGCCTACGAGTTCCTCGTCGAAGTGATATGCTATAGAAAAAAAAATAGAAGAATCGTTAATAAAGGTGAAGAAAATACTGATCGACAAGTACGGAAGTAAAATTAGAAAACTTCTGTAACCGAACGTACGCTTTCAATATTGACTGATTGAATCAATGAAATTGCAGTTACTTCAAAGTTGTTAAAAAGCTTTTTTCGATAAAAAACTTTGGGAAAAAGTTTTAAGATAAAATTTTTTTGTATTAATTTTAATACGACATTAATCAACTCCATAACGGTTATTTACATGATAGTTTTATATTTAACTGGCAGAGGAAAAGAAAAAGTTGATAACATATTTTTTCTCGAAGTGTAATATGCAATAATATTTGAAACACTGACAATGACATGTTATTTTTTTAATGCAGAAATATTGAAACAAAAATAATTTACCAGGAGACGGTTCAGAGCCTGAACTCGGTGGTGTTGGCGAATGATCACCTGTTTCACCAGCTCGTTTTAATACTTGAAGATTGTCCTCCGTTACCGCTGGTAAAAATTCTTCGATCTCACTATCCCATTCTATCAGAAGAAGAAATATACAACTTTGTCACGTGATGTTCTGTATATCAATGAAGATTACGTATGTCGGGACTCGGGAGACAGGAATTTCAAGCTTGAATATCAGGATATAAGTCGCGAATGCCTCACCTTTACTGTACAGCTCGTCACTGTAAAACCGATGCACGAGCGTGGGTGCGATTAAGAACGTCATGCACACAACGTAGGCAAAGAGAATATTGCCGAGGGTGCGTGCGATGAACCACGTGACGAACACGAGGGACAGCAGCATCACACAAAACTGCGAAGCAAAGAACGTCGTTAATCAATTGAGTAATGTTTGCGTTGCGTTTAGCAAACTTACCGCTCGTGGCTGCTCCTGGTACACCTCGCGCACGTAGTCCCACAGCCATTTGACGTGCTTCATGAATTTTTCGAGCTGCGCCGCTGACTGCGACCTGCAAGGAAGATTGTTTTTTTTTCTCTATTTAAATATTTGCCCGGCGTTACACACGATCGAGATACGTTAAATTTACCTCCTTTTTTTCTATTTTTCATTCGCGCGAGAGCTCTATTTGTAAGATCACTGCTATTTATTTGGGTTCTTTTGCTGTCGTTTTGCTTGATTTATTTTTGCCAATTATTTTTGCTTAAGGAATGCGCGCTGAATATTCTTTGCTCCAAAGGCGACCTTCGGCTGAGATCTTTTCATTTTGTTTTTCAGAAAAACGCACCTTGGACAGCCGGTAATTGAACATTTTCTAATCACATCGCAATTTGAAGACGTTGATCGGAATTTCCACGACAACAATTTTTACGTGAAAATAAAAATATGAAAATCACGTGACCCATGAACTTTAGCGTAAACGAATTATTTGAAGAATACCAAAAACAAAAAAATAACCGCAAAAGTTATGAGCGTTGAAGTGAGCTTTTGCACGAGGCATTGAAATATCGACGTGCTATAAAAATTTCGCAATGAGGGAAAAGAAAAACAATCTGCGATTAAACTAAAAACAAGTCTATTTACACACAAACATGCCTCATATTTGCTCACAAGAGATAGCCTCGGCATATATAATCCGCGCATTAAGTTTTACAAAGTGAAACGTTCGCTAGAGTGCAGGCTAAATCAGCGAAGACTGACACGGGGGAAAGAAGAAGAAGAAGAAGAAGACAAAAAAAGCCAAATAGAAGCTTTCAACTTACATTCGAGCGGTGAATTCTAGGTCATCGGAGTTCTCCAGTCGGCCGTAAGCGATGGCCAAGGCAAGAGCGGCACTGCTGGCCGCTAAGATGCCTCGCACTTCGAGAGCCATGAATCCCCTGTAAAACGCAGATATGCACCGATCGTAATTGCGAGACCGACCGACAGCGCGCGTTCACGGGCAGCCGCGCGCGATTATTAAACTTTGCGACGGCCGCTTTGATTTCCCTCGGCGAGGCTGGCTCAGCGGAGAAAATCTGCGCATCACTCGCCGCGCTTCGGGCACGCTTTTCTTGGACTCGCGTTTTCTCGGCCGTTCGCCCACGACGATAGATTTGCGTCTGCTTACGCGATTGTTCGTTTGGTCCGTTATCGAGGGCCATCCCGAAATACTTTCTTTCGCGACGGAGCGCGCCCGGTTTTGCATTTTTTTCCTTTTCTCCCGTTTGTTTGCTTTAGCGCTGTGCCTCGCGAATGATACCCTACATCTGGATCATCTTGGGATCGAATTAATTCGCCAATTGCCGTGGTTTCTCGAGAGTGAAAATAAACGCAGACCGCAACATGATTTTGTTTCAATTTTATCGTTGGAACGTAGCTACGTATTTGTTTTGGTTCGAAATTACACGTAGTCCTCAGTTCGAAGATTTTCAACCTCAATAGTTTTGAAATTATGCAAACTACATCGTCATCGTACTCGAGTATGATTCCGCTTGAAAATCACGAGTTATAATGCGAGCTCACGCAACAATTTAAAGTATGACAAATGTTTGTCGTCCTCAATATCGTTCCGAACCCAAAATTACGTTAAAAAATAACAAAAGCAATCGAAATCAACAAAGAAATACCACAAGTGATACGCAACGGAAAGAAAAAGAAAGAAGATAAAGGGAAAAAAAAGGAATAAAGACGATAAAATGAGTTAACCGAGGTATCTAGTTCCACGTGACCGGAAGATATCAGCATTGAAAACAATAGTCCGCCTGTATATCAAGTTATACACGCGCGAGTGGCCTATCAATCGCGAATCCTCAATCGAATTCTCAGTCGGGAATTATCTCTCCGCTCTGACGCGGTTGAATCAAGGTCGGCGCTTATATACAGACGCCTACCGTCGATAAAAGGAAAACAAAAAAAACGAAACAAAAAAACCGTCGAAATATTTCGATCATCCACTCGCCGCGACTTGCTGATTTAGTCCATTGTACTTTATTGAAGCTTCTCGCTCTCCTTCTCTTTTTTTTCAAGAGCCGCGCACTAAGAAAAAAAACCACAAAAAAAAAAAAAAAACGCGAATCTGCACTTTTTGTCGCACTCACGCCGAGCCAGGCCGTGTCGCGAGGAAAATGGAAACGGCGAATTCAAGGATTTTATAGCGCCTTAGAGGCTCGCTCAAACACGAGGCGCGTTTACTTTCGATCTCGTCGAGTCGAAGAAGCGAGGAGAAAAAGAAGACAATCTTTTCGCTCGATCGGAATCTCCAGCGCGACTGAGAAATGTGCTTTGCGTATTCTTCGTGGATGATGCAATTGTTGGACGCGTACTCGCGAGGGGCCTGAAAGGAACAAGCGTCCGCAAACGGAGACCACCGCCGAGGCGGAGAAAAGCCGTGGTTCGGCCGGTAATTGCCGAGCGCGAGTCTCCGATACCGCATGGACGAACGGTCCGTCAGTCGAAAGCAATTGCGAGCAGAGGAGCGTTTATAGCGCGTCAATTAACGTTAGATTTTGCTACGCTGACACAGTTATGCCTTGCGAGGCAACGCCCATTTTTCGTTGGATAACGGTAGAGCGACGACGATCTGATTGCAATTACGAGTCGATCGCGGTTGGCGAGCTAGAAAGAGCGTTCGATAAATTGGCATTCTAGAAGGTGCGCGTGCGGAAGCTCAGCTCGTAAAACGAGGAGCGCGGTGGGCCGCGGAAGGGCCGGTGTGAATGGGAGCAGGAGGATCGATATCGCAGCTGCCAAGCCCTTGACCTGTCGCACTTGTTGATGCCGCGCGATTATACCAACCAGAATATGACGTTGAAGACGACGACGCTGGAGACGCACTTCTCTTCGCCGCGAAGCGCCGTCGCCAGAGCGTCGTAGTACTGCCTGACGACCATCACCAGCGCGCACTGGCACCGGCTCAGTCTCCTCTGGCGCGCCTCCTGCTCCTGCAGTTCGCGTGCTTTGCGCTCGGCCTCCAGTCTGCGCGCCTCGCAACCCGGCCAGTAGTTGGCCAGCAATCTCGACAGCCGCTCCATCCTCGCCTACCAACGGACAGCGCTCCTGCTTCTTCTTCCCTCGTCGCCTGTCGCTAGCCTCGCCTTACCATGACACGCTGCTTGCTTCGCGGCACCTGCGAAACGAGCGGAAAGTTCGCTGGGCGAGTTGTATTTTCGGACGCGCAATGTCGCACTCTTTCACCAGCGCGCTTTTTCAATGAAAAAGCCGCGTGACGCCGACTGGCCTACATCCAATTCGCGACTGACTCTCGCGTTAAATTTAATCGCCTCGGCGACTGCAGCCGATCCATCGACGAGTATCAATCCTCTGCGCTGCGTACGAGCACTTCCGTCCCGCGCGCTCGCGGATCATTTTCACTTTCTTCGCGTTCTGTGCGCGTCGCCTTGCGCAAGCAACTCCAAGCTCGCCGAACGAAGCTCCACGAGAAAGCGCCGAGCACTCTAGGCGAACGAACGACACGGCGCGCTCGTGAGCTCGCGCGCGCGCGCAAACAATCGATTAATCTTCAACGAGAACGATAACGCTCTGCGTCTCTCGCAATTCATCCGCATGGCAATCTATCATCACTCGTAGCAAAAGGCACGCGCGATTGCGTCTCAAGTGCAACGCGACGAGCCTCCGGCTTTGATCTCGAGCCTCCGTCGTCGACACCCGTAGTGCCACACTCTCTCGCCAGTCTGTCTTTCCAATGAACAAGAGGTCGGATTACTCCTTGTCGAGGAACATTCGTGAAAAGGATCGTCGCCGTTGTCGCGAGTATTGCGAATTTTAACGCGACACCTTTATTGCCGGCCGGCGGAATGGCAAAAATCGCGAGCGAACGACTGCCGCGGCGAGACTTCCTCAAATACCGAATAGCCGGAAATTTCGCATATTCGAATTTTCACGGGAGTGAAACTTCATCGATTAACGCGTACGAAATGCGATTACAGAACGAGAGGATATTAAAACGCACGTCGCAGGGTATATACGTGTTTTGAGAAATAGGCTCGTCAAGGTAAAAGCTTTTAAAAAAGAATGGCGCGCAACGAGCAGCCGCATTCTACACAATCGAAACATGCATATATATACCTACACGAAAAGGTAAACACACGCACGTAAATCTCTCACTCGCATCCTTAAGTCAAACTTTTACACGATCGTTGCGAAAAGAATTAGAAAATGCTACGTTGTTGCGATAATACACAGAAAAGAAAAAACTGATATTTTAATAAATGCAAAGTAACACAACCGCGCGCGCGCGCGCGCCTTGTGAGTTCAACGGTATTACGTAACCGCGAACTTTTTTATTTCTCGCTTTTTCACTCGGCGTGATTAACAAACTAAAAAAAAATAACAAAGATATTTGCATACGCGCGTGACACGCGGGGAGGAAAAATCTACGCACATCCCGTGGTTCGGTCTGTACAGCTATCGAGCGCCGTTGAAAACGACGCCTGGACTCGATGTCGTGTGCACCTTGCTAAATTTAAAAGTCCAGCCTAGTATGCGCGTCACTCCCACACACTCGCGCACACATATACAACACAGCGTTGTATCAGCTGACGCCACTCTCTCTCTCTTTCTCTCTCTCGCTGTGTATGTGTGTTGCTGGGTTAGCGCCTCTCTCTCCCTCTCGCTTTGCGAGTAGCCAAAGAAAGCCTTTGTTCTCCAAAACTTGAGACGCGCCTGTGCTTCGTTCTGAAAAACGACGACGCAGCTCGCTATCCGCCACACGTGACGCTTGACGGAGAATCCGCGCGCGCGCAACCCGTCGACAACGACGACGACGCACTACGCACACAAAAACAACAGTCGTCTAACTTCTGTGATTGCTAACCGCGCACACTAACTAACTACACACCTTTGTTTCTCGTTTCTCCGTCGCCTGTGACAATGGACGAGATCGGACGCACTGTGACACTACGCCAACGAGAAGACGACTCGCTCAGAGTATTCGCACACACTCAGCAAACAGAAAAAAAGGAAGGGATATATACAGCACAAGCGTGGCGAGATCGCAGCCGTATCTCTCTCGGAGCGCTTGCCCGTGTCTCACCGAGTACTAAACTGCAGTAGCGAGTCGTCGCGCGGAGCAGGCGCCGCCGAGCGGCATGACCATGTGGTCTTCTCCTTCTCCCTCTCTCGCTTTTTTTGCTCTTCCCAAACCAACGCGGAGAGAAAGCGTTGTTTTTGAGTTTGTTTCTTTTCTCATTCGCACCCCTATTTGTGTGTGTGTATGTGCGCGCACACACATGTCTAATATATATATTTTGGCGCTTCCCAAATCTTTCCAACCAACATTTAAACGAATTCTCACGAGAGCACATTCTGCGCGAATCCTTTGGATTTTCCAGAATCGCGGATCGCGATCCTCGCTTGGATTATCGATCGAAAAATTAGCTTCGCTTCGTCCAAATCTCAGCGATAGAGCGCTCCTATTGCCGCTTTTCGCTCGTGCGTCGCGGCTAATAATTTCGCTCCCTGTTAATCTACTGGTCGTCGTCGTGAACGATAGCGCGTTGAAATTTTAGAAGCTGCGGTTGAACCTTGGAAGGTCCGCGGTGACGTCACGATTTATATAAAATACGCATGTGCCGCGAAGCCGAGGCCACGCAGTCAGCGCTCGATATCGTTTTCTTTTTCTCTTCTTTCTTCGCGATTATCTGCGCTCACGCTGCGCGCTCCTTCCTGGATGCGCGTGTTTGCTCTCCGCGCGCGATCATGCCAAGAGCCCATTGAAGTGGCATTGCCTTATCGAGCCCGCAGTTGCGGCCTGAAGGTGAGCATTCGAGATCGGAGAAGATTGTCTTTGGTTATCGGTGCGCTGTGTTTACTGATCTGTGTACGTAAACACGCGTCGCTGTCTGGCCTACTTCGTTGAAATTGGGTGAAGTTCGTTTATCGCCCTTCCCACCTGTATATATATCTATTGACGTTTCAGTCCGCACGGACAATTATTATTCATCCGACCATCGTGTATATACAATACGAGAATACACAATCCGACAATGAACAATTGTTTTCGGAGAACACGTTTTTTTCAGGAAAGGAAAAAAAACAGCCGTGCGACCTTGACCTTTCCACAACGAAGAAGGCATACATACATAAATTAACGCGGAGTGAGAATTTCCTCTCCATCGTTAATTGGGAAATGAGCTACGCAGTTAGAGAAAACAGGTTGATCGTTTAGGCGAGACGCGCGACATCGTTTCATCGTTAGCAATGCAAATTCACGCAGAAACATTTGTCCGAGCAGGTTAGCCGACAGGTGAAAATTGCGCGATGGGAATTCCGCTGGAAAATCTGGCCTGAAAAAGTTTATCGCGCGAGCGCGCTGAATTCACGAGGTGATTGTGACGTCGTCAGACGTGACTAATAATAAGCAGACGTTATCTCCGCCGGATGAATGCGTCGTGGGGCGAGTATACCGCGTGCATTCGCATTTTTGCCGTCGCGATTGCGTAGCGGAGCGCAAGCGCACACGCACACGCAAATAAAAGAAAACGAAACTACGGAGGATTGCTCGTCGGCGAGAAGGTGAGTCATCTCGCGAAATCAAGCAATCCGACACCTACCGACGCAGCTCGCCCACGAGCGCAGCCCGAAAGCTTTACGACGCGTTTCTTAGTCCCGGCGACGACTTCCGCTTGGCTCTATTTGTCCGCAACGCGACGCGCACCCGCGCGAACGAACGCTCGTGGCTCGTTATCGGCGCGAAGGACGGTAGCGCGAGCGTACGACGCTAATTAAATCGACAGTCGAAGGCAACAACGCGTCGTACGATGTTTGCTGCCCCCCCCCCCCCGACTCCCCACCCCATCCCCGCGTGACGCAGAACTGCGCGCTGCTCGAGCGGAAGGGAATTGCGCCAGACTCGCCGCCGCGTGCGCCGTCTTCTGGCATTCGACAGTTCGTCAGCGAAGGGCTCTCCCGAGGCGAGACTCCGCGGGCCTCGCTCGCCTGGGGTATCGATCGTCTGCGGAGCCCTTTAAAATTGGCTGCGCGAGAGAGCTTTAATCTTTCATAAAGGGAATTCGTGGTCGGTTGAACTGGCTCGGAGCGTCTTTGTCCGCGGCACGCGCGCGATGAGTCACGATTGCGCCTGTTGATGTATCGATATCGCTGGCATTGATCGTCGCTCCCCAAAGTTTGCTGGCCGCGGTCAAAGAACTCTGGTGGCTCTTCCCTTCGAGCGCTTACACCTGCGCACAGACCGGCGACTCTGTACGACACGCGTCGACATGGCGAACGGCGCGTTTAGCCATCGAATCTCTCGCGGGAGAAGCACAGCAGAAAAAGCCATGCCTCGTGCACGATTGCGCAACGCTCGCGGCGCGTCACGTGCTTCGCGCGTCGCGCACAGCCTCCGAAAAACATAGCCATATATACATATGCGCGTGGAAAAGGCCAAAAAGGAAAAGGGGGTATACACCCCAAGGACGTTTTGTCACGCTTTTCGGACCTTTCACTCGAAACGCGCGACCTCCATAAATCTATAGAGCGCCTTGTACGGAAAGTACATGTACGAGCACGCAGACCCCGATTTTCCGTCCGAGACGTTATTCTCTCTCTCTCTCTCTCTCTCTCTCTCTCTCTCTCTCTCTCTCTCTATATATATATATATATATATATATATAGTTGCTTCTATTTAATTTACCAAAAAATATGACTCGTCGTCGTTTTTCCTTTTTCCCGTTCGTCAGCTTTTTCGGCGCAGATAAACAAGCGAAGGAAAGCACGAAACCGCTCGGGAAAGCAGAAATATCTGCCCATTGCGCGCCCAGCGGGGACGCAGAAATTGGCTTGTCAAAACCCCCTACACACATGCTGAGTGCGTAATGCGTTTAAACGCGTTCTCCGCGGAGCCGACGAAGATTGTGCTTTGCGCGGAACTGCATTGCGAGCGAGGCGTTCGCAAGATTTGAAATTGTCTGGAATTTCGAAAAGGAAAGGGTCTGCGTGAGAGAGTATCCTGTGCTCGATAGGACTCGTCAAACGAAAGAGTTATGAAAAAAAAATGGGAGGAAAGAAAAGAGAAAGCGGTCAAACGGGACCCAAGGTCCGACGGTCAGTCTCGAGCGCTGCATAGCGTCGACCGCTTATCAACTCAACGCCTCAATGATTTTGAATAATTGAATCGACTGCGTTTAATTTTATGTCTGATTACTTAATCCGTAAGCACGCATATACATCGCCTCTGAAGCGTAAAGTACTCGCGTGCTTCATTCGAATGCTCGATGCTAGCGTCAGTGACCGAAATTGCAGCATATTGAGTTACCCAACCCTGGATGGAAAAACGCGTCTGGCTGCCTCGCGTTTTTTCAGCAGATGTTTCCGGTATTTTCGCTTTGCTTTATGAATGCAAAGACGTAGTGGATATTTATTAGCTTCCAGTAGTTGTATATCATCGTTATCCGCGTCAAACAAACTCTATATTCTATTCCAAAATTACATAATTGTCACGGCTCTTATTTACAACACTGGTTGGGAAATAACTTTAAATCTTCGATGGACAAAAATGACGATTAAGATGTGATTCGAATCGAATTAGATTGCCTGTATAAATTTAAAGGAAGTCGTAAAACGTATTCTCAGGAAGAAGCAAATGATTTGACAACAATTAAATCATTTTACATATATATTTCATGTATACAATTATCATGCGTAATTACTTAGCACTGTTTCAAATTATTGAATTCCATTTACGCAGATGTCCGAAACAATGCGACGTGCACATGGTATAATATTTACAAGTTTGAAATTCGCGGGCAAGAAACGTATAGTTGCGCAAGCGTAATAACGCCGGCAAATTGGAAATCCCCTAGTAAAAATTCTCCCTCTGTTCGCGGAGAGGGAAATGCGTCTGCTAGGTATCCGCCGCAACATTCATAAAATAGGCAAAAGAAAGGCAGAACATTTATAACCTCGCTGACTCGCTCTCACATACACACATATATGTATGTACGTACGGTTCAGTGTCAAATCCTGTATACATGTTATATCGCCTGCGCGCAGCCCATTCACGTTTTTTCTCATATTGCGCATCCGTCGCCCGCCTGCGCAAACCGAGACGGCTGCAAATCCGCATGTGTCGTGAGAGCAGCAAGAAGCACAGCTCACAAACTTACACTGTTCCGATTAAAAATGGAAGTTTGGCCTCGCCGCGACGACGACGACGACGACGTGGCGATGTGACGTGCAAGGTAATAGCTACGGCTCTCGCTCGCTCTCCGTCCCTCTCACACACTTTACTTCCTTCCTTTATTCACTTCCGCGCGCGGCGAGCACATCCGCCTCAGACAGAAAGAAAGAGAGACGGATCATATCAAACCAGACGACAACGCGGCGACGGCCAGTCGCACTCTCAGATGTGCCATCACTACGTTGAGTGATTGATTCTGTTTTGTTATTTTGGTTTCGTTTTGTGCGATCTGTGGTTATTGATCGGCCTTTTCTCCTTTTACTATTATTTTGAGTGTAGTCTTTCTATAGTTCTGTATTCTCTATTGTGAATATCAACTTTGTTTTTTTCTTCTATGTGTATGTATTATTCCAGCATTGTTTTTATTACGCTTATTGTTTTGTTTGTCGTACTAGAAACCAGTTATTGTTGATTCGTGTTGTTTTAGCTAAATTTTAATTGATATTAAGTGATAATTAATGGTAAGGTTGTTCTGATTTCGAGTTTGAAGTTGATTATCTTTGATCTAATACAATAAAATTTAGGATGATAGCTTAGTCACTAGATTATAACATTAATATTGTGATATTTGCAAATTGCTGTATAAGTGGTGTTGTCAATATTGTATTTTAGGGTAATTGTGATTGAAACCAGTCTTTTAAAATGACTTTTTTCAATTTTTTACAGAAGAGAAATCTCAGATTGAAGAGAATAAAAATATTACATTTGTTATGTGCCACCAAAAGAGATGCCATCAGAAATAGGCATCGAGGACATGTTGACTAGGCAGGATGATGAGACTAGAGAAGAATCTCACATGGAGACTGGGATTACTTCGTTGGATAACACCAGGCAGGAGGAAAGTAACAATTGTACAGAGACAGCAGAAAATGAAATAGCCAACACTAGAAATGATAACTATACCTACAATAATGCAGACGAAGCAAGGAATTTAGACAACACCTTGCAATCATTGAGCCATGAAAGCATAATTATGGAAAATGGTTCTAGTATCTGTGAGACTGTCAACGAAAGATTAAGAATAATGGAAAATGATGTAGAGAACAATGTGACTGAGTCATTGAGATGCGACTCTGAAACTCAGAGCAGTAGTAGTATTAGTAGTAATGTTGCATCTAGTGCAGTCAGTTCCACAGGCACAACCGATAATACAACGCAAACCTCATCGCAAGATACTCAAACTGATAATGTTCCACACCTACCTAAAGAGCCATCTAGAAAGAATTTCATCAGGTATCTTGAAAATAACTCAAACAATGCTGAAGGTTCTCAAACCATTTCTGCGGGTAGCTCACTGTATGACACAAACAGATCCAATGACACTGACTCAACAAGAATTGAGCCAAATGGTGATTCCATTGATGGCGCAGCCTCTTTACCATTGCAAATTCCTGTATTGGATTCTTCCTTGAATGAAGGATCTTCAACTTGTGATAATGACATTGTCCTGGTCAATAGAAATAAACCATTTCAGTTGCCAAGTTTGGTGAATCTTTACGAAGCAGCGGAGGCGCAGAGAGCTGAGTTTGAAGATCATGATGTTCTTAATGCTATGTCGTCCATGGATATTGATGCTGGTTTATTTGCAACTGGTGAGAACAATGGTTCTGATCCTGAATGCCAGCAGTCTACTGATTCAAGAAGAAATAGAAAGGTCAGTTAAAATATCCTATAGTTTAATATAAACAACATATATTTTACGAGACATTTTTGTCATTTTTAGAAAACAACAGATACAAATGGCCATGCGCCATGTGAAGGAGCCGAGTACTACCAGCTCTGGCGAAGTACTGGTGGTGTTTCCTCGTCAGACTTGGTTTACGATTCCGTATACCCCAACCCTCCTCCTCTACCTCCAAGAGCAGTTCATAAACCTCTACACAGAATGAACGCGCTCAAGTTGCCCAGACGGCATACGCAAAAACTTTCGGCTCCTCTACGCCCAGAAGACTGCTTTGGTTTTGAAATCGTCGATGTCGACGAAGCGTCAAATTTGAAGGTAAGTCAACGGGGGATCAATTTCCCCTTCAAAGAAACTGTTTCGATTAACCAATTTTTTACTACGATAATCGTATGACTGTACATTTAATGCTTGCAAAATTGACTCAATTAAATCACGCTTTATAACGCACGCCTTCCTGTCTGACTCAGCGCTGATTAATGTTACGAAAGCGTGTCAACGTTCGAATGCGCGAAAAAATTTTTTAGCGTGAATTCGAAAATTGAACTTTCTTCCTCTTGACGTAGATGAGAACAGCGGTGACAAAGAGTATAGCTCTGCTTAGTTCTCCGCGTTCACATCGTCCGGCTATTAGACCCGAAGTAGCTGGTACTAGTGGTCAATCGTCTACTTCATCCGAGTGTCCACCAACGCCAACCCATCGGCCGAAAGCTTTACGTCCTTTGCCCATGTGTCCTACTAGTTCTGCAGTGAATTCTACCGAAGAACCTTTACCACCTTGTAAGTTGATTTGATTAATGTAATAATTCCAATCTGCTACACGTTCATATAACTTAAATTTAATTTAGTCGATTAGGATTGTTACGTTTGAAAGATTTGTGCACATCGTAAAAATTTTTTTAAACTTGATAAGATGTCGCGCTTTGTAATGCAGTTCTTTGAAAAAGCCAATTGGTTCGTTTCTTGGTATTAAATTATCATAATAAGTTATGCTAATGATAAAGCGTCCTTGAACAGTACGAAAAAAAATTTTATTTTTATATACTTTTAATTGCTTTCAAGTTTTTCATTTAATTTTGCAAAACTCATATCATATAAAATTGCTAATATTACTTTGCCGAGAAAGTAAAATTAACAGTTTAAAAATATTGAATAATTAAATTGTTTAAACAAATACATCGTTAATACTTATTACATTGACAAAAGAAAACGCAGCGACCACTGGTAACGTTCGTTGCACTCGGTCTATTACGTGTTTATAAGCAAACAAAAAAATACAATGCAGGAAATACTCGCTTGGGATACCGATTTGTTAACATAAGTAAGTACAGTGTATAATAGAGGGACTCTAAATTCTCTCTCTGCGCCTGGATTAAATTACTCCGAAATAAAAAAAATTCACTCCAATATAAGTTTAAATGGTTTAATAGTGTTTATGTCGGAATAACAATTTATATATTATTAATAAGTAGTTTTAACAAATATTTTTTCTGATTGACAGCTTGGGAAGCCCGAATAGATAGCCACGGACGCGTGTTTTACATTGACCATATAAACCGTACAACAACGTGGCAACGCCCAGGTGAGCAAGTACAAGATTTATTTTTACATTTAATTAAATAAGACTAAGATTGAATATCAAAGAAATACTACTTGGAGTTTGCAGAGAATGGTGCCTTCCAATAAATATAAACACTGATTACTAAATCAATTAAGGCTACCATTCTCATCAAACTCCTTACCAAACAAGACATGATTACAGGTATATTGCACAAATTGAAAATAGATCTATTTTTTGTCGCAGGTGCATCGACGCGCAATGCCGGCTGCGATCTACGTCTCCAACAATTAGACCGTCGCTACCAAAGTGTACGTCGAACGATTTCTCGACCGGACAACATCGAGCGAGAAACTGTTGCAGCTGCCTCAGCCATCGCGATTTCTTCGAGTTCAAGCTCATCTCGTTCCGAAGCAGCTCAAGCATCACACGAAGCTTTCGATATCACCAACACGCCGACAGTACAGTTCCTTACAAGGCCGGATTTCTTCAATGTTCTGCACACGAATGTCGAAGCTATGGAGCAATACAATAGAAATACTAGTTTGAAGTATATGATCAGTAAGATCAGAAGGGAACCGAGATTGTTTCCTAGGTATGAGCATAATAGAGATCTTGTGGCGTTGGTCAATTTCTTTGCCGATCAGTCTAAGGAGCTGCCGGCTGGATATGAGTCTAAGCTCGATAGAACTGGCAAGGTGAGATACTTTATTTAATGCTTGAACTTGAATATTTCATGATAAAATTTGTTTATGATGAATATCTAAAATTATTCCAGAGATTCTTCATCAACCACGCTAGAAAAGCAACATCCTTCATCGATCCTCGATTACCTACCGAAGCAGCACATCCTCGCATGTTACTAGACGAAGCACCAATTCCACCACCTCGTCCACAACAGTCAATGACAACAACCGTCCCTGATATTCCAATCGCTTACAACGATAAAGTAGTCGCTTTTCTTAGACAACCAAATATTATTGATATTCTAAAGGAGAGGCATTCAGGACTCGCACAGAATATTTCACTCAGAGAGAAGGTCAACGCAATACGCATCGAAGGGACTTCCGCGCTTCAAAGATGGAGTCATGATGTACCCCTTGCTCTATTACTTAGGTAAATATTATGTGAATAATACTATGAGACCGTTAATTATAATTTTGCGAGAAAAAAAATGATAATTAGACAATTTATTAATTTAATTTTCTTTCTATTCATCTATATAGATTCTTAAAAGCAAGTACTTTTTCTTTCAGTTTGTTTGAACAAGAAATTATGTCTTACATACCGGGCAACGTTGGAAGGTCTCCAGTGAATAGTCCGCACGCATCACCGGGCTTGGCAAGAGCATCTGGACGAGCTCCAGCTCCTTACCGAAGGGATTTCGAGGCAAAGCTTAGAACGTTTTATAGGAAGTTGGAGAGTAAAGGTTACGGTCAAGGTCCTGGGAAACTCAAGTAAGATATATTAATGCAAATAGCAGTAACAATATCATAAGTTTTGAATAATAACACAATTTAAAATATTTCTTTTCAGATTACATATAAGGCGAGAGCATCTATTAGAAGACGCTTTTACTCATATAATGGCTGTGTCAAAGAAAGATTTGCAAAAGGGTAAACTCGTAGTGATGTTCGACCATGAGGAAGGTTTAGACTACGGTGGTCCATCTCGTGAATTTTTCTTCCACTTGTCACGCGAACTTTTTAATCCGTACTATGGTTTGTTTGAATACTCAGCCAACGACACCTATACCGTCCAGATATCTCCCATGTCCGCTTTCGTCGACAATTATCATGATTGGTTTAGATTTTCTGGGCGAGTTCTTGGTTTGGCACTTGTTCATCAATATTTACTCGATGTTTTCTTCACACGACCGTTTTATAAAGCTTTGCTAAGGATTACTGCCAACTTAAGTGATCTTGAAAGTTTGGATCAAGAGTTTCATCAGAGTTTGATGTGGATTAAGGAAAAAGATATTAGTATTGAGCCGCTAGAGCTTACTTTCTCCGTCACGGAGGAGTTGTTAGGTATGTAAATTTTTCATACTGATTAAGATTCTAGAATTAAATTATAATGTTGTAATATTAAGAAGATTTATTATTCTTGACGCTTAAAGGAAAATAAATTGATAAACGGAAGAACATTTATTATGTAAATACATTCAGAGCTTTAAGTTGTCTCAATATAATACAAACATACATAAAATAATCAGCAAAAAAGTAAGGAATGTTTTACGTTTGAACAGTATTTTTCAAAAATCTAACCTATAACAGCTGAATTCATGAAACAATTAAAAAATATGGAAGAAATTATTTGTATTAATTGATATTTATGTAATTTATTAAAAATAAAAATTCATGATTATTATTTGTAGGGCGAGTAGCAGAGCGAGAATTAAAACCAGGCGGTAGAAACATTCCCGTCACGGAAAAGAATAAAAAGGAATATCTTGAGCGAATCCTTCGATGGCGATTAGAACGCGGTGTCGCCGAGCAAACTGAATCTCTTGTAAGGGGCTTTTACGAAGTTGTAGATCCTCGACTAGTATCAGTGTTCGATGCACGAGAACTTGAATTGGTGATAGCTGGTGCTGCGGAGATTGATCTCAACGATTGGCGAGCACATACTGAGTATAGAAGTGGATACCACGACGCTCATCCTGTGATCGAATGGTTTTGGAGTAGTATTAGTCGGTTTACTAACGAGCAAAGGCTTAGATTATTGCAATTTGTAACTGGTACCTCAAGTATACCCTATGAAGGCTTTGCTGCGCTTAGAGGCTCTACTGGACCTCGCAAGTTCTGTATTGAAAAGTGGGGACGGCCAAATAGCTTACCTAGGTAAAAAAGAGCTATGGTTACATAATATTTGTACTAAATTTTAATTTCAATTATTAAAATATTGGTGATTCTATTTTCAGAGCGCATACGTGTTTTAATCGACTGGATCTTCCACCGTATCCAACGCCAGAAATTCTTTACGAAAAATTACTATTGGCGGTAGAAGAGACAAATACGTTCGGTATAGAGTAAGCTGTACTAGTTTTGAATGAGTTTTAAGGGTATATTACAATTTTTAATCGTAATCAAAAAGTCAAAATAATAATAAGACATTCTACTCCCGTACAATGTGTGATAGGTCAAACTATAACATCGGCATTTAATAGATTTTATTTATTTGCTAATTTATAGCGTACGATTTTTTTATCAATTTATAAATTTTATGGTGTAAAGAAATTTTAGCTTTTGGATTGCATAGTGAGAAATCAAAAAAATATATTTATGTCCATTATTTACGAATGATATGAAAACCGTCGTAACTTTTGTGTCCATGTAATCGTATGTATACCGTTGATTCCGAAATGCCTTGACAGAATTTGAAAAAATATTCTGACCGTTACACTGCCTTCATGTATCAGGGAAGATAATTAACAACGACATAAGTAAAATGACAAACAGAGAATTTGTAAAAAGTATGAAACTCGCAGAGTTCGACGAGATAATTTCGACGATAAAGGTAAAGGTTAAAAATAATTATTCAAAATACTAAAGATAGGCTACTCAGGAATATATATATATATATATATATATATATATATATATATATATATAATTGTAATTATATTGGCGCACTTAATTATGTATGTAAACTTATACATTCAGTCCTCAAAACTAGTCATCTAGCAGATAACGAATCTCTATGAAACTAATATAATATATTATTGTAAATATGAGTGATTGAACAAAAAAGTAAAAGTGCTCATCTGTGAGAGGACAAGTGTTGAGACGTTATTTAATTTTCTATTTTATTTATTGATTAGAATTATAATTTTTTGTATAACATCGATGTTTTAAATATATTGCTTCAATTGATTTTTATAATTTAAGTTGTTCAATTACCCAAGACTGATTTCTGTTTATAACTTATTTTTTGCTTTTAGCGTGTGTGTATTTTATATTGCATTATGTGTATTCCAATGTCTTGCAAACAATAATGTACGAGGATTTTATATGAGTGAAATTGATAAAAGAGTAAAACCAATTTTAAAAGAAAAAATTCTGATCTGTATAGATAAATACAAATACCATGTATTTTAATTGATCTGTAAAGATACCTTTACTACGAGTATTTATATAAAGAAAGAATATCCAAATGAATTTCACGAAAAATATAAGTGTATTTAACTATTACTGTAAAAAATTTTACAGTATTTTATAATTCGGTGTGCTTTTTATGTCCCAAAAATGAAAAATGATGACATAGAAAATACATTTTTGTACAATCATTCATATAATGAATTATCTTTGTGCGTTATGCATCAGTTATTTATAATATAGTTGAGTACATGATTCCAGTTTTGATGTATAACGATGTTAGATGCCGCCTCTTTTTTCTTGTTATTAAATAAAATAAATGATGCCTTTTGTTAAATAATTTTATTCATCACCTTTCATATTTACGCGGTAATCAATCTTCTTAATTATGATCATCATTAGTATTTGTGACAAAGGAATGTTTCTTTTCCAATTGAAATTAATATTTTTTTATTGAAATGAATAAATAAATAGTAAAAAATTAACAAAAGTCCCTAGGAAAGAATCATTCATTGGCATCTGGATTGAAGCTCTGATTAACTCACCAACACACGCAAACGTTCGCACAAAATCGATAAAGTGCACCGCAAGTCCGCAACATCCGCAATCACGTCGCTTTATGTCTACCTAAGGTTTTTATTCTAGTACAGTTCTAGTAGTGTTTGGCAGTGGCAGGTCATTACAAAGTGCAAAAGTGTATGAATGTGTGTGTGTGTGTAGCGAAGAACGCAAGTGGGAGTGCGTGCGTGAGCGTTCATAATTTTTTTAAATTATTCTGTCGCAAAACACCCTATCGTATATCTTTCTACAATTTTTGTAAATCTTCGCACCAAGTGTACATATACATATGTACTAAAGATAAAAGCATATCTGTATATAAGTAGCTTGCGTGTTCTTCCTGAGGTGCTATGCCGGCGACGCCCCATTAATCAGTACCTCAGGAGTATTAGTTAAACCGACCGTCGTTGAGAAAGTGGATCTGTGATTTGAGTGAGAATTCATTCGCCTCCAACGATTATCCACGAGAAAAAGCAGCATCATGGATAATAATGGCAGAAAAGTCATCGTTTGCGACAATGGCACAGGGGTAAGGTTATGTTATCCAATAAGTGTGCGTGTGTAGTTCGCCTTTGGATTGTTCCAAATGATGTGACTCATCCTACTTGCAATTTTTTATGTTCTTTTTTTACTGTAGCCGTACCTATCTCTTTAATAGCATTATTAATTTTATATTTTTAACTTTATTCACGTTTTAATTTGAAACATTTTTTTACTCTACTTAAAATGTAAACAAAGATTGATTTTTAGAAATTTTGTTTTACTTTTGGAAGAATTAATCATTTAGAACTTTTCATTCCTGGATAAAGTTGTAATTTCATTCAAAATTTTGTTTGGCAAAAGATTTTGCAAGCATAAATTATATTTTTCTTACACATAAGCCCTGTCTGATCTAATTTTATTCTATTCTGCTAAGGCAAATAATGAAAAGCTGAATCAGCTATAGCAATTATAATATGCTATATTTATCTAAATATTACTTTATATTACAATTAATTATAATCATCATTTTTGCATTTATCTGTATCTATTATACATTTAGTTATTAGTACCTAATATATCATATGATTTTTAGTTTGTCAAATGTGGCTATGCAGGAGCCAACTTTCCAGTACACATATTTCCATCGATAGTGGGACGACCAATCATTCGAGCAGCCAACAAGATTGGAGATATTGATGTTAAGGTGAGATATCTACCAATTAAGAGTGTAAGATAAACAAATAAAAGGAGTACATCTTTCATGACTTATTCGAACAAGATGTCAAATTATCTAAAAAATAACTTATACTAATCTTGGTGTATTCTGGGATTTGTTGTATGCATCAAAAAGTTTTAATTGCGGTATTATTATATATTTTCAGCAAGAACTTTGTGTCCGTGTAAGTTGATTTCTGGATTCACACGTGATGTCATGCACTGATAAGAAAAACTCGGTTAATGAAAAAAATCTAGTGATGCACCCTCGCACGCTTGCAAATTAGAATAAAAAAGAGAAATAAAGAGCGAGTGAGATAACAATCTATCAAAGAATTTTCACCCTTTTTTCCTTGTGACATTCAGACCATTCTAATAAGCTAGTTGATCATGTCGTGCGTTAGTGCATTATTAAGCTAACAAAAAAATAATAAAACTTTGATTTGTGAGAGAACTAACACACAACCCCTTGAGCGAATAATACCGCCAGTGTCCCTGTAAGTTTTCTCTTTGAGCGTGCCTAATAGTATAATATTTTTTGTATGTTGCGTGCTTGCCTATATGCCTCTGCTAGGAAGTGCTTGAGATGCCTGTAAGTCTAAAATGCATTTTTCGTCATTGATAGTAGAACATCTACAGATAAAATTCAATATACAGTCATTTGATTCAGTTTAGTTATGAAATAGATTGTTGTTCAGTGTTTGTGTTGTGGAATCATGACTCGTGCTCTCTAATTTATTTAGAGCAAGATAATCGTTTATCAATTTTTTCTGCAGGATCTTATGGTTGGCGAGGAGGCTAGCAAATTACGATCTATGCTGGAAATCAATTATCCAATGCAAAATGGCATTGTTAGGTAAACAGAAAATTAATTTGTACACATAATTTTTAAGCATATCCATATTGAAAATATTAATAAAATTTTAGAAATTGGGAGGATATGTGCCATGTTTGGGACTATACTTTTGGTCCAGAAAAAATGAATATCGATCCAAAAGAATGCAAAATTCTGCTAACAGAACCACCAATGAATCCAATAACAAACAGGGAAAAAATGATAGAAGTATGTCAATCTGATACCTTGAAACTCTTCAAACCTAAACCTTGTTTCTATATTTTAGAATTGCTATTTCGTACCCACTAAAAAAACTATATATATGTATATATATGTATATATATATATGTATATATATATACATATATATATTATATATATATAATATAAATATATAATATAAATATATATATATATAATATAAATCAATTTGCAGGTAATGTTTGAGAAATATAAATTTGCTGGAACATACATTGCAATCCAAGCGGTTCTAACATTGTACGCTCAAGGTTTGATAAGTGGAGTCGTTGTTGATTCGGGTGACGGTGTGACTCACATATGTCCAGTTTACGAGGAATATGCTTTGCCGCATTTAACACGAAGACTTGACATTGCTGGACGCGATATAACTATGTACCTTATCAAGCTGCTTCTGCAGCGTGGCTATGCCTTCAATCATTCCGCGGATTTTGAGACTGTAAGAATGATAAAGGAGAAACTTTGTTATGTTGGTTATGATATTGAGACAGAAGAGAAATTAGCACTAGAGACTACTGTGCTAGTAGAATCGTATACGGTAACGCAGTTTTTTTTTATTGATTGAAAGTTTGATTTGATATAATTTTACTAATTCTTATATTTAATGATAGCTACCGGACGGACGAGTGATAAAGGTTGGTGGTGAACGGTTTGCCGCGCCCGAGGCGCTATTCCAACCGCATTTGATTAACGTTGAAGCCCACGGCATCGCTGAGTTGGTTTTCAATACCATTCAATCGGCCAATATTGACATGAGGAGTGAACTTTATAAGCATATTGTACTTAGTGGTGGTAGTACTATGTATCCTGGTCTACCCTCGAGACTTGAGCGAGAAATTAAGCAACTGTATCTGCAACGAGTATTAAAGAATGATATCACAAAGTTGAACGTGAGTAAACTTGACATATCTTCTAGCTTGTCAACCTGAATATGATAAAATCATGTACTGAATGAATGAAGCATTGAAAAATAGTATAATTGTGTTTTTGTCATTAATAAAAAAAATAACGAATTGAATAGTTATAAACTTTCGTCCGTTGTTTTCAGAAATTTAAGATAAAAATAGAAGACTCGCCAAGAAGAAAAGATATGGTGTTCATTGGTGGAGCCGTATTGGCGGAAATCACTAAAAACCGCGATAATTTCTGGATTATGCGCGAAGAATACGAAGAGAAGGGACTGAATGTAATAAAGAAATTAGGCTCACGTTACGCATGAAACTAACCGTCCTGATTATGTGAAACAAGCGCATTTACTAGTGTTTAGAGAAGCAACAGAAGTGTAAAGGAAATGCGTGTATTCGAGTATACGTCGATGGACAAATAGGTGCAAATATACCGAGCGTTTGCTCAGCCGTTTAATCTTGATGCGTGAATAAACTAGTAATTTATAATCGTAAACGCTCAAACAAAAAAATACAGTTATATCATAAGAAAATCCACTTTTGTTATATACCCAAAAATCTATGTCGGTGTCGAGAACCAATGTATAACATGTTCGCTGATCGAAATGTATTTAAAACAAAGTGATGAATTTTTCATCTATTGATATTTTTGTTTTCTCGGCTCTTACTTTTGTAAATATGAACTCTTTTATTTAAAAAAAACTATTCAAAATCATGTCTGTCCAAATTATTTATTGAATAAACCAATCATCATTGTAGATTATTTGTTTTGTGCTCATGCGTTAAAACAACTTTTGGGAACAAAGTTAACTAATTACTTGTTCGGCGAACAATAGCAATCAGTAAAAAGTTTTTTCTTACTGCCAAAATAGTATCGCACAAAATAGAAACTATTATAATCACTACGAATGAAAAAGCACAAAATGTTGCTCGCAAAGAAACAAATCATAAGTTTTCTGGCAATTTTCCTGCCACGTGCGTCATCATGCGCAGTCGCACTTGCCCGTTCACAATGGAACTTCTATGTTACACACGGTAGTATTGATAGCGGCAAGTAGTTAATGTTGTTCTTTCGCGCCGAAGAAAAATCTCTTTAAGGGGCAATGCTGATAAAGCGTGAAGTGACAGTGGCGATGAGTAGTGCAGTGGGCGTCAGAGTTGCCAGCAGGTAGTTAATTGACGAAGAAGTATTGTCACGTCTGCCAGGATATGCCACCGATCCGTGACTCCAACACCGACAGACCGTAAGACACGTTTTATTATCTACTTTTCAGTCACGTCAAATTTGTGTTCTGCCCTCTGACTGTCGGTTATTTTTCGACCGTCGTTATTACGGCATGATTGTTCGGAATTCGTTTGCGATCTTAAGTTTCGTCATATGTTGCCCGACGGAATTTTCGCGGGCAAAAATGCGGTTACGTAAATATAGGTAACACACCGAGTGCTTTACGAGTCTATCCTACTTATTCTCGTTGGTGTGGAAAGTATTCTCGTTCGTCGTCGAGTTTCTAGGTATGCGGCTGCATTGTGCGCAAGCTTGCTGTTCTTGCAATTTAATATGCATTTGTTTGACAGCACTCCGATGGTTTACATTTTTAAAGCGATTGAAGGGTTTTTTGGAGCAATCAGCTGATCAAGTGGGTTGCTCCAAAATGCCTTGTAGTTAAGATCGCATGCTTTCAGATCGCATACATGACAACAATTTCAACGCGTCGAGGTGCACGCGAAATTTCTTTTCAAATACTCGAGAGAATTATGGTAGGCAGAATTTTTCTCTTTCGAGGACAAAATATCTATAGCACGAAGTTTGGTTTTCTAATCTAACCTATAACATTGAATTCTACGTCTATGTGCACACAGATATTTCCATTTGCCCTATTTCCCGACTAGCAGTTAGTACGATCGATCAAAGCTGCGTGTCGCATGGAAAAAAACACCCTCGTGTAAATAAATATATATGTATATATTTCATATCGCATTGTTTCCAAAAACTGCCTCACGATAACAAACATTGCATCATGCGTTGCTCCATTGGCGCAGGTCCGGTGTCGAATTCCTGTTTGCCGCGGTGTCGGGAGTAGGCGCAGGCTGCTTTACCAATCCTATCGACGTGATAAAGATACGTCTGCAGCTGCAAGGCGAGCTGGAGGCAAGAGGCACTTACAAGAAGATCTATCGCAACACCTTCCACGCGGCTTACTTGATCGCCAGGTACGAGGGTCTGTTCGCCCTGCAGTCTGGCATCGCGCCGGCGCTCATTTTCCAAGTGTTCCTCAACGGCACGCGACTGGGCAGCTATCACTTTGGCCGACGCTATGGAATCACGCTCAACGAGGAAGGCGAGACGAGCGTCATTAAAACGGCGCTGTTCTCCGGCGTCGCCGGCGTCACTGGTGCGGTCGCCGGCAGTCCCTTTTATCTCGTAAGTAAGCTCGAATCTCATCCCTCAACCTCACCACTGGACAGTCGTCTCTCTCATTATTCCGTTCTCGTTTCTTGTCGTTTGCGCAGGTGAAGACGCAACTACAGTCGCAAGCTGCGAAGGGCATCGCAGTCGGATATCAGCACCACTATGCCGGCACATTCGACGCTTTCCAACATGTTTGGCGCGAAGGTGGTTTTTATGGCTTGTACCGTGGATGGTACGCCAATTTGCCAAAGACGTTCATAGGCTCTGCCACGCAACTCACGGTCTTTGGCCTCGTCACCGATTTCCTTAGGCCCTTCGAGGTACGCTCTTGTACTCACTTTTGAAACACTCGAAAGCGTAATTTTTCAGCTGTGCCCCCTCCCTTCCCCATAATATCAAAGAACTAATGGAAAGTTTGCGTCAACCCAAACTATCCTTGTGCTGGCTGAACTTGAGTTTATTTCCACCAATAGATTTGCGTGCTTCTGTTTTTAGACATTCGCAAAACAACCGTTACTTTTGACGTTTGTCGGATCGCTCATCAGCGGATGCTGCTTAGCAGTAGTGATGCAACCGTTCGACGTAATATCCACGAGACTCTACAACCAAGGTAGTTGGTTTTTGTTTTTCGTCAAGTAACTTTAAGCGAGAACTCACTGAGTGCTTTTCTCTTGCTCGCAGGTACTAACGTCAATGGCCAGGGTGTTTATTACAACGGCTTGTTCGATGCCTTGTACAAAGTATTCAGGATCGAGGGAGTTCTAGGCCTGTACAAAGGCATCTTTCCGACTCTAATGAGAAGCGCGCCTCACGTTGTCTTGTGCCAAGTTTTTTACGAAAATCTTGCACAGCTTTACGATAAATACTACAAAGTTCCAAGATGATCGGCATTATAATAAAATATAGCTTATACGGTACAATCGTGCAGAAGTAGAATTACCTCGAATTTCAAATTCTCTCGGTTTAACTAGAGAAATGAGACCTTACATAGTTTTTGAATGTCATTGTTGGACATGGCTGCAGTAATTATTGCAGATGATCGTAAATTGAATTTAATTAAAGATAGTTCTTCGCAGACGCATGCTCAGCATTCAATAAAAACTGTTTGAATTCAGTGATTGTAATCGATTTTGTTCTAGTATTTACTGGTATTTACTATCTCAATTTACTTATTTATGAAAAATACATTTTAAGCATTTTAAAGTTATCATAATTCTAATTGTTGATAGCGCGTTAATTGAGCATCATGTTAATAATTTGTTATTATTTACTCACTACAGAATAAAATCGCACGATATCATACTTATATTTCAATTCATTAGCCAGTGTTCATCTTGCTGGTCTTACCGATTAATCACATCTTTGATGAGAAACTTTCCTTCCAAAAGAGCAATATTTCAATACGCGAAAGAACGTAAAAGTAATGTAGTCACGACTATTAGTCGTTGATGTTTTCATATCGGCAGCTATTCTAAAAATAATAAAAGAATTTATTCATGTTTCGCAAAACTGTTGGAAGCTCTCAAGTATGTTGTTGATCTTTTTGAAATTATTTGAATGAAGCTAAAAAAGAGAATATCCACTGTTTTCTTTCTTTCGTTGTGCCATAGAACGTCAATACGTAACATATGTTACAATGTCTTTTATGGGCAGTGCCACTACGATTCGTTCTAGGTATTCGCTGATAATGAAAAGCGACGACAGACGAACGGATATCAGTCGGACAGATTTTTATAGAAAAAATCTCTTTTTAAATTGGTAGAGTGGACCAATGGATCTAATGGACCACAAGTAAAATCTGACATTTCTGCTTTGTATGGTGATATATTTTTATTAATGTTTTTCTTTTGGCCATTGTTGTTGTAGATTACGTCAACGTATAAGCAACTATGTGTAATGCATTATTTGCCAGTTTTTTCATACATGATTTTTTAACTAAAAAGTTCTATATTTCCTGATTATTTTTAACTTTTCATTCATAACAACCGTAGACAATTATTTCACGAGTAACTGCGGTTTATAACAAGTATCTATGTACAGTTATACTCACGCTGCGTGTGACTATTAGTCAGCTGGTCAAAGAACGCACCCGTTAACAGATTTCGTTATTAGTTAAATTAGGAATAATCAGTGATTGAGTTATTGAACCGATGTTTTTCGAAACTGTTGAAGTTTTGAAAGAGGCATCAGTTTTTGATGAAAATGTACTTTCTATAGGGCATAAGCCAGCTTATAAGATTATTTTTCGAACAAAATCGACGTTAAAATCGACGTTAGAGTGGGCATGAAAGTCGTGTCCGCCCTCGATTTTCGGCATGACGTGCAGGAGTTTGAACGACGTCGCTGGAAGTCCTGAATACTCGGATGCAGTATAGCTACAAGGTGAAATGGAATTGAATTTCCAAAAATACCTTTCACGCCGCTTATGTCGCAGTAAAATACGAGGGCATATCTCCTTGCCTGGGTTTCCAAGTATCCCTAAATAGATGCCGACTCAGCAGTCACCGTATGGCTAAACGTTATGGGATCACGCTCAACAAGGCCAGAGCAACGAGTGTCCACGGCTCTGTTGACTGAGTGTACCGGCGCAGCTGTCGGTACTCCGTTTTATTTCGTGAGCTCTCACGCTCGTTATCCCGCGGCAAAAATGCCGGCTGCGTCTGTAATGTCGACTGGACCGTGGATGAAGATACAACTACACTCGAGGTTGGTTTCCAGTATCGTTATTATTCGGGCGCGACGGACGGTTTCGAGCGTCTCTATCAGCGTCGCGGTTGACTTGTTTCAGTGATTGACTAGAGGTCATGCGAGGAAACTTTTCAGGTTTTCATGGAAAGACATTTGCATTCAAAAAAACAAGAGTCGGTGGATAATACGTAGAATTCACATAAAGAATACGTTATAGTATTCGACTCGTTATTATACGCGTGGTACTGATGATAAACTTTTGATAAGACAAGGCATTGATAATGAAGGTTCGAGAATCGTCGAGTTTTTACCTCGAAAGTTACATAAAAGAATTTTAATTTCCAAAAAACTGATGGCGTCTAATAAGCAAAAACCGTAAGTTTCTCAAAGTAACATGGCAATAAATTAATTTTTTTATTGTAAATGTCGACAAGCTGAACGTTGTTATTCTTTTTACTAGACGTTTACAATCGTACTAGTGAATAATTCGAAATGATACTTTCAATAACGATGAGTGATTGTTTGACTGTCATATATGTTGGAATGTAACTCTGAAATGTGCAATTGTAGTTATTACTTGAGATAACTGTGGAAATATGTAAATGATCGTCTATTAAAAAATAAGACGACTGAATCATTATGTTTTGCATTATATTTGAATCTGACTGAACGAATAAATGTGCAGTCTAGGGTTAGAGTTCGCGATCGGTGGACTAGCGGGCGTTGGCACAGCGTTGCTAACTAATCCAGCAGATATGTTGAAGACCCGATTACAATTACAAGGAGAACTGGCAGCTCCGGGAACTTATGAAAAAGCGTACACCAGCACCTTTCAAGCCGCGCGAACAATCGTCATGCGCGAGGGTATTATGACACTGCAGGCTGGAATTATGCCGGTTATTGGACTGCAAGTTATAATTAATGGCGCGAGATTAGGCAGTTACTTTTTCGCCAAAAGGATGGGCTTGATTGTGAACGAAAGCGGAGAAACTATTGTATGGAGAACAGCGCTGTTGTCCGGTGTCGTCAGCTCGATCGCCTTCATGATTGGCAGTCCCCTCTACTTGGTGCGTCTCACGTGATAAGAATGCTTATTGAATTTCACGCCGAGTACTGACAAATTATGTAAATCCTTAAGTGAATCCATCGAATGAAATTTTTTTACCGTATTTTATAATAAATTGCAAAAATGTAGTTATATGCAATAACAGCGTTGATGATATATTAATTGATTGCATCTAGGCTAAAGTGAAACTTCATGCTTATTCTGGCAGTAGAAATTTAATTGGTTATCCCACTGATTTGAACACCAGAAGTATTTTCAAATCTTTATGGCAACAAGGGGGTATTAAAAAGGTTTATAGTGGCTGGTATTCAAACACACCGAGACTTTTTATTGGATCCGCTGTGCAAATAACTGTATTCGGTTTAGTTATGGACTATATGAAGCAGATTGAGGTGGATTAATTTCCTTGTGTGTTCTACACTGATTTAAATATGTTACAACTATGATAACAATTTTACAGACATTGTCGAATGAAAAACTACTGAGCACATTTATTGCGTCATCCATAGCTGGAACTTGTCTTGTTCTAACAGTTCATCCATTAGACGTAATGTCAACTAGAATTTATAATCAAGGTAATTTAAGAATACGTAATAAAATAGGAATTGCAATAACGTTAAGTTTACCCTTTGTAGGATCGAAAAGCCAAGAAAGTAAAAAATTATACAATGGAATGATGGACGTAATTTGGAAAACAGTGAAGGCTGAAGGATTTTCGGGATTATACAAAGGTGTATTTCCGAATTGGCTTAGATATGCACCGTATGTTATAATAAGTCAAGGATTGTACCAAAAAATTACTGGCATGTATGAAGAACTTCACAAATAATTCTTTGTGCCCTTGACAAATAAACGACTAACGTTATATTTACTTAATGAAGAATAATTTTATATTTTGGATGTATGATGTACTGATTTTTAAATAATTTGCGATACGTTACGATATTTTGGTGGCCATGAAAAGAATCGATAGTAAAAGTTGAAGCAAGTCAATTTATTTGGAGCTAGTATATTTGATGACAGCTTTTGTTTCCTCAGAAACCGTGTGCTTAGCAAGTTCAGCAGGAAGGAGAAGCCTGACAGCGGTCTGGATCTCGCGAGATGTAATGGTCGATCTCTTATTGTAGTGAGCAAGGCTGCATTAATGTCTAGGTGAACTTGCTAACGAACCTTTTAGATGTAGATAGCGTAAGATTTTGTCCTTTTCTTTATACGTTTCTTCTTATCACCCTCGTTGATGTTCTTTTGGGTCTTGATTAATTTGAATCCGTTTAACCGCTATTCGTATATTCGCTAACGTCCTCAGTGCGCACTACATCCGGCGCAGGTAGGCAAGTAGGCACTCGGGCTGAGATACAAACTTATAGAACTGAAAGAGCAGATGTACTGTGATTTATAAGTGTGTTTGCTACATCGTCATATAGTGTTTGTGATGAGACTGTTAGGCATCGGTTTATAAGGAATAAATTTATTTTCGAACTTGATGGATTTTTGTGAAGGGTTTAGCAACACAGCATACGACAGTATATCACAGCCATTCATCAAACGGCAAAAATTTATTTCAAGATAACCAGTCAAAAGGCTGTTGAAGAAGAGAAAAATATGAATAAACGGGCAGAAAAACCATTGCTTGAAATGAAAGTGTTCGGCGATGTATCGTACAAATCATGAAAATCTTTGAATTCACCATTGGAACGCCTATTTACTCCTATGCGAAAAAGATGAATGAAGGCCGGCTTAAACGTCAGGAGCTGAAAAGTTTGAGTACCACGAAGGAAGGTAAATTGGCTAAAAAAGTAAGAGTCGCTGCAGAAAAAGATGAAGAAGATGACCTTTACGGCCCAGGCATTGCTGATTAAGAAAAAAATGAAAACATAAAGGTAAATCGATCAAAAATGCGATTTTCGGCTACCGCGAAATTCAAATGCGTATTTCTCGAAAAGACATTTTTTTGATTTTCCGTTTTCCTGTACACCGTTTGTTGGTGAGCTTTTAACTTATAAAAAAAAAACCATTTTAAAAATAATTTAATAATCTGATCGATGAATCTACTTGTTTTTTAAATAAAAGTTTATTTTACCACTATTTTCCAATACAATAATACCTTCTAAAATCTTCTGTTTTATGTTGTAGAAACATCAAGAAATTTAATTCACAAGTTTTAGAACCTGACACAGTATATCTATCCCGCCAAGCTCAGTCACGCAATAATTCGTGTAAAATGCCTGAATAGTTATCACAAGCAAACTTCCTTACTATGAAAGAAACTCGGAAGGGCACAACGGAGGAGGTCCCTTCCATCATTCTCGTTCTCATTCTTTGAAAATAAAACTTGAATTTTCTCGTTTGTGCGATCTCAATTCTATTATTCATTATGTCTGGACGTGGCAAAGGTGGTGGCAAAGTCAAAGGAAAGTCAAAGACTTGATCAACCAAAGCTGGACTATTCCCCGTGGACAAATTCCCCGTTGGACGTATCCATCATCTCCTTCGCAAGGATGACTATACCGAACGTGTCGGTGCTGGAGCTCCTGTTTATCTGGCTGCTGTCATGGAATATTTGGGTGCAGAAGTTTTCGAATTAGCTAGTAATCCTGCTCGTGATAACAAAAAACTAGAATTACTAGCTGTACTTTTGCCTAAGAAAACCGAGAAGAGCTCTCAAACACCCATCTTCCTATTTTCAATTACATCGGCCCTTTTTAGGGTCACCATATTTTTATAACGTATAGTAAACATTTTGTTGATATTTTTATAATATATATAATTGATATACCTAGTCGACTATAATTGTATTTAATTTTTTAATGACCACAGATTTTTCGCAACAGCTGTACGTTTACATGGTAATATAACAAAACTTATATATAACAAAAGTATGACCTTCAAAATTAAAAAATTATCTATAATTATGTACACTAAATTATTTCCAATGATTTATTATGCTTTTTTTATATCCGCACTCGTCGAGAAGTAATAAATTTCAAGTAACAACAAATAAATAATAAGAAATCCTTTAACCGAAAGAGATTATTTAAATAAAAGCAAGTCCAAATTACAAACGAAAGAAAAAAAATTTATATTGCATATAATTGGAACGTACATTAGGGTTATTGTATACATATGTTATGTATTTGACGAATAAAATAAACAGAGTTTATAGAAACTAGTTTATTAATGCAGAGATAAGTGATTCGTTTAGTCGTAGGTAATCGTAAAAGTCAGAAATGAAATATTTTTAGTTCGAAAATAAAATTCTTATTAAAAGACCGTGAATAAAACTATGACGTTCAAAACAGTATTCAGACGTTTTAATATTCAACAATATAAAAAAAGTCGTAGTAAATTACTATGCGATTATATACGTTAACTCACTCATAAAATATTAATTTGCTAAACAATTTAATGTAAAATGTGCTTATCCATTTTTCCGTAATAAAAGTATGACAGGAACAAGAAAATGTCCGAAGATTTTAGGCGTGCGTATTGTATGGGATAAAACTTTTCACGATATGGATTGAAGATTTTCAAAAATGAATTTATATTTCATTAAAATGTACCATCATTCTAAACGAAACCAGTATAATTCAACGTTTGAAAATTTTGGTGGCCCTGAAAAGGGCCGATTATTAAAAGATGTCGACGATTTATTTAACCTCCAAAGCCGTAAAGAGTGCGTCCTTGACGCTTGAGAGCGTAGACGACGTCCATGGCAGTGACGGTCTTCCTTTTGGCATGTTCAGTGTAGGTCACAGCATCACGGATGACGTTTTCAAGGAACACTTTCAAGACACCGCGGGTCTCCTCGTAAATCAAGCCAGAGATACGCTTAACTCCGCCACGACGAGCCAAACGGCGGATGGCAGGTTTGGTGATGCCCTGGATGTTGTCACGCAACACTTTACGATGGCGCTTAGCTCCTCCTTTTCCCAGACCTTTTCCTCCTTTACCACGACCAGTCATTTTTGAAATCGACTAAAATTCAGTCAGAGAATGCTAACAGTAGACGAATAATTTTTTTTCGAGCGACTGTCCGGCTTTTATATCTTTACTAGCGTGTATCCCCCTTCCATTAATTTTCAGCGAATCAGAGCAGACTTCATTTTTATCTTTGTCTCTCTCTTGTATTTTCACACATTTTCAACGACTTGTGTCTCCCACCATTCCAAAACAGTCCAAACACAAATTATTTTCTCCTACTCTTCCGAAACTATCCAATCCCGAATCACAATCATGTATTGTGAATTCTACTACTTTGAAATTGACCAATCAATGAACGGCGCTGAACAGTATAAGAAATACATAAAAGGAAAAATTCAAAAATTATCAACATAGTCATCTAGTTTCTTGAACAGAAGACATCTCTTGCCTCACCATGGCACGTACCAAGCAAACCGCTCGTAAATCCACCGGAGGAAAGGCTCCAAGGAAGCAGCTTGCCACCAAAGCTGCTCGTAAGAGTGCGCCAGCTACCGGTGGAGTAAAAAAACCCCATCGCTACAGGCCTGGAACTGTCGCTCTTCGTGAGATTCGTCGGTACCAGAAAAGCACTGAGCTGCTTATTCGTAAACTACCTTTTCAACGTCTTGTCCGCGAGATCGCCCAGGACTTTAAGACCGACCTCCGGTTTCAGAGCTCTGCTGTGATGGCTCTTCAGGAAGCAAGCGAGGCTTATCTAGTCGGTCTCTTCGAAGATACCAATCTTTGTGCCATTCACGCTAAACGTGTCACTATCATGCCCAAAGATATCCAACTGGCAAGACGTATCCGTGGTGAACGTGCTTAAGCACTCAACTATTTTTTTTTCAAATCAGCCCTTTTCAGGGCTAACACATTTCTCAAACGTTGAACATATTTTTCTAATTTGTCTACTTATTCCCACAATTTTTTCATAAATATACAAACAATAAATTACAAGTACAAGCTATAGGATATTTTAAGCATGCAGAAGTCAATAAAGCAATTGTATTCATGATTTTAGCGCCAAAATTTCAAGCACAATTTCATTGATTTGTCTAGACGTCACAAATAATAGAGGGGGTAACAGCTGCTCAAACCCGACTCCGATTCCGGTCTACGTCAGTTTAGTACTCAATCGCAACATAACGTGCGTAAACTGCTCATAAAATACTTACCGTTACTGAAGTCACGTTCATAGATTAAATAGTGCTCAAAACAGCACGTGCTGTGTTGCATCAAACCAGTGTATTTTGGAGTAAACATGAGTGGCAATAGATCGAACCATGTTACTACCAGTGACAAACCGTATGTAATAGGTATTTTAATTACCTTCACCTAATATTCAATCGGTAGATTAAAATTTAATTCTCATGCATTTGAAACTTTTTTTTTAACCAAAGTTAATTACATAAGGTGTAAGTGTTTCGAAAAAATTGAAGTTAAAAAATTTCTGTTATATTGATCGCGATCAATTGTGCGATGCATTTCACAATCGACACCAATACATTTATATTCAAAATTTTAATTGTATCAAAATAGCTATTGAATTTTACCATTACAATGATAGAATACCTTAGAAAACATTTTCACTCATGTAAGATACGTAATATTGTACAGCATTTAACAGACGGCGCAACTTCTAAAATTCTCAAAGATTATGAAATAATTCATTATCATTTTTCTACGGAAATGATGCAATCACTTTCTTTACTTGATAAAACTAAAGCACGGTAGGGCATAAAATGATAATTAACTGAATACTTAGTTAAAAATTTGCATACTTGACGTGATGCTCTAAAGTGTCCAGTTCAAAAAATAAGATAGATGAAAAAGCAATGACGACATAAGTCGAGTAATTGTCTTATTTAACACGATAAAACTGCTTATCAATCTGATATTATAGGACTTGCACGAGCCTTTTATAAACATGTTTTTGGCTGTATCGGTATTTGCAGGAAACTCAAACTTATTGTAATCTTGATTTAATGTTTTCCTCGCTTTGTATGTTCTCATCAATTTAAAAAAACAAAGAATCTCTTTCAATGTTCCATCAAGTTTTGAAACTCGATTACTCCCTAAAAGTTTCCTCTTGTAAAGATTACTCAAACGTATCGATTGCGATTCACGTAGGCCTGGAGTCGAATTCGCGATAGGCGCAGCAGCGGCAGTTGGCGCAGGTTTCTTCACAAATCCTATAGACGTGATAAAAATTCGTCTGCAGCTCCAAGGTGAGCTCGAGGCTCGGGGAAGTTATCAAAAAGTCTACAAAAACACCTTTCACGCGGCTTATCAGATCGGCAGGCACGAGGGAATATTAGCATTGCAGTCGGGTATCGTGACTGCTTTAGGATTTCAAGTTGTGCTCAATGGCACTCGATTGGGTTCCTACAATTTGGCTAAGAGGTATAAACTTACTCTGAATGCCGATGGAGATACAAATGTTATCAGAACGGCTTTGGTGTCTGGCGTTGCTGGCTGTGTCGGCGCTGTTATTGGCAGTCCATTGTATTTAGTACGTATTAAATGTTTGTGACTTATTTTTTTGTTACAAATAGGAAAATATAAAAAAATCAGTTAATTGTCATCTTTTTCTATCAATTAAATTGATTACTCGGTTGAAACATTTCATGGTCTTCATTCAATCGAAGGAAGCCCTTGTTGTTATATATACCCTTCTATTTACTCAACAAAATTTGTTTTCCCGTGTCGCAATAGTAATTGATTTCATCTGGAAAATTTCAGGTTAAAACACAGCTGCAAGCTCAATCAGCTAAGAGCATAGCGGTAGGATATCAACATAATCATAGCGGCACTATATCTGCATTTCAAGCATTATGGAACAATGGAGGTTTCAAAGGATTGTATCGTGGTTGGTATGCAAACATTCCTCGCGTATTCGTTGGCTCGGCTACTCAACTTACTACTTTTGGACTCTTTTCTGACTGGCTCAGACCTATGGAAGTGAGAATTTTTTTATGTTGCCTCAAAATTAAATTATTTTTAGTAAAGTAATTATTAATTTTCTGCTCTAAGGTATTTGACGGAAAGCCTATACTTATGACTTTTGTCGCATCGTTACTTGGAGGTAGCTGCGTTGCGGTAACTATGCAACCATTTGACGTCGTTGCTACAAGATTGTACAATCAGGGTGGGTACTTTTTTAGTACTATTGGTTTCATTTGCTGATAACTATTGCATCATTAATTCATTTGATTATAGGAACCGACGGAAAAGGGAAAGGCCAATTATACAACGGCTTATTTGACGCACTGTACAAAATATTTAGAACCGAAGGAGTTTTCGGTTTGTATAAGGGCGTCTTTCCTACGTGGCTAAGAATAGCTCCACACACGGTACTTTGCCTTGTTTTTTATGAGAAGATTGCACGGTTTCATGCATACGAGTTTGGGAAGTGAAAAACTAATACACACATTGGAACGCCGTTTGACATTAACCTAAACGATTATCTTATTTTTAAAGATATTTGTCTTATATTTACTTAATATAATTACAAGTATTCTTATTTTACCGTGTCTGCTTGGTAATGCGAAAAAATTTTAATCTAATAGTCAATTTGTACATCAATGATTTTATATACTGTTAAATTTTGAACTACGAGCTTGAACCAACGAGCCATATCGAAATGTCTAACATTGGCAGAATTTTCTCTGTGAGAAAGCCAATTTTTGTTAGGTATATATAGAGAAATGGATAGTCTTATTGCAATTTGACTGCATTAGTAAAATGTAATTTATTCAAACAAATAGGAAAAAAATTGTCAAAGACACATTCCTAACTATTTTGAATACTACGAGATAGATAAATGTTATTAATTGTACAAATAAATGTAATATATTTTTTGACTAATTTGAAATGAAATTGTTACATATCACATTCTTGTCAAACCGCTAATTGATGTTTAAAAACCAACACAAACTATAAATTCATATTTTCCGCGTAAAACCCGAAGGCGACAGAAATATAGTGTAGCTTGCACTTACATAACCAACCCCAAAAAGTGCAATGAGCCCCCCCGCTCAGCTGATTGACGCGCTACCGCTGCAGATACTTCCCCGCAGTTTACTTCATGATCAATTTCGAAAAAAAGGAACTAAGTGACGCGACGTATGACGATGATGAATTTTCGCTGGTCACGATCGACGATGGTGATTTTGGTTTCTCCTACATTTTCGATGCTGGATTAAGGTCAGTTTATTTGCGTGTTGCAATACTTGCACTTTGTTGACTCACTTTACTGTCACAGTTGTGAATAGTTTGCTAAATAGGGATGGATTTTATTTGCGAAATGCTACAGACACTCGTGTAAATTCGCTTTTTTTTTTTAATTTTTGAAACTGATGAATAATTACCTTTTTACTATTGACAATAACAAAATGAAATATTGTTAATTTTTTAAATATATTATAAATTTTTAATATGCGAAAACCTTTCAAAATTAAAAATTGTAAACAAAATGTCTGTATGAATATTTTAGGAATATTTCTATAATTTTTGTTTTTTTATTAAATGCTTGATCTTTATGCACTAGATGAAAACTAATTCATCGAAAAAGGAAATATAATCTTAGCATGGAATTTGCGATTGGAGCAGGTGCAGCGGTATGTGCTGGTTTCTTTACGAACCCCATAGACGTCATAAAAATCCGCTTGCAACTACAAGGTGAACTCGAAGCACGAGGAAGCTACCAAAAAGTTTACAAAAACACTTTCCATGCTGCTTATCAAATCGCTAGGCATGAAGGTATTCTTGCGCTACAGTCGGGTTTGGTACCAGCGTTAGGATTTCAAATGGTTCTTAATGGAATTAGATTAGGTGGCTACAATCTTGCCAAAAAGTACGAGCTGATTTTAAACGAGGCTGGTCAAGTAAACGTCGCAATGAGCTTACTTGTTTCTGGTGGTTTTGGATGTCTTGGTTCTGCAGTTGCCAGTCCTCTTTATCTGGTAATAGTAAACAATGTGCTTACTTAAATAAAAGATAAAACATTCTAACGAAAAAAAGCTTGAGCGAAAATTCATTTTAGGTAAAAACACAACTGCAATCGCAAGCGTCAGGCAAAATAGCCGTAGGCACACAGCATCAACACAAAGGTACTTGGTCTGCATTGCACACACTTTGGAAAGAAGGTGGACTTCAAGGACTTTATCGTGGTTGGCACGTCGGTGTGCCAAGGATATCCGTCGGTTCGTCAACTCAGCTAACGACTTACAGTGTCGTTGCCGATTGGCTCAAGCCTATGCAGGTAATTATTTTTCTCGAAATTGTTTAGCAGTTATTGGAAAAATGAATTGTGATTGTGCTTGCTTTATCAAAGACGACTTTTCGAACTGCAAGAGTGGCTTGAAATATCCTCTACAACCATCAATTACAAAGAATAAGTGTAGTAACACTGAGACGAAAGTCGTTTCAATAAAGGCAGGCTATGGAAATCACAACTTATAGCAGTAAATTTTAAAAACAATAAACTATCATTATTAACCCTTGTTTAGCGAAACAAGACATTATAACAATTATAACTAATTTATCTTCCAGATATTTGCTGATCGACCTATGCTGTTGACTTTTGTCGCATCACTAACTGGTGGAACTTGCGTAGCAGTTACGATGCAACCTTTCGATGTGGTCGCCACAAGAGTTTATAATCAGAGTATGTTAACCAACATTAATACTACATCACGTAAAATAAACAAATTATAAACGAAAAAATATGTTCCATAGGAACCGACGCTCATGGTAAAGGTGTGCTGTACAGTGGACTTTTTGACGCTTTTTACAAGATATTCAAAACCGAGGGTATTACCGGCTTGTATAAAGGAGTTTTTCCCACCTGGTTAAGAATTGCTCCACACACCGTTTTGTGCCTAGTTTTCTATGAGAAATTCGATCAATATTACGGGGAAAATTTTAGGTAATGAAAAGGAGAAAAGATTTGAGCTTTTTAAAAGCGCTTTATACGTATGTTTCACCACCCAACGTACATTAAAATCACAATTATAAAACAGACATTTCTCAAAAATAGAACTCGTTGATCACTAATTGTCGTGATATGTACAATAAAGAGATTCGTGTTCGTCGTTGAACGTTAAGCATAATTATGTATACAAATATAAATTAAAATCGTAACAAAATGTCGAGACGGTAGATCAATTACAAAAGTATATACGAGATGGAAGCAGACGTAATCAAGCTTTCCTTTGTTCCCGTGAACGCGATTTAACGTACATGATAAAAAAATACTTTGTTTTTTGTGGATACTGTTTTGAGTAACTTTCACATGATTGCCTAAAAAATAACTGGATTCAAGAATCCTGACTTATACTTATGTGCTGTTTAAGTCAGCTGCCGGCTCATTCGGTCGTGACTTCAATCCTTGAGTCAAGGTTGCCGCAATTTCGGTTGTAGCTCTACCTCGCGTTTCAGGCAGATATTTCCTGCAAAAATTAATTTAATCTTATAAAATGCCATAGTATATGATTTGGAAAAGAAACATAATTACTATTTATTTAATTTTTTTGTAACGTGCCAGTGAGGCTTGCAATACATTTGCACAAATACGCTTTTATGTTCTGTATTGAATAAACAATTTCAAGGCGTTCGCGAAGTTTAATAGTTATTGAAATTATTAAAACATCCAAGATAATATTTATATTACACAAATACCTGCAGAATATTATCAGGAATAAAATAGCTCCAACAAAGACTAGAAAAGAGTATGGTCCGAGTAGCTTTTGTAATTGCGGAAACGTCATTCCAACAACGAAATTGCCTCCCCAGTTACAAATACTTCCTATGGACATTGCTGCAGATCTTGGACCAACATCAAACAATTCTGAACCAATAAAGTACGGAATAGGCCCAAGTCCAATTCCATAGAATAGTACAAAGGCTTGTACAGCAATTATGCTTATTATTTGCATAGCAGCAATATTCTGAAACAATTATTCTTTTATTATGTATCACGTATAAGAAAATCAACAGCTCAATCAGGTTTTATTATTCAAATAATATACTTACAATAAAAACAATCGAGACGCAAAGCACAAGTAAAGATACTATAGACGTGTAAGCACTTATAAACAAGAGAACTTTCCTTCCAAAACGTGACATCACAGGAACAGAGATCAAAGCCATTAGCACATTAATTACACCAGTGCCTATAGTTGCATATTGCGAAGTTTCAATGTCCAGTTTGGCAGCTTTAAATATCACATTTGAGTAGTAAAATACGGCATTTACTCCGCTAAGTTGTTGGCCAAATTGTAAAAGAGAAACTAGCATCACAGGCAGTTTTAAAGTCGGCTCTTTAAGAACTTGGGCTATAGTCCATGACTTATCCGATGACTTGGCAGCTAATTCTGCTTCCAAATCATTTATTTGCGATTGCAAATGTATCCTGTCCTTATTTCGAAACATACTCAGAGCTGCAAAGAAAAATAATCACTTTATATAAATAAACAATCGACAAAATAAATAAAAAATGAAAAAAATACTAGCACACCTCGCAATCCGCTCTCGCGTCTACCGGCAATAACAAAAAGATATTTAGGACTCTCGGGCAAAATAAAAATAAGTACGAATGCAATCAAAGATAGAGGTCCAAAAGCAGCCAACATGTAAGGCCAATGATCTTCTGTGCCCAGCACAGAATTCAAAGAAATAATTTGACCCAATAGCACACCACAAGTAATTCCTAATTGACAGAGGACACCAACAGCACCACGCAGTTTAAGTGGAGCCACTTCTGTCATATAAGTTGGCAAGAGGCTTGTGGCAAGGCCTCCAGAGAATCCAACAAATAATCTACCTAGTAAAAATAACTCAATAGAGTTTAAAATTTGTACTAGAAAGAGCATTATGGCTCCAATGATGCCACATATATTTCCTGTAGCTAAAGCAAATCTTCTTCCTAGTTTATTGGCAAATACAGTTGCTGTCAGAGATCCTGTGACACCTCCAATCAAGAAAATTGATACAATAGTTGACCATAAGGTATCCAAACTAGTTTGACTTATTTTAATACCATATCGTTCCTCAACACTTTCATTACAAAATGATATCATAATCTGTAATTTGTAATATAAAATAAAATTATAGTTTAAAAAAATACATATTAGTTCAGTTTGTCAATTATTAAAACAAACTGAATTTTGTAATATATAATAATTATCATTACCTCTGCAGCATTGTTCATCACTCCAATATTGTACCCAGCAGGTAATGCTGAACCAAAACAACACGTTGCACCAGCAAGAATCAGCATAGGTGTCCATTCTGAAGATTCAGTGACCCTTTCACTAGAACTACTCTATAATTGAAAACATTTGTATAATTACATAATATTCCATAATGTATTATGGAATTATGTATTATGTATTATGAATTATGAATTATGTAATATTACATAATATGTGTTTATACAATGACTGCATAGAGTGATTGCTAAAGCCAAAGATAGCCATACGTATGACAAGCTAAACGATCAAAATCACTCAAGACTGATTCTCTCAACCAATTGAGTTATTCAATTATTATCTGCTCCATGTGTACTGCATTGATGCAAATTGTGACTTAAAAAGTGAGATATAAAATAATTATAAATTTAATGTTAATATCAAATAAATAAAAAATTCATTTATATTAAAAAATAAAAAAAATACTGTTATGTTATAAGATAAAGGCAAAATAGTAATCATATTTATTTTATATAGAAACTTTTTATCAATGAAAATTTTAGTTATAGCTAACAACAATTTCAAGTATATTTAAAATACATAACAAAGGATATTTGCATAAATTCAAGTCAATAAACTTAGAGCATGTTGTAATAAAACGTTGATAAACGATTGGTAATAATAAAAACTATTAAAAACAATATTGTAAAAAAGCCATTAGGTATTTTAATGCTACCAAATAGAGTTGGGAGTGAGATGCGCTCTCGTAATATCAACAAGTATAATTTTCGATTTCGCAACTTCCATAGAAAAATTCCAAACGTAATCACGTACTGACATACTACAGTGTATAAAAAGGACTCTAAACTACAACGAAAACTCTTTAATAAAAAGTCAATTATGCGGTAACTGTTAATTGCTGAAAGGACAAACAAAACGAAAAAGCAGCTCACCCTCTCGCCATCGTTGTTGCTCAGCAGTTTCGTGCCGTTCGATTTGTAAAGCACCGAGACCTCAGAATCTGTAACGGCATTCGACTCGTTAACAACGGCAAGTAACTCGTTATCCTCGTTTTTCGTCTCCATTGTTTAATTTTGTTGTTGACCCGCGCGCAAATATTCCGTTTAGAGGAAAACTAAATAACGAGGTTATGAAACATTGCATATGCAGTGTTTTCGTTCTGATGGCAACGCACATACTACGGGTCTCGGCTGACTAACGCGCCACAAGAGTATTATTTTCTATCCCGCGCGCAACTATTAGCTAACTACACAATGCATGCACAATACAATTTTCTTTTATTTTTTTCGAAATATTTCAAGTCGCGTCGTGTTGCACGTTCGATCAGTAACCGCGTGTTATTCAAAACAGTGCAGAAACAAATTTTGAGATAGCGCGAGTGAATTTCTCTACTAATAAGTTTATTTAACTATGCAAATGTATTATTTTCATATAACAACGCTTCAATTGAGAAACGGGAATACAGGAGATATCGATATTCATAAAATTATTAGTATTACAATTGATACTACAAATTTAGTAGTTTGATCGTTGATATATTTTATAGAAAACAAGAAAATAATCTATTAAAAAATTGGCATTTTGTGTTGCAATCGCATGCAGTACACACTATGTAGCATCGTGTGAAATATGAAAAGACGGTCTTGTGCATTTGATAAAGCACGTGTTTGTGGATTTCGTATCGCATCGAATCTGAGTCAAATGGATGAAAACGTGACCGATATGATACTGAAGGTCACCAATTTAAGAACGCGTATTTCACTTTGGCTCTCAATATTAATTACCACTGAATAAATTTATTTGGGGTATCGATGTGTCTATAAGCAGTTATACAAACAGTTTATTTCTCTTCACACGTAATGCAGGTCCTCTATGATTCCAAAAAGAGCGCTGCTGCAGATTATCGATCGACATTGTCGGCTCGTCGTGTAATTCGTAATTCCGAGTGGATCTTTGGCTGATCGTTATAAATACGCGAGATATAATTCATGAAAGTGATGCGCGCAAGATTATCGAAGATACAATCTAGCTTTTCGTTTTCCGGAATACGCTTCAATATGTTATTATTGCAAGAACTATTTTCTCAACAGTAAATCACAGTCTCATACCTTCGAGCTTGCTCATAGTTACTTAATTTCACTCGTTACACGTGCGCACGCTTTTCCTCTCTCGCTCTCAGACTGCCAGTGGCCGCAATCGTACAAGTGGCGAGCGAGAGCACTGAATGACTCGGCCGAGTGACACACGAGATCGTTTTCAAAATATTCCGTCGGTCGAAAGCAATAATTCATTTGTGCGTGTGTGCGCGCGTGTGAGCAAATGCGCGTAAACGAAGAGATAGCTAGCTACCCATCGGGCATTTCTCTACCAAAAAAATGATCGATTATATCTTAGCTTGTCAGCAATGTTATGAAATTACTTCCTCGACTTATCACCATCCTCGCGAGTGTCATTATCGTGAACAGTCGAGCCTTTGATAGAGATACCGTAAATAATATAGATTAATGTCGCTTTTAAATCGCAATTAATTGTTTGTTTTTATTTTTATTTCTACCAGCGAATTACTGACTGATCACTCTTTACAATGAGCCCAATGTGAGGTAGTGTTCAAGTATAATCACTTTGAAATACACTGGTGTATTTGTTCTCTAATTAGCCGTCAGTAAATTATTTCTAACGAGATAAGCATAGTTGTGTTTGAAACATCACCGGAATAGGGATAGACAGAAACTTTTGTAGAAGCAACTAAAACATTCATTTATTGATAAGTATTTGTTTAAAAATTTACAAGAGATGCTTCGTATTAAGATTAAGAAAGTCGATTAGAGCTTACAAAATGTAATATATCCTAATAAAAAATATATAGAAAAATCTTTTTTGTTTGTTTGTTTATGGCATGCAAGTAACGCATACTATTACTATTGTAAAAACGTCTGAAAAAATACAGTATAAAAAACTGATAAAATAGTCGTTGCTTCCATTAGAAAATTTCGAAATTAAAAGAATAACCATTTACTAAAAAAAGTCTCGAAGATTTTTTAATTAGACTTTCTTAAAAATACATACCAATTATTATTAGCACTAAAATAAAATCCTTAATTCTAAATCACAATCTTCCTCGCATCGTTGATTTACTCATTTGATGCAAGGAAGAGAATGATCTCAACCCTCGTGCAATCAATGTTTTATAAAAGAGTTGACACGCAGTACATAAAAAAGATGTATTGTTTTCCATTCGAACAAGGCATTTCCTTTTTTATTCCGTTTATCAATCTCTCGCCATTGATCCAGCAAGGGTTAAGCTCGTGACACCCGCAAGAATTATAGTCTACGTGCAATCTTGTAGCTGGCGCTCGTTCCGCAGTGCACGATTGAAGGCAGTCAATAGCGGATACTTGCCGCAACCGCAAACGTTGTTGAAGTCGTCGAGATCGAGAGCCCAAATCATACCACCAGCCAGGTCAAGTTCTCTTATGTACGCCGCCTGTGAAATGTAGAAATTATCATTAACGTTTCAAGTAAATCCGGCCTATCGTTCGTCATTCATCTATTCGACGATTAATCGCAATCGTCCGACTTGCAAATTCTCGCGCGGTAATCGCTGCGGAATCGCTGTTTTCTTAATTAATTAATCGCACAGCGCGGGCATAACAAACGTTCCCGTCTTCATTGCAAAACAATTGAACTCGACAAATGAGACTATCTTCGATGCAATTCATTTGATTCATACGAACCTTTCTAGCGATATCGGACACGTCTTCGTAAGCGACCCACTGATCGCCGTAAGTTGCGTAAGCGCCAATCCTGCCGTCTGGATCTTTCATTACCGACCAGTCGTTTTTATTAGCGTTCTTGCAGATCTGAAATCAAATAGTATTAATAGAATATTTACATGACGTTAATTTAATCTTGGAAAGTGCACTGCATTACCTCGTAAAACGACATAAATCCAGCAGCCCTAGTAAAGTCGCTAGGCTTGCCAGGTTTGGAACTCGTCGACTGCCATCCATTGTGCTCTCGACTTTCAAGGGTAAAACTTTGTCCATAGAACGGCACGCCCATAACGAGTTTCCTGGATGGTACGCCCTTGCCTATCCAATAGTGCATAGTATTGTTGACATTGAACTGATCGAACTCGTCGCCCGCGTGGAAATACAACGGTGCAATCGGACCAGTCTTCTTCTCCCACTGTCCATGATAATCGTAGCTCATCACACCCAACCAGTCGAGGTAATTGACCAACGTGGGCACGTCGTAAGCGTTGTCGATTATCTGCTTGTTCGGCGAGACCGAAGCCGAAAGCAACAGTTCTCGTGGACGGAATTCCAAGCTCAATTGGCGAACCAACGCAGAGAAAGATTTCTTGTCGGAGAGCGGACCTTTAGCACAGTCACCCTGAAAGACACACGCGCACGATCACTCATTTTGAATTAGGCGTGGATTCTACGCTTTGCTAGAGATGCAGTAAACTACGAACCTGCCAGCAAACTGGATAATCCCAGTCGATATCCATGCCCGAGAAACCGTACTTCTCGACGAACCTTGCAGCATCGCGGACGAACTTGGCTCTCGCTTTGGGATTGTTCACCATCCTACTGTATTTGTCGCCAGTTGAGTCTCTCCAACCACCAAGACCAAGCAACACTTTCACGCCTTTCTCCCTCAAAGCTGACACTCTGCTGTAGAAATGATCGTCGATGTCAGTGCTACGATCGCGAGACTTGATGCTCAAACTCTCGGGATCGAGAGAAGCGAAGCTGTAGATGACGTGCGTGCAGAGATTTGGATCGATGTCTTCCGGTAGGAATTTACCCGAACCGTGTCTCTCCGATGCCCAGCTTGTGAAATAACAAATGAGCTTACGTCCGTCGATCAATGCATCTTCCTTCAATCTTTGAGATCTGAAAAGGCGAAAGCGTTAAACTATATAAAGTTCGTTTTGAGTTCGCACCGGTGCAGAGAGAATACTCACGTCGTCACGTGAAGCTCGTTGTAACGAGCCTTACACTTAGAATTTTCAGGCCAGTCGCAGTGATCGTTGTGCCAGTGCAGACCATTTGGACAGGTTTGCTCGGTGAGTTGTCCAAAGTTGCAAAGATAGTATTTGCGACAGTCTCTCTTGTGTGCGATGAAAAGTCTGTCGCGACAGCTAGCTTGCGGTGGAACATGTGGCGGTGGTGTACCACCAGCTTCGACTTCCACTGCGTCTTCATCTTCGGTGGCTATTTCGACGGGAATGTCAGTCGTCGACGTCCACCACGTGGTCGTCGTTGACGGCGGTGACCATGTCCAGCTTGTCGACGGTTTCGCGGTTGTCGGCATCCATGGGTCTGGTTCCGACTCTATTACTGCCGAGCCTACGAAGGCAACCGAACGTCACAAGACGGCGGTTCAGCGAGCGATAAAGAAGACGACGCTTACTCGTAACCTGGCACGTAGGCCCAGCCGGATAGTTCCTGAGCACGCGATTGATGGTGCGCAGAAGGGGGTAAGGTTCACAGCCGCAAACGTTCTTGAAGTCGTCGAGATCGAGTGCCCAGATCATGCCACCGCCGAGTCCCAAAGTCTTGATGTACTCGGACTTGAGTCTCAATTGTTGGGCGTCGTCGAAACTCACCCACTGATCGCCTTGATAGGCGTACGGTCCGATACGCCTCTTTGGATCTTGCACAACTGTCCAGCCTCTGGTCAGTGTTCTCTGGCAGATCTGCGAGCAGAGACGCCAGCGTTGTAGGGCGTTGTAATATTCAAGCTTGCGGGAAGATTTAGATACCTCGTAATACGACAAGAAACCACGCGCGCGGGTGTCCTCGCCAGCCTCACCGCCACCGTAAGTCGGTGAGTTGAGACCGTGCTCGCCCCTTTCGGCCAGGGAGAAACTTTGACCGTAGAGCGGCATTCCCATCACGAGCTTCTTGGGTGGTGCGCCTTGGTCTATCCAGAAGTGAATCGAGTAGTTCTGAAAGAACCAATTGCGTGAAATGAACGCGTAGGTGAGGATTCCGACGAAGCCGCTATCGAACGACTTACGGCGTTGAAAGTCTTGTCCCAGTCGTCCGGTCTCGCGTAGAAGGGCGCGTTGTGTCCGGTCTTCTTGTCCCACTGGCCGTGGTAGTCGTAGCTCATAACGGCGATCCAGTCGAAGAGCTTGGCGAGCACGGGCACGTCGTAACCCTCGGTGACGACCTTGTGGTTCGGCGACACTGCCGACGACAAGAGCAACCCGCGCGGGCGGAACTCGGCGCTCAACTCTTGCACCCAAGCGGTGAAGCCCTGCCTGTCGGATTTCGGACCCTTGCGGCAGTCCACCTGCCAGCAAACCGGATACTCCCAGTCGAGGTCGAGCCCGTCGAAGCCGTACTTCTCGATGAACAGAACGACGTTGGCGATGAACTTTCTTCTCGCCGCCGGATTGTTCACCAGGCGGCTATACTTGTCGCCTGCCGAGTCGTTCCAACCGCCGATGGCTATTAGCACTTTCTTTCCCTTCTTCTTGTAAGCCACTACTCTCTCGTAGAATTCTGGAAAAAGAGCGTCGACGCGTTAGCCGTCCGCGAGCAGCGCGCGTCCGTCGAAATCCAAAAGGAAGTACGGACTGTTATCGATGTCGGCCCAGGAATCGTGACTGCTGATGGTGCCGCTGTCGCCGTTGAGCACAGCGAATCCATAGACGATGTGCGAGCAGAGATCAGCGTCGATATCCTCGGGCAGGAATTTGCCGTGGCCTTGCCTGTACCAGGCCCAATTGGTGAAGTAACAGACGACCTTGTACTCGTCCTCGGCCGCGGGTGAGCTCATCTGCTCGACCTTCGACGGCTTCGGCGGCTTTGGCGGCTTCGACGGCGACTGCCACTCGAGCTGCTCACCATGCGCCGGCGGCTTGATCGCTGTCGAAAACCAATTGCCGAACGATCAGCGCGAACGTAACTCGCGGAGGGCGCTGCTGTCACACTCACGTCTGTCGTGGCGATTGGGCGGCTCGGCGAGGACCTGCTGCAGGCTGCGCATCAGCGGGTGCGCGCCCTCGCCGCATCTGCCGCGGAAGTCGTCGAGGTCGAGCGCCCAGACCATGCCGCCGCCGAGACCCATGTCCCGCACGTACTGGGCCTTCTGCCGGATCATGTCGGCGTCGTCGAAGCCGACCCACTGGTTGCCCTTGTAGGCGTAGGGGCCCATGCGACGCTGCGGATCTTGCACGAGGGTCCATCCCTTGTTGCGCACCCGGTCGCAGATCTCGTAGTAAGCCAGGAAGCCAGCCGCCCTGGTGAACTCGCCGGCGCTCCCGGCGCTCGCGGGGCTGTTCAGTCCGGCTCCTCTGCTCGGGTCGTTCAGCGTGAACGCTTGGCCGTACAGCGGCATTCCTGTGGGAAAGCGATTTCGAGAGGTGAGCGCGCTCGGTCCTGCTGGTCGATGGTCGGTCCCGCGCGGCTTCTCGACGCACCCATGACTATACTTCTCGGCGGCGCGCCCTTGGCGATCCAATAATTGATCGTGTAGTTGGCGTTGAAGTAGTAGAACTCGTCCTCCTCGTGGTAGTACATGGGGGCCACGTGGCCGGTGCGCTTGTCCCACTGGCCGTGGTAGTCGTAGGTCATCACGGCGATCCAGTCGAAGTGCTTGGCCAGCTCGGGCACGTCGTAGCCCGCGTCGATGATCTTCTTGCTGGGCGACACCGCCGTCGACAGGAGCAGCCCCCGCGGACGGAACTCGGCGCTGAGCTCGCGCACCCAGGCGGTGAAGGCCTGCTTGTCGGAGGCCGGGCCCTTGCCGCAGTCGGTCTGCCAGCAGACCGGATACTCCCAGTCGAGGTCGAGCCCGTCGAAGCCGTACTTCTCGATGAACTGCAGCGCGTGCTCGACGAATCGCCGCCTGGCCGCGGGATCGTTCACCAGGCGGCTGTACTTGTCGCCTTGCGAGTCGTTCCAGCCGCCGAGGGCGAGGCTCACCTTGAGACCGCGCCGTTTGTAAGCGACCACCCGCTCGTAGAAGCCTGAGGGTCAATTCGCTCGGTCATCGGGGCGAAGCGAGCAAGCGAGCAAGCGAGCCGAGCTGACTTACGGTTGTCGAAGTCGGCCCACGAGTCGTGAGCCTTGATCACGAGATTGGAGTAGTCGAGGACGGCGAAGCCGTAGACGATGTGCGTGCAGAGCGTGTGATCGATGTGCTCGGGCAGGTAGCGGCCGACGCCGCGACGGTACCAGGCCCAGTTGGTGAAGTAGCACACGATCTAAACGATGCGATCGCGATTAGAGCTCGAACCGGGGATGAGCCGGGCAGAGCCGGGACTCCGTCGCGTACCTTGAAGTGCCCCGATAGCGGAGACACGGCATCGGGGTCGATCTCCGCGGACGGCAACGGGGTGGTGGTCGGCTGGGCCGACGGTGGCTTCCAGGCTGCCTGAGTCGCCTGCTCGGGCTCGACGGGATCGAGCGGTATCTCGTCCAGGTCGTTGCTGGCGTCGTCGGTGCACTTGGCGCGAACGGGCCAGTCGCAGATGCGGCTCTGGGCGCTGAAGTGCAGTCCTGGCGCGCACTGGAACCGCTCGTACTTGCCCCACAGACACGCGTAGTAACTTTGGCAGTCGCCGGGCACCGCCTGGTACTCCCCGGAATTGCAGGGCATCTGGACAAGGAAAAGCCTGGATTTCGGCAGTTGTTCTTTGCAGCCGCGGGTAAAGCTAAGCGGATCCGCGTCAGAAACCTCGTTCTGCTTGAATTCCTGCGCGACGCCGCCGGGCTTCACCTTCTTCTTCTTCTTCTCGTCGCAGGGGGCCTTGAACGCCCAGTCGCACATGCTCTTCGCGACGTTCCAGTTGAGCCCGGGGCCGCACTGCTGGCGCACCAGTTTGCTGTTCACGCAGATGAGGAAGGCCGTGCACGAATCCGGCAGCGCGTAGTACTGGCCGTGCTCGCAGTCTCGCGCTTCCGGCCGGATCACGTGCGACGACTGCGTCGTCGTGGCAATTGGTCGCCTTGTCGTCGTCGTCGTCGTCGTCGTCGTCGTCGCTGTAAATCCGAGCGTTAAGTCGACCTCATTGGATTGCGACATTCGCGAACGCGCATCAATGACATTAGGCGCTGCAAATTGGCGACAATTATTAATGCTGAGCTCGCATGCGTTGAGCGCGACTCAATAGCGCGTATAATTACATTAAACCTTTTCAACCGTCTCGTTTTCAATACTTCATACATATTAATAAGGAGCAATGTACGTCGGATAATTAAACCGTTCGAAATGCCATCTGCATTCTGAAATGACATTTTTGCTCACAAATCTATTATTTCGTTCGCTGCATACTCTAACTTACTCACGCAACCTTACCTCAATGAAACCAGGTCACCAGCGTACACCAAAATTATCGGTCATAAATTGATCCATCGTAAATGCAGCAGTGCCGTAGAGATGCAACGCCGTACTTTTGAACGCATCTTAAAATCAGTAACAAGCTAAAGCGATTGAAAAGAACTTTTACTCGGCCAGTTATTTGTTCAACCGCAAGCGGCGAAAAGAAACGCACTACTCCGAGTGGTTAATCATCATCAACTTTATCACACGTGAGGCATTCCTTTTTCCTGTAATAAAGTTCGTAGTACCGCGTCTAGCGCCTCGGAGAAAAAGCAAGATAACGAGCCAATAAAAGAGACGTGCTGCACCGGTAACGACGCTTAATTTTTCCTTTTTTTAGGAAAAACACGTTGAAGCACTTATAACGATTGTTGAACTTTCATGCGCTCCGGCAGGTGAGCAATGTACGTTTAATAAGCCTGAACTTTTCCAAGTATCCAACGGTGTTGATAATTCGTTTTTTTTTTAATAAATGGAGAAGAAAGAGTTTTTTTCTAGCCAGCGTTTTTAAGAGATCGTTAATCGGTCAGCCAGGCTGAACCCTGATCAAATTGTCATCGAGCCATTGACATTTATCAATGATGCATTCACCACTGACACGACAGGAGTTCTTGCTATTTTAAAAATTGCAATTCACTCGTTCTTATGCATAAATAAAATATACAGAGACGGGAATGCAGTAACAAAAATTTCCCAATTGCACCGCCTTTAAAAGGAAATGTGCTTAGAATGAAACCCATTGTTTTTCAACGAGATGCGTTCTTTTAATTCTAAGAGCTATTTTCTTTAATCGAGGAAAATCTCATCTTCGAGAATGGCTTGCCGAGAAATGCGCAACCAAGTCGCGACGCGCGACAAGTTTGGCAGAGCAGGCTTCCGCCAATCCATTTGACGATCGGACGGAGTGCGAGAGATGGACAGTTAAGGACTAAAAGCCACGTTACCTTTGCTCTTGCCACGGCAGTTGTTCGTGCAAGTCCCGGCGTGGTCGGCCGCGACGGCAGCCAGAGCGACAATCGCCGCGCAAGCGAGAGCGAGTTTGAGGACCATGGTGACGACGTCGACTGGGCGACGATCAGCGCGCGACTCGTCTTCCCGCGAGCCGCGGCACTCGCGCGTAGGTGTATCATCGCTAACGCGGCGCATCGCTCGTCAATTTGTCACTCTCCTCTCCCGTCGCGGTGCGCTCGCCTGCTACACATACGCGCGTTACGTGATCTCTTTGTGCTCGCCACCGCATCCTTTAATTTATCTGCGCGAGTCGATCCGCTGTATAATCGATTGCATTAATCGCGCATCGTCGCCTTTTACAGCCTCTCTCTCTCTCTCTCTCTCTCTCTCTCTCTCTCTCTCTCTCTCTCTCTCTCTCTCTCTCTCTCTCTCTCTCTCTCTCTCTTTCTCTCTCTGTCTCTGCCTGTGAGTCGTTTCGTAAAAGCTGTCGAGACAATGGGTAATGACGCAGGCAACCGCGCGCTTACCGGCGGGATTCTTCCGGCACTTGGCGGCGGTCGGCCAGTCGCAGAGTCTCCTGGCGGCGTCCCAATGCAAGCCAGGCGCGCAGTGCTCGCGCCTGAACTCGCCGAGGACGCAGCGATAGTAGGTGCCGCAGTTGGACGGGTCCGGCTCGTGGTCGCCCGACTGGCAGGGCGTACCGGCGAGCGAGCCCGTCGACGGCGCTGGCGTGGTGGGCCGTGGGCTCGCGCTCGTGGTCGCGGAGCTGCTCGTGGGCCACCAGGTGATCGCGGCAGTCGGTCGCTGGGTCCACCAGGTCGTCGGTGGCCGCGAAGTCGCGGGCTCGGTCCACGTCGGCCAGGTCGTCGTCGGGGTCGTCGGCCTGCTGCTCGATGGCGCCGGGTGCCCGTCGGCGCCGTCCGGATGGGGCGTCATCGTCGGCGGCGCGGGCGTGATCGGCTGGTCCGGCTTGTCGCAGTCCTTGCGCGAGGGCGCCGGCGTCAGCAGTCGGCCTGCGTGGAGCGGGCGTGAGTTTGCGATCGGGCGATGTGCTCGGCAAGGCGTTACCCAAGGCGCGATTGATGCTGCGCAACAGCGGGAACGGCTCCTGACAGCAGCGGTTGGTAAAGTCGTCGAGGTCGACCGTCCAGGCTGCCGCGCCGGCGAAGCCGTTGCTCAGTATGTACTGGCCCTTGTAGGCGATGCTCTTGGCGTTGTCGAAGCTGACGAACTGGTCGTCGCGATGGGCACTCGGACCTGCGCAACACGGACGTTTCGTTGATTGATCGTTGGTCAACGGCACTGCCGTCCTCGGACAGGGGCTCGCTCACCGAGCTCTTCTTGCCAGCCTTCCTTCTCGATCCTCTCACAGATCTCGTGGTAGGCGAGCATGCCGGGCTGCCTCGTGTACTCGCCGGCTCGTCCCGGACCGGCGGCTGGGTCGCCGAGCGCGTGGCGATCCGCCGAGGCGAGCTTGTAGCTCTGGCCGTACATCGGCACGTCCACGACGAGCTTGGAGCGCTCGGCGCCGAGGCGGACCAAGTAGTTCAGGGTGAAGTTCTAACCGCGACAACAAGAGGGTACGGGAAGATCAGTAGTGGTCGGCGCGCCAACGCTGGCCGCCGCTCGCGGCTCGTCTCGCTCACTCACGAGGTTGTAGTAGGGGCTGCTGTCCCCCGGGATGGCGAACAGCGGAGCCAAGTGCGAGGTGTGCGACTCCCAGGCGCCGTGGTAATCGTAGCTCATCACGGTCATGAAGTTGACGAGCCTCGATATCTCCGCGACGTCGTACCCTTTGTCGATGACCTCCTTGTAGCCGGACAGCGCCACCGCCAGGGACAGTTTGGGCTGCTGTTGGTCGAACTCGCGACGCAGCTCGGCCAGCAGCCTCGTGAAATTCGGCTTGTCGCTGGCTGGCCCGCGTCGGCACTGGCTCTGCCAGCAGCCCGGGTAATTCCACTCGAGCGACAGGCCCTGGAAGTCGTGCTTGCGCAGGAAGTGCACGGTCGAGGCGACGAACTTCCGGCGCGACGCTGCGCTGCTGACCAGGCGCGAGTATTTGTCGCCGGCGCTGTCCGTCCAACCGCCCAGCGCCAGCAGGACCCTCGGCCCGGCGATGGACGTCACGCGCTGGTAAAGATCTGCACGAAAGACGGGCGTCGACCTGTAATGTTATCTTTGGGCGAGTCGTCGGACAAGGGCGCACTCACTGTTCTCGATGTCGGCCCAAGGGTCGAACGAGTGCACGCTCAGCGTGTCGGGATTCAATCCGGCGAACGCGTAAACCACGTCCGTGCACAGCCTCGCGTCCAGGTGCTCGGGCACGAATTTGCCCTCGCCCTTGCGATACATTGCCCAGGACGTCATGTAGCAAACCACTTTGGGCGAGTCGGCTTTGTCGGCGATCTCCAGCTTCTCGAGGCGATGACTCTGGCGCAGCCGCTCGAGATTCTCGTTCACGTTCGACCAGCGATCGCTGTGGCCCGGGTCGCAGATCTCCGGACTGGCCGGCACGCAACGACCGCGGACTCGGTCGTAGAAGCGACCGATGCCGCAGTGGCCGCGATGGAGATGACCTGTGGAAATATTCGCACTCGTTTCCCTCTTTTCTTCTTTCGGCTCTGTCGACACCGAGCGACGCGCTAATTTGGCCGATAATTTTTTTTTTCCGTCCGATCGTGGCAATAAAATGTCGCGCGTCTCCGCGAGCTAGAGGAAAATAAATCAACCGATCGAGTGAATCACGGCGGCCCGCGACGGCAAGCAAAATTAATTATCGCTCGGTGTATACCATGAATGGTAGAGAAGGCGGTTCGAAGAATTGATCGATGCAGCCGAGATAAGCGCAAATTCAATTTGTCAGCGACGTGCGCTTACCGTTGAAGCAGGACAGAAAACCGGAACAGTTGTCCGGGTCGCTGTATAATCCGGCTCTCGGGCACTTCTCGTCGGGCTCGTCGTAGACTCCAAGCGTTTTCAGCACTGCGTTGAGCATTGGCCACTCGTCGCCGCAGATGCCCTTTCGACGCGCGCACATCGAGAATTAGAGGCTTAACCGCATCAGTTTTCTCGTCAGCAATGAAAAGTTGGTTTACCTGGAAATCGTCCAAGTCCAAGGAGAACAGCGAAACTCCGCCGAGATTGGCGGACTTGACGTAAGCAGCTTTGAGCCTGGCCGACAGAGGATCGTCGTAGCCGATCCACTGGTCGCCGAGAATGATGTAAGATCCGTTGAACTCGTGCCTCCTGTACTGCCACGGGTCCTCCAGCTTTTCGCAGATCTACGACCCAAGGCGTACTTCAGCGCGCGCCTTCTTTCGCGCGTCGCTCGACAATGCAAGACTTTCCGAACTATACCTCGTAGTAAGCAAGCTGTCCCCTGTGCTTGGTGTAAGGCCCATCGACGCCGAAGCCGTCAGCGAGCGTGGACGCCTCGTTGTCCTTCGAAGCCAGCCTGTACGACCACCCGAAGAACGGAAAGCCAACGACGATTTTGTTCGGCGGTACTCCCCGCCTGATCAAACCGTCGACGAAACTCGTCACGAAATTCAGAGGCGCTGGACTCTGGACCACCTCGGCGACTCTTCTCGAATGCCAGGCCCGGAGCACCAGCAGGTCGGCGAGCTCGGCCAGCTGGGCGTCGACCAATTGCTCGGGGCGCACGGCGACGGCCAACGCGAAGCCGCGCTCGCGGAACGGCGCTCGCAGCTGGCGCAGGATCTTCGTGAGCGAAGTCGCGGTGGCGCTCTCCCAGTCAATTTCCGCGCCGTCGAAATCGTGCTCCTCGATGAAATCCAGCAGCGAGTCGGCGAACGCCGGCAAGCGTTCGTCTGCCTCGGTCAGGATCTCGCGGAACAGACGGCCGTGATCCGGCGACGTTACCGAGATCAACACCCGAAGCGCGGGGTCGCGACGACGCTGACCGACTGCCGCGATGTAGCCACCTGCTCGACGACGACAAATTTTTAAATATGGCGCGTAGCGCGAAAACCGCCGAACGACTCGAGTCAAGCCGATCTACTTTTCTCCGCTTCCGAAACGATCGATTTCTACAGCTCGTTCGTTCGCCTCGCCAAGCGGGCGTAAGTCTACTCACCGTTGACGATGTCGTACTCGTGGTCACGGGGGACGACGGTGAATTCCTGTGGATCTGCAAAAGACAAGGGGAGAGAGAGAGAGAGCGCACGGCGCGCGCGTCAGTACAGGCCGTCTCCGTCGTCGTCCATCGCCCCAAGCCACAAGAGCATACTCACGCAGAGTGGCAGCGGTGTAAACGAGATGGCTGCACTTGTGCGCGGGCAGCGACCTGGGCAGCAGAACGAACGGCTCCTCCCGGTAGACGGACTCGCTGTCGACGTGGCAGACCACGTTCGGCGGCGGAGTCTGCTTGCGCACGGGCGGCAGCGTGACTTGCTCCAGCCAGAACGACTCGTGGTCGAAGCCGGCGTAGCTCGGCGGCGCTCGGTGCTCCACTGCCTCGCGGAGCGGCGCCGCGCTCTCGGGGCTTCAACGCCAACGATTTTTACTTTTGCGCGAGTCGACGCCGTTTTTATTTATTTATTTATTTATTTATTCATTTTTCCTTTTTTGCAACGTTCGCTCGCAAAGCGCGTTTTCAGGCGACCGTTGGTCGCGCGATAGCCGGGAAGGGATAACCCATAGCCACTTGATTTACAATTCAGTGGCAAATTCAAATGAGAACAGCGCGACGATGGAGGAGCGCCAGCTCCAATGCCGTTAAAGGACAGGGTCAGCGATCTCTCCGTACGTATATGCAGCTGATGTTTGATGAAAAACTGGTTTCATATGTATATCGAACGAGTTTTGATAAGATCCAAACGAACGAACAGTGTTCCATCATTTGGAGCTTGATGATACAGCGATCGCCTTGACGGGTGAGCGGCGAAGAGCTCGCTGAGTATTCGTCGTTTTGTCACGCGAGATAAAAATAATACAATGAAAAACCAGTTTGTGCACTTATTGGAGATTGGCATTCAACGACCGAAGAAGTTTCGCTGAATTCTTTGCGAGCGACCTGTTTATTCTATATTTAACAACACAATTATTCTGAGGCTTCGATTAAGAAAAGAAAAAGAAACAGAATCATATACAACTAATGCTCTGAAACTCGAAAGACAAAAAATTGATGTAATTTAAAAGTTGTCTGAGAGTATCGAAAACAACTGCTATTCAAAAAGAACCAATGCTGCACTCACCTTTTGAATGACGCATCGCGAGACCCGTAAGGCGTCGATTCAACGGCATCGCGCAGTGGCAAAGACCAGGAGCCGAATTCGGCTTGGTCGTCGTTTGGAGAGCTCTCGACCACGTCGCGCTGGAAAATTGGCGCGTCCGACGGTGGCAGGTGCTTCTGCGGTGGGAGTATCGACAATTGATGCCCAGGAATGTTGTGACTCGCTGCCAAAGCTGCGAGGAAACTCGTTAAAGCCACAACCGTCTGCGGCAAGCCCATTTTTCTTTCTCTTTCTTAGCTGGTTCTACGATGACAAAATTCGGCTCTTTGTAAAACTACTTGTCCATTCAGTGGCTTTCACATTTATCGTAGAGCTGTTCTGGCGTTCCTGAGCCTTTGCAACTGAACGTTCACACGAGTTGAACGTAATTGTTCTTATTACGGGCGTTCGATCAAAAGATTGCTCTTACGACGATCGATAATATCTTGTGGTTTAATAAAAACTGTCGTTAACGGCATCGTTCACAAGAATTTCTATGCAAAGATGATACTTTTTCTGAATGCATGTATGTAGGACTATCCTCGTGATAAACTTAATCTTTTACATTTGAAATCTCGTCTGATTAATTAATTGAATATTTTATAATTCTACAAATAAATTTTTCCAAATTAATCATTCAAATTATTCCAACTGTACAAGAATGTCTTCGCAAACGTATTCTCAACCTCGCCCATGACAATTACATATGTATCTAGATTCCGACCGAAGCTATTCAAAGCCGACGAGATATGAATTAAAAAAATCGAACTACACAGACCTGCTCAATTCAGTAATCCCTTCATCTGCAGCCAACGGTGCAAAGCTCCGCACGCGACAGTAAAAAAATATCACTCGCGCACACGGCCGTCCACAAAATGGAATTACAAGTCGCCTGTGCTATTGTCTTTGGCAGTTTGACACTCCGTGCGCGCGGAGCCGCGATAAGTAAAGCGGGCCGACGTCGAATGCCGTATTCCGGGCGCGTATCGGGCCCCATATATATACGCTCGGCCTTTACGTGGCAAACCGGAGGCCTTGGCAATCCTCCCGAGCACTTCTTCTCCTCCGGTTCTTCTTCTCTCTTTTCTTCTTCCTCGACTTTTTTCTTTCTTCTTCGTCTCGCTTGCTCCTTGAGCGCGTCGCGCCCTTGCGCGCGTCGTTCCGCCTCTCGCGGTAATTTTCCAGGTGCGCCGCGCGACTCCAGGGGGTTGCAGCCGACTCGGACCCCGCGGATATCTCCCCGATGTCAGCCGCGTTCGCGGCGATTTGCAGAGGGAATTGCGCTGACGATTACTCCAAGGAACTGTCCCGAGGAGACGGTCGTTCGTCCTCGCGATTGCTTTTACGTTGGTGACGGTTGAATTGCCGAATCCATTTGCGCGACATTCCTCCTTCAACGGCAATTTTATTCGTCGACGATAAAAAAATTCGGCAACGGTGCAACTGTCCCGTGTCGAGGAGCTCGGACTGTTCGACGTAAAATTGTCCACTTTTTCCCATAATTGACGTCCGAGCGAATTTTATGTTTCCTTCCCGAGAAAAAAATGAATGTTGCATTTTTTATTTGTTGTTTTTTTTACAATATCTGGATATCTTGCAAACGTTAACGAGGCGGTTCAACGAACCGGAGAAAGCGACTCCAATTAAAGAAAAAAAATCTTGAAGAAGGAGGGATCTCGGCGGTTGTAATGGCCTCTTTTCACGTCCATCTCTCATCACGGCTATCATCGCCCCCACTACAAGTGTGCAGTCAATAAATTCATCGCTAAACAGTGTATTATTAGTCAAGGGATTACCGATGAGAAAAATCCTCGTGGCATAATTTATTCATCCAACAAGTTCCAAATAGACAGCCTCTCTTCTGTAGGAAAAGTAAAAATTAAATAAATAAATAAATATTGTTGCAAAAGTCGCGCGAACAGCATCGAAATGTAGCGTTATGTTTCGCGGAATTCGACGCACCTCTTCAATGACAGCATCGAAGTAGAAGCCAATGACCTTTCGCTGCTTCGGCGGAGATCATATTGTTGGATCTAATTTACGTACCGAAACGACGGATTTGATTGATGTGAAATATGGACAGGCACGCGCGGACCATATTTCTTTCACTTGAAAAAGAGAATCGGTGAATTTTGATGAAACACATTTACAGCCGTTAGAACGGGTTGGACAAATAGAGGCCGATGATTTAGTGGCGTATTAGTGGAAGTTAATGGCGTGCGATTGATTTATCGAGACGATCCACGGCGCAAGTTCGGACAGGGATTGTCAAAGGCATTTAGCCGAGCTTTTGCGCTCGAGACAAAAGAAATGTCGAAAAAGCACAGTCGCCTGGATCGCCGCCTCGCGATATAGAACACGGCCTGCCGACTCGAGAGCGATCGAGTCGCGACGCGCGTTATCGAGGAAGCCGTTTTCAGACCGACCGATTTCAAGTTCGAGGTCGAGCCGCTCTCTTTTTCGTTGGCCGCGCGCGCGCCGAACCCGACGAAACCTGCCCGTGGGGCCAGCGGAAACCCAGCGATCTGTGTGGTCGCGCGAGAGGAAACGCATTTGAACAGCGGTGTCGAGTTCCTTATTTGGAAATTGACGAGTTTCCACTTGATATTCGATATTCGCATCGGTCGCGCGACGACGTTCCTTCCTTCTTTGTTTTTCGGGTTTACGGACGCGCGTCGTTCGCTCGTCGCTCGCAATCGCGTCCATCCGCGCAGCGGCGCGATTTACGTCGAAACACCCCGAGCACTCTTCCACGCGTAGAGGCTCTAAAATATCAGTTTGCGAGCAAGATGCGTCGACTTGGCGCAAAATCAACGCACAAACGCACGAGCCCGCGGCAACGCAGTATTGCCGTACGTGCAGCGTTGCTTTCAGCGCGTCAAAGGGTTCGAGCGCAGCGTCGATCGATTATCCACTGTCGAGTGAAAAATCTCGAACAAAGCCGCGCGGGCGAAAGAGAAGAAAAAATGAAAGATAAGGATGACAGGCGGCAGCCTTCGACGTGTCTCGAATCGAATCCGTGACCTTTACGCTCCACGCGCGCGTCTGCCAGTCATAATATTCACGACCTCGGTCAAAAAGCACGATGCTTCATTCGGACCGATGCTTTCACCGTTTCCAGCCGACGATCGTAAATTCTGACGACGCGCGTCGCTCGCCGCCGTCACCTCCTATCGACGTTCTGGCGCTTTTCGCGGGAACCGGAATTTCGTTTGATCCGCTGCTTTATCGAGGATAATAAGATATACTACGAAATTTCATCGGCGTGGCGAACTCGCTCGAGAAAGCAGCATTAGGGCAATCGTGCTAGACTGTCGATGAAAAGCAATGTCTCTGCAGTGACATTCAATTTGGTAAATATATTAGTAAGGTCGACATTGACGGTTCGTTAGTGCAAAGCAAACTGATGCCGAGAGATGCAGGCATGCGCTTGACGGTTCTTGTCTTGGCAAGATTTTCACGGTTGTCTTCGTCGATTATTCCAAGATGTGGGACTGAAAAAGACGCGTACTGTTCACATATACATATAGCCACAACCTATTGCGGCATTAAATTTACGAAAAGCATAGTTGGTATTCTTTTGCGAGCTTCAGGCGTTTTCCCTTCTTTTTGAAGAGTTATAAGAACAAGTGTCTAATCGGCCACTTCAGAAGCTTTAAAAAGCTGATTTCGCACAAGAGGATCGCTTTCGAAGCGTTTGTTACAAAAAAATTGTCAATTCTGTCCGTCGTCAGAAACAGCAAAGTTAAGCTCGTTTTGCTGATACCCGCGTTGTCACCGACAAGCGAGCTTAACGTTCTCTAGCTCTGTACTCACTCCACATCGACGTTACACTTCTCCGAGAAATTCGAATGAGATCGAGCTGACAACGCTCTAGTGTTGTCCAATGATGCACGCGCGTCATTGAAAACTCCAAGGCACGTTCCATCGCGAAGCGTAGAGTAATTTCGATCGCGGAGTGCAGATCGACAAACGAACTCTCCTCGGAGATTTCTCGCGAGGGTTGGGCGCTCGTGCGTTTCGCAGGTTCAAGGCCATCCGGTGCGGTGGTTAGTGACCCACGTCAAGACAGTGCGCAGCCTCGGACGAATCTGTCCGCGTCGCGCGCAAACTCTTTTCCCGATGCGGCCCGACCGCGAGCTTTTGCGCTGCGACGTCCGCCGTCGCTCATGAGTCGATCGCGCTGTTTCCGTCAGACTCTCTCCGCGACTCGACGCGAATTTCAATGCACTTGCAAAGCATTCGGGGCGACAACTTCTTTTACTGATTACACTCAGGGTTAATGGCATTCAGCAGCTACGCGATTAGCTACAGCGAAAAATAAAAAAAGAACGGAACCTTAGCTTGTATACTTGTCTTGGAGTGAAACATCTCAACAACCAATCGAAGTTTGCATTGCTGCCAGTGAAATGTCTGTGATCACAGAAAAATATGTACTGAAAACAGATTGTCCATCTGTTTAAAATTCATGAATCAAACCGTGCGCCGATTTTAATTTGAAAATCTCTGCAAAGCCGCGTGGTAGAGCGCGCATGACGTAATTGGCGTATCGAAAAAAAGGAAAAAATCACGGGCCGATAATTCCACTATCGCGAGCGATCAACGACCTGCCGCATTATACTGGGCCTCCCCTATCTTAATCGTATCATTCGCTTATCCTCTTAAAGGCATAAACGCGCACGCCGGGTCACCTTTGCCATTTCTTTTCTTGGAATCGGCTTCCCTCGCCTCCCTCGACCACGATGGTTAAGCGATCACGAATACTCAATAATCGTTTCTTGCAGGCGCAACGACGCTGGATCAAAGGAATGCAGGATGCATGCGATTCGGCGTGTGCGAGTTACGTAGGGAATGAGACGTTGAAAAAAACGAGAAGCTTATGACGAAACGAGGCGCTCGAATTTCCATTTCTGCGAGTCAACTAAGATGTCCAGCGGATAAACTGATAATCTAATATAGACGTTTCCATTAAGTTTGCGCGGCTCAACGGTGTTTTGATCGGATGAACGTCGCGCACCGACAGACCGTTTTAAATATTCTCTCTGACGCAAGACGAAACTTATCTAGACGAAGGGCTGTCGCTCGCAGTACCTCGGTATCCCGGCGGTATAAAAGGTACGAGACCGCAAAGGTATCATCCACTGTTCTCGTGTACGTTTTGTCAATAACATCGGTACTTTGCAGCTAATAAGTCGCAAGGATTTCCAATTGTTAGCTTCGAAGAGTTACTCGAGTTGGAGGTAAGATCTTGAGAAAATTTGATTCGTTTTATTCAACATTTTTAAGTTGATTGATAGTGCTTTTTATTTTTTTTGAGAGCGTATGTCGATGAGTTAGAATTTATTTAACTTTCTAATTGGATTTTGCGGATTTTATTGAGTATATACGTCTATTTAAAAATAATTTTTAAAATATATATGTTTTAATATCACTTTGCAAAAGCTTTGCTTGATGTTACACTTTACCATTAAAACTTTAATGTTATTTTGTAACTTTTTGATAACATTTGTTAGAACACATTAGAAATCTGTAAACTAATATATTTTAAACCTATTGATGAATATGGAGTGTTGTAGTCGCAAGGATTTTCGACAATAGTATTTTTTACAAAGGGTTTTTATTGCAGTCTAGTGTACCAAACATCTTGGTCATTAGTGAAAACTTACTAGTAAAATCAATGCTTTTTTGCAAAAAAAAACTAAAAACCAGGTATCTTCTCATTTAAGGTGTATAAAATGGAATTTCGAGCGGATAGCCGTTTGATTCTTCTTTTAATCTTCTCAATCATCTGCTGCGTTTACGCGTCGATGGAAGATTCTTCTCAAAACATGTACTCCTATGGACGTTCAGTGGTAAATGTGATATCTATATTTTAGCGTTTATTTATTCTTTTTTTCTATTCAGTTGATATTGTGTGTGTTTAAGGACGTTGACTTGATCGCTAAATTGCTGCAAATGCCACCGCGATATTATCATCCCAAAAGAAATTCCGAGCTGATCAATTCTCTGTTGAGTCTACCTCAGAAAATGAACAACGCTGGGAAATAATGCATACCATAAAATTACCATCCTTAGCTGTGCTTATCGCGATGTGTATTAAATTACTAGTAACGAACAAAAAATAACAAAATATTATAATGATGATTGGCAATGAAATGTGCTTTTAGCTTGCAAACTAGATAATCTATAATTTGTAAAGATGTTATCAATATTAATGAAATAAATATATAACAGTTCTCCAGAAAAAAAAGTAAATTTCTATATTTACCAATGATGTCGGATTTATAATAAACAAACTCATAGTCTCAATCGTAAAAATGATCATTGATCAAAAATGAAAAACTTACGCATTCATTGTGATCATTGTATATTATACAATGATATACTTTACACTAAAGTTACTTTGTACATTCTTATGTATATAAGCTTTATTCTCCATCCCGTTGTTGGTTGCAAAAAGCACCGTCAAAATTTGATTTGGAAGCTTGGCTGACTGATCGCTTCTCTTGGACCCATGTGGAAGCCCCCATTGTCATCGTTGTCTTCCTCATCCATTATATCCGATAAAAATTTGAACTCACGACCACCACTCGGTGCCTGTGGCGAAGCATTCACCGTTCGTATGCCAAATTCTGACTTTGCTGGGTATGTTGGGAATAGGGCTGGATCAATTGGCTGAGGAGATTCCTTAAAGTAGCCATGTTCCAATGCCGCTTCCGCAGTTATTCTTTTCATTGGATCATATGTTAGAAGCCTGTAAGAAGGTAAAGTAATTAAAAAATTATCACACCTGCAAATGACGATACCTAATTAAGAATCTACAAAATTATTTCCAAATTTTTTTACACTCACTTATTTAGAAGCTCCATTCCCAAGTCAGATAGTTGTAAACGGAATCTTGATTTAATATTATTTACAGGATGCTGAGCAAAATTAATTTTTTTGACGAGAGGAAGTTTGGAATAACCAGGCCATATTTTGTCAGTTGGTGTGCCTAATTCCCGGTAAATCATGTTTATTAAGTCGATGTCTGATTTTCCAGGAAAATATGCTTCCATTTTCACCAGTTCTGCAAAGATACATCTGCAAATAAATAAATATTATTTACACTTGTACGTCTCTTTTTACAAAAGTTTTAGCGATATCAATTCCAAAAGCTCTTACCCAACGGACCACATATCGATTGGTGTACTATACTGTTTGCTACCAAGCAACAATTCCGGTGCGCGATACCAGAGAGTGACCACCATTGACGTATAATATTTCAAAGGTGAACCATATTCTCTAGCTAAACCAAAATCACCAACTTTCAAAATTCCTTTGTGACTGAGAAGTAAGTTGGACGTTTTCAAATCTCGATGCAAAATCCAGTTATCATGTAAATGTGCTACTGCTCGCAAAATTTGTTGCATGAGACATTTGATCTCGCCGGAAGAGAAGCAATGGTTCTTCGATTTCATCGTCTCCATCAGCGACTTTAAGTCATGTTCAACATAATCCATAACTATAAATATTTTGTCCATGTTACTGCCAACGACTATCTCTCGTACTGTTACAATATTGGGATGCTGTGCTTTAAGAAGTGTATTGATTTCTCGCAAGCTCGTTATGGGAAAGCCTTCTTTTTCTTTTTCCATTTTTAACCTTTTGAGAGCTACGATTTCTTTTGTCCGTCTATCCTCAGCTCTGTACACCACTCCGTATGTGCCTTCAGCTATTTTGTTCAAACACCTGTATTCTTCCACGCTCCGGCAACCTGCAATAAATATTCAATTTATAAAGATTTACAAAATTACCAAATCATCGGAGCATAGAAAAATAACATTCATACCTTGCACGGCGGGGAAATAAGGAGGTAGTTCGGCTTCTGCCTCGTTTTTAATTTCAACATAATCCGTGTGCCTGGTACCATTAGTATCGGCATAATACCTCGAATGATCCTCGTTTTCATTCCTATTATGACGATTCCGGTGCGGAGGACTAGGATCGTTGTAATCTGAGTGGTTTGATTCCGTTTCTTCGTCGTCCTCTTCTTCATCGCTACTTGAATTACTGGAATCCGACGATGATTCGGAGTTATGCACACTTTCATCTGATATCTGAACAACTGGGACTGACTTTTCCAGTTTTTTCAGTCGACGGGCGTCCCTTTCCAGACGAGCGCTTTCTTTTTGAAAGTTTATTTCACGTTCGGCGATGAGTAGCCTTTGACGACGAATTTCATGGTCCGTTTGTCGGGTCTCTTTCGTGAGAACCATGTGTTGCTCAGCCGCTATTGCTTCCATCCGTTCAAGCTCTTCGTATACATTTATGTCGATAGGTTGCTGCTGCTGATGCCTTGCCCGTCTTTCTCGATGTGCTATGAAATAATTAAAATACGTTCCCATTTCATTTCAAAATTGAATATTAAGTTATTCTGAAAGGTAGTCATTACCTATTTCCATATCTTTATCTCGTTCGTTCAGTTTGTCGTGTTTTCTGGACTTTTTATGTTTTTTCTCTTTACTGGAGCGATGTTGTACCAAAACTTCGTGTGTAATGGAACTCACATTTTGATCACTTAGTCTCTTATGTTTACTACTACGCGATGGCTCCTGGACTTCTTCGACGGCTGCGGCGGCTGCTGCTACTGCTGCAGCTATTCGCAATTCTCGACGTTCACGTAACTCGTCAGGACGTACTTCTCTTGTAGTACGCTCGTTACGTACTGTTGCGTATTCACGCGGTGCCAGAGGTTCTTCTCGTCGCTCTCGTCTCTTATCAATAAGCCTGCAAAGTTTTTAATAGTAAAATTAGTTATGATAAAGTTATTTCTTCGCGGCAAACTCTTTAGTTTTGTTGGTATTGCTCATTTTAATTAGACACAAGCAGATAGAATTTTTATGCAAGAAAGGAAATGGTTATACAGAAAGAGTATGGTGGCATTATATGAAATATAATAAAATACTTAATACCTGTTGGGCATTCTGCTTTGAGCGGTGCGACTAATATTACTTTGTTTCAAATCGTACATAAAAAAAATAAATAAAATAACATCAGTATTGGGGTATATATTGTTGAAACATACAAATTAAAAGAAAATAGATGTATTATAAAGAATGAAAATATTTAGAAAGTGCAAATGCAAAAATTAATTAATTTGTTCAAATTATTTGTATTTAAAGTAGAATAAATAAATTTTTTCTTCAAGTCTGATATCTTCTATTAATATTATTTAGGTCATATCACAAGTATATTTTGATCTAGTAATCAGACCAGCTATAATTTAATGATATAAGCAAACTTATTACCTCTCTCGCAAGTCTTCCATCAATCGTTCTCCTGTGCTACTAGTACGAACATCCTTTCTTTCGTGTCTAGATTCTTTTTCTCTTTTGGATGAAGAATCAGATTTTTTGGGCTTTTCTGAACTTTCCACCTCATACCTTCGATGCTTGATATCCCTGCTTTTATCTCTGTGCTTACCATCTTCATGATGTTGCCTCATCTTGTACTCTTTCACTTCCCTTCGATCACTTGAGTACTTTTCTTTTCGATGGGATGAAATTTTGTGATGTCTTGCAGCTACTTGTGGTGGTTTTATTTCTAGAGAATCTGTCATGATAGTGCTTCCTGATGAACGACTGCATCAAAATGTATAAATTAATTAAATATTATTTTCAAAATATTCATTTACTGTTAATACTATTTACAAAAATTTCATGTGCTGTCTCAATCAGAAATCTCCTACGTTAATTAAAACAGTTTGATACTTGTTTCTTTAACTGATTAACCTCACTTTTCGTTACCAAATAAAATAACTTTTCCCTCTAATTGATGATTCACCGTTTTTGAGAACATCGTACTTGTGCAACTAAAAAAAATCAGTTGAACTACAAACGTTTTACCATTATGATGTACATTATCAAAATAGTTTTTCGTTGACAAAAAGTGCACTACAAGAATAACGAATATATAACTGGATAAGGTCAGCTTACAGTTTAGGACAATAATAATGCATACATATATGCTACCGTTTCTTAATTCTTTCATATTATTACTAGTAGCGTGCATTTAATCATAAACCAAATATCAGAGATCTTCTTTACCAGCTTATTTGAGAAATCGATTGTTTACAAGCATTTCAATCCTATATACCGGACATAAACGGTGATCTTATGTTTGTATTTCTTGATTTTTTATCATTGTGAGAGGAGAACACTATTTTTTTTATTTTATGCAAGAGAAAGACAAGCTGGTTTAAGTTACGTCAAACTACTCAACTCAAACTATTAATCTTATAAAAATTCAGTATTTTACACTATTAAAAATTTCTTTTTATTAAATATTACAGTAATATATATTCTATGCTTATAATAGTTCATGAATCGAAAGTTATTGCAAAAAAAAACATTTGGCCTACTATTTACAATAACCTAGAAAATGTGCTAATCAACTCACTATCGTTTTCTTGGACTAGTTTTGATTTCACCTTCATCACTCTGATCATCCACGTCAATAACATATATTTCATCACTCATATTTCATATAAAGAGTAAAATAGAATTCCAGCAAATAAAATTACGAAATATTCACGGACACTTTGTTTATAACGAATCGCACTTGCGAATCGTGAAGCAGAAACATCCCACTAGGACTGTTTAGTGACCGTCACAATACCGCAAGGATTGGTATGATTATGATTCCGAATGAATATTTGATTATTGATTAATTATTTATACCAAATAAACACTGTTAAATGGAAATAGAAAAACGAAATTATCTTAACAAACGAAGAAAGATATCGAGGATTTATGATTTTAATTAATATCAACCAAATATTTGTTTAGTACTTTTTTATTATGCACATTGCATGGATTTATAAAATGTTTGCAACAATTATATTAAACTACAGTTCACAAAATAATACAAATCTCGATTTAATTACTTCCATAACTTCTTGATCGACATGTTTTTCTCGGAATCTTTTTGCATAACCTTTGCAACAGCCATTTCAAAGTCTTCCTGAGTAACATGAACTCTACGTTCTCTCAAAGCATACATACCAGCTTCTGTGCATACACCCTGGAAAATACAAACATGATGATTATCACTACTCATTTTTCATCAATTTTGAAAATTTGTGGTTTATTTACCTTTACTTCAGCACCAGAAGCACCAGGCATCAGTTCAGCAATTTTCCTTAAGTTTATACCACGAGTAAGATTCATTTTTCTTGAATGAATTTTTAGAATATCAAGACGGGCTTCCTCATTTGGAGGTGGGAATTCAATTTTACGGTCAATACGACCAGGACGCAAAAGAGCAGGATCTAGAATATCAATTCTGTTTGTTGCCATAATGACTTTGATGTTTTTTGTAGCTTCAAAACCATCTAGTTGATTTAATAGTTCTAACATGGTACGTTGAACCTAAAAACCAATAAAAATTAATTCCTAACAATATTTAAAGGAATTTTAGATGATCATATTAAATGCTTGTATGGTATAAAAGTATTTACCTCACTATCACCACCAGAACCAGACTCAATACGAGAACTGCCAATTGAATCAATTTCATCCATGAAAATAATGGATGGTGCATGTTCCCTAGCCATGACAAAAAGTTCTCTAACCATTCTTGATCCCTCTCCAATAAACTTCTGTACAAGTTCAGAACCGGATACTCTTATAAATGTACATTCTGTATGATGAGCTACTGCTCTTGCTAACAAAGTCTTGCCAGTACCAGGTGGTCCATACAAAAGTACTCCTTTGGGTTGAGCAATACCAAGAGCATCAAATAATTCAGGATGTTTGACTGGGAGTTCAATGACTTCCTTGATTTCCTTGATTTGTTTATCGAGACCACCTACCATTTCATATGTAGAGTCTGGAACTTTTTCCACCATCATAAGGGACACAAGAGGATCTAATTTGTTTGGCAGTATTTTGTGCAAAGTATAGCTTTCATTTCTCAAAGCAACTCTGGAATTCGGAGTAACATCATTGATGTCAATATTTTTGTCCAAGTCAACTACAAATTTGCCTTCTGGATGAACTTTTACAAGAACTTTCTTTTTATCCATAGGTTTGACTACTTCTCCAACATAAGAACCTTGTTCTTGTAAAAGCTGTAGCTCTTCACGAAGCATACGTACTAGAAAGATATATCAATGTAAATTGAAAACTTATAAGAAAAAAAATGTATGACAATTTGCTTGTTATATTATTAATCAAATGTTATGTCAAATTTCTATAAATGTATAAAAAATATAAACACCTTTCGCGTTGAGTTCATTTCTCTGTGCTTGTAGACGACGAAGGTTTTGACTCTTTTCAGCTACAATAAGCTGCAGTTCCTCAATTTTTTGAATATAATAAGGTTTGAAACCTTCACCTTTCATGGTTTTCTCATCGATCTCCATCTGAAAATAAAAATTTTTGTATAAAAAACATAATAATGAGTTATGATAATAGAACGATTTTGTTTCCGAGTTATAGGTTATCTCAGAGTTAAAAGTCAACACGTACCTTGTTTGTTAACGTCATTTTGAGTTTTTTAATCCAAAAAGTGCTCGAGACTTCTATTCTATTCAATGATTCATAGACTTTTAGGTTTTTATGGAGATAACTCGTATAAACAATACACTTTTCGAGTTAGCCTCCTGAAAATGCTTGTCACTGCCGCAGCCTACCTATAGGGATTTCGCTTTGTTACTAGATACCGTAAGCTTTAGTGATTTTATGGTTACGTTTGAACTTTGGAGTAAAAATAGGTGCGCGAATCCTAAAAAAATGCAAAATTTTATTTGTATAAATATTTTCAAGGCTCATAGTGTTTGGTTAGAATTTAGTAAAAACTTAATGATATATTTGACGAGCAAAGTTGAAATGGGTAATTTTCAAGTAGACGTACGTTTTTACATGGATATACGTGCGCGTGCAATGCAATTGTCAAGTGGTCCATTTTATCATGACTCTAGACCACTAAAAATCGAATTTCCACAGGCCGAGCACACGCGATTCTCAAGCCGTCTCGGTGTACGTCCGCCCGAGTCGACCAATGGCGATTGTGAAAAGTTGCAGTGCGGCCGGAAGGAGAGCGGAGAGGCGAGTAATAGGCACGTCGAGTATACCGATCTCTGTGTACGGTCGCGCCCCACAATCCGTCGCGGTACCATTCGAGAGATGAGTCAATCGAGTCCGCGATACCGCGACGGCAGCGGCGGCAGGGCAGCTCGCGCGCCGGGTGGGGAAGAGAGCGAGCGAGAGGAATCGGCGTTGGCGCGCGGCCGCATTCAGTGTCCGGTCTCGCGTCGCTCGCCGTGCACGCGACCTGCAACGCGAGTGGCCCGTCGCGCGATCTTCCTCGCTGAGTAGTTCTCCGCCGCAGGCGTCCAAGATTGGTGTTATAGTCGCAAAGCCGGTGGAGGTGGTTGCCGCTGGCGGTGACGGGCGAGCAGCCAGTGGCATGATGTCAGAGAGCGTGACGGTGACAGTGCAGAACGGCTCCAACAGCAGACCGAGCGGCCAGGGATCGGCGAGCCTCGTCATGAATCCCGATTACTTTCGCAGCCTGCCTGGCCTGATCAAGCTCGCTCAGCTGGTGAGTGCCTGGCGGTGAGCGCAGCAGCTCGCTGCGTCGATATGGGCGTGGGAGAGGCAACGCTCTCGGCGACGATTTAAAAATAAAGCCTCGCCCCATTGTGGCCGCCGCCAATGCCGTTTTTAGCGTTGCGCTTCTCGGCTCCCGTCGGCCCGTCGCCGGACGCCTGCGCGTGCGTGCCGCCTCGTGCGTTCGGCCTTGCGCGACCAGCGAACTGCAGCGGTCGCTGTTTCGACGGATGTGGCTGCCGATTCGCAGTCACTCGCGAAGCTTGCGGCGCCCTTTCGTGCGCGCGCTCGCCTTCGCGGCCGACGCGATCGGCGCGAAGTCAGACTCCCGAGCGAGTATTGCGTAACGGCCGGCGGCGCGCGGATAGGAGACGCGCGACGTCGCGCGAAGCGATAACAGGCAGAAAGCGGGAGAAGGAGAACGAAAAGAGAGATACGCGGAGCGCGAGCCTACACGCCCGAGCGTGCGCGAGGGAAGGGATCGCGGCGACCGGAGGCGGCGTCGGCGAGACGGCGGCGCGAGCTTACGGCGCGCCTTCAGTCGAGTGCGGCGCGCGGCGGTCGTTGCAACAGGTGTGTGCCGAGCAGACGAGTCCATGATGACGGAGAGCGTGTCGGTGACGGTGCAGCCGGGCAACAGCCAGCCAGCCGGCAGCAAGGATGGCAGGCTGGCCGGACTCAAACTCAGTCCGCTCTACTTCAGGACCATCCCGGGGATGCTGAAGCTCGCTCAGCTGGTGAGTGCGGACGTCGCGCCTACGCGCGGCCCGAGTGCCTTGGTTCCTCGACCCTGCGGCGGCCGAGTTGTTCCGAGCATCTGCCTCGACGCCGTCGGATGCAACCTCGATCGGCGGCCGCGAATTCGCCTGCCTCGTCCGGCCCGTTCGCTTCTTCTTATTTTCGTCGTGACGTAAGCGAGAGGGCGGCCTTCGCCGGACTCGTGCACGCGCGTCGTCGCGAGTTCTTTCTCAGCACACCCGTGCGACCAGATTTCGCAAGCTCTTCGCTGTTCCGCAGGCGCGGGGGAAGCAAGCTCGAACGTCGACTTTGTCGAAGCGACGCGGCACTGTGTTTCACCCTCGTGAAAAATGAAAAGGAAAAAACAAAGAAAACAAGAATCGATCGTCGCGAAAAGCAACGTCGGCACGGACTAGAGGGTACGCGCGCGTCGAATCGCCGACCGGTTTGTCCCCTCTCGCGTCCGAGACCGAGAGCTTACGCAACGCGCGCGTACACGCACGCGAACGGCTGCCCCTGTGTCGCCGCGCGACTCCAAAACGCTCTCCTCTAAGTCAGCGTCTATAGCGAGTCGGGTCGATTCAGCCGTGCGTCTTTTCGCGCCGGATCGATAACGATTGTCTCGACGTTCCGCGAACCGCGACTGCGAGCCGCTGCTCGAACGACGCACGTCCTCTGGCGCGAAGCTCGTGCGCTTCGTCCGGACGGCCGCTAATCCAACGCCCAAATACACCTCTCCGCGATCTGCGCACACGCAAGCTCGTCCAAAGTTGGGGTGAGGGAGGGGGGAGGGCGGCGAGGATCGATCGATTCGACTTTCGCGTCGCGCGTTCCATCGACTTCGTACTCCGGCATTCTTAGCTTATCGATGAGCCGCGTGCTACTGCCCGAGCGAGCGCCCGCAGCAGAATAGGCATTCTCCGCGGAGGCCGCGCGGCAACGAGCAGTTCTGTTTCGCGCGACGACGTTGAACTTGCATCGGCGTGTAACGGTAAAGGCCGGTCGTGCGCGCACGCCGCGGCGCACAACCGTTCGACGCGTGTTACCCTCGGGCGCGCGGATCGCGATACGTGGGCCCTCGACGATCGTCGACGTAGCCGAGCCGCAGGGAGACGCGAGCGCGCGCTGCTCTTATCGCGACGAGTTCTCCGACGAGCATCGGCCGCTGGCTGTTCCAATTGGTACAAGCCGACCGAGCTGGCGCGACACCGAGTAGTTGTGCGACAGGCGCGCGATGCCACGCGGTCGTACCACTCGTCGCTATATTCGGCGACTATTCGCGCAGGTGATTCAGTTTCCGTCGATGAGCAACTGTCTTTATCTCCGAGGGGGAGAAAAGCTAAGAGACAATGTACGCTTATCTCGCAGGGCCGTCGGTTCTTCCGCTGCGTCGATCGAACGGCAAACGCGCGAGCCGCTTCTTCAAATCACCGTTGCCGCTCGTTTCCGAGAGGGAGAGAGAGAGAGAGAGAGAGAGAGATAGAGATAAGAACGAGAGCCTTCGATCGCCGTCGCGCCTGGCAGTCAGCCGTATAGCGCGCGGCTTCGTTTCGATTTCTTGCCTCGCGCAAAAGTTTGCCAATGTCGCGGCACCGACGAGGGTCGTCGGCTGCGTACCGCGCTGTGGGTCGGTGTCGCGCGAGCCGCCGACGGTTTTCTATAGCGCCCGAATAGACCGGCGAGGAGGCAGAAGTCGATCGAGCGAGAGAACGGGAATGCGCGAGGCCGTGGCGTGGCATTCCAGGCGTTAACAGTTGCGTGGACGTGGTGTGCCACATAAAGCAGGCGACCAAGTCGGACGCAGCACCTGGATGTGTTTAGAACCGCGCGCGAGTGGCTTCCTCGATCAACGGTATATTTTCGCTCGAGAGCGTCCTTGATCACTTGGCTTTTCGGAACGGGTCGTCCGTGGCTCCGTTGTTGTTTGTTACGCTCGATGGAAAATACGCCGGAGCGTTGACCGAAGGTCGTGTACTTCCAACGAAAACAGTGCGCATAGGTGCCAAGGTCGCTGCTTTTATTTGCCTTTTTGCCCGTTTGCTTTTTATTATTTCATTGGTTTCATTGGGCGCACGCGTGCTCTCGGCACGAATGACTTTTACAAAAGTCACACTCCCAATTAGTCAGCTTGCGTACGCGTGCAAAGCTGTAGCGGTTCTGCGCGCGACAAGTGTGTACGTGGCTGTCGCACGACTGCTGGTCGGCGGAGCGCTATTGATTCTCCATTTTCGTCAGCTGGAAAGACGTCGGGCGTGCCGCCGGCGCGGCCTCGTCGCGCTCCTCGCGAGGCAGCCGAGCAGTTCGGCACGAGCGCGCGGCGAACTTCCGGCGCGCCGCCGGCTCCGCCTTCCTACTGCGCACGTGCGCGCGTTTGGAATATCGCTGCGTGTGCGCTTCGTCGTGGCCGACGCTCGCGAACAAAAGCGTGCCGGGTTTCTCGTCTCGACGAAGACGATATGCCCCCGCCGCTGGCACTCTTCCTCGGCCGAGCGAGGGGGCTGCGTCGGGACAGTCCGTCTCCGTCGAACGGACTCGCGTCTAATTTTACGAAGCTCGCCATCGATGTCAGGGCGAAGCGGACGGCAGCGCGAGCTATCGAGCGCGCGGCCGCGTCGAGCGCTAGGCGAGCGCTTTCGCTTTCAAGGAGTCCAATAATCTCGCATATTTATATCGATTGGGCGCGGCGCTCAGCAGGCAGCGACGACGCGCTTTTAGATTCGCGTGATAGACAAGGCCGCGGCGGAACGAAACGACGCGCGAGCGGAGCGCCGAGAACTGGAGGAAGCGCGCTTTCCCGCGGCGAAGCTCGTCGCCGGCTCGAAAAGCTCGCCGCGCGTTTGTTGCACGGTGGACTATAATTTGCCGGTGAGTGTATACGCGCCGCTATTTATAGCCATGCGGACTCGCGAGAGCAGCTTGCCAGCGAGCATTGAACTCGATTTCAGCGTCTCGCGCGAGTAGCCGGCGTAGTCGACGATTAATCGCGGCGAGATCGACACCCGGCGATGTTCAAAAAATTTGGCCGATGATGTTAAGCTCGACGAGCATCGGCTATACGTAACGGCTTGGCGGGATGTCACCGATATGTTCTCGACGGCGCACTACCGGACGACTCTCTTTCCTCGTGAGCGCGTGGTAAGGACGAATCGCGTCGCCGTGAGTTATGGATGGCCAACTTGAAAAATAGAGCTTACGGCTTCGTTGCGTAAAGCGCTACGGGCGGCTCTACGCCTTGGTTTTTCGTTGTGTTGCAAGTTCGGTCGAATCGATTGTTTGCCGAGTGACCACCCAATCTCGTATCGATCAACGGAGCTTTCCCGAGACGCGCGGAGTCGCGGTCGACCGTAAAAGAAGAAAAAACCACGTCGCATTGTCTGGAACATGTCAATTCCCAAACAAACTTGGCCGGAGAAGAGAAAAAAAGGAAACTCCCACGCCCGAAAGTTATTCGACCTTCTTATGCGACAAAGGAAAAGAAAGAGTGAGAGAGAGAGAGAGAGAGAAGCAGCGACGTGCGCGCGAAGGCCGCAGAGGTAGGAGACTTCCCAGTGCTCTCCACGCCCACGCCCACGCATCGCAAATACGATTGCGTAACGGCGACGTATTACAGCCAAGTGGGTCGAGACGCTGTCGTGAAGCTTCGATCTGGTCGGATACTCGCGCGAAGAGAACTGGCGCTATCTTATCTTTTGGGCCGCTAGGACCGGATTAGCGACAGGTTCGTCCCGAGGGCCTGGGCACGCTGGTCCCGCGAGCGCTTCCTCCTGGCGACGAGCCTCGCGTCAACTATGCTAATCGCGTTAGCGCGTCCGCCGAAGGCTCGCTTTCTCTCGCGAAAAGAAGCGCGTCGTCGGAGTGCAGGCGCGCGAGGCGAGCGCGCCTCGAAATATCGACATACATGGTCGCGCTGCGCTCCTGCGCGCGCGTACCGTTATGTATGGCTGGCGCCGCGGACATGCGAATCTCAGGCGCGGGGCCACGCCGCCGTTTCTGCGCGATTGTCGCCTGAACGCCCGCCGCCTGCGTGACGGAAGGCGAACCGCGGCGGAGTGCGGTGCCTCGTTAACGCTCGACTCGATCGAGCGACATTCGCGTCGCGACGGCTTGCCCCTTCCCCCCGCCCGCCGGTCGTCTCAGGAGGGACGCTGCTGTCTCGTCGTCGATTCATCATTGTTTGCGCTTGCTCGACAGACAGACGGCCCGTTGCGTGGCGCGATTTTCGCGAGAAAACACGGCCTCGGCCGAGTCTCAAAGCCAGCAAAAGAGACTCGCAGTCGCGCTTCGTCGTCGCGGAGCCGCATGTAGGTCATTGGCTCTTTTACCAGAGTCCCTCGGCTCTCGCAAAGAAAGTCGCTCGGCGAGTCTCTCGCGCACAACGCCGAGTGGCTTTATTTGATCGTCGTCGTTTCTCTGACCCGACCCCTCGTCACTTACCTTTGGAATCTCATTATCACGGACGACGAGTTGCGTTAACGCTTACCGCGATCGCTCTATTCTTAGAGCGCAAAGCTAGTCGATCGTGGTCCCGGGATGATCGTTCTCAAACGACTCGTTTCGCTTCGAACGCGGCAATGAAAAATTCACGATGATCGGGCTCCGAGTCGACAGACAGCGATCTATTCTCGTAGAGTTTGTCGCGACAATTGTACCAAATGCAAATGCCGATCGTTTCGCTTTATTGTTTTTTTTTTTTTTTTTGCGTCTTACCGGCACTTACATATTTAACTCGTCTGACATTCGCATGCCACGGCTTCGCTAAAAAATCGTAATAACGAATGATTTATTCACAGATATATCTTTCCTATTGAAACTTGAAAAGTCACACGTTCTTTTTGAACTGCGTGTCTTTAAAAGAACTTTATGCGTTAATTTCACCTTGGAAGATGTCCTAAATGCTGTACTAGATTGTTTTAGCAAGCAGTTATTTTAATGGACTGCTTGGTTTGCGCGCGCTCGGAACAAAAAAAAAGTGATCTAATTGTCGTGTCGTCGAGCGAATTCCACCCGTTAAATAATGCGGCAGCATGAAAATGCCGATAGTTCTCACGTAATGAGAAAGTCCCGGCGATCGTTACGAAGCATAATGACGCATAAGCGCTCGAGCTTTTACTCAGGCGTAATGTTCGCTCCGCGAAAATCCCGAGTACGAGTATTTCCCTGGCGGCGAGCTTCTCTCGTAACGAGCGAGCGTGCGAGTGGCTCGACGCAGAGAGACCGTTGCAGCAGCAGCAGCAGCTCGCCGAGTGAAAGTGAAAACGCTCGTGCCGCGCGAGACGTGTGCGCTCTCGCGGCGCGGCGCAGGAATCCCGCTTCTAATTGTCGCGCGCGCGCGTTTGCCAGTGAGCGAGGAGCGGCGGAAGCCACGCGGGCGCGCGCCGCAAGGAGGAAGCGAGGGTTTCCGCGGCGGAGCGCGCCGGGGAATGCAAATCGAGCGGCGTGCCTTGGTAACGCGCCCGAGGAAGCGTTGGATCGATGGCCGCGCGACAGTCATGACGCGCGAGCGGCCACGCTTCGGTCGCTCTCCGCTGGCCGTCGAGTCCGACGACATCGTCGCCGTCAAGTTGGCCGCCGACGCGCAACGACGCCTCGGCTGCGTGGTCAACGAGCACGTGTTCCTCGAGTGTCCTTACGCCTTTGTGCCGCGCGACGAGCTTCTGGACGTCGCCCGAGGGTCGGGCTCGCCGTTGAACGCTATCGCGGATCGGATCAAAGCGAGGAGTGCGCCTGAACTGCTGGTGGGATACGCTTCCGACGAGATCGAGCCCAGGGAATCTGGTGCGAAATAAATTTTCATTCATCATTCCGAATGATTTTGAGATAGAAGTCGTCTTGAATTTCAAACGTGCGCAGGTGATTTCGTGATCTGCTTGACGGAAGAAAGTACGCGAGCTTTGGTCTCTCACAATCGCACGATCACCAAGAGCATTCTGAAGCTCGTGCAAGAAGCGATTCGAAAATCTCCGAGACCATGGACGGATTTGGGATCGACGGTCCAATGCGAGGACAACTTTTTGAATACTAGTCGATCGTTGTTTAAAATCGACCTGCATCTGCCGATATCTGAACTATGTCGACCGAGATCTTTAACGGATTGTGGCCCAGATGATACCAGAGATGGTTGCGTCGAATTGACACCGTTGTACGAGACGTTTGATAATGTTGAGTTTACGACCATATCGCAAGCTTGTCAGACAAATCTTGGAAACGCAGATGCAGAAGCGCAGACTTATCCTGGAAATCCGAAGCATCAGTGGACGCAGTATGAACTCGAGATACCAAACGAGTTTACGGCGATTTGGAAGGGTAGAGACGAGAAACGACAGGTAAATGAAATCCGAAATTCCGAATTGAACGAAGGATTAAATCACGTCTTTTTAAAATCAAGGAGGAAGACAAAGAAAAGAAAGATCGAGAAAGTTCATCCGAGAACAAAGACGAAGAAGACACCGAGGTTGAAAAGACCGAAGAAGAGATAGCACGCGAAGAGAAGCGCCGCCATGAATGGGAAAAGCTGAGCGAATTCTTGAAAACTCACGTAGATAGGATGATCGATACAATCTCGTTTAACGCTTCAACAAATCTCTACAGAAACGACGTTGCCAACTTGGCTAGCAAAAATTGGCTACCGATGTTCGTCGATCCCTGCAGCAACTACGAGAATCGAGCGACTTTGATCGATTTGAAGGCAATAGGCAATAGATATCTCTTCTCGATGTCTTGGCATTGCGAATTGGACGATATTTTGGCGTGCGTTTACTTGGATCAACGCGCCACAAGAGAGTCGTTGATCGCTGTTTGGTCACTTGAAACTCCACTTCAGCCGAAAATGGTTTTAAAGTGCGAGGAGAAAGTTTCTATCATCGCGTTTTGTCCGTCGGCTGATTATACGAATGTGATTGTCGGAGGATGTTTAGATGGAACGATCGTCTTGTGGGATATTAATCGGCAAATATTGACGTCCAAGTACGTATAATTAAACTCGCTTTCTTTTTAAACATTCATTGACATATCGTATGTTGAAGTATACATCTCCAAGAATTGCCAATCGAAGAAGCAAAAATCACCGGTTCGTCCAGAAAATCTCAAAAGCTTACGATAACCAGCATCCAGTGGTTACCATTCTGGTGTCGAATCGCGTCCGACGGTAACTTCCAAAAAATCTCAGTCGACTCTCCAAGAGATAAAAGAAGTTGCTTCGCTACATCCTCAACGGATGGTACGATATTTTTTTGGAGCTTGCCGAAATCCTTGTCAACTCTAGCAACAGCTCGCAGTCCTCTAGACATGAACATCTCGCCAATCTACCAGTTGATTCTCGAGAAACTTGACGATAAAGTACCAACCCGTGTATCCATTACTAGTTTTCTTCTCCCTCTAGCAAAAAACGAAGAGTCCTCAAGTTTGAGTATTCGCGATCAAACGGATCTCGAACGTCTTCGTAAAGTCTTCGTGGGCACCTTTACAGGTGAAATCCTTTATTGTGGCTGGGAAAGTCAAACTTTCGCTGTTGACTCGAGCAACAAGGAAGTCTGCAAAATAATCCAGAGATGTAACGTTCATGATGGCATTGTGAGGTGTATGGTCAAGGCATCTCATCTCGACGACGTGTTTCTTACCGTGGGAGGTAGAGTATTCGCGATATGGAAGGAGGACTTTCCACAAGCACCGATATTTCACAGCAGATCAAAGGATGAGAGATACGGTGAAGGGTGCTGGAGTGGAAGATCAGGGATGTTTATACTTACGAGACTGGATGGTAGGTTTGAGGTTTGGGATTTGAAGAGGAAGGCTGATCAACCTATTCGGCTACAGACTGTGTCGGAAAAGGTACCAGCAAAAGTTCAGTAAAATTTGGAGAACAAATAATTCATATTTTTGAATATGGATATAGGTGACACCGTATATCTGTTCGAGTCCATTGTGTTATCGACAGAAACTCTTATCAGTACTGGATGGTGTTTCGACTGTTAGAGTCTTCGTAGAACCAGACGAATGTGTAATTGATGAAGATTTGGAACGAGTAGAGTGGTTCGAGGAATTCGCTTGGAGAGAAACCAAACGCAAGCTCGACTTTCATCGATGGCAGGATGAGTATCTGTCGAAAAATCCCGTTGCCTTGCGCCGTAAACAAGAGCGCGAGCAGGTCGAGATTAACAAACGACATCAGGAAGCGAGAGAACGATTTTTGAAGGTATGCGATAGCGATATGGTGCGTCACGAACGGATGGTTTTAATTTTTGTCTCAACTTGTTAAAGGAGCAAGAAGCACAAGCTCGCGCGGAAGAGGAAAGCAAATTAGCTAAACGCCGAGTTTCAAAAACGGTAATTTTGCGCAGAAACGAGCGCTCGCGTGCAGAAGCCATCCTCCTGCAGAAGAAAGGCTTCGTCCCAGCTGAACTCGAGGAGAAGCGAAAACCCTTGGTCGATCTCGAAGATTTACGTCGAGTTCAGGCGCAGAAGATCAGCGAAGATCTGAACCGAGCTGACGAGCTGTTAAAGAAAAGTTTAGCTAGAAAAATACCGGAGATGAAGATCGTCGAAGATGAAAATGAAGCCGAAAGCGTGGCAAGATTCGTACCGAAAAGTAAACAAGATTACGAGCAAGAGTTCAAGGCAGTAAAAGAGGAATTGACCAAGAAAATTAAGGAGCAATCTTACTTTCCGAGCTTCGATTGGAAGACAGCAATGCGTACCGGTGCCGAAAGAATGCAAAATGCTAAAAGAAGAGAATTGCAGGATCGATATTTGCAAAAATACGCGAAAATTCAATGAAATTAAACAGTTGTGTTTTACTGCTCACCTGCCATTCTACAAATACCTTAAAAAATAAATAAAAGGCGACGTCGAAAGCATATAGCAATTGAAAATCCTCGCAAATCTTAATCGTCCACGTGCGCCTAACAATTTAATCTCCGTCTATTTTCTCGCAGACTCTCGACTAAACCTCGAAGCATGCTTTTTATCTCGGCGGAGTATTATTCGCATCGTATTGTCCCGGAATAGCCATAAGATAGTGCACATATTCAAGTTGGCTTTTCTTGACAATGCATCGCTCGCGATAAAGAAAAAAGAATCACAATGGCGAGAGGGTTTATTTAAAACGTTGCCGATAAGTGTAATTTGTCATTTTTAATTTGTACTTTTTAATTTGTTATTATTTTAAACTTTATAAGATGAATATGCGAAATAAATCGTAAAAAAATCTGTTGTCATATATATTAGATTATTATTTACCGAAACGTGTGTGAATTGTAAAAGCTCAACAGTGTCTGGCGTAAAGTCTCGAAAATAATACATTCTTCGTAAAATTTGAATCTAAAATTTACCATTTCAACTTTCAGATTCTCGGTATCATATGTATGGCATTGGGTGGACATGGATGGTACATGTTTGTCTGTGCTGCAGCGTTCGTTATTACATTGATTTGGTGTGTTATCTACTTTTTCTCTGTACGAGAATCCCTCAGTTTACCTATAAACTGGATACTGACGGTAAAGTCACTTAAAATTTTTCATATACTTGAATGAATTAGTTGAACTCTCTTGTATGTACTAATGATTGAACATTTGTATCTTTTTAGGAATTATTAAATACTGCAATCTGGACCGTCCTCTACTTCACTGCATTCATAGTCCAAATAACAACTTTATTTCATTGGGGAGTGTACGTGGCTGGAGCGGTAAACGACTATGATATTTATTTCATAAAGTCATCCTTTCAATCGTCATTTTTAAATCCTGCCTTTTTACAACCAATAAATAATTTTGATAGTATGAAATAAGAAATAACGCACCCGCCAGTCCTTTATACTTAACGAAACTTGACTTTGACGACTTATTTACGACTATGTGTTCAAACTATTTTCAAAAACTGTTGTTAAAATGTTATTAAACTCATGATATGTCAGTCAAATCAAGTCGCAAGCTCATTTTCCAAAAGCTACTTCTTCCGCAAATCACTCTAACGGCATTTTCCTCCATTTTCAGGTATTCTGCATCCTGAACACTCTGATCTACGCAGCAGGCGCCTACTTTCTGTACCTGGAATACAAGAACTAGTAATATCGCATCGGCGAGCGTCGAACGCACATCAGTTATACACCGAGTCATATCTCTCTTTCTCTCTCAAAGAAGTCCTCAGAACTGGCCGAAAGCACGCGTCGCCACAAACAAAAAGCTCATTATTTCCCATCGACGTTCACTTTCCTTTCACTTAGAATTTTGTTTGAAAGCTGCCTAACGTTCTCGAGTTGTCGCACGGCGATCGTCCGAGAACAATTTTTATACTTAAAAAGAGGGGGGTTAACACGCTCGCATGTAAAGCGACCATTATAACGCTTGACACTAAACACACACACACACACACACACACACACATACACACCCACACACACAGTGCCTTATATGTATACATACCCGTTTGTCATTTTTGCCTAGCCACACTTCTATTCCGCACGAATCGATGTACTCGTCGCGCGCGCGAGTTTGTTTGCGACTGTTTGTTGTCCGTTCACTAATTCTCCCGTCGTTCGCCAATTTGTCCACGTCGGGTGTAATTCTCTTCTAACGATATCGAAACGCAAGGGGCAGCCTGTGTTTGAGCGACGGGTCATTGTCCATCGATTCACCGTTTAAACAAGAATGGAAAAAAAAAAACATAATATATATGCAAAGAAGGTATGGCGTTTATTATTGCGTGGACAGCTGCATTTACTAAAAAAAAAGAAGAATACCGAGTGTCGTCATTTCTATAACAGATTATTATATATTTGTTACTTGTTAAACGAAGATAGTCGAGTTTTTAATATAAAAATGAAAAGTATATTTATTTATCTTATTGTAACAATTGTCTAATATATTAATAATTTTTCAGCATTAATCTGTATCAATGTATTTGTATGATTGAGCAGCGTAAAAGAAAAAGCTTTCTTTTTCCTCTTTTGTATAATAATATAAATACGGTCGTTCTGTATTTATTATTATGCCGTACATCCGAGTCGCTATTTTTACGTCGAAATAATTACTGAACAAAGAGTTATAATAAAAATAATGCGTACAAAGATTTGAAAAAAGGACACAAGCTGTCAACGATTGTTACGCGCGAAGCTTGTCATCGATTAGCTTAAACGCTGAGGAAAATAATTCGAGTTCAGTTTTATCGGCTAAATCATAGTCATTTCTATCTCCATTTTTGAAAAATATTTTTCGCGCGTAACAATAATCGATTATGCTGTATATAACAAACAAAATAAAGATAACTATTCAATACGTCTTTACATCCGTTCTATCTTCCTTGCATGCATCCTTTACACAAACGTCTACAAAGGAGACTTATTATTCGACGTGAATGTAAAATTTCACGAAGCAAGTCCAATTCGATGTTCGAATGAAGGTCATTGTTTTCCATCTTCAGAAACGTTGCAGCGATAAGTCTAATGAGTTCAATGATCACAGAAGTTATCTTCGTTTAGATTAAAAGTGTCATTTGAAAAAGGCGCTTTAAAAATGCTCGCAACGATTAATTTCCCTTCTAATTTACTCAGCCCCCCCCCCCCCCCCGGACCACATTGCAACAAGAACACACAGCAGCGCAGAGCCTAGAAATACGCATTCGTTTTTCCCCGCGACGCAAACAAAGCTCTCGGCCGTCAAAACAAGTCTCTCGCTGACCCAAAAACCGAAAAGCCTGACGTCAGCCGCGCCTTTTCCGAATCAAGATCATCGCGTAGCCGCGAAGATCCGCGCCGAGCGCGCATCGATCAGAAGCGGCGTTTTTCGGCCTCGCCTCTCTCTCTCTCTCACTTTCTCGCGTGTCCAGCGTTATTACGAAGACGACGATGATATCAGCGGCGGCGACGGTGACGTCAGCGGCCGAGCCGCCGTGCCGTCGCCCGTGTTTTTTTTTTCAGTCGCGCGCCTTCGCTCGCAGTCGACCGCGAGCTACCGACGCTCCACGCGCAGACTTTGCTCCGCCGACGCACGTAAGTCATATACCCATTGCCGTTCGCATGTGCACGTAGAGATACGTACGAGGACTCGTTGCGCCGCGCGCCAGCTGCGCTCGGGCAAACGATCGTTTGGGCGCGATCGCGTCGCCGATCGAGGCGAGAAGGACGAGAAAAACTGGCGAGTTTCCGCTGGCGTACGCACGGCGGACGCGGAGAGTGAAAGCGTTGGCGTCCGCGGCTTATCGATTTTCGCGCGGCGGTGCGTAAAGAGCGCGTCGCGGGCGCGACAGGAGGAGGCGTGGCGGACGCTTCTTACCGGACCTTTTGTTATTGCACGCGCAAGGAAACACACACTCGTGGACGGCAAAAAACGTCGTAAAGCAAAACTATTGTGCCTTTGTCCGTCGTGGAACGACCCCTCGTCACGGCCTTATTTATTTTTCGCCGCAATGGAATTATTTAACGAGTACTCGAATACTCCGATGAAGCTGGTACCGATTAGATAATCGTGGTCTCGTTAAAAATAAATTTTGCACATTTTTTTTCCTGGCATTCTCATTCGCAGAGGTTGCTCGCGTATCGGCCGGCCGTTCGTTTTGGTCATTGGACACGCGAACGTACAGCGTCACGTTTAAAAATAAAAAAAGCGAACGCCGCGTTCGCCGTATACCTTTCTAAAAAAAGAAAAACGAACGGATCGCGCGCGCGAGAGCAACTTGTTGATAAAGCTCGCGTTGCACGCCCGCAAACGATAAGAGGGAGCGAGAAAGAAAAGGCTCGCGAATCGTCGTCGCCGCGGGAGCGAGAAGAGGAAAGAAAGAACGAAGAAAAAGACACGCGTATTTGGGTCGCGGTGTTTCGACGGCCTTGCACTCATTTCATTTCGGACTTATGGTCATCGCTCACGGTGCACCGTCGCGAACGAGCCGTGCGCGGCTGTCTGCGCGTATTTCTGTATCTTCGCCGCGCTGCGAAAACGCTGGGACACCGTTCGAGACTAAAAATATGTAGCGTTCCTTGCGCGCGCCGCCATGGACAGAACGAATTTTTTCGGCCGACGATGGGAAAAATCAAGCGATCCCCGATCCCGGCCACGTTTTCAGGTGGATGACTTTCGTTTTGCAGCAGGGACCGATTGAACGAAAAGATGTCGCACTCGGTGACGATCCAAACGAGGACGGTGACCACTGGCAGCCCGTCGGCGATCAACACGTCGTTTTTCAGATCATGGACGGGAATACTGAAGCTCGCACAAGTGGTACGTACTTTGCGTGCGGCTTTCGCTCGGCCGCGCACCGACGACTACGTAGCGTCGAGACGATTGCTTCTATTTTTCGACCAAATCCGCGCAACCAAAAGGATCAAGTGCGAATATAGTGCGAGTATAGGTGCTCGGATGTAGTGGTGCTTGAGAAAAATGACAAGGAAAGTGGAAAATAGTCAAGTAAATATTTGGCCTCGGGGAATCGCACGCGTCGATGACAAGACAAGCAGCTCATCTTTATTCGGTACAACCATCGGGCACCTTCCACCTTCTTTTTTTTTTTATCGAGAAATAACAAGATAATATAATGACGTATCGGCGGAAATTCATCCCGGCGCTTTTCTTTTAATTGGTATCGCTGGATTCAATATCGATAACGCATATATTATCGACGCTCTGTCAGTTCAACTTGGTAAGATTCAGGGATGACAATTACGGAAAAGTACTCTTCGAAAAACCTGACGCTATGTAGTTAAGACTAAAAATTATGATAACAAGTAAATATCAGAGATATAGTGAGAGAAAAGTAGCTTTTTTACAGAACAGTTAACCAAAGTGGTATTCTTGGCAGCAGTCGTCGATGTTATTAAAAGTAAAGGTCGTAGCGCAAAAGTGGAAACATGCGTAAGCGATTGCGACGACTTTTATGCGCATCTCAAGCTCTCCGCATAATTCATATTTCGAAGCGACTTCGTCGCGGCCCTCTTCTCGCCTCGCTAAGCGTATAGACGTGGCTAAGCACCCACTTGGACATGCCGTCGACGTGCCCAACGAAAAGTCAGCTCGCTGACGATAGCCGTTCTCTCGAAATAAATTCGCGGCGAATCGCTGGAAATACGATCGAGAGCGCGCCATTATTCGAGAATGTTGCTGCGCGCGCAAGGGAACAACTTGGCGTCGCCTGCTTTTGGTCGACCAGCAAGGCCAACCAAGCGACGTGGAATGGGTTTGGCTGTTGTTTTTTTCTCTTTTTTTTTTTTCATCACGAGAGACGTAACGTTGCGCGATCAGACGGGGGAATCGCGAATATAGCAGAACGCGCGGGACGCAGCGATAAATGCGCAATTGATTATTCAGCGGCAAGCTAAATTGCACGCCTTTTAGTCGTTCGCAAGGGCGTCTTACATCGACTTCAAGTTGAAGATTAAGCTCGTAGCGCGGTGACAAACGGCACGCTTGAGCCATTGTTTTTGAGAAAAAAGAAATTTTATCGTGACGAGTCGACCTCGGCCGTTCGTTCGCGCTCGATCCCTCTGGTTTTTCAGCCGGCCGATTAAAGAGTTTGCACTGAATACTTAGCAGTGCGCGACAACGTGACGCGCAGGCTGTATCAAACTGTCGCAGCAACAAGAGTAGATAAGAGGAAAGGCACGCGACACCCAAGTCCGTGAGAGCAGTTGCGCGACAAAGAGATGCTATTTATAGTCACAAGTATAATTAGGGAGTTACACGTGAAAGCCCATCGGAGTTGACGGCGAAAAAACCATCGCGAGCGCAGAAGCTGAAGCTAGTCTGCGAACGTTGAGGAACGAAAAATTGATAATGAGCGATTTGCCAGTCGGTCGCGGTCTCTCAAGAAGGCGATGAGCTCATCGCGCGAGTATAGTATCCCAGATGAGTCACTGATAACGTCAACGAAAAATTCATTCGCCGGACTGTAAAAACAAGCGCGGCGAAGGAATTAATAGCCGCATCCGAAATCGCTCGGGATCGGCGAGGTTTAACGATCGCGGGAGGCAATTTGGCTCGGACGGACTGCGGCGCGTCGCATATGGCTCGGCACGAGCTCCGTAATAACGAAATGTTTTGACGAACCGCAGATTTTGGGCGCAGTCTGCGTGGGTTTGGTCGGATATTACATTTCCCACCACAGCGTGAACAATCGTTACCTTGGCGGCACCGAGATAACCTTTTTCATGCTGATTGCGACCACCTTCATGATTGCAACGACGATCTTAGTGCTGAGCTGTTGTTGCTCCTACACGACCGAGTCCATCATTTCCAAGACTGTTTTCGTGAGTATACGGCCTCGCATGCGCCTCCGCAGCGACCGATCGAATGCTAAATGCTAATTGGTGCACGTATTCTGTTTGCGCAGGAGCTCCTGTATCACGCATTCGGCTTCGCTTTGCTCCTCGCTGCGTCGGTCACCCTCTTAGTGAACGTCTCGAACAATTATTATTACGACAAGAATCAGCTGACGGCTGCATGTGTAAGTTTGCCCTACAGTAGCCGGGTGACTATACTCGTGCGAGCAGCCAATTGGCACGTGGGGGGCTGCCCAATTCCAACTAAATGAACATGCTCTGTTACAGATCTGCGGCATAATTAATTGTGTGCTGTACCTTATCGTCACCCTGTTCGCCCTTCGAACCTCGCGAGGCTTGTAGATCTGCGCCGCGCTTTAGGCTCGCGCGGGCGGCAAAGGCGGTGAGCGGCGGCGGTCGACTTTGCACGGAAACATTAAGGCACTGCCAATTCGTAACTGCAGACCGCCCTTTCAACGGCGACGCTCGTTTCAATTTCTATAGATTTGGTCGCGTTCGCAAATCGCGTTGTGCGAGCTGCCTAACCGCGCCGAACCCGAAAAAAAAAACCGTCAAAGGAGCTCATGTGTATGTACTTATACTTAACGCGCTGTCGATGGAAAAGTCTAAATGTGTCTTTGGTGTATAATCCCGCGAATCAACATTCTGAGCTTTGGTAGTCAGGTGCGTTAGCTTTTGTCGTGACGTTTGCATTAAAAAAGAAAAAAAAAAGAAAAAAAAAAAAAAAACTGTCAAGTTTTCGACGTACAAACTGAAAATTCCAAAATTCGATGCATTTCGACGGTGGACACAACAAGCGCAGCGATCAACGCAGAACCAAACGAAAGATTTTTATATTTTCGACGATTCTTTTGTAACTACGACGTTTACCATTGTATCGTGAAATAAGCCTTTTGCTACAGAGCTATTAAATGTTGAAAAATAGAAGCAATCTACCCGACGTGTAGGCGATTAAGTGAACTAAAGTTCGAAATCAATAATCGAACGCCAAGCGTTAAAGTTGTACTGTCTTTTGCAAAAATTAAAAAAATTATTAATCAATATTCAAGGTATGTACTTATATACGTAGGATGTGTGCATTCACACAGATAATATAGATCTGTAGCTTCCGTTGTAACAGAAAGGTGCATATAATATTTATTTCTTTGCATTTCTTACCATTTATTATCGCGTGTACGCAAAACACATTAATTTGGAGTACTTATTAACACGGTTGCGTTTATTATTAATACTATACATGTATTTTGCGTAAGATTCTTAATATATATTTTGCATTAGTTTATTTGTAACGTTTACGTAACTTTGTCACCATTAATTTTAATCCGCATTGCAGTTTTGGCATTGTAGACTTTTCAATGTACCATTGTTAATGTTGAATAAAGTTTACGAAGAAAATCACTCAAGTGTCGTTCTTGCAGTTTTCTTGTAGTTTTAGCAATTAGCGAAAAGAAATACCGCGACTGATATTATTCCAAATGTTGTAATTACAGGTTAGCGGGTTGATTGTCATGAGTTTATTAGTATCGGCGATAAATGAGCAACAGTTATTTTCCCGAGATATTTTCTTGATGCTGATGGCAACGTCGTTCATGATGGGTACAGGCATATTTATAATAAGTTACGTTTTCTCGCCAATCTCCGAGCCTATTATAGGAAAGACGAATTACGTAAGTTTCATTACCGCCCGTTAATTTTTCTCTGTCGAACTCCAAATAAAATTAATGGAATTCATTGGATTGTAGGAGTTAATTTATAATGGTCTGGCTTCTCTTCTGTTACTCATCGGCGGAATCATCGTCGTTAACGACGCCTCTCATCGTCTCAACAGTGAACTGATGATGGCGGCAGGCGTAAGTGATCGATGATTTTCATGCCAAGTGAAAGGAAAGTAACAGAACACGGTGTTTCAGGTGATAGGTATCATAGACGCAATCTTGTACACCGTCAACTTCGCTTGGGCGATCCGTCTGAAATTCGTTAAATGACCCATCGACGTGCAGACTTGAAGAAGAGAAAGTTTAGACTCGACATCGAAGCGCAGACGTATATTTTCTAGGTGCGTCGAAGGGGCCATCGATGTGATGGCGTTTTACGACAATGTGCGCCGTAGATATAGTATGAGTCCTTTTGTCGAAGCATTTCCGACTTGTTTCATCTTTTGGATATCTCGCGAACGAAGATTTTATTGAGTTTTCATTAATTTGCCTTCGTATGTAGAACTTTTCCTTTCGTCTTCCTATACAACGACCAAAAGTTTATAATTTTTATTTTGTATAATATTTTACGCGATAAGTGTCAGCTTTCGTATTGTTTACATAAAGTGCGCATAAAACCGACCATAGGTAATTATCTTTTAGTGAGAACAATGTTGGATCGTCAAGCGAACTAAAATCGCTGCTGAGACGATCGAGCTTTGGGCGCACTGGTTTGCCGTGTAACATATCCGAGTGTCGACTTCGTCACAAGCGCAAAGTTCTCGTTGTGAAAGTCGGAATGTTATTCTACCTCAAGTATACGTGGAAATGACAACAATTGTTTAAATTATAACGAAGCGCTAGCTCTTATACGACAAGCGCTTCAATGCCATTAACGGTGCCCTCGCATTGGTACTCCTCGCAGTAGAGCAACCAGAGCTACACGTGTGCACGGAATACCATCATCTGCTGCGGGCTCAAGAAATAGACTTCCGGCAACGTATCTGTGGTGCAATTTAATAATAGTGTGGTATAGCGACTCCTTTAGAGCTGACACATTACCACGCCTTTTGATTAGCGTAATGGAGTTGATATTTGTCAAGAATGAACTTTATTCAAAGCATCAATGAAAGTCTTGTTCACTTCGTAACTATTAGCATCGATATGTCAACGTATCAATTCATAGAAGCACTCGATATAAACCGAATTGGAATAATAAAATCTTATCCGCATTCAATTATGTTTATTTACTGCCAACAGCCATTTATCTTCAATCCATCCCGTATATAGTTTTTTCAAACGTCAATTGGTAACAAATTAAGTTAGCGGCTCGTAAATGGCATTTTTTTATTTCCCAGGTTGTCCGTAATGACCAATCATCCCGGTAGGAGGAAAACACGGACTTTACCTCGCTCACTCGATATATTTTTTCATGCATGCAATAGTGGAATGTCATTGTGTACGTTGAAAATGTGCTCAGACGGACTTTAGGATCCGAATTGATTTGTCCTGTAGCACTTTACGTCGATTCAGATATATAATTACGAATTACAATAAGAGCCTGAAAAGGTTTCTCGGACTTGATTTGCGAATTGTCCGTCCTCGTGCAAATCCCTATCAACTGAGAACGAGCAAAATTGTATCTTAAAATATCTTCGACTGCTTCGAGAATTGTAATTCGAAGTTATGACGTAGACACGAGCGAATTCGTAAAATATTAACCTTACTTAAGATCATGTAAATTACTGTAGCCGTGCGTGGTAGAAAGCACGTAAAAGTAGAGTATACAAGTTGGCTGATTAAAGAATAAGGAACTTGGAAAAAGAAGGGCAAGCAATGGAATTTCTTCGAAATAACAAGCCAAAAGATATTTAATCTTTATTAAACACATCTTCAGTTTCGCTCGTTCAATTTGAAAAATTGGCACGCGAAGGTTTTTTTCGATATTGCATACTTTTCTGACAGTCGAACGTAGAATGAGAATCGTAGCAACGGCACTTCCGCCGCAGGACTCGCGCGCATTAAAAGCCCGAGCTGTCATCCGCGCCATTCAAAAGTTCACGGTTCATCGGGCCATCCACGCGAGCCAAGTATAAACCGAACGAGCGCGCGCGCTTCCCGTCATCCGGAAGCTCGATTTCCCCTTGACGCGCGTTAAGCTTCGTGGCGTCCGCCAAATAAAGAAGAAATAGAAACGAAAGACAAATAAAAAAAAGTGTACGCGACAGAGAGGAAAGATGGAAGCCGCGTGTCGCGACGTCTCCTCGGGTCTCCCGAAATAGTCGACTATGCGAGGGGTGCAACGACATCCCTCGGTACGGAGTCTCAGTCAGTCGGTGACTTGCATCGCGGCGAATAGCTCGTCGTCTCTTCCAGCGTGAGGCCCAGACAGACATCGGTCACGATGAAAATCGGCACTGGCAGCAGTGGTCACGGCAATGGGCCGATCATCAGAGTGGTCGAGCCAACGTCGCGCACCAACAGCGGAGGTTTCGAGTGCTGCTTCGTGCGCTGCTGCACGTGCATTCACCTGCAGTTCCTACGCACGTGGCCCGGCATCCTCAAAGTTCTCGAGACCGTACGTATGCGTTCTTGCAATTGTGCAATTTTTCATACTGCGAGATGAGCGACACTGCTGGTGTGCTTGTATTCGTAAATCCGATGAGCACGACGTAAATATTTGCGTTCTCTTGATCATTCAGAGTGAAGTGAAGAGAGAGAGAGAGAGAGAGAGAGAGAGAGAGAGAGAGAGAGAGAGAGCGCGTGGCACGATCCAGATGATTTGGCTTATTTCACGATCACTTTTCTTGATACTTTATAGAGATTGACTCATAAACTCCGAAACTCGAAGTAATCAAGCGTTCGTGAAATATTACTTAAAATGCTTACGGATCGACAGTATGTCGATGTGACAGTAGCGCACAGCGAAAATTCACGCGATCAACGTGCTGCTAACAGCGATTAGCCAACAAAGTCGAGTCAATCGCGAAATGGTGCGTTTCAGAAGACGACCTGAGAATCGTGGTCAAAGCTGTCAGATGGAAAAACTGGTTGAAAGTAGCGCTCGCGTCCAGTGTGAAAATGCTTTCTCTCCCGTAGGTAATCAGCGGCCTGATCCAAAGCCTGCTCATCAATTACGGACTGCGCTACAGCGCGACCATCGGCACGGCGTTCGAGGGCGCGCTCACCACCTCGTCGGCCTGCTTCCTCACCTCCTCCGTGCTGCTCGTCTGCTACATCGTCTCGGAGAAGTCCTACAGGCTCGTGCGTGGCTCGCTGTTCGTAAGTACGCCTCTCTCGCCGTTTGGATCCTCGCGGCGCACGGGTTCGGATCGCATCTCCGTCGACCGGAGATCGAACCCCTGCCCGCGCGTGCCGACAGCGCGCGTAAACCTCTGCCCTTGAAATTCCCAGGAAATGCTGTTCAACGGGCTCAGCTGCTTCATGTACCTGAGCTCGACCACCTACCTGGCTTTCGCCACCAAAATCTTCCTGTGGCCGATGTACGTCATCACACCCGGCTTCGACGTCTATCCTGCCATGACGGCCGCCTACGTGAGTATACGTCCACGTTGGCGCGCGATGCGCTCTCGCGCCGGCGACGCGCCGCGATTCACGTTCGCGCTCGTCAATCGAAGCGAACGGGAATCGAACGCGTCGATCGCGCGCATCCTTCCAAATATAGGCCCTTACACCGCTGCTGGATCCTCATTAAACTTTCGTGCGCCTCGGCCGTGCGTTTATTTCCAGCTCATGAGCGGCGTCGTTGGACTCGTGCACGGGGCGGACGCATACTTCTCCTTCAGGCAGCTCGCCGCGCAGAGATAGCGCTTTCCAGGCCGCTTTGTGCGCCTCAGCGACGCGCCTCCGAGAAACCTTTGAGTCAGCGACGAGGCATTCGCGTGAGACAGAGAGAGAGAGAGAGAGAGAGAGAGAGAGAGAGAGAGAGAGAGAGAGAGAGAGAGAGAGAGAGAGAGAGAGAGAAAGAGAGAGCGGCCTCTCGCCGTCGACGGATGGACTTTCGCGGCGGCGCGCTCGTCCGATTCGCCCTCTCGGATGCGCCAGCCGCGCCAGCCGCGCCACGACCTTCCTAGGCCGTGCGCCCCGACAGTTCCGAAAATTCTCGCGCGCCACGTCCAACTGTGCTGCTGTTAATTTCATTTGCACAATAAAGAAACACGCAATTGTTCGTACGACTTTCATTCCAGCCAAATCCCTTCCTCTCCGATAAAGCCACGCCGCTTTTCCACGCGACACGGTGATAAACGCGCGCGTAGACGCCCCTCTAGCGCCGGACACGTGCGCGATGCTCCGCGCGACACGTCCGCGTGGCGTCGACGCAAGCGAGCTGGGTAAAACCCGTCCTCGACCGCGCGGCACGTCGATCGGCCAAAAGGTCGGCGCATCCCGAGGGCGTCGCGCGACTTTCCAAGCCCGCGGGGAACCGCGCACGAACCCCCCGTGGTGTATCGCCGAATGACCGGCGCTCGCTTCTTTCCTTAATCGTTCACGGTATTCGGCCGAGCGATCGCTCAAGATTGGCGCGATCAACGCTTCAGTCCGATCGCTTTCCAGGATCGCGACGGTGACGGTCGAAGACGCGCACCTGTTGCCGCTCATCTCCGAAATCCCGCGGTTCTTCCTGCAAATCCTATTCGCCTTAGCGCCGACTGACACGGCTGGAATACGACGAGGGAGAGGGGGGGGGGGGCGACACACTGCCGCTCTTTCTCTCTCTCTCTCTCTCTCTCTCTCTCTCTCTCTCTCTCTCTCTCTCTCTCTCTCTCTCCTCCGGCACGTTTTCACTCTACGTCGGGCAGTCCGCCGCGGCGCACTGCTGTGATCGTCAGTCAACTCTGTACGCGCGTGCTTGCGAGTTGGTGGCTTTTGGGCGCAACAGGCCGATGAACAACCTCACGGATAAGAGTAAGCTGTTTGTTTTATTTCGTTTTCCTTCTTTAAGCGCAGCTGTGTTTTCGCGAGCGAAGAGGCGCGAAGCGGAGCGGGAAACCGGAATGGAAAATTACCGCGCTTCTCGGTATCACTTGCATGCGTGCGCGTACCGACGCAACGATCGACGGTGATCGTATGACATTTCGGCTTCGTTCTCTCGCCGTCGGAGGTACATCGCGACGACGATCGGCAGGTGCCTGCAGCAATCCCGCGCGAGACATGAATTTCGGAGCGCCGACGACTTGTCTCGCGCGCGTACCTGTGCGCGTAAACTCGTGACCTCGTTGTGAAAACGACCGACGTTGCTCGAGCGACGCTGCGGCACGCGTAGTCCCAACAACATCGACGGGGAAACCGGCGACGTTTGGCAAGCGCGCCGCGGAAGGAGAGAAAACATTCCACAGGAAAGCCAAAAGCGTCATCGCCGGAAATGCGATCGGACTTTGAGAACCGTGCGGGAGGTGTCCGTTTTGATCGGCGTGCTGCGCGTCCAATGTCACTCGAGTTTCCTTTTTCCCATTGAAAGCTTTCGATTCATCCGTCGAACAACAGTCGGCGCCGGTCAAAAGTGAATTCCTGCCGTCGTTGAAGACCAAACGAAGAATTGGGGAAGGTCACTCTCCATTCGATACAACTGTCTCGCGTTGAGGTGTGTTTCGTTTGCGCGCGCAAGAAGAAGAGCAAAGTAGAAAACTAGATCGTTCGGTCGGCGTCGATTATTAGGCGAAAGAAAGGACAAATGTGCCCCTCGCTCGAGGACGGCTGCAGCTCGCAGATGTCACGCACGCGCGTGTCTCCGAACGTCACCCGCACGGCACGTGCTACTGCTACCCGACGTGCCTGATACCCTTCCGACCGATGCGCATGCACGAGAGAACGCGACAGTCGATTAGAGCAGTTGCGCGATTGGGAGAAACATTCTTCTTTCGGGAGATAATTGCATTCCGTGCGTGGTTCCTTTCGTGACGGATTGTCGCTCTCACTTGACGATGATACCCTTCACGTATGGCGGTGAAAGTTGAGTTTACTTTTCGGTTCGAGTGCAGCTTCCCGCGCTGCAAGCTAAATTTTGGAGGAGGAACGAGTCGAAAAACACGAAGGAAAAAAAAAAGAGACGTTCGGCGAAAAATCAGTCGAGAGCGTTCCCCGAGATTCGCGTATCGAAGGAAAGTTTTACGCGGTATGGGCGCGTCGTAGCGTAAAAGCGTGGGCAGCAGAAGTGCCGACTACTGTTTCCGGGGAGAGCATCTCTCGAGAGGGCGACGACGCGCTTCCCTTCACTCGCGCGCGCGCTCTCCTCTGTACGAGCCGGCTGATCGTCGTCTTTCTTCCACGAGTCCGTATCCTCCGTAACGGAATGACGCAGCCGAAATACGCCAATTACAAGCGCACTCGCGGTGAGTCCGACCGGCGTTTGCGTCATACGGACATCGTTTGGTTGACGTCGCGGCTGCAGTTCCGCGAGACGCGATCTTCGACAAATAATAATGCGCGGTCGCGACCGGAATGGGAGTCGCAGCCGTGTTCCGCAAATCGATCGGCTTTACCAGCCTATTTATGGTCGGCTTTCTAAAGCGCGCGTAATAAACCCACTCGCCACAATTCATCCCACGAAGATGAATTTGGAGAGAAGTAACAATAGTGGGTCGTTCATGTTGCAGTGGTGAGCGAAGCGGCGGCGTGGTTGACCACCGAGTCGCCGTTGACGCCAGAAGAGGAGGACACGATCGTCACGCTCGTGATCGTGGTGGTGGCCGTGCTGGCGGCGATCGTTCTGCTGTTCTCCATGGGCGTGTTCATCGACTGTCGGACACAGTGAGTTAAATCATCGGAAGCCAATCGATACGAAGCTGCGAGCAGCCGAACGAGGACCATTTTCCAGCCGTCCGCGCGCGGCTTCTGCCTCTCTTTATCGGCGCTCCGAGGCAGACGCTCGCTCTTGAGCGGATGTCGAACCCGCGAGAATCAAATAAATTCTAAAGCCATCGGTACGCCTAAAATACACGTGTACATCGGCGAGCAGCGCATCTGAAACTCAAAATAGCCGCACTGCCACAGCCGGGATCTTTGCAATTCGAATGAGAGCTTTTTTTCGTGCAGCCTTGCTTTATTTTCACTTCGTCATTGACATCGTTTTCCTCGAGAAAAGTCTAATTTACGAGAACACTCGTTGTTCGACTGCTCCAGCTTGGTTATTACGTTGCCAAGGGGAATCATAATTACTCCTATTACTTCTTTATGTCCGCTCGATGGCATTTTCACCACCGGATTTGCAGTACAAATATTACGATCAGAGTATTTTAATTATACGTTATTTGAAATGTAGTTTTCCAAATATTCATGATTGAAGTTGTTCTTTGACAAACAGTGGCCTTTTCGCAGGAAAACAATGGACGAGAAGGCTAACCGCAAGCGTCTGCGCTTGAAAATGCCACCACTAGGTCGAGCGCACAAGCAGCGTTTGGGTATGCGCCGGGAGGACTCCAAATGTTTGGCCGCGGACATGTGCCCGAACGGTTCGAGTGACGCAGCGCTGCCAACGACATCCAACAGCCTCGAAGCCGTGGTCTGAGACACGTCGATGAAACGTGCAACGACTTCGATTCGACTAGGCTTTACGTGCAACTCGTTGCATACGACGACTCTTTGATTTCGCATGCATGACGGACTTAAGTGTGCAACTGGGACGGAAGGGTGAATCTTCATTTTTGGTTTTCTGTATTGTACATATACGGTATGCGATTATCTATTGTAATATATACGAGACTGCGATAAGTTTGCGTGCAAGAAAAGTCGGTATGTTTGAGAGGATGTGCTTCAGTATTATGTTGTATACTGCGGCAGAAAACAAGCGGAATTGAGTCTCTGAGATTGTGCATTTGTTGTGCATAACTTCCAATAAGTATTGTAAATAAGAGAATAAGATTTTTACGATAGATCGTAAAATTGTCATTGCGCAGTCATTCCTCAACTTAATATATCTAAAATGCTCAACTACTTAAGAAGATAAGTCAATTGTTTGTATAAACATACGTGAGACTGTTAATTTTTTGCATGTCCAACAACCGATTGTTGATGTAATTAAGTGCCTATTTAATATTTGTTAGATATAAATTATAGAACTATACTAACTATATATCTATTTTGTAAAGAATGGAATCTCGAAGAAGAATAATAACAATTACATTTAAAAACTATTATATTTTTACTTTTTGTTTATTTCAAAATGACAAAAAATCTATAAAATCACAATGATAAAAAAACACTGTTTATCATGATTGACAGTGTTATTTAGGTAAGTTAAAAACCCTATATAAGCAATGTTTTTTATCGCTGATACTTAGTATGACGATATAAAATTTTAAACACGTACACACACGAGGATGTTAACTTGGTGGGTAAATATATTTTCATCTACCAGCTCAGCTGATATATTACATGATTACAAAAAAGGAAGAAAAAAATTGGACAACGTTGAACAAGAATAACTATTAAAAGATTTTCTAAAAATTAAAAATTAAAAAAAACAATAGGAAAAAAATTGAAATGCAAATATTATGCTCAACTTTCACTTCAAAATAAAAATAATAACTTCAAATAAGCACGACTGGAAATTCCTTGTACCTAAACATCTAACAGCTGACGTTAACATCTTATCTCCAGCCAATTGATATTTGTGTAATCTCTTCGATAGAAAGAAAATTATTTTTCAGATTTACATGAGACCAATATATATATATATAATAAAAACATACACATAATAAATCAAGTCCAACAATAAATTCAATTGAAACAATGAATTTCCAGCTGTGATAATGGAAATTAGCTTGGAATGCCGATAATTCGTCCTTATTTTTCTTTTCACACACGTCCGAGAACCATAGCTAACAGAGCCATACGCACGTAGACACCATTCTCAGCTTGGCGGAAGTAAGCAGCTCGTGGATCATTGTCAAACTCTGTGCTGATCTCAAAGACTCTTGGGAGTGGATGCATTACACGCATCCTGTTCTTGGCGCGTGTCATCAATTGTGGTGTTACCACGAATTGGCCACACGCCTTATATGAAAAAGAAACAATCAATCATTTAACATACGCAAGAAGAGAAACGAAACAATCAAAGGACAAACAACTGAAAGACTTACTTTGTTGTACTCCTCTTCGGATGAGAATCGTTCCTTTTGGATGCGGGTCATGTAGAGAATGTCAGTCTCACCAAGTACATCCTCAAGTCTGCTGTAAGTCTCTTGTGGAATGCCCTTACGCGCCACGTAGTCCATCACTTCCTTTGGCATTCCCAAGTTCGTTGGGCTGACGTAGCGCAGCTGTACGTTCTCGTACAATGCCAATAACCTTTTCGTAGTAGCAATGCAAAGAAATCGGCAAATGACGTCAATCGAAATTTTCATATTATTCGCATTATAATATTTATTCGCTATTGTCCGAGTGCAATACGTTACGAGCAATTCAATTGGAAATTGTTGCGTCTTTTATGGAGTCCGTTTATTATTACAAAGTTCTTTCATCCCCAGTAGTATTTGCATTGCAATGGGACTTATAAATATTAGTAATTATGTAACTATTGTTAAGAATTGTGTACCTTGCTAAGGAATGTACGGTTCTGCCGTTCTTGAGATCACCGACCATCGTGATGGTTAATCCTCTAACGGTACCCATTTCTTCTCGAATGGTGAAAATGTCGAGTAGAGCTTGAGTGGGATGTTCTCCTGTACCGTCGCCGGCATTTATCAGTGGTTTGCGAGTACGCATTGCAGCTCTCTAAAGTTCATCAACAAATTGACAGTTATAAAAATCCAAAGTGATGCATTAGAACTATGTATAAATACGTACATTGACTGCACCGCGTTCTGGATGACGAAGAACAACAACATCTGCGTAACCGGTCATAATAGCTACGGAATCTAGAAAATATAAGCATAACGAAAATTACAATGCTATCGTCCGATAAGCTTTTTTAATCACTAAATATTTACCTTCAAGAGTCTCTCCCTTAGCAACAGACGACTTAGACACATCCATATGGACAACTCGACCACCTAATCTTTGCATCGCTGTATCAAAACTGCATGACGTTCTCGTACTATTTTCGTAGAACATCGAAGCCATTACTTTTCCCTAAAAAAAAGATATGCGTTAAAAGTGAAATAATCATAATTTGTCCGAAAGAAGCGAATAGAAATGAATACCCTGAGAATGTGGTCAAGAGACCTATCAGCAATTATACTTCTACGAAAATCATGAGCAACGTCAAAAATATCTTTCAACTGTTCCTTCTTGAACATGTCTACTGACAGAATGTGGTGGCCACTTAAACCGTGATTAACGATCGGTAAATAAGCTGGAAATATAGAGAACTCTTCAGTTTTTAAAAGCTCTTAGTTTGTCGGGAAACACAGAAATTGAGATACTCACGTATAATATCATCTTCAGTACTCGTATCGTGTCTCGTTCTCCTTGGCGACGCCATACCAGTCTCCATACCGGAATTAGGTCTACTGAGAACTTCATTTTGTAACGGATGCAAGTTGATATGGGACGCCGGTATGATGCTAACTTTCCTCTGAATTTCTCTAATATCTTGACCATAGCCTGGATTAACCAGCACTTTACCTTCGATGTAAGCAGTCTCGCCACGCAAAACAACACGATGTATTGAACCACGAATCTTCCTGCCTGCGAAAGGTGTCCATTTGGATTTCGTGAATGTCATAGCTTCGGGAATAACCCATTCCTCTCCCATATCAACTTCTACATAAGTATTTGGTTGATCGGGAATGTTGAAGATTTTCTTGGGTTTCAAATAGAATTTCTCTATGATATCCTGCGAAATTCCCAGTCGTCAATTAAAATAGAATAAAAAAACATTTTTATCGGGTTTACTGGGAAGTCAAAGCAAATGCGTGCACCTGACCTTTACTTCGTTATCTCGCGTGCGAGATAATTAAAACTAACCTCTATCTCGAGTTTGCCTTCGTTCACGGCGTTCAGCAGCAGAGGCAGAATAGTCTCGAGACCTGGGAAACCTGGTGGCGGTGGTGGTGTCTCGCGTGATTTTTCTTCCACCGTGTGAGGAGCTGTGGAAAGATGTTGATCAGCAATGACATCGAGAAAAAAATATTAATCCTTTATATTAGATTTATCAACGCAGAGATGTGTCATCAGTGGTTATTTTTTTTATGAACCATATAAGAATCAAAAAAAGGTTTAGATAAGATATGATATTACTCTAATCCCTAAATTTCATAAAAATCAATCAAAAATGTATAGTCGGATACTCATAATAATAGTATCAAACATTTAATTTAGCAAACAAATAGAAATATCCACTAAAAAAATAAAACTTACCGTGATCAGTAGCAAATACGTCGATAATATCCATATTATCCCAGAGAGCCTGAACATCCTCCTTCGTGCAAAGAATTGGTCTGACTTGACCGCGTCCGTGGCCAATCGTGTCCAAATCGTCCTGCGTGAGGAACAGATGATGCGGGCAGACTTCGCAAGTGACAGCAAGACCCTGAAATACACCCACGAATTAATGCTCGCCGTCCAAAAACTAATATGCCTCGTTACCTTCTCCTTGGCCGCCCGTATGATTTGAATCTCTTCCTTCCTGGCGACATGGCACACGTGTATCGGCCTCTTGTGCAAATTAGCCAGCAGCAAAACTGCGGCAGTCGTTTGTCCCTCGGCGTGCACGCAAATTGGATACTTGTGCGGCCAATTTTCAAAGTGCTAAATCAATAAGGAAAGTTAGTCTCGCGGATGGGAAACTGTAGATTGCGAATAGCGAGTCGAACGAACCTTAATCCACACGCTGAGATCGTTGAGTTTCAGCGTGGTGAAGGTCTCATTCAGATACATTTTCAGGCCAGCACACTGAGGCGCGATCTCAACAACTTTCTTGTAATTGTCCATCGCCGCACCGGCGTACAATGCGTAATCGCACCTCGCCAATGCTTTCGCGCGCTGCAATTACACGCGACAGACGTGAGTTGAGAAGGATAAGTGCGTCGCCCGTTAAGGCAAATATCGTAAAGTTGTGCTAGAATTTGCACGCGATTCCGAGACAAGTGTCGCATGATTATCTGTCTTTTTACGATCCACGAGACTCATCGTTACGATCCATTTGTTAGGTTCGTTGAGTTTCCCACGATAATTCAATAAAACGCTTTTTCTTTTTCGACGTGATCTAATGCTCTTTTGCGCGAGGGATAGCTCGATACGTCGGACAGTTCAATTTCAAAACAGTCACTTGACGAAAATTCCGGAGAAGGAGACAGCGACGCGCAGTCAAATATTTTCCTTCGCGGTTTTAGCAATCGTTATCTCACCGCTTTGGCAATCGCGAATGACTCCTGATCGACGACGGCGGGATCGGTATTCGGCATGGCGAATATCATGGTTACGCCACCAGCGAGAGCGGAGGCTGTGCAGGAATCAAAGTCCTCCTTGTGAGTTGCGCCGGGATCGCGAGCGTGCACGTGCACGTCGATGAAACCGGGCAGCCGTAAGAGTCGTCGAGAGGATATGCAGTCGGTGTGCGTCTTCATCCGTGGTGATTTGCCTTCCAGCTTCAGCAACGCCTGCGGCAGAAACATTTGTCTGTTTTAGATAACGTCACCGACATTTTGTCGGCTGTGGTTTTCGACTACTGGCCGTCCCCAACCCGATTGACTCGAGCGATAAGATTATGAAACGCTGCGTTTGTCGCCAATTTTCGTTGCAAATCAGAGTTGATTCGTCGATTCGTCGCGTAGGCTGTAAATTTTTAATAGCGATACTCTTTGCGCTTTGTCATATCAGCCAGTAAAGACGAAGGACAAAAGGCTTTCTTTGTTTTTTGCAATTAATAAAATTAAATCTTATAGTAGTGGTAAACACACTAAACCTAATGGCGATGTCACCTGCAAGTCTTGCGCAATTTTCTCAATTGCTTCAATTGAATTGCAAGTACCTTAGGTTCAGATTTCGAAAATAAAAGGTCGATCGATAGATTCCAAGTACTTTTCGGCCTTCAAGCTAATTAAAGAGAAATACTTACCTCGACGAGAAGCTTAGCGCATTTGACGTCGGTGACGAGTGGAACGGAATAATCGACGGCAAGTCTGCGCGTACGGTAACCATGAGTTATGAAATTGGATACACGTCGAGCACCCCCATTTTGCATCGGCAGATTGATCACCAAATCGAAGTGTTTCTTCGACAGAAAGTCCGCGAGGTTCCGTAATTCGCATGGGCTAGAATCTTCGGTTTCTCCTACATTCTCGAAAGTCCATCTGACTGGTTCCACCTGTTATTGAAATTTAAAGTACATAAAGGCGGTGAAGGAGAGACTAGGATAATTAGTTTGATTCAGTAAATGCTACTTCCGCGCAATGATAAATCCTCATTAATCGGCTGCTTATTTAGACGCATTATCGTGTTTCTTATATCGGTCGCAATCGATTCGAATAACGTTTTCCCTCGATCCATATCGCTCTTGCGTCGAAACTCCCCTTCGGTTATCCATACCAATGAAAGCTTTGCCCATTTTGTACAGTGTTCTTCTAAAACGAAGAGCAATCAAACCGACGACACGGGACGTCGGTTAACGAAGTATTTTTGAAATCCCGCTGAGGATTTTCTTCGGAAAATCGAAGAAGAAGTACGCAGGTGATAAAGGAATATGACGAAAGCTCGCGCTTGCGCGCGAGTTCAATTAGTTGTGGATTGCATAGCTATACGAGATTTTTCATTGAGTGCGGATAAGATATACATCGGCGGAGAGTAGTTGAGCGATTGCGACATCTGTTTCCGTTGGAAAGGAGCAGAGATTTACTTTTGTTTTTTTTTTTTAGCGAAAATTAGTTTTGCCATTGCACGTGAGATAAACGCTACTGTGACTCCTCGTTACTCTAGAAAACGTGCTTGGAACACTACATTGATTGCAACGCCTTTTTTTAATAATATAGTATAGTTTTTTCGAACGATTTGTCCGTCAGAAATGCCCCACCAGCTCTCACGAGTACGTATCATGCCTGGCAACACGTGTACACTGGATTTTTCTTATCTCTCCTTTCAACCGATAACAGTAACATGAGGAGCTTGACTAAAGTCGAGAGAGAGAGAGATTATCCCTTGATACTCGAGCGTCGATCAAGGTAGTGAGTCAGTCGTCTTCTGGTAACCATGCGATAGCCGTTCGATGTTGGCGCTTGAGTTATCTGAGCAAAGCGTGTAATGCCCAGTGCAACGATGGGTAACGCGGGTGCCAAGGGTGCCAAGGATGCCAAGGTTCAGAAAGCACCATGGAGAAGGAAGAAGAATGTGACGAGCTTGGAGGAGAAGAAGAAGGACGATGAATGGATCGTCGCGCCGGACAGTGACTTGGAAAATCAGAGGTTCCTCGAGATGAAGAGGCTGGTGAGGGAGGAGCCTAACGTTTTTATATTGAATAATTTGGTGATGACGCTGCAGCTTTTCACTAACTTTGACAAGTGAGTTCTGTTCGCGGAGAATTTGGGTAAAGTGTTTTGTGCGTTGAACGCAATTGTAGAGTTAGTCGGTAACTTTTTATATGACATTAATCTAAGATGATTGAACCGATGGATAAGAGGAGTCGCTTTGATTGCCAGTTGGAATTTCGGCATTGAATCAGTGCAAAGATGCTAACTGATGAAATCATCCTTTAATTTTAAACTAAATATCAGTCACAGCTATTCGATAGATTAGAAATGAAGCCAATAAATTAATAACATTTTTCTTTCGGTAATTTCGGAGAAAAAGAACGTGATGATTGGCATATAATCTTTATTACTCGCGATAAGGCATAAAAAATTCTCTTGAGAACTTACGGACCATCATCAGCATTCAATATTACCTTTTTTTAATGAAGTTTTAACATTTTTATCGTGAAATGGCAATCTTTCTCTCTCTCTCTCTCGTAATCTTATCAATACCGGCGATTATAATGATCGTGACGCAATTGTATGAAAGAATTCAACAAAAGTCCAGCCTCTTAATTCTACCGATCAAAAGAAAAGTACGATTAAAACGCACTTTTTCACAATTATTTCAGAAAGACTTTCCGAAAGTGCAGCGTGGATTTGACCAGAAAAATAAAATGAACAATCGTGGCTGATAAAATTGAATTAATTTTTTATCACAGCCGCTTGACCATCGCTGTGATTTGAAAATCGAAGCAATACTGATTCAATAGCCAAAACCGACTATTAAGGCGTATTAAAACATCAATTAACTAGCTTATTCGCTGAATTAACTCTACAAACGTTCGGTCACCGTTACGGTCAAAAGGAAAAATTACCAAGCACCGTATTCGAAGTAACGAAGACGATTAACGCGTGAATTTCGATGCCACAGAGAAATGGAAAAAGCTCGAGAAAGCGTGGCATCTCGCGAAGAGGAATTGAACAGAAAACTCATACCGGAGAAGCACGTGCTGATGCCTGACATTCTGCGCGAACATTTCAAAGGTAAAATCAGATTTACGTCTTACGCCAAGGACGAGCAGACAGTCGAGCCTCTGAGACCCGTGCAGATTTACCTTGTTTATGGGAATGTCATCGTTACCGAAATAGAAGATTCGAGGGATTATTCGACTACAGGAGACGTCAGTGTCGAGTATACATTTGTACTGAAAGAAGCCGATCACAAAGGTGAGAAAATATTTTCTTCATACATTTATTGTCCATCGATATTTTGACAAAAATGATTTGGCTATCCACTAAATTCAATTAAAATAGGCATCGACGATGTTTGATTTTATCGATTATTAGTCGTATCAAACAAAAAAGAACTTTTGATTCTTTTTATATCGATTTTTTTCCACTAACTGGAAAGCGTTATCGGGGTTAACTATCGAATCAACTGATAAATAGTAAAAGCTTAGGAATTTCGTGTTATGTGTGTTTCATTATCAAGGAAATGAATATTTGAAATTTTTCATTACGTTAAAAGCCAAGAATTGTAAAGTGAATCCCAGCTCTTCGATTACGACTTTTCTTTTTCAACTTGATTTCGATCTTGAAGCACAACTTTTCAGAATTAGATTACTTATAACGTCAATCTGAAAGTTCGTTTAATTATTTATCAAAATGGACAATCATCCGGAGGGTTTCATTAAAAATCCAATAAAAGTTATGATGAATCACGTTGAGCATCCAAGAATTTTCTGCATACGTTTATGACGAGAGCTTTCAAAACTACAGGCTACGTAAGATTAGAGCAGCCGACCAAGTCCATGACAAAGAGAACTGCCAACTCCGACACCGCGGATCTGTCGTCAATCGCGGAAAATCGAAACGAAATTTACAGCGAAGATGAGTCGGTGTATGGACCCTTGCCAGTGAAACGTCTGAATAGTTCCTCTTCGATGCCTAACCTATTAGACAAAAATCTGTACTACGACGGACGGAATTCCAATCCCACATACGATTTTCAGAGCGACGCCGGTAATTGCAGTCCGAAAAACAATGGCAGATTAGCAAGGTGTGTGCTTATTTTCTAAGCGAACGAATGGAGACGAAAACTTAATTTTTTTCCCGGTGATTCAGAAAGCGCTCAAGCACAATTCTACACTTCCGCAACCAGCAAAGTTCCGCAAGTTCGAGTAGCTCAGGGTACACGACTAATTGCAGCATCGACAGCGACAACGAAAGTTACTTAAGCCAGTCACGTCTGCATTACTTAGCGAACGGCAAACGCGTCGATCCAAGTGAAATACCGGACAGATGTTTCAAGTGCGTTACCTACATGTTCAACGGTCGCGTTTACAATCCGCGCAAAGAGCAGAGACCACTGACGAGTCAACAAAGACGCATCCGAGAGGAAAAGCTGGCTTACAATTACGACGTCGTGTACGTGAATGGGCATAGATTTGCCAAGCACTTCTACGAGGTCTTCAAGAGTCAGCTGGCCGACAAGATGAACTTTGACGAGAAGGATGTGCTAAACGCCAAAAGATGCGATGCCACTGTCAGGCTCGAGAAAATTGATTACCTCAATACAAAAAAGTAAGTTTTTCGATGGTCAATGCAAAGAGTAACTTGGCCACTGATTGCTTGTTCTTTCGCAGTTACATAAATATCGAGCCGTATGAAGTGATCCCGTGCTTCGCAACTCACTGGCCGCAATGGGCACGTCGTTGGATGACCCGATCTCGCGGCAACTGGCCGACGGAAGAAGCCCTGGAGCAAATCGGACGTTACCATTGCTATCTCGTACCGGAGAGTCTCAAGCAAGCATTGCCCAATTCCGATTTGAGTCATCCGCTCTGGCAGCTCGACTGGTACTTAATGTTCCCTAGAGCCGAGAAATATCTAGAGACCTGCTTGTCGCCCGCGCAAACGACGGTGTATACCATCGCGCTCATGATACACAAGATTTTCATTAGAACCGTCAGCTCGACTTTTGGATTGGAAGTGAGGCACATAAGGAACATCCTGTTCTGGATGGTGGAGAAACAGCCGGATTGGTCTGAGCACGAGCTTGGTCAGTTAGTCTTAGAACTCGTTTCTCGCGCAAGATATCAACCGTATTTTCATTTTGGCATTTCGGTATTTCGGCAGGTAAATCGATGGTGATCCTGCTGGAAAGGCTGCACAAGCACGTGCAATTAAGAAAAATGAGCGATTATTTTATGGACGACAGCAATATCTTTGCCAACGTTAATACGGACGGACTACTGCACTCACAGAAGCAGCTGAAACGAATTATCGATAATCCCGTGATGTTCGTGTTTCACGCCATGGAGAAGATACACTACGAGAGTGACGATTACTATCCACGACTCGATTACAAAAAGTTGTTGAACGTGCTCACGGTGAACGAGCTGTTGCTTATCAGCCCAGCATTGGCGAATCATCTCCAGGACGAAATTTACAAGAAGCCGAGCGCCGACAGGAAATTTTGGAATCAGGCTAAACAGACGAATCAGTATTACATGCAAACGAGGAAGCGGAGCATAGATACTTTCTTTATTAATCCAAGGAGGATATCTGATACGATTATCGAAATTCAGGTGAGAAATGGACAAACGTAGGATAAGCCATCTTGCGGAATCCTTTTCGTGTCACGCTTCAATCATTTATCTTTTTCAGGAAAAATGCGAACCACTAACGAATATTCGATTAGCGCACTTATCAATGTTCTTCGCTGAATACTTTCTAGAGATGGCGCAATGCTGCCAGAACTACAGCGATGCGCATCAAAAGCGCGTGTACCTCGACCAAGCCAAACTGCTGGCTCTACTGCTGTTCGAGAACCCAAAGTACAAGCAACACGCGCGAAATCTCGCTGAGAAGATTAATAGTCTACGGGTGGTAGGCGTTATCGTAAAACCAACAAACCTAGGACCTGAAACTCCTAAACGTAATGCCGATCAGCCAATTTTTATTGGATCGTTGAAAAATAGATACACTCACGATCGGAGGAATATTGTTACCGAAGAAAATGAAACGAATAACAATAATCTGACTGAAATAGAGATCCATACTGGGCAGAAATCAGTTTTGAAGAAAACAAAGAGTGATGTTGCGTAGAATGGTGTTATTGCCTGTAGCGAGGATAAGAAGAATGCTGAGACGACAACCTGTTGAATGTCTACATGGAATGTTTTTGATAATACAAATTGTTTTTTATAAGTCATTTTCATAGAGTGTTTTTTAGTGCGAAAGGAAGGTATGAATGGCATTCTAAATGTACACTCATAAAGAAATATGTCGCTACAAACAAGAATAGAAATAACGCATTTTTTATATCCTATTTTCACTCATTCATAACCATCGTAGGCATAGTTAGCTTCACCTCCTTATGACAAGGCTTTTTACTTTGTAACTAAAAGTTTTCAGTTGGATCGCATGTATTAGTTTTTTATACTTATTCAATGTTCAAACCCGTGGTCGCTCACCTCATATAATTATAATTTTTTTAATCACTATGTAAATATTTCATCACAATAATAAAGATTATTTAGATTAATAATTCTGTACTTACCTCAATTCCATGTGCTGAGTAGAAATCAGCTGTTCCCATGCTAGCATAGAGTTTATAACCCAATTTTTGGAGACTTACTATGGCCGGTAAAAGTTCCGTTTTATGCTAAAAATATGCGATTATTGTTATCTCATAAAATATTGCAATACTTAATTATTTATATGAGTGATTACCTTGTAAGTACCTATAGATAAGAGGATGCCTTTGTTCGGGATGTGGAATCCAGTGCTCATCATGCCTTTTAAATAAGCTTCATATCTATTATCGCCGAAACAAGCTACTTCTCCAGTAGATGCCATTTCTACTCCTAACATAACGTCCGCTCCTTAAAATAAAATTATTTTTATTAATTTGAACATTTTTTAAATCGAACTAATAAGAAAGCTCTAAAAATGAATTAAGTAATTACTAACCTGTCAATCTCGAAAATGAAAATTGTGGAACTTTGACACCGACTTTTCCGCATCCATTGAGAATATCAACTGACTCAACACTTTCTCCAATGATTATTCTTGTTGCCATTGCGACAAAGTCGTGGTCCAATGTTTTCGAGACAAATGGAAAAGAACGTGAGACACGTACGTTACATTCAATAACTTTCAGTTCATTGTCCTAAAATTTGAAATATATTAAGAACTCAGTGTCATTAAAACATTTTTTAAATAATAATTTTTTAATCCTTACCTTTGCAATAAGTTGCATATTGAAAGGACCAGTAACTTCTAAATTATGAGCGATCTGCTTGGTAATAATCTTAATCTTCTCCAGAGTTTGCACATTAATATCTTGTGGTGGCGTTACGAGAGTAGCATCACCAGAGTGAACACCGGCATTCTCAATGTGCTCAGATACAGCCATGCATAGAATATTTCCATTATAGGCAACTGCATCTACGTCAATCTCTTTTGCTTCGAGGATGAATTTGGAAATAACTACTGGATACTTTTTACTAACATTGGCTGCGCTCTTCAGGTATGATTGCAAATCGTTATCAGAGTGCGCTACATTCATCGCAGCACCGCTAAGTACGTAAGACGGACGGACAAGACAAGGGTAGCCAACTTCTCGACAAAAATCAACGGCAGCCTGTAAAACAAATTATGAGTTACAAAAAAAAATATATTTAGATGTCGTCTATTTTAGTCTAAGTTCACATTTTTTACCTGTAAATCAGTAAGTTCTCTCCACCTTGGCTGGGAAACTCCAATTCTATCCAACATTCTCGAGAACTTGAATCTGTTCTCGGCACCGTCAATCTGTTCGGGAGAAGTGCCAAGGATTCGCGCTTCCTGACGATGCAAATCCATGGCAATATTATTGGGCAATTGGCCTCCCATCGATAGAATTATACCCTCTGGAACTTCTTGATCATAAATATCCATCACTACTTCAAAGGAGATTTCTTCAAAGTAAAGACGATCGCTCATGTCGTAGTCCGTACTCACAGTCTCGGGATTATAATTCACCATAATTGTGTTCCTGCCGAGATTGCGAAGCTCGCGTAGACAACTCACTGCACACCAATCAAACTCGACTGAACTTCCAATACGATATACTCCCGATCCTACGAACAAAAAATTACAAATTATGTTTATCGAGGTTTAAAAAATGTTCAATCACATACTTACCAATAACCATAGTGTATCCTGTTGGGAAATCAAGATCATGAGTAGTACCATTATATGTAAGATATAAATAATTAGTGCTAGCAGGCCACTCAGCAGCGACAGTATCAATCTGCTTGACAAAGGGCAATATGGTGTGCTCTTTTCTACGTTTACGTATAGCTAGTTCAGTACTCTCCACCGCAAGGGCTATTTGCTTGTCGGAAAATCCCAATTGCTTGGCACCGCGAAGCGCTTCACTCGATAAATTTGATTTCTCAAGATTCTCCATGAAAGTTTGATATTCTATAATATTGCGCATTTTCTCCAAGAACCAGTTATCAATTTTTGTTAGCTTATAGATTTTTTCAGTGGTGTAACCAGCTTTGATGGCTGCTGCGAGAACGAACATACGCTTATCGGTTGGTTTCTCAAGCTCATCTTCGTTCACAGATTTTAAGTACGGACAAAAACCAAGAACGTTCTCATCAACCATGCGTAAAGCTTTTTGGAAAGCTTCTTCAAATTTGCGCCCGATGGCCATTACTTCTCCTACACTCTTCATAGAGCTGCCGATCTGAAAATGATATTCAATTCTGATATTTTTGATTTGTATAATTATTACGTAAAGAAAAATAAACGCCATACCTTCGTACTGACTCTCTGGAATTTACTCAGATCCCACCTCGGAATTTTAACCACACAGTAATCCAAGCTAGGCTCAAAGCAAGCAGTGGTATTGCCGGTAACCAAATTCTTGATATCAGGCAATGGAATTCCCAATGCTAACTTTGCAGCCACATACGCAAGAGGATATCCAGTAGCTTTGCTGGCCAAAGCTGAGCTTCTTGACAGCCTGGCATTTACTTCGATAATATAGAATTCTTCGGAAAAAGGATTAAGCGCGTACTGGATGTTACACTCGCCTACGATTCCCAAGTGACGAATGACTTTTATAGCCGTTGTTCTCAGCATATTGTACTCGCGATTTGAGAGTGTTTGACTAGGTGCTACGACGATTGACTCGCCTGTATGGATTCCTAATGGGTCGACGTTCTCCATGTTGCAAACTGTTATGCAATTGTCGTAAGCATCTCGAACAACTTCGTATTCTACCTGTATAACAAAAAATTCAAAAATCAATCTTACGCATTCACAAGTTTTCCTAACATACGAAAAAAAGTGTACCTCTTTCCATCCCTGTAATGACTTGTCAATAATCAACTGTGAAGAATGAGCAAGTGCTTGCTGTGCCAAATGAATCAACTCTTCTTTAGAGTTCGCAAAGCCAGAACCTAAGCCTCCGAGTGAGAAAGCCGCTCTTGCCATTACAGGATAACTTAGTTTCTCTGCAGCCTCGAGAGCTTCTTGGATGGAATATACAGCGCAACTCGGAGCAACTTTTTCGTCGATCTCGTTGACGCGGTCAGCAAAGATCTTACGATCTTCTGTCTCGATAATTGACTCGATAGGTGTACCAAGGATTTTTACACCGTATCTTTCAAAAATACCCTGCTTTTGAAGTTCGACTCCACAGTTCAACGCCGTTTGACCCCCAAATGTTAGAAGTACACCATCTGGGCGTTCCGATTGAATAACCTATAAAGTAATAAATAATCGTAATGATATATTTCTACAAATTAATTGACATACAAAAAAAAAAAAAACCTGCTCGACGTATTCCGGCAATATAGGTAAGAAGTAAACTTTATCAGCCATTCCTTTGGACGTTTGCACAGTAGCGATATTAGGATTGATTAGCACAGTCTGAATATGCTCTTCTCTTAGTGCTTTAATCGCTTGCGAACCAGAATAATCAAACTCGCCAGCTTGTCCAATACTCAATCCACCAGATCCCAAAATCAAAATCTTCTTAGGTCTTTCAGCAATAACAGGTCTTGTCGGCACATAAGTGAGCTTTTGTTGCAATCGATCTTTTATCGATACATCTGATTTTCCAGCAATCGACTGTTTAACGGTATCGAGGAATACATCAAACAGACATTCAAGATCTTGCGGCCCAGCAGTGTGTTCCGGATGAAATTGTACGGAGAAGTAAGGAAGGTTCGAGTGTACAATACCCTCGTTGCTGTTGTCGTTCGCATTGGTAAACAGAGCCTCCCAGTCTTTGGGTAAATTGGTGGCGTCGATAGCGAAACCGTGATTCTGCGATGTCATGTAGCAGCGCTTTGTACCGTGATGTATTGCCGGTTGGTTGTGGCCACGATTTCCATACCTATGATTAAAAAATCGTTGGTCAAACGTATTTTCAAAGTATGAAAACAATTGTTATAAATCACCTCATTTTGTAGCTTTTGCAGCCAGCTGCAAGTGAAAGTAACTGGTGACCAAGACAAATACCAAAGATAGGCTTCTTCTTCGAAGCGTTTAGAATCTTCTGAAGATTCTCCAGAGTCTGCTTGCACGTGCTGGGATCTCCAGGACCGTTGCTTAGGAAGAGACCATCGAATTCCTCGTTTTGTATGTTGTGATTCCATGGTACAACGTCGACGCGAGCGCCTCGTGAAATTAGACATCGGATCTGATTGTATTTCAGACCACAGTCCACTACGCAGATACGGGGTGAGCCGCCGGAGTTGTATGTTATCTTTGCAGACTGAAACGAAGGAAAGAATTATTGCAACAACAGAAACGAAAGAATGCAGTAAGCAGGGGAAACCTACTCTGGAAACTTTGGCGACAAGATTCTGTGTGTTGGGATCGACGATTGGCGGCAACGAAGTGACCTTCTCTGGCAGCTGGTGAAGAATTCGGCCGAGGATCGTGCCTTTCTCACGGATGACTTTCGTAAGTGCACGCGTGTCAACATTCTGGATACCTGGAACGCCTTCTTCTTTCATCCAATCTGACAAGGATTTGGTTTGTCGCCAATGGCTGGGCGTATTACAGTGTTCGCTGACCACCAAACCCGCAGCCCAGATTTTGTGCGACTCGAACCATCTGACAGGAATTGAAAAATCGAAGGTTCAAATTGAATTTCACGTGAATGCAAAATCATTAATCGAACCGTTCCTCTTCTGTCAAAACTTCCCTGATGTCATAGACCTACGCGTCGACGCAGACAGTGTATCGCATTATGAATGAATTATGCTCGTCAGTTGCATTATCTTCGACACCGCGATATTCTGCACACGTAGGACAGCACTTTGCCATAAGCGAGTGCGCGAAGATTTCATCACGCGCGATATACGTGCGGCAATGGCAATGTGTCATGCAACGAGGTTATCGAACAGAACATCGCGCGTTTTGTTTACTTTTGCGCGTTATAGACAATCTCTTGGCTGCTTGCACGTGCTCTATGACAGCTCGTGACTAGAGGCGCAGATGAGGAGCTGAGCTGATTTTGTTTATATGCAAAGTCATAGTTAATCACTTTTTTCGCTGTTTAAACGATCAACAAAAGTAAGTAAGAGTGAGTTACCAACAAGTGAACTTAATTTTTGAAGTTCGAAAGCATAAATCACAGTTGAAATTTTTGACGCAAGGTAAAATTTAAATAAACGGTTGAAGCTTGATTGATATTATTGATAATATTTCTTTCGTATATTCAAATAATAATCTTCAAATAATTTCGCGGTTTCACGGTGTACAATTGTTGAAAAAAAGAATCAGTTATGCCGTATACGCTGATGAAGTTAAAGAAACGTTAACTTTTGAATAGAATCAAAAGCTAAAGGGAGCGATTAATTTTGATGAGCGATCAACAAGGTATAATTAACCAAAATTGAAATGTACTCTGCATCTTGCATCCTCGGCAAATCATTCCAACCCAGCATCAATTATTTCCATTAATTCATCGCGCTGTAGTACTGAGGATGTGAACGTTTAGTTACGATTACCGCGGCAAACTGATCAAGATGACGTGGTCGTAAAAAAAAGACAAATAAACAATCATCAAGCTACATAGAGGAACTTTTTTCGTTCACTTCAATATCATTTTCAGAGATCAACAGGTCGAAAAGGACAGATTGAATTACTTTTAATTTATCTAAAAGCTTATTGAACTTTGTAATCGCTGCATTTGATAATGCCATTGATTTTATATTGAATATTTATATATTAATGCTGATGACACACTGGATAACTGAATTGATACTGTATAAGCTATTTACCTGGTTAAACCGTGATCGTCTTTTTCCTTGTTTGGCACACCATAATTGCCAACCAGGGGATATGTCAGCACAAGAATCTGCTCACAGTAAGATGGATCAGTCAGCGACTCCGGGTAACCGACCATACCGGTTTGAAACACTGTTATTAAAGAACAAAATCACTCATATGTTTCATACGTTAAATCAGCTGATTTGTTCAAAATATTAAGTTTTCTGATTTTGTTTTTATTTATGTCGTTTAATGGACGCGCGACGTGGAATGCGCTGGCTATCGCTTTTTACTTTCGATGTTTGTTTTTGGTTGTCTTCGTGGTGTATTAGTTTCCGCTGATCCTATTAGTGTCACGCGAGTATGTGACAACGACAGCACGAGATGAATGTACGAGAATTCTTATAATTAAATGGTTGGACAACTGTTTTTCATTTCTGCTTTTTTTTATGAATTGCTAAATTTTTTAAACGACATTCAAATTATAAAGTTTCTCTTTTAATTAAAAAAATTTCAATCCTTTGATGCTTTGATTTATTGGATATTTTATTACTGTGTTTACTGTATCGAATAAAATAAACTAAGAGTTTTCGAGATAAATAATTAGTTTATCAAGTTAAGTTTTTTGAGTATTTCCGTCTAAACGTCTTTGATTAAATTATTTACAACTAGCTCTACTTCACATTCAACGCGTACCGCCTACGTTTAAATTTATTACGCAAAATTACGAAAATTTCCTTGAGAAATCTAACTAATGAAATTAGCATAAAACTTTCAACCAATGAAAAAAGTAGACATTAGAATTCCATTATACCACAAACGAGAAAAACCTTCAAAATCTCCGTGTTAAACTAAAAAAAATTAACGCACCCGCATATGCGTGCGTGCGTACATGTATCTCCGCGTGCACGTGGTCGGTGTCGGCACATTTAAACCATGTACCGTGTGCTGTAATCTATATATATATATATATATATATATAGGTATATACGTATACACACGTCTGCGCGTGTTTGTGAAGTTGTGTAGGCAGAGCAGGCGAAAAAAGATATCTTCGCAAACAGTTCTTCATAGAATTCTTCATATATTTATCTCCACTTCACGTGGTGTATTAAGCATCTTTATTTCCGTCAGTTACGTAGTTTTTAAGATTTTATGAAGCATGTTGATTTAATTTGAACTATTGCGAACAACTAATTTATTCATAGTTTTTGGAATAAGAAAAAGTAGTCAACAAGAGAAACTTTACAATTAGAATCCAACCTTTAGTGAAATTTAAAACGAGTATAAGCAATGTTTCTGTCTTAATACGGACGATTTAACCGTCATCAAGAATAACTTATATTATAATTTTCTCAATTATAATTTCTATCTCAAAATATATTCTAGAAAGCTCATAAAAATCATTAAAGAAACGCGTGACTTGAGATCAGATAGACTAGGGTAAGTAATTTGCATAATATCTACCTGGATCGTTCATTATACGCAGAGACATGTTCACAACATTTTTACAGCTGCTTAAAGATTTATCGAAAACACTCTTAACTTTAATGATATTCGTTTACACTTCAAGAAATCAACTCTACGATGCCGAATAAAAATATCATAATCTAAGTCAATAAAATACATCTCGTACAGTCAATAAACCACTGATTTTGAATTAGCAAAAGAGTCTACTATTTGTACACCATCTCGATTTCATACCTTGCCGAATAAAATATTATGGCTTTTTAAAACAACCTAAGCTAATAAAAGACATCTCGTGCAAACCACCGAATGCGAATTAGCAAGCCGACTAGTTTTAAACCGCTTTGATTTTAATGCCTTCAAAATAATTTCATGATTCCCGTAGTAATAGTAGTAAGTAGTAAGCGAAGAAAAAACGCAAAAAAATAAATAAATAAAACAAAACAAAAAAAACTTATTGTACATCAAATTCGCACGCACGTGTTATGAAATGGAACAGCACGCTTTCTCGCACGACTAGCATCACGTTGATCTCGAGCAACGTGAATCAAACTTTTTGCGCGAATTAACAAAAATGACGAGATATTATAGACTCACCAATTTCTCCATCGATTTGTTTGTAAGCACCGAAACTCGTGCCGGGAAACACAGTGCCATCCTCAAGAACGAGGTAGCACTTTTCACTGGTAACCATCCTCGTGGTTAACTTGTCACTTGCGAACTGTCTTTCGCACGTTTTACGCGGACTACCTCGTGTTCGTTTCATCTTCTAATGCTGTCTCGCCGAGGTCTTATAAGTTAGCGTTAAAAAATAAAAACTTAAGATAACGATAAAAGCAGTTATGCCATTAGATTAGGCATCATTTAGATAATAAAAACTATTTTTGTAATTTGTTTGTGCGTCGTCGTTTTACTATATAAAATAGCAAAAAAAAACTATTTCGAGCCGAACTGGCGAGTGCTAACACAGTCGTTTGAAGATCCACTGCCTTCGAATAAAGTACGTATGTGTGCAAGCAAATTATTATTAATAGGCTTAACAATTATTTACTATTATAACACAATTATAAAAGTGCGTGAAACAATTAAACAATTGGTCTATATTAAAAAATTAATTTTTATAGGTTTTTTGATCTTTTGGTTTTTTGCTATTTTATATGGTAAGATGATGACGCACAAACAAATTCTACACATTTTATTTATTATTTAAGAGACGTTCAATCGAATAACGCAACTGCTTTCATGATTATCTTAATTATTTTATTTTTAGGCGCTAATTTATAAGACCTATGTAAAAATTCTGTTGTGACGCAATTGACGAGAGGTGACCAAGGACATACGACGTCATTGCGTCATGCTCCAGACGTTAATTCATAACCCGCGAAATTTGAAATCGAAATAAAATTTTATGGATCAACCGAAATTAGAGGTCGGATTAGGGTTTAAATTTATTAAGAAAACCACATAACTCGCAAGATAAAAATAAAAATAAAACTCCATTCTTCGTGTTTACAATACTCAATCAATGATAATTAATGTTGATTTTGAACTTGACGGATCGCCAGTTAAATACCGAGCAGTATTAATGTACATTCTTACGCTATTTGTTCGTTTATTCTGACATATATAAAAGGCAATGTTATCAATTGCTCCGTTATTTATTACGGGATAAGTCAAGCTGTTTACTCAGTCGGTAAAGTCAATATATGAAAAGAAGATACGTTATTTATTCTCGAACTTTTGCAAATTTGAGAATGAAAAATGTTGCTTTTTCAGAGATGAAAAATCTTGAAATTACTATTATATATCTAGATTAGAGGAACGCAACAGTAATAAAATAAAAGCACAATTGGAAAGTGTATAAAATTAACGATGTTGTTTTTTCGTTTTTATTTTATTTTATGTTATTTTTTGTTTGTTTATGAAGAGGAAAGCGATTCAGTTATACCGAAATATAACGAAGAGCATACATGGTAATTGTCATGATTGCATGAACAAAGTGCACCGCAATTGAAAGAAAATGGTAAATCTACATTCTTGGGTTTTTCAGTTAACACCTTATCTAGAAGGATGTTAAAAGAACTGGCGACTCCTGATAATCGAATAATTTCAATAAAATTCATGTACTCATATGTAATTTCATGCTTTTATATAGAAAAACCAATTGAACAGCTTAATATGCCTTGTCTCACTAGTATTTATTCATATTAGCATTACCATTTCAAGTGGGCGTTCCATTAGCTATCCCGTCAACGAAATTCCGTGTATTTAGAGATAGTCAGGTCATTTATATTGGAGTCCTTCGAGTTATTCTGTCACTAGTCGCATGGGGCTCGACATTGTCACTTTCTTAACGAAGTAAATGTTCTAACCTTGTATATGCCATCACTATAATAAGCTTTTACAAAGAAGCCAAGGTTTGTGTATTTTAAGCTATTAATTAACTCGAATTTTATTAAACTTGCCATGAACAGTAATATCACATTACGGAGTTCAACAAAACATTTATGGCGTGTTTTCGTGCAAAACAAACTAAAAGCGCTACAGTCTCTCCGATTATAATCGATTAGTAATTAATCGTTCGATTTTTTGTTCACGAATCGATTATTATATTTGAATATTTTAAATGACGATCATTCGAAAATCGATTATTTTTATCGCGGTATCAAAATAATTGACGGACGACGATGCATATATAAATTTGAGTTTCTTCTAGTTAAGAATTTGATCGTAATTTATCGAAAATTCATGAATTTTACTCAGTGTAAGAGAACGTCTTTTGCTAGGGGATTATTAAAAATCGTTTGCTCACTGACAAATCGGGGATTTTCACTAAGCTAGTGTAATTATTGCCTTGCTATAATGAAACTATTACCGAGGGGTGTTTATTTTTAAGGAAACCCAAAAATGGATACGAATTTCCAAAAGCTGTAATAGATACACTTAAAAAATGTATTGCAATTGAAATAATGTAATAATAGCTTTTTCTGTACGGGAATAAATTTGAAAACCATCATTTGTATAACGTTAACTTCTTTTATTTAAGTATTATTTGATTCATTGAATCGACAATATTTCTACGAGTACAAATTTCTTTCCTTTTTATTTGACAAACGATAAATTAATATCCAGTCTGTGGTCGCTTCTCAATCCAAGCTTTGATACCAGTAGCGATAATACTTTTTCCTCGAGTTCCTTCAAGTGCTTAGCTTTCTTAATGATCTCGTATTTGGTTATGTAATTCAAGTTATCCAACAATGCGACAAAAGTTATGTCGGCCCAGATCAGTTTGCCGCCAACAAGGTAGCCGCCATTGTTCTTGATCTGCTCGTTGAGGCGTTTAACGCAGAAAGGCATGAGTTCCTTGGCGACCTGCAGTTTCTGTACCCTCGCTTTTAAGGCTGTTCCTCGTAGAAATGCGCAACGATTTCTGTAAAAACGCATTTTTGTTTTGCTTTAACAATCGGTGCGGCAAGCAAAGGCGCAATACTGACTAGCGCGAAGATCGGTAATATCGATTAATATTTCTCGACAATATTAATTTATATGTCGTATATATATATATATGTTATATATACATGTGCATATATAACATATATATATATATATATATATATATATATATATATAAGAAAATTATAATTATAGCATGTTTAGAATAATAGAAAGGGACGCTACAAATAAGAGGAGAGGGCGAAGAGAGATGCACCACGCAAGACACCGGCTAGGGACGCAGCGGAGAGCGTCTGTCCGCTAGCGGACAAAACTTTCTCTTTTTGTCCGCTTGAATCGGCTGTCCGCTGCCGCTCTGGCCGCTTTCCGCTCCCATGTAAGAGCACCCTTAGGGAGGGCATCGTTCGAGTATCTAGGAAAGCGCGACGAGAGATGAAAGAGCGGTCAGGCAGTTGCGCTTTCAATTAGCTACGGGGACATCGCGCACCGACGTGTACTCGGTATGCACGGGATGTCGATCCCGTGCGGGTCAGACCAAGACCGTTGGCAAGCGCCGGCGTTTCGTGGCCGTGGCATAGTTCGTCAAACGTCACCGGTGACTACGCCGCTCTTCGGGGAACATCGTAAAAAGCTGGGTTGGTATACTTACGCCCGGCGCGAGCAGCAAGCGGAAGAGGCGGATCAATGGCGAAACAATGGCGAAATAATACCGCGGAAAATACTTTGGTGAACGCGCGATGGCTGAAAGGCTAGACCCAATAGACTGGTGCTGCCCAATGCTGGTTCGATTAGCCCGGCTATATACACAAGGCTACGGTTAGTTTAGGGCGTGTTTACGTTTCGATGGCAATGGAATTCCGAGGCTGCCGTTGCGCGGCGAGATCGACGCGAGGTATCCGCGTGCGTCTCGACGTTCGACTGCGCATCGCAATGCGCAACAAAGCGCGGTTCCGCGGCGCAAACGTCGTCGATCGCTGCCGAGCTTCCGCAAGCTGCCCGCGACGGTTGTCGCGGTCCTGCGGCGTTCGAACGAGGCGAACGTGACAATGTCGACCGTACGAGGCGCGAAGCCGCCGCGGGAGAGACAATAACGAATGTGACGGTGCAGCGAAGAGCGACCGGCGCGATTGGCGCGATCGCGGAGATAAACCGGGCGCGCGCGTGAAACCGGGAGGAGATGGCCACGTGGAATGTGAACGTACGGCGACCGCGAGACAATGTGTATCAGTGGAGTATTCAGCGGCAACAACGCGCGCTACCGCCAACTAACTGTACTTTTGAATATGCTTCCGCGCTCGTGGGCTGGTGCTGCGCAGCAACTTATCGGCAGAATTATCAAGTCTGGATCCGGTGCACGCGTGTGCGCGTGCGCGCGCGGCATTGTGCGCGCAGGTGAAGAGTACTTCCTGAGGGTCGCGCACTGCGGCCGCGGAGAGCGTGACGGATCGGCGCATTCGGCCGGAACAACTCACTTTTTTCCGTCATTATCAATGACGCGGGGGGCACGCGCGTCGGCCGCCGGCGCAGCGGCTCGCGGGCTCGACCGCAGCCGCAGCGAGCGCAAGCCGGGCCTAGCCGGCGCCGCGCCACAGTCGACCTAGCGGAGCCGCCGAAAAATGAGGGCGCCGGGCTGCCTCCTGCTGATCGGCCTGGCCGGCCACCTGCTGCACGCCCGCCCGGCCCTCAGGATCGGCCCCCGTAAGTGCACCCAGCCGCGGCCTAGCCGTGCCCTTGCCGCTCGCACGCCCTGAACGCGCCTACGTCACAGAGCACCGGTGGCTGGGCGCGAGCGCCGAGGGCCCCGACGAGCCGGCGGAGGGCCGCGCCGGCGCGCGGCGGCCCGCGCAGCCCGAGGCTCTGCCGAGCCCCGACGCCGTGGACTCGGCCCAGCAGCAGCGGCTGCGGCTGCCCCCGGTCGTGCTCACGGCCAGCGCCGACGAAGTCTTCTGCGACTTCGGCCCGCTGCCCGCGCAGTCGCTGTGCGAGTGGCAGGACGGCTGCGGCGCCCTGCGCTGGACCGCCGGCACCGGGCTGGCCGCCAACTGGCTGGGCGGTCCGCCGACCGACGCGACCACCGGCTCCGCGGAGGGAGGGTGAGAGCCGCCGGCCGGCTGCGCGCGCCCGCTCACCCGCTCTGGCCCGTGTGCCCGCAGGTACGCCTTCCTGGAGTGCTCGCGACCGGCGGCAGCCGCGGCGGCCCAGGGCGCCGAGGCGGGCGTGGGTCCCGGCGGCCTGCTGCACAGCCCGCAGCTGGGCAGCACGGGCGCGCTCGGCAGCTGCCTCAGCTTCAAGTACGCGATCGACGGGCTGAGTCCGGCGGCGCTGCGCGTGCTGCTGCACGCCGGCTTCGACGAGTTCAGCTCGACGGCCGGCCGACTCAACGACTCGGTCGTGCGCCCGATCAGCGCGTCCTGCGACGGACCGCCGGCCGCGCGGTCGCTGCGCGACGAGCAGACGCTCTGGCACGCGCATTACCTGGCCCCGGGTAGCTGGCAGCAGGCTCAGTTGCTCTACACCTACCCGGAGCCGCACACGGTGGGTGAGCCAGCCAGCCGGGCGCGCGCGCGCGCGCCGCCGAAGCCCGCCTCACCTAGGTCGCGCTGTGCCTTGCAGCTGATCATCGAGGGCGTGCCGGTGGAGGCGGCCGATCCGTCGAGCGCCTACCGCGGCTACATCGCCGTGGACGACGTGGACCTGCAGCCGGGCAGCTCCTGCGTGGGCTTCTGCAACTTCGCCGCGGGCCTCTGCGACTGGACCAACGACCCGGACGACGACTTCGACTGGTCGATCGTGAGTATGCGCGCGCGCGCGCCGCAGCCGCAGCGGGTGACCGTGGGCGCGGCCTGTCCGCAGGCGCGGGGCAGCAGCAGGCCGACGACTGGACCGGTGGCGGACCGGGACGCGGCGGCGGCGGCGCGCCGGGCCGGTGGCTACGCCTTCGCGGACTCGGGCCACCCGCGGCGGCCGGGCGACGCGGCGCGGCTGCTCAGCGTGGGCATGCCGGCGAGCGCGCCCGACGCGCCCGCCTGCCTGCGCTTCAGCTTCCACATGTTCGGCGCGGGCGTGGGCGAACTGCGGCTGTCGCTGCGCCAGGCGCGTAACCTGGAGGCGCGGCCGCGCGAGCTCTGGCGGCTGCGCGGCAACGCCGGCAACTCCTGGTTCGACGCGCGCGTCACCGTCAGCTCGCTCGACGACTTCCAGCTGGTGTTCGAGGCCAGCGTGGGCAACACCGGCATGGGCGATATCGCCATCGACGACCTGGCCTTCAGCCCCGGAGCCTGCCCAAGTGCGCCCCCCCCCCCCAACCCCTCCTTTCCCCGCCCGCCGGCCAGTCGCGAGCGCTCACCTCGTGCTTCTTCGGTCGACAGCCTCGCCGCAGGCGGCCGCGCCGCCGCGCGCGCCCCGAGACTGTAGCTTCGAGATCGACGACTGCGAGTGGCTGAACAGCCGCGAGGCCGGGGCGCCGGCGCCAGGCGGCGCGTCCGGGCCCGCGGCGCCGGCGCGCGCCACCTGGGAGCGCGTCTCCCAGCAGAGCCTGGGCCCGCGCGGCCAGCGCCGGCCCTACAGCCTGCCGGCCGCGCGGCCGCGCCAGGAGTTCGCGATGGCGCTGCAGGCGCGCGGCCAGGCGGCCGCGGCCTCGGGCTCGGCCTACCTGCTGGGCAGCCTGGTGCGGCCCGCCGACGACGAGCCGCTCTGCTTGGGCTTCTGGTACCTCATGTCCGAGTCGTTCATCGACGCCGCCGGGCCGAGCCTGGGTAAGCCGCGTGCGGCCGAGCCGAGCGGACGCCCTCACCGTCGTGCCCCATGCCCGCAGGCGTGCTGCGGGTCCTCGTGCAGCCGGTCGGTGAGGGTGTCGACGCGGCGCGGCCCATCTGGCAGCTGTACAACGACCAGGGCCCCGGCTGGAACTACGGCCAGGCGGCCATCGCCGAGCGCCGCGACTTCCACGTGCTGTTCGAGGGCACCTGGGGCCCCAACCGGGCCAGCGGTGACTTGGCCATCGACGACATCGCCTTCTACGCGGGCAACTGCTCTGGTAAGCGCGGGCGGCGCCTGTGCGCCTGTGCGCACCGAGCGCCACTAAATCGAGTGGCCGCTCGACAGTGAAACCCAGGAGCGCCGCGGTGCGCGCCGAGGACTGCAGCTTCGAGAAGGGCCTGTGCGGCTGGGAGAACGTGACGAGCGGTGCGGTAAGCGACCCTAGGGTGCAGTGGCAGCGCGCCTACCCCAACCACCGGCCGGCCCAGCTGCTCGACAAGACCTTCGGTTCCTCCGGGGACTTCGTCTTCTTCGACGTCTTCTCGCCCAGCCAGAAGCGCCACGTGAGGCTGCGCTCGCCCCTGCTCAACGTCTCGCCGGACGAGGAGGCCACCTGCTTCAGCTTCTGGTTCGCGGCCTTCGGCGTCGAGGAGGCCACCAGCCTCAGCGTTCTCAAGCTCTCGTCCAGCCCAGACAACGCCTCGCCGGAAGCCTCCGCGGAGGACGACGACTCCGAGCGCCAGGTGGTGCGTATGAGCTCTCCTTTCGCCCGTACTTCCGTCCACCCCGCTAATGCCTCGTCTCTCGCAAGCTGTGGTCGCTCACGGCCAAGGGATTCAACAACCCACGGCCTGCTTGGACTTGGGCGCAGATGACCGTTGAGAGCCGCTCGCCTTATCACCTCGTTTTGGAGGGCACCGCCAGTAACGGGGGCTTCGCCATTGACGACGTCAGATTCCAAGCTCAAGCTTGCCCCAGTAAGTAACCTCGCACCTCGCTACTCGTTCGTTTTGCCATTGAGCGTTGGCTTTCCTTTTTAGCTCGGCCAGCAACCGCGAGTCCGTCCATGTCGTCGCAGGAGTTGTGACTTTCATCCCACTATCGCTGACGTGATTTTTACGTAATAGCCCAAGTGTCGACTGGACACTCTAAGATCGATACATTTATAACGAGTAAATATTTCATTATTTCTCGGCATCGCCGAGATAATATTCAACGAAGCTATATCACACTGCAGCTAAATGATTACACTTTTCTATAATGACATTAAGTTTTATTGCGTAAGTTTCATAAAAATTTATATTCCCAAGTATTGTACAAATAAGACAGCACGTAGCATTCTTCCTAAAACAATAATCAATCGCTGAATCAGTTAGTTCACAGTTTATAATTTTGAAAACACCGATCTACGATGCGGAAGAGGGTTTTAAAAATTGTCGAAAAATGTCTAGCTTAAATTCATGGTCGGGAATTGCATAAGATCGACCTAAATTCAAATAAACTTTGGTGGTATACGAAACGAGGTACGGGCAAAGAAGTAAAAGCCGAGTTGATGGTCGCATCGAAGCATCTTGTTGAAGTATCTTGTAAACTATAATCTTAGTACTTCGAGAGATGTTTGTAGATTGAAATAATCGAGGCTTTTCTCTACATATCATCTGCACAATTTCTTCGATGTTCTGCGAAGGAAAAGAAGAAAAAGAACAAAGATTGGTGTAAACAGTAGCTAAAGGAAACGTCGGCCATTAAAATAATATTGAACGGCATGCACGCTTACCGATGCTGGGAATGCCAACTCCTTAGTCAACATCTCATACAAAACAACTCCCATACTCCATACGTCGCTTTTGAAGTCGTACGGTTGCTTTCTCAGCATTTCTGGAGCTACATAATAATAGGATCCTGCATGACTGAGATTATATCTGAAAATAAGAAAAATGGGAATGTGTCAGAGTGTAACAATTAAAAACTGACGTCAAATTTGTTTGATTCAACTAACTCCTGCAAATCCCGTGAAAGTCCAAAGTCTCCGATTTTCACAATGTCTCCCATGCGTCCAGTAAGCATAATGTTTTCAGGTTTCAAGTCACGATGTAAAATATTTTTTGAGTGTATATGATGTACTCCCAACAAAATTTGTGCAAATAAATATAAAGAATCCTGCAATCAAACGCGTGGACGTGTACTACGTGACAAAAATAACGCATAATTTCTATAAATTTTAATTATGGTTTCAAATAAACACTATACTTTTTCCAGAAGACCAGTAGATCTTTCATCTAAAAGATGTTTCAATGTACCACAAGCTGCATATTCCATTAAAATGTAAAAATTGTTCGATTCCTGCCAAGCTCCGTAATAAGAAATCACATTAGGGTGTCTTAAAGTTTGTAAACATTCTACTTCAGCTGATAATATCTGTACAAACAGCGTACAGTTTCAATGCGAATTTCGTATTGTTGAAATATTGTTTCCTTTCGATTTATTGTTTGATTACCTTATTGTTCCAAGCGTTCTCTCCATTCTGTACTTGTTTCTTGATAACAAATTGTTTCTCATCTTTTAGGCGCTTGACTAGATAAACTTTCCTGTTATGCAAATAAAAAGTTTATTTTCGTTTGAACATTAACTATTTAAAGGTATTTCATACCCAAATGTTCCTTCTCCTAATAGTACTTTAAAATCAAAATCTTCCGTTTTCAACGTTAAGTTCATGCTAAAGCTTGTATTTTTATTTTATTTTAACAATGTAAAATTCAGTGAGTCGTACGGTGAGTATGAATCGATAAGCAACGTGGCTCACTACTATATGACAAAATTCTAAGAGCTACCAGCCTAAGAATGTTTGTACGGGACTCTTGCTCAATACAAATACACGTGTTACTTTTACAAAGCCTTATATTTATTTCCATAGTATTATACAAATGAGGATGTATCGATGTATTACACAAAATCTCGTCTCTTTTGTGAAAGAGAGACCGTTTTAAAGTAGAAAATATAAATTAAATCTAGAATATAAAAACGAAATTCAAAGTAGTTCACCTTTATTTCACAAAGTTATAATTAACAAGAAATTTTTAATTTGAAAAATAAGCAGAGCAGCAGCGCTATCGCAAAGAGTACGAAGAATTTGATGAATTTTCATCATTAAAATTACTCCTCGTTCAGTGAGAAGAAATGCACATCTGTTACACATTGTCGACTTTTTACCTATCTATTTACTTGATATATTTCCGATTTTATGTATATATGTATATATTTATATATATTTATATATATATATATATGTATGGCATATACGTTTATACGTATTTTATTCACATAGTTTACAGTATTCAACTATTTGCAGACTCGTTCGTTTCACTCGAGTCATTTGTGAAAGTTCGAGATTGTTTTAAACTGTCTAAATATTCTTGCTGCGAAGTGGCCAACACTTTAGTCAAAATGTCGCTGTCTTCCCAATCAGTTAAACCTTAAAAAATAATTATTTGATAATGTTAATTTTTTATTATTTTTTACGTAATTAACGATTTTGTTTATAAGAATAATTTACCAAAAACTTCTGGAGGAAGACGATTGAAGAGAGAAATATCTGGCGATGCGTGGGTTTCTTTGCTACTGCCTGGAGTAGGTTCTTGTGGTATTATAGTCGAACTTTTGTGTTCAGATGGAACAAGTGAAACTGCACAGTTTGACTGATGTTGTGGCGATCTTCGATTGCATCGTACACTATCGCTTACCTGCAATCAAGCGAGAATTTTTTTTGAGTAATGATTACGTCTCTTAAATAAATTAAAAATAACGAACCTTTGGAGAGTTACGCAGAGATTCTGTATTGGATTGATTCGTTGCCGTGGGTGAAGAACAATGACTTCTTTGTTGCGTTCGACTGCCATGCGAATGGAAGTGACTATGTTGAGCACTAGTTACTGTACTTGTACTACTAGAACTTGACGATCGCTGTAATACATTTGAAGAATTGAAGCATTTTGTAAATATTGTATTTTATTTAACATATTTGTTAATTTATAAACTTACTGCTTTTCTCATCTCATTGTCCCTCAACCATTGTAAATAACTTTCTCTTGCAACTTGTTCTTCAATTGCTTCATTTGTTGCTTCCCAGTCTGTTGCTTTTATTTTATCTTCAAGCATTGTCTGTGATAATAAAAGAAAAGAATTATTTATTGTTAATTAGATTGGGTATTTGTTAAACAATACCTGTTCGATATGCAAATCTTCACTTTGTCTAACAGCATCAGACATAAGTTGTCTATCAGCAGAACCTGGATTAAATGATGGTAAACCAAGGCCTACACCAATCGTTGCTTTGTATGGATCTACAATACTGTTATAATGACTACCTCTTTGGTAAGACAATCGTATAGGTTCGTTATCTGTTTTTAACACTCCATGAAAAATATTGATTGGTTCTGAAAATAAAGATTGATAAAGTGTGAATGCTTTTTTTTTCTAAAGTCAAAATTAGATAAAGAATTTAAGATTCACCAGTGCTGTAACAAAATAATTCGACACTACGGTTGTACATTTCTGACATTGCTTGCATTTCGATGTGGTTTCCATGTACATATTCTTGTCTTTTTCTGTCTACATATTCACCAAAATCTTCAGCAACAAAATGTGAAAAAAATTCTTGATTTGCTGCCTGTTTTCCAACAAATGAAAATTAACTAAATAATGATTCAAGTAGTTTTTTTCAAATAAATATAATAAAATTACATACAATGTAGTCCATACAGTGTTTACGAACCACACCATGCATTTCCTGATCTCCATACACTTGATCAGCCACAGCTCTAAAAAGACATGCTCCATCTTCACCCATTTTTTTAATAGTAAAACCTATTTTCCTCAATCGTTTTTCAAACCATCTGTCACGCTGTAAAATTCAAATTTTTCATTGATGTTGTATTTCTAAAATCAAAACCTTTTGAAATTACTTCAACAAACCTCTTGCCATTCTGCAGCAGTCAAGTTATTTCCTGTTCTTCCAGTATATTCATCCCCGCTATTGTATCCATTACCTGATTCATGTTCTAGACTTGTGGCAGCAGAAACTATTGCCATTCGACTATTTGACAGAACATTAGCATCTGCACCTATAATTGAAGACATTAATATGCACAAATTCTTAATAAATAAAAAATATTATGCATACCTTGTAAACTATTAGAACTACAAGAAGCAATTGGTGGAGTAGTCTGTCTTTCATGTTCTCTCTCCCTTTCACGTTCATTATTAGTACCAATATTACTTCCTCCCGCACCTCTGCCTCTTTCTCGCTCTCTCTTACTACGAGAACTTCTGCTAATGCATGAACTAAATATAATTGATTAAAATTGCAACAAATTAAACTTTAAATATTTTTTATCTTAATCAATCATTAACGAGTACTATACCTATGAGGACTTGTTCGTCTACGATGACGCTTTCCATGACTGGAGTTTCCTCCTTCATCAAAATGTGTTTCTTCTCTGAGATCAACTTTTCCCTGAAAATATAAATTGATTAGTGTGTGTTGGTTTCGAAATGAAATGTGTACTCTAGATAACTTGTTTCAATTTACCTCGTAAGGACTATTGGCTGTTAAAACTATAGAACTAGAACTATGGTCATTTTGCACTCCATGCAAATCTACATTAAAATTATTGCCACCACGAACCTGTAAGAGTATTTTTAAAATGACAATATTAGGTTAGGTTTATTATATATGTAAAAAATTTGCAATCAATTTTTCATTTGAAAAATTTACAAATATGCAAGTATTATATACGAACTCTTTAAATATTTTGATAGGCTAGCATTTTTACATATTAAACTTTTTAAAAGGAAGGAAATTGACAAGAAATATTAAGAAATGCGAACCTATGCAAAGGTAAAAAATACTAAATTAAGATTAACACCTGATAAGAACTGTTAGGCAAAGCTATGGATCCGGCTGCACCGTGATCATTTTGTACTCCATGAACGTCGACCTCGGACCCGCTTGAGCTCTCACTACGCCGATCCTTGGCCGTGTTTGACTTCTTCTTCGAGAGAATCGTCATCTTGGATTCTCTCGACTGTTGATCCTTTTGAACGAAATAATTTTTCTTTGTGGAAACGTAACTCCTAGTGGATTGCTATTAAGTTTTTGCGCTCTTTCAATCGTCTGCCTTTTTGGTAGGTCAGCGTCTGCTACTCCTTTTTCTTTGTCACCGTGGATGATCTAATTGTACAACAGTCACTGATGGAAGCATAAACGTCAGTTTTCGTACTGTTATCGTTGAATTTTGTTGGGTTCACTCGTTTACAGGCAAAAATGGAAAAATTTTCATCTGTGAAATCTACTAAGAAATGTAAAAACGGCCATGACTGCCATGAGTCTTAGCACTCTCTTCTTTGATTCCGATGTCTACCTATACATAGACTATATGTACATATATACACATTCGACGCACGCGCTCACACATTCACGCAAATAAAACTCGCAGTACTCGCACGCTCACACATCCATATGTATAAAGCATGCAATGTGCAATGAAAAATAGTACGCAAGAAAATTCGGATCAAGACAAAAATCATTTATAACCTATAATGTTTAACACGAATATTATTGCTTTTGTTATTACATTTGCGTTATGACAATTAATGATTATTTTGTAATGATCAGTATAACATGGAAACAAAATTTTGGGTGTTGTATACGATACCTATATAGGCTTTGTTATTTATTTTGATATTTCTTCTAAATATTTTTCAACACCAATACTTGAAATGTCCTATAACAAAGAAATGTGACAATCAAATTGTTTTTAACGACGAAAGTAAATGTATAATTAATATTAATCAGTTGAACCTCGATTTCAATAGGTAAAAATTAGAACGCAATATATGTTAGTTACATACATCTTATACTACGTATGTACATATGTATACTAGTCTAGTGATTATTGTACATATACATGCAATACGCAATATCGTAAATCCATTTTAATAATATACATATTTGTAATCTAGCATACCAGCAGTCGATAACTTTTTTTATGACAAACATATCGTTGATTAAACGTACATAATAGTAATTGCATTTGAAACGAGTTACAAAATTAAAAATAAAATGGATAAGATCGTTCTTCAGATATTGACGAATTTGTTTGTACATTTACAGTCACGTGATCAAGTAGAAACGATGGCTATAGGAAGTCAACTATTGAAAGGTCAGGCTCAGGGCTATTGTAGAACTTATATTTATGAGAAACTGTGTTAATTATTTTATAAAAGACGAAAAAAGGTGTTTTCAAATATCGAGTGTAAACTCGACATTAGATTAAGAAAAAAAGTCCCATAGCATATAAAAGCATTGAAGTGTTGATCTTGGAAGGGGAAGCGGGGACAAGAAAAGAGTTTGGTTTATTGGTGATTGCCTATAGTGCCTGGTGGACTCGCTCGCTCTTGCGGATGCGCGGGTCGAAGCTTGCGCGACATAGTATGTATAGATGTATGTATGTTTGTATGTATATATGTATGTATGTATGTATGTATGTATGTATGTATATATGCGAATATATATGTGTATATGTACATTGTATATACATATTGTAGCACAGTCCACCAATCGAATTCAGCGAGGGGCTGGGAGCTGAGCTGAGATCTGAGAGCGAAACGAGCAAAGGTGTATTAGTAGTGCCGTGCTGACGGTGTCTGGTGCTGGTGCTGGTCTCTTTCTGTGAGCTCAGGCAGAATTCTCTCTGCCAGTCCAACGTCACAATTTCTCCAGTCAGCTCTCGCTTACAGCCTTGTACTGTACAACTTGACACCAACGGCGGACCTTTTGTTGCCAGCTCGTTGCTGTGCCTGCTGCAGTACAACAATAAGTAACTACTGTTTAAGTGCCGATCGACAATCTCCTTTCAATCTCGATGCTCGCTTGCGCGCATGCGAGTTTGTAGACTCAAAAACTGTGATTGCCTCTTCGTAACAACACGACGTGATATGAAGAAGCTCATTTAGTTCACCCCCAGAGAGAGACAGAAGAATTATACGCGTTCTCGCGCGTAGCGCACACCGGACTTCCTATTTTTTCCGCGTGGACAAGCCAGGAGCGCGCAAAGAACAACACGAGACTCTGCTCTTTCCAAGAATCTAAGACTTGAGGCTCTATAAAAAAGCTAGTAAGAGAAACTGCACTGTGTGCAAGTGTGCGTGTTCCTCGCGTGTGCAATGTGCAGGCATTTCAACAACGCGCAATCATTTTACTGCTATAACGACGACCAGTGCCGCCGCCTCCTCGCAAGTTCTATCGCTGAAAGTTATCAAATTTACCTCCTGCCGCTTTTGTTCGTCGTCGTCGTCGATGTGGAGAACAAACATGGCAGGTGGTAATTTATGGGGCGTCATATGCACTACATAATCGTCAGCGAGTGCCGATAGTGACTTTGTAAGGCAGAATTTCAAAAAGGAGAGAAAAAAAACAGTAAAACGACTGAAAAACTCTTTTGTTTCTGTTCCGAGAGCTGAATCGCATCGAGTTGTGAGCGGCGACGTTCATTTGTTACTTTTCGTCGTCGTGGTCATTCGCTGCGTCTTTATAATCGCCATAACGATATTGCTAGTCTATTTTCCTAAACCGGCTACCTTCTGCACTCATTATTTTTTGTTATTTTCGTTAATATAGACGAGTTCTCGTTCTCTTTTTCTCGTCTACATAACACGCTTACGCGCGCGCGTGCGCGCACTTATCTACGCAAAAAGTACATAGATACTTCGCACGCACACGTCACGTATATCTATATACATATACATATACATATACATATAACTAAGTACACCATCGTACGCTGCGCAAGACTATTCTAATTGCTGTGTGACTTTCAACCTTTTTACCACAAATTTTCAGTACTTGAATAGCCAAGTATTACTATGAAGTATTCAACAACCCTCATTGGTCACAAATAGAAATTATTTGACTCTGAACGTTTCAATCTCAGTCATTAAAGGTCCTACAGATATTCAGCATTCAGGTATTGCTTGTACAACTTTAGATATTTGACAACTTTGCAAGTGAAAATGGCTTCAACAACTCTAGCAGTCCCCAACGGGACTAATTCGGTTTCATCTGTTACTTCAAATAGTGAATCAGTTAAGAGTGATGAAATTGATGGATCTGAAAGCTTTGGAGAAAAAAGTGCAAGTTTTAGTTCTAGAAATCAAGTTGATTCTTTAGAGGAGATGAATTACAGTGGTGATTCTTCAGATCAGAATCATTGTGGTATTTGCTCAAATAAATTGAACTCACCTCGTGTTCTCTTTTGCCTCCATGTTTTCTGTGAAGCATGTCTTGATAAGCTTTCTAGCAAAGATGGAGATTTCAAGGCAGATACCACTATTACCTGTCCAATGTGTCAACAAGAGACTCAAATCAGTGCAAAAGGAGCTGCTTCCTTACCTTGTGATTATGTACTCACCAATATTTTGGATATGTCTGCAATCAAAAACACCTCTGTATTATGTACATCTTGTAAAGCAATGGAAAATGCTGTTGCTCGTTGCTCTGACTGTGCCAATTTCTTATGTCCTAACTGTAACACAGCTCATCAGTTTATGCGATGTTTTGAAAACCACAAGGTTGTTGCTTTTGATGACCTCAAAAAATCTGATGAAACTATACCCATACACAAGCCAATCTTTTGTGAAGTTCATCCCACAGAGAATATTAAGTTCTATTGCCATACATGTCAGGTAATAAAAGTTGATTTATAGTTGTTTCATTGGATTAAATATTTGCTTTATGAATAGAATTTTATTCTTTTTAGGTACCAACTTGCAACGAGTGTTTACTTGTAGAGCACAAAGCACCAGAGCATCAATATGAAAGAATAAAAGAAGCAGAACCACGCCAAAAAGAAGAATTAATTAATTTGGTAAATGAAAGTAAAGTTAGAATAGGGGATTGTGATCAAATTTCTTCACAACTTGGGAATGCGCTTAGTGAGCTTCAAGCTCAACGTGACCAAGCCAAAGATTTAATTTTAGAAACTTTTCAAAGTTATAAAGCTATTCTTGAAAAATTTCGTGATAACGCTCTTGACAGTTTAGAAAAAGTCCACTCTGAGAGAGAACTGGAAATCATGGATTCCTTTCACAGGTTTACTTTTTTTTCTTTGCATCAATAAATTAATGTGTAAAAGTCATGTATTTAATTATAACTAACTCAATTAAATAATGATGACAATTTCAGTGTGGAAAAAACTGTTGAAAAAATTGAATGTGCATGTCAATTCACAAATCGTCTTCTTGAGCATGGCGATGCTATAGAAATATCATCTCTTCGTCGAGTAGTAATCAATCAATTAACAGAGTTGTTAAAAAATATGCCAAAGCCCAACATAACTTGTGCGATAGAGTTTCAAACAGACTACAATACCTTTGAAAGAGCTATAAAGGTAATAAGCATGAATTTTTATTAAAACAACCAGACATTATTTACTAATAAATTTACAAATTTTCAGGAAACTTTTGGTAAAGTGTGTGCTGAGAATGTCTCAACAGTTAAATCTTCAAATGATGTAGCAAACAATTGTTCACAAAGACTTCCTTCTCAGCAGAACAGTCATACATCTGCTGGTTGTCCTAGTTCAATGAGTGCAAGTTCTCCCATTTCACTTCCAGCATCAATGCAGTCTTCATTTGAAGGTGAAACCTCTTTTGTCATCCCTCCAGCATCCAGTCCTAACATTCCTGTTCCTCCACCTATTCCCGTTTCCATACCTCCAGGTTCTATGCATGGTCTTACAAGTATTCAAGAGTATAACCTTCAGCAACTGGCTAGTCTCGCTGAAAAAGTTGAAATCACAAACGATACAGGAGTTGTAGGTCCAAGTTCAAATCCAAGCCCGACTCCGTCCTTCACGTTGGCTGATCTTTTTACTGGTGATCTCAGCTCAAATAGTCATGCTATTAACAATCTTCAAGCTCTTGCCAAACTTGGAAATACATTAGGCCCTCAAGGTAGTTTATATAAAATAATGTAGAATAAAACACAAACTTCCAATCACAGAATAACATTATCTTACTTACAGATTTGAATCCTCCAACAATAAATGGCAGCAATCTTGTCTTAGGTCGTGGATCTTCACCAGTTATAGTCGATACGCCAAATCTAGCGACCCTAGCTAGTAGTACACTTTTAAATAACGGTTTTCACTCTCTTTCTTCCTCTACTTCTCCTATAATGTCACAAAGACCTGGTAAATTTGAGAAAAAGCAAAATAAATCACCAAAGGTCTTTTGTTAAAATTGCTAGCATTTACCATTAATTATTTTTTAGATGACATCAGTGGAGATTCTTTGCATAATGTGCCTGTAGTCATGGGCAGCACTGGAAATTTAGCTAATTCAAGTAATTTTAGTAATCATTCACGATCAAGTAACCCTAAACTGACGGCAATGCAAATTCGCTGCAAATTTGGTCAACTAGGACCCAGTAAAGGTCAATTCAACTCTCCCCATGGCTTTTGCTTGGGTACAGATGAAGACATCATAGTGGCTGATACAAACAATCATCGTATCCAGGTAATAAATATAACAATAATTATATTAAAAATAATAATAATAATAATAACAATAACAACAATAATAATAACAATGTATTAAATCAACTTGGCTCAGTTTAATGTGTTAATTTCTAAAACATATATTTTTATGAAACAAGGTTTTTGAAAAAATTGGAATTTTTAAATTTCAATTTGGAATTCCTGGTAAAGAGGAAGGGCAACTGTGGTATCCACGGAAAGTTGCTGTTATGCGAAACAGCGGAAAATTTGTTGTATGTGACAGGGGTAACGAGCGATCAAGAATGCAAATTTTTACAAAAAATGGACATTTCATTAAAAAAATTGCTATTCGCTACATTGACATTGTAGCTGGTTTAGCTGTTACTGGTCATGGACATATTGTTGCTGTTGATAGTGTATCTCCAACAGTATTCGTTATTAGTGATACAGGAGACCTTCTAAGATGGTTTGATTGCAGTGATTATATGAGAGAACCTAGTGACATTGCTATTAGTGGTATTTATTTTATATATTTCGCTTATTAATGAAAAAAAATCAATAAAACTATAACTTGATTATTTGTCAAAATTATTTTTTTCAGGAAAGGAATACTTTGTATGCGACTTCAAAGGCCACTGTGTGGTTGTATTCAATGAAGATGGTCAATTCTTGCGTCGCATTGGCTGTGAAAATGTAACTAATTTCCCTAATGGGATTGATATTAGCGATGCGGGAGATGTCCTTATTGGAGATTCACACGGCAATCGATTCCATGTTGCAGTTTTTTCTAGAGATGGCTCTTTGATTTCAGAATTTGAATGTCCATATGTTAAGGTATATATTCTAAAAATATAATGTGACACTTTCATGTTTATTGAAGAAAGAAAATAACTTGTATTTAATTTTAGGTGTCGCGTTGTTGCGGACTTAAAATCACTTCAGAAGGATATATTGTGACGCTTGCAAAAAATAATCATCACGTTCTTGTGCTGAATACACTGTATATAGTTTGAGGTGAGAACAAATGTAGCTCTATCTCTACTATTCCACAAAATGAAGAACCTTATCTAGAGTACGTTATTTTCAACAAACGGAAATGCCAGAATAATTTCGTAATTAACATTCAGGCCTATTGGAGCAATAGTAAGAATCAATTTAGCATTCAACTTATTAGATTAGACATGTACTTTGAATATTTTTGATTTATGAGAATAACACGTGGAAAACCAGTACAGTGAATGAATGGATATCTGACCATTTATGCTAGTTTAAGAAAAAAAAAAAAAAAAAAAAAAAAGGGCGCAGCTTTCATTTGGCTTACTGCCATTTTATCAACTTTTTAGAAAAATAATTTTGGATAAAAATACTGTTTACGCTGTGGAGCTGCTCATCTTATTCTGCAAGAAATGTTGAGCTCAAGCTCTTTGGGCAGTTTTTTATGCATTACATTCAACGCGTCAGTATTTTAAGAGTGTTCGTAAATCAAATTTTATCTAGTCTTGGACCAGCAGCTTTGCTTTCACATTGACTCTTTATCTCGAGTAAGGTTTGTTAATGCTGCCATTGTAATATCCAAAGTATATTTATAAAGAAATTAAGGATAGAATATAAAACTATGAATAGTGACAAAAAAAACTAAAAAAAAAACCATTGTTATAACAAATGTTTTAACTAATGAATATGAATGAGTATGTTCCTTTTTTTCTCTTGGCGTGTTTTACTCTACATTTATATTTCCATAATAGATAAGGTAATGTAAAGTTATTAGACAAAAAACAACTTTATAACTTGTTATAAATCAAACATTTATTTACAAAGAGATAAATATGAAAAAATCAATAGTACGTATGAGTGTAAAAATATTTATTTAAGAAACATGACTTAACTGATTTCCATTCATGTGTATCGTTTTATTTTGCGAGACACATAATGGTTGCGATATTTACTCAGAATGCTTTATTATAGTTTATCACTTAATAAAATATACGTGAATTTACGGATGTATATACACGTAAAATATGTATACATATACTAGAAATATTTAAAAAAGTTGAATCTTGAACTCATAGTGTATGTATACATATAAAAGTTGGAGATAAAAAAACGTTTACCAATTAACTTCTATTTTATGTAAATATTAAAGCATTTTTGCGGAAAAAATTCACTAAATCTACGTATATATACAAAGGTATATACATATTATAGAAATACACATATTTTGTAGGGTTGTTTACATGATCAGCCTTAATGTTTAATTCAATTGAAATGAAAAAAATAACAATGATACATAAGACATATAGTCAACATCTGGCAACTTTGCTATCTATAAGGAAAAATTACTTTCATATCAAACAATTATATACTTTAAGAAATCTACACTTTCTTGTTATAAACAATGGTAGTAAGCACATGCAAATTATTTGATGCTATCAACTCCAGTTGCTATAATTAGTATAAAATAATAAGAATGACATATTACTTGCTTCCTTTTAATCAATCAATTGGTATGTATAAAAAAAATTTTAAAAGTAAATAGAAAGACGAATAACCTGGCAGACAGAATCAAATAAATTTCATAATAAGCAGTTTTTAAACTGTACATATGTTAGGTAGTACATCATTTATATGTACATATTTTATTCATCAATATATAAAAAATGTACATAGAACGTGCGTCTACTCGTACGAAATAACTGATTCTGATGTATGTGAGCGTGCATGTACGTGTGTGCATGTGTCTCACAAATAATTTATAAACTAACATTAACAAATAATTTCAGCCGAATTCAACGAAATAACAAAATTAATTTTACTTATACCAGAAGGTAATTTTATTTTTCTTGATTATAATTTAAGATGAAAGTTATATGATTTTATTATAATTCAATAGTCATGGTTATAGAAAAATTTTATTAAATATTGCCTGTGATAATAGGATTATTAGGATAACTTAAATCTTTGAAACATTTCTGATACAGTTATTACATAAACCAGTGAATACATGACATTCGAAAAATAAATAAATGTACTTCTTTAAAAAAATTCGACTCTAAAATATCAAGAAAATAGTTATGTGTTGAAAATTTACATGAAAATCCACTTTCAGTGTATAAATACAAAATTAAGATTATACAGGTAAACTATAATTAATTTATAAGTATCAGCTTTATTGAAATATTTTGAGAATTCCCTTATAAGTAACTGAGTACAATAAAATTTAGAACATCTACAGATACAATTTTACATGATTTTATACGTAAATGTTTCGTGCGCTAAATTAGTGTATACTATTTTACATTTATCCAAACAAGGGAAAAAGTATAAAAATGTAAATTTGCACAGAAAAAATATATAAATAATGGCACACAATAACAAAAACTAAAAATCAATTTTATTTTATAAAAAAGTACAGTCAATTGTTAGGCAAACACAGACACGCGCACACACATACATATTCGAGCACGCAGGAATATTTTAAGACAGATTTACTCTAATTATAATATTTTATTCATTAGAAATCATATTTGACTATACAAAAGTATTGAATTAGCTCCTTATTTGCCTTAATAATTGAATTTAATAAGATACAATAATATGATAAAATTGCAGGTAATAAAGATGCGAAGCAACAAGCATTACCTGTAAAGTAATTGGTAATTGTGATAGTTTTTTTGATAATTTTTACAATCTTCAAGGCGATGACTACAAAAAGTGAAATCGTGTAAAGTACATACAGTACATTAGCCGTAAGCAGAAAGTCTTGAAAATAATTCAATAATTATAATCATTATAATTACGTTATAGTAATAATATTACTTTTACGTAGCTTCCTTCAGCAATTAATAGTTTTTAATAGTTTATGTTGCTCTTATAATTTTAATTTTTTTGGTTATTAATATTCAAGTCATCGCCTTAAAAAATCTGATTATTATAATATTTAGGTATAGATAATCCCACTCTTTACATTAAAAATCTCACATTGTTAAAAAATTTGCTTAAGTATGTTAAAAATGAAAAAAAAAGGAATGTAAATAGAAATAGAAACTTGTCACTAAGCTTAAAAAATAATAAATATCTTTAATATCCAATCAAAAAGAGAAAATAAAAAAAAAGATCATATAAAAGATCATATAAACGCATCGAGTGATTTGAGCTATTAACATATTTTTTACAACGATATTCTGCCGTACTTTACGTATGTCACATTATAATCAATCACACTTGGAATGCAAATTATCAAAAAATATTTAGATTAATATGTTGTGCAAAATTGATTTAGTGAGTATCATTGTAGGTTTTATTTCTTGTGAAACAACAGGGTTTTTAGATAAATTTAAGCGAAAATTTCCAAATTGCCCGTAATAATTCAGCGCGTCAAACTGTTTTGCAATAAAAATTAATTTTCAGAAAGTGTCACATTTGCAATATCTAATGATTGAAAATGAGGAATGTTTCAATTGCATATTTTTTATGATGTTTAAACAGACTTCTTGTCATATCATATAACGTGTGTTTAGATGATTGAGCGTGTATGTCTACGTGTATGCTTATAAAAAAATTAAATAAAACATTCAAACGCGTTCCTCATTTTATAAAATATACGTCACTACTATGCAAAGAAAGAAAAAAAAATTCCTAGTATATTTTATACAACGCAAATTTGTGAGTTTCATGATGGATATATGATGAAAACAAAACAAGCGTCTATTATAATATTATAAGTATTTACAATCATATTACCTGTAGGTTTATGGCAAAAGCTGAATTTTAGCCTACATATAATCATAGTCTTCCTAGACAAAAAGATAAAATTGAAAGTTATGGGATTTCCTAAGTATGTTTAAGGGTATGCAAAAGCTCGATAAAAAAAAATATTAAGAAGAAAGTCTCCTGAGTTGGTATTCAATAAAATCATTATACTTAATTTTATGGTAATTTTGAGAGCTTTTTACTCCCTGCTAAAAATATACAAGATGAACGTCAACGTGCGCGCAAATTTTGATCAACGAAGTCCTCAATATTGCTATTTAATAAGCCTTAAAATCACTCGTCTATCGTTTGGGAGTGACAATATATGAACAATGAGTTTATTAATATTTATTAAAAGCTTATTGGACATCCGACCATTGACAAAACAAAATTGAATTCAAACAGCAATACAATTGAGAGAGAATTCATGGCTATTGTAGGGTGTCTTGTACACAAGCGTATCATTCTTACGCCTGATTTGTCAATGAAAATTATTTTCATCTGTTGTTCATCCAGAATCGATGGATGAAGAATTGTACCCTACCGAATTTGCGCTAAATGATTGCACTACAAAACAATAACATTTTTGTACGTAAAAAACAGCAAAAAGTATATTTATACGTTTTATTCGCTTTTAAGAATTTTCGATGCACCTCCATGAACAGCTAATCAAAATTTCAAGTTTGCTCAGACTTTCTTGTTCTAGATTTTCGAAACATATAACGAGCTTCTTGCCTGTATATTTATACAAGAATTAGTCAATTTTATTTCTCATTATGAATATTCAACTATGTTAGCATAAGAATTTTTTATTCATGCCTTTTGCATCGTTCTATTATTTAAAAGCGATTCTTATACAATAGTTTGAAAGTTACTCATACAATACTCATAAAACATCACATTTAATACGTGTAAATATATTTAAAGTCTAAAAAAAAGAATTAAAAAACAAATATAGGTATAAGTGATTTTCGATGTTGTTATGTCTTTAAAAAAAATGGTTGATATACTACTTTATTTTATCAACTACAAATTTGTATTTATAATGATGCATTTAGTATGTATATGAGTTATATTGCGAGAGTTATACTTATACAAATGTTAATATTCGCGTAAATTTTTTAGTCTTATTTATATAAAATATTTGTTTTTATTCATCTTTTTCCTTCGTCTATTTAGCGATTTTATACACAATCGTATATTTACATATACATATTTACATTGTACCTATAAAGTAAACGTTAAATTATATCTTTTGTGCCAAAAAAAAAGAAAAACAACACCATGAGAGGCAGAGAGAAACAAAGAGAGTAATTGCGAGTGATAACGAACGTAAATACCTGTACGAAGTCAAAACTACTAATTAATGACTTTTCTTATATAAACCTATAGTTTATTGTTTGTTTTTTTTAATAGTAATGTTTTTATTTGCATTAGATTAATGAATAAAGCAAGTTCTTAACAGTTAGTTTTCATTTAGTCAGTACCAGTACAAACATTTGACATATTCTATTGCTAGACAGTAAACAAATAAAAGTTGCTGTAAATGTAAACAAATGAATTGTATGTACGCGTGAGAATAAGAAAAATTGAAAGGTTGCATATAAATATATACATTGAGCTAGAATTCATAAAATCAATCTAACTTTATTCCGTTTCTTTCCTTCGAATAAATGCTTTTCTTTCTCACTGGCTTGTTTTAAAATAAATACTTGTCACGTTTAGTTCTTGCATAAACAATTACTGAAATGGATGCCTCGAGAAAAAAAATAAACAAAGATTTTAGTTACTTTTTCCATATGTGCTTTACTTTACATATCAAAAGTAATGATTAGAATCTTAATTTAGATTGTGTAGATTGAAACAACGCCAAAAGTTTTTGCTACTAGAAAACTTTTACCTTATTAAAGCAATCAGTTTAGAAAGTCAATTTTTATTTTTTACGATTTTAGCAATATCTAGGGTTGAAAATGTGATATAAACAAATGCATGATGTATATTCAAAACTTGAAGGATTTTCGCATTCCATAAAAAAGTGTAAAACGACATGCTTCAGTACCTAGACTAGTGTCACGTATAGTAAGTAACTGAAAACAATTTAAAATATTAGTAAAATTGTCAGGTTATCTATGAAAAAATACGCGTATTGCGATTAATTGATCTCTGCGATTTTTACCGTTGCAAAGAGTTAAAATGTTAAGGAAAAAATCAATTTTTACTTGTCTAGCTATGAGAGTATTATTTATACTCTGTATACCATGTACTAAGTTGATGAATGCACTGAAAAATAATTCATCGATAAACGTATTTTCAACTTTCAAAATACAAATTAGCATTTAGTTAAAGTTCATTTTCGTTCTATTAGTCATTTATTTTTCACGTAATCCTGTAGCCACTAATGTTGTATCTCTTCAAAAATGAGTAGAATCACGTACTCTTATTACAAACGGTATGATAAACTGTGTGCAGTTGTAGTGATTCAAACAGGTATTGATATAATAACGTACGTATATTGATGGGATTACTTATCAAGCACACTAATTGATACCGCGTCCAAAAACGTTATGTGATTTTGAATAATGTTATATTTTTTATTTCTTAAAAATTATTTACTATGTAATGTTGTCCTGTGCTTTTTTTCAATAAATAAATTGAATTGAAATAACATACGAATATTTATTGCACAACACATAAAAACAATAACCATCTAAAATTGTTAAGATTATATTTTAATATAATTGTCATGTAAGCTAATCAGTATCTGAATCACGTTTGTGGATTTGCTGCTTTGGTAATTTTTCTTTCAACTCTAAAACATGTTCAATAGCCTTTGGTTTTCCATCATCTCCTACAGTGCAAGGCTGAATAATGCCTCCCCTAAATAAAGAACAATTATATTCAGTTACTTTTTTTAGAATCACATTCAATTTTGATTTCTTTATTATACAATCACTTGTAAATTACCTTTGTAGTTGATCAACTAGACTAACAAGTTTCATAGCTTCATATTCTTTTTGTTCTTCAGTCATGCCTTCAAAAGGATTAGATTTTGGCTTTTCATAGCAGCCAATAACAGGGTTTATACTAAAAAAAATTATCAGTTAATAACTTGATGTTTACTTACAACTAATTAGTAGAAAACTTACTGATCTTTGTATTGCTCGTATTCTTCTGTATCACTATCTTCAGATTCAGATGAATAATCAACTTTAGCATGGTCAGGACCTAACAAACCTTTGTTAGCAAACATCCCTGCTGCGTTTCCGTAGCCAGTATATTTGATCATTCTACCCACTTTAACATTTGAAAAAGGTTTATAAAATATATTACCGAGATTCCCCTATACACTTATGTGTGTGTGCATATATACAGACAAATAGTTCATCAGCTAAACTATAGATAATAGATTATTTACGAAAATTTTTAGCATGCGAATTGACAATTAGAAAACATTCATGGGGTTTGAACATCTTGCGAACAAACGGTTTCACACCAAAATTAATTATCTATTCATGATAATTTTTCAAACACTTATCAACTGTCAGTAGTTTAGTCTAACAATATTAAGTCACAACAAATTTTTCCTGCATTATTATTATATTTATATCATAGTTTCTTATTTCACACCTTTTTCTTTGCAGAGTACAAATAAAAACTCTGCGTTGAGGTCTCGCACTTCAGTCAAAGGTGTTGTTAATAATTTACAAAGTTTATTTCTTAATGTAGAACCCTCTTCCGGTCTTTTCATCACATCTTTTAATGGTGGAAGAACCTACATACAAACCATCATTTTCATGATAAATATTTCCTTAATATTTCTGAATGGCAACATACCTGCATTCTGATATATTTACGTATAAGTCTTTCAGCTCTACACATTTTTATCAAACAAGTTAAAATTGGAGACATATTTTCAATCAAGCTCGTTTTACAGTCCAATTTATCATTTAGGAATTGTAACAACACATTGACAACAGTCATATCTGCATTTGCTTCATCAACAGAATTGTTTTGTTCATCCAATTTTAATGCAGGTGCAATTAATTTGATGTAATAGCTTGTAGGTATTACAGTCAACAAGTTGACAACATTACTAAAAATGTTAAAAAATTTACATAATTTATGTTGATTTCAAAGATAATCATTAAACAACAATTACCTGACCAAATTTTCATTATCCTTTGCATTTTCACTCAAAAGCAAATTTTTGACAATGCATAATAAGTTTATATAAGACTTGAATTCTTCAGCAGACGGATCTTTCTGCTCAATAAATAAATTAAATAAAGCCTTTAAAATTTCACTAGATAAGACTGCATCATTAGCCTGAAAATTAAGTTTTTATATGTAACGTAGAACTTTGGAAACAAAAGAATCTTGAGGCTACGTACATAAATATTCCTTTCTTCCATATTTATGTACTTAGAGCAGCTATCCAATAAATTTATTAATGTAATATCTCCATGTAGTTCATTTATAATAATACTTCTTGTTGAAGGAATTAACGCACTAATTAAAAATATGACTCGGACATCAAAAAGTTTAGTATCATGCTGAACATCGGAATCATATTTACTTATGCGATCTATAACACAAGCTAAACAATTGGTTTCCAAGATCATATTTTGTACTTTTGTACTATTGAATAAGATATTACACAGCAACTTCTGGGTTTCATTTGTAACTAAAAGAAAAATAATTGCAAACTTACAATATATTAAATATCAATCAATAAAAAAGGTATGTTTCAAACCTGTGGTGACAAAGTAATTTTCTTGTTTACAATTTAGACCGGCATATTCCAATATTAAATTCAGATTTTCTTGAGTTAAAATGCTGTCTAAACTGGTTTTGTCACGACTAGAAAAATTGTTACCAATTGTAACAAATATTTTTGGAAAAAAGTTATTTACATCTTTTCTACCTTAAAATTCGAAGAGTGGATAAGCATTTCTGATGAACAAGTACTTCTTCTTTATTTTTTAAATGTAATAATACTGCTTCCCAAATCTGACTTCGAAAATTTTCTTGGTCCAAAAATTCAAACTTAGTTACACTTGCGTACTTTAAATGGATATAAAAAATGTGATTAATAAATTTAGTACTAACTCTTTTACTTCATTGTATAAAACATACTTACATTATTTAAAAATGTATCCAAAGTTTGAGAAAATTCTTGATTATCTTTCAATTTGAATTTTAAAAACAAATCTTCCATTTTACTGAGCTTTATTTTAGATGAAGGTATATCACAGATCTATTATACTTTAGAAAAGCTTATAATTTATTGAAGTCGAAAATTCTCGTATCATAAATGTCATTACAAGTATATCGTGATTTATTTCGTTTTTTTATAAAAGTGTGAAATGAGAATAAATTATACTGCAATAGTAATACATCACCTTCATATTAAAAAGAGCGATCATTTGAATATAACTAAATGTCAATATGCGCACTTTTTTTACACAATATCAAATGAAGCCTTAGGTCATGAATCACATGAATCAACGTATCAACATACAGAGGGAGGAAAAAGCAGAAGACGCTTAGACATTTCTGTTATAAGAATGTTACAGGTAAAGCGCGATAAACAAAAGTTTAACCAGTTTATATTGTTATAAAAGTAATGACGGTTTAAGCTTCAAATGCTATATGGACTACTAAACCACCAACTTGATCAATACTGCGTGTATGTACACTGGCACAAGCACAAGCTCGAATTACAGGGAACTGAATTCTAAGTCAAATAAATGATTCTTGAAAATTTCAACAGATCAAAATTAAGAAACCAAATTAATATTGTTCCTACTTGTTCTTATTGCACGTATCTATACCGATGACCGACTGTATTAGTGTGCTTTAGCGTGTCATACATGTAGAGTGTTCGAACGAGTGATGGCGTTAGGAGCATCGTATACATCGCAGATCAGAATATCAGATGAATCCTGGACAAATCGCGATCAGCAGCAGTGACGTGACGAGAAGAAAAGAAGAGAGGGTAGAAAACAAACTCGTGTCTCGTAGTGCCGACTCATCGAGCGCGTGTTGTGTGCTGGGCTGCTTAGTTGCCTGGGAACTTAAGTTACGTCCAGCCCAGCCTTGATAAAACCAGCCTCCAAGCAAAGTACATGAGCGCTGGCCGCTTAGTTTCGACCGACACACGCTAAATCCGATCACTGCAAAAGGACGACGAAAGCGAGGCAAGCGTCGTTACAACTCCAAATCCGCCCGGGGCTTTCAGCTGCGTTATACGCTCAATTTATATTTCACTTTCGATACTCTTATTATACCAAGTTATCTTAATCTTTGTTCAAGATGATTATTACATTAAAAAATCTTCAACAACAAACTTTTACCATTGAAATCGATCCTTCGAAAACAGTAAGTTTGCTTTTGATTGCCGGTCAAACTCATCTCACATTTTCTCTTTTATATTGGCATTTCATTTTATTTTTCCCATATTATGTAGGTTAAGGACCTTAAGGATAAAATTGAAGCACAAAAAGGATTTCCTGCATTGCATCAAAAATTAATTTACGCAGGTTCGTAAATTTTCCATTATCACATAACCTTACATTTTTTTTCTTTCTTTGGCGTTCATTGTTATTCATTTTATGCCTGCCTAAAATTAGAAAATTTTTTTCCTCTCTTTATTTTTCCATTTTATTCTTCATTTCTACTCGTTCTTTTATGAAGCGGGAATTTGCAATATTATTAATTTTACTAATTTAATTTATTGTGAGGTTAAGTATTTGGCATATTGCAAATGAGTTAATTGCAATTACATAGTAGCACATATCGTGTATTCGCAGAATAGCTATATAAACAGGTTTTTACATAACAATTTTTGAATTTCAGGAAAAATATTAAATGATGAACACCCTTTAACCGAATACAATATCGATGAGAAAAAATTTATTGTCGTTATGGTCTCCAAGCCAAAGTTTTTTGCAGCTCCAAGTACAAGTAGTGAAAAAAAAATTGACAAGGAAACTACCAAGAGTACAGAGCCAGCTCCTAAAGCTACCCCAGTAACTACAACAAGGTAAAACATAAATACTGTTCTTTTGTAACAATGTTGACCCAAATTGTGAATATCTCTGTATTTCAGTACTTCACAATCTACCAGTTCAACTCCATTGGTGCAAACTACTGCACCCAGTAAACCAGCTGAACAAGCTCAAGAAATACCAGCAGAAACTGGTGCTGCTAGCACCCAACCAGAAAGTGCTTTATTAATGGGTGAAGAATATAATAAGATGGTTAATAATATTGTAGATATGGGGTATGTTGATTGTAAAGTTTATACATAGGGAAAACAAGGATTGATTATTTTGTGTTTTTATGTAGGTATGAAAGAGAGCAAGTTGAACAAGCACTAAGGGCTAGCTTTAACAACCCTGATAGAGCTGTAGAATATTTATTAACGGGTATACCTGCTCAACTTTTTGAAGATCCTCCAGAAGAAGCTGCTGAACCACAAGAATCACTTTCAGAATCTAACCAAGATCCTTTAGCTTTTTTGCGTTCTCAGCCTCAGTTTCAACAAATGAGACAAGTTATTCAGCAAAATCCACAATTATTAAATCCTGTTCTTCAACAAATCGGACAGACTAATCCTGCACTTTTACAGCTTATATCACAGAATCAAGAAGCTTTTGTGCGAATGCTTAATGAACCTGGTAAATATATTTTGCAAATATCAATATTTAAGTAACAACAGATATTGTGAAATGCAACTTATTCTTTCTACATAATATATTATAAAATAATTCTCATAAACTTTAGTTGGAGCCAGTGGGGGTGGTGGTAATATTCCTGCTTCTGCTGCATCAACTCCAGCAATAAATTCAGGTTCACTAGGAGGAAACGCAGGTGCAGGCGTAGGTACGGGTCCTGGTATAATACAAATTACGCCACAAGATAAAGAAGCTATTGAAAGACTGAAATCGCTTGGGTTTCCAGAAGACCTTGTTGTGCAAGCATATTTTGCGTGCGAAAAGAATGAAAATCTTGCCGCCAATTTCCTGCTGTCACAAAATCTTGATGATTGAGTAGCGCAAATTGATAAATTAACAAACGGTACCTTCAAAGGTGAAGCGATTTCATTGTTATTGCTGGCCCGAGTTCACTCCCTATTTGTCATACTAATTGACAAATAACAATTTATCACCAAAAAAATTATACCTTTTATTTTTAATGCAGATTGTCAGTAGTGGGAGATATCGATTTATCAGTGTTATCCAAACCAATTTTTACATTAGCTTCATTGAACATTCGCTTTGTTTTATGTCAGAAATAATAATTGTTATATGAACAGGCAATATTAATTCAAAAGCCTAGTTATTAAAATCTGAAAATGGTAAGCAATGAGAATGCAAGAACATAAAGATTTTATATGCATGTCATCTTTAAATACATTAAATTTGTTTTATATTTGAAACTACGGATGGACATACAATATTTGTACATATGTGCATGTGTATTCATCTTGCATTCTCATAAGCTATCACTACTGATGTTTAAATAAAAATACATTAAATTTGCAGTATGAATTGTGCATCGACGTACTTATGTAAGGCTATGCAATTGTTTATATGAAATACTGCAAAAATATTTTCTATGCCATTTAATATTTACTCAATAAGACATTATATGGATTTTTCATTTGATTCAAAATTGATTGATAAATTAAGTGCTATTATTTTTATAAAATTTTCATGAAAACAAATTTAATAGCAGTTGCTGATTAGCTTCATGTACATTAGATACTTGATATTACAACGGCTGAAACACTGAAGATTTCCATGCAAAGACTGACCTGACATCAAACAATTGAAGTTTGGAGTATGGATAACAGGACCTTAAGTCAATTCTTATTTAATTACCTCTACATACTGACTATTGGTTTTAATATTTTGCTTTATCTTAATGGTCAACAAGGTATAACTCACTTTTGTATCATATTTTTGAAATGGTTGAATATTTGATCATAAATTGAACATGTTTGGAAATTGAATTGTGTAAAATTTGTTTAATACATCATATTGAATCAGAAAATATAATATGCATTTGTTTTATACAATTAATAATGTTGATAACATAAATAAATATTTAATTTACAATTAACTTAAATAAACAAGTTAAATACTATCAAAAGATTTTATATGATTAAAACTGTCATGAAACAATATTTTTAGTTCAAGTTTTTTTCTTTGTTTCTATAGATTTAATTAAAAATCGCTTGAGAAAATCTACGTTTTATTAAAGATTTTACTTAAAATTATGAGTCATGAACAAATAAATTTATTTATAAATTTTGTTTGGTTAGTGAAATATATAAATATGAAACATTTTCCGAATATATATAAAATTTGACTACTCTAAAAAATGGCGTCACGGATTGTAGCTAGTGCAACAGTTCGTGCAGTAAAAGGAAGAAAAATTATTCCATCTCGAGCTGCTTTAACTTTGGTAAGTACTTTATTTTCAACAGTCATAAAGAATTTAATGTCAAAACAATGCTTGACGTAAACCTTATTCAAATCACCAAATTTATCATAAATTTGAAATCTAACCTCTTTTATAATAATGTGGGATGACGATTCGCCATTTAAATTGCAAAAACTTGAAAGGCTCTTAATTCTATAGACTTGTAGAAACATATTGTTAAATAATTTAATGACATATATCATATTTTTTACTTTTCCGTAGACAGAAAATGCGGTAAAAAAGATTAAGGAGATTTTACAAAACAAACCAGAATATGTAAGTATATTGATTACTTATTTGCATCAAACATATGATTAAAGTATCTTTTATTTTCAATCTACCTTAATACAGATTGGTCTTAAAGTTGGCGTTAGACAAAGGGGCTGTAATGGTTTAAGTTATACGTTAGATTATGCAAAAGAAAAAACTAAGCTTGATGAAGAAGTTGTTCAAGATGGTGTTCGTGTTATAATAGATAAAAAAGCTCAATTGTCATTATTAGGAACTGAAATGGATTACATTGAAAGTAAACTAAGCTCTGAATTTGTATTTAACAATCCAAATATCAAAGGAACATGTGGATGTGGAGAAAGCTTCAGTGTATGAATAGAAATTTATTACTTATCAATATCATGTTTAAATAATGATGAAATAATGATATTTGACAATTTGTTACCAAAGATGTTTATTTGTGTTGAAACAAATTAGAAAAAATCTGTATATAGTTATAAAATGATTCTTAATAGTAGTTAATTGTTCATGTGATAGTGAATTATGACACAAGCATATAACTTGTATAAAATGTAAATAATTGTAAAAATCTTATAAATATTATTAAAATATGTTAAATAAAAAATATATAAATAAGTTTGTGTATATATCAATAATTATTTCATCAGCTTATATATTTAACATTGTTTTGATGTTGTGCAAAAGATATAAGCAAAAAATATTTGTAATCCATTGGAAAACAAGTCTTATACATTGTAGAACAAACAAGGTAATGTATAGATCAAGGCTGATTTTCAAATAATCGCGCACTCATAGGTGCAAGCCTGAACGGTAGAAGACGGAAACATTATGCAACTATAGGAACGGGAAATTTAAAAATAGAAAAAAAAATTGATCTTAATAATTATTTTCACGTACGTAGAACATAATATCAAAATATTTTTTGTTGTTTAAAATAGTTCATTAATTCTAAAAACTTCATTATGGGGTAAAACATTTGTTGAAAGAGTGGCGAAACAATTCAGTGCATATATAAAACACAGAAATGGCGCCGACGGGGAAGGGAGAGTCGAGCATGCGCATTAGAGTGTATCGGGCAAAGAGGGCGCTGGTAGCGGTGGAGTGGTGGCGTGTGGGGCTAGCTCGGGTGCTCGGGTCGCTGCTAGGAGGCACTCGGGAGGCAGGGAGGGCATGCGAACGGAGGCAGCCGTTCAGTGTCGCCATTGCAGCTCTCCCGTGCGGTTGTTCGCTCCGCGAGCTCTGTGGCGAGTGGAGCTTGATCACCTTGAGCCAAGCCTCCGCGAGGGCTGAGCGCGCTACCCCCGATGCAGAGACACTGCTGCGAGCTCACCGATAGATTATTGCAATCCGTTGACCAGGAATACAATGTAAGTAGCGGGTCCCCCAGCCAGCTCGCGCACTGCCTGAGCGCCAGAGCTCCGCTCGCGTAAACGGCTATCGTGCCACTCTCGTGCGCGCGCGCACGCCACCGTCTCCGCCGCCGCCGCCACCGCTGTAACCGATCAGCGAGCCGCAGGTACCCCCTCCCTCCCTCGTTGGCTCGTGCGCTCTCTCTGCTCGAGTATGCCATCTCTCTTCCACCAAAGCAGCAGCAACAGCTCGCCTTCGTTTCTGTGTGCGTGGCGAGCGCGCTCGCGCACTCAACTGCCCGACGAACTGCCATCCCGAGGCCGCCTTGTCTTGGCTTGCATCCTCCTCGAGCTGCTGCTGTTGCTATTGCTTTAACGTAGCCACAGCGGACGCTTGCGCGCAACCATACTCCTATATGGATGTTGCATTCGACTTCATTTACAGTCGCGTATCAAGCCGCGGACCAATTATAATTAACCGAGATATGTTTCTTTTCCTTCCCTGACAATCATTGGCTTCTTTCGATGCAATTTCTTTTCGCAAAATCTCCGTATCTTTGAGGGTTGCTTTCAGAACCGACAATGACCGCATCATTTGCCATTCACCCGTCTACTTAATTTCGAGATTTTTAAATGACACGACGACTGCCTTGCCATGCTCTTCGTTCATCACTGTTAAATCAAGCAGACTTTTCAATAAAGATAACTTGTAAATCCTGATACCCGCCATACTCTCGTTCCATTTTTATTTCAATTGGCTTTCGAAATTCTGTTCCGCCTTACATAATAATCAAATTATAGCTTCTTTTGCCAACAATGACTCGCGTAATTTCATGATTTCGTCAATTGAATTATTTCTTCATTTGATAGGTTGTTAATATGCAAGTCGTTTTGGAAGTCATCCAAGCACTGGAGAGAGTCGCTATTACCAAAGAGGTGCTTGAAGTAAGTAGCAATCTTAATATTATCAAGTCCATCAATTTATAATGATCTTTAAATTATATATATTTCACTTTTGCAGGCTACTAGACTCGGAAAACACATCAATGATTTGCGTAGGAAAACCAACGATGAAAGATTAGCCAAGAGAGCGAAAGACTTAGTCCGAAAATGGAGGAATATGGTTATACCATCAGCACAACCGCAGCCTACAGTTGCTGATACAGCACCACCAGCCCTTAATGGGACTAACGCTCAATGTCCTGCTTTAAGGGGTCTCAAACCACAAAGTCCAGCTCTAAAAGGTCTTAAGCCACAAAGTCCATTATTAAAAACTACATCACTGAGTAGAGTACGTTACAATTTATCATTTTCTCTGATCATTATCCATCAAATACTTCATTGATAAATTAACTATTTACTTTTAGGTGTCAAGTCCTTCCTTATCATTGCATAGTGATCAATCCCATTCACCAATCGTTTCTCCATGTAAGCCACCACAGGTTACAGCATCAAATAATTGTAAGGCAAATTTAAATACTCCTCATGTGGAGGGTCAACTTTATAGTCAAAATCATCTGCAAGAAGCTGTACCGCGAACTCACAGTTCCAACAAGCGATTACGAAAAGACAATCTAAGTAGTCCTGAAGTTGAATCTGTAAACAAGAAACAGCGCCTTAATGGTGAAAATGTGAGTAGTAGCAATACAAACTCGCAAGTGCCTAGCCTCACCCTCAAAGAAAGAAATCCAGAACTTATTGAGCCTTCTTTGAATACTGAAAGCAATGTTGTTAAGAAGCGTGGTAGAAAAAAAGGCAGTAAATCAATTAAAAAAACATTGTCTAATGAAGACATTGTCAAAGAGAAGCTAGCTAGTATATCAGGAAATTCAAAATTAAAAACAACTCAAGAGTTGTTAGCTGATTTACAAGCTCGAGGTTCCAGTTTAAATGCCAATTCTGTACCTAGTCACAGTGTAAATGCACCTAATATTGATGATGTTTTAAGGACTAAAAATGATGTGGAAGTTAGGAAATATCTTTCTGGTAATCAAAGTTACTTGTCACAAAAAGGGGATATAGAGAGTAATGTGAAACAAAAGCACATAAAAATAGAAGAAAGTTTTTCTAATATCTCTCAAAAGTATCATGAATCAGACAGTTATGATGAAGATACAAGGGATTCAATCATTACTCCAGAGAACAATGTGAGATTATCACAGGATCTAACAGTAGAGGAAATACTTGCCAAGTTACCGCCAATAGATCCTAAATCAATAGACTGGAATGACGATTACTATGATAAAGAGATTGTAGTTAGCGATAAGCTAAAAGAGGTTACTGAGGAAGATCTTATAAGGTTACATACAGAATGTGTTGAGAGTTTAAATGGAAACTTTCAACCAAAATTTAATTCTTTCTCCGAAAAAAGTGACAGTGCAGAAACGTGTGAAGAAAAAGTAAAGTTTGATGGTGTTATTGGTTTGCATAGGCCTTCAGATAGCCATAAGGACGAAATTTTTCGAGAATGGCATGAAATGCTTGCTAGGCCAAGTTCTGATGGTCAAATCCTCCACATATTGCCTTATGTTATTATTGATTAAAGTCATTGACATTGTTTAACTATAATCATTAAAGTTCTATCTTTTTGTAGATAAAGTAACTTTGATGCGTTGTATGCGTTTATCATTAAATTCATTTGTTATTTTGTATTTGTCATATGATACAAATGTCTTGATGGCATTTTGTATATCAAAAGTGAATATTGCGTTGAGGAACGAACGTTTTACCTATTGTAGTAGCTATAAACGAGAAGGTTGGCGTTCTCCTAATAATTATTGTGATCAATAATCATTAAAGATATGTATTATTTTTGTTGCCTTAATGATTATATTTACTTTTTCTATCGGGCGCCAATCAAAATGAAGTTTGTTTTCTTTTTTTTTTCCAATTTCAATATCGAAATCACAGGATTTTAGCGAGCAAATTTGAGCCAAAAATGTATCTTTAAGTCAATATAATGTTACAAACAGTTTATACAGTCGTGCGCCCGAATAAGAGGAAGTATCATGTATCTATATTGTTAAGTCTATTAAGTTATTTTTAACACATGTAAAGAGTATTTAGAGATCTGAATATCCTACGGATGGATAGAAAACTCTAAACGAAATAAATAATTGCATTCATTACAAGTGTTCTTTGGAGATTCACGTGAAGACTCAAGTTTCTTAACATTGTGAAATTCTAGCCACGACCATATTTGATACACTGATGAATAAGTAATTATACAGCTTGTACACATAATTGCGCAGTGTAGTCTACATCTGAAAAAACATAACTTATCAAACATTGATCTTTGTACAAAATAAAATACTTTTTTACGTTAATAGAAAAACTTTTAAAGATCAAGGAAAATTGTTTAATTTAGATCGAGTCATCTACACCTGCAATGAATACCTAACTGATATAGATATTATCAATCAAAAATGAATTATTAATTTTTGTTTGTCGATTATTTATCTTTCAGAAGTGAATATATATGGATCAGCTCATAATTTAAGCACTGTATAAATTGCTCAATTAAAAAAAAGCAACAAAAGAAAAAACGAAATGCATTAGATAAAAAAGATGCAGTAGTATATTTTCTCTTTCCAAATATGGTGCCTTCTTACTTTGATAATTTTTATACTTTACAACTGCACTGTGCTGATGAACTCAACAACTAAGATCGTAGAAAATATCAACTGAATCTTTGCTCAGCTTCTGTACATTAACAGTACTAAAATTATGGTCTAGTATATTTTATCTTCTGAAAGATATTTTAATTTTCAATTCAGTTTACTAAAACAAAATTAATAATATTGAGGAATCATTTGCTACTTCGTAGTATATCGTATATTTACATTGTAAATAGCTTGAACGGTTTCCTGATGTATGATAATGAACTCAAATGTAAAATAATTGTTCTACATATATCTACCTTTGTTTCTTTAATTTTTAATTTGAATGAATAAATTCTGCTATGATTTCTTCTGCAAACAATTTTCAATTTAATGATTATTGAAATAATAAATAACTGCGGATTTTTCTTACATTTAAAATACTTATTCATTTACATATTTACCATGAATTATACTGTTTTTATAAAAGTCAACATCAACATAATATCTCAAATCCACTTTATATATGCCTTTTTTTAAATAAAAAATGTACTAAGAAATTATTTTATAAAATAAAGTGGTTGATTTAAGCCAATACAATTGTTTAAGTTATTGTAAAGTTATTGCATTTTTAATATTTTTACAGATAATTCTTCTTTATTGAAAATTTCATTATAAGTTTATTTCACTAGTTTTCATAAAGTAAATGTATGTAATGTATACTATTTTAATCCTTTGAAATACTATTTTTATTAAACATGTTTACCAATAAATCAAATTTACAGTATTTTTCTATTATATTTTATTTACACCAAAAAAAAAATACAAAGTCTAATACAAAAAATGTTGCACTTTGATTTATCTCACATGGATAAATATTGATCCTGCATGAAACGCATTGAAAATGGAACGTTAATGTTCCTTGATTGACTATACTTCTTTTTTTATAACACTTAAACGATTGGTAATATATACTTTGCACATTATAAGGTCACTCGTATAAAATCACATATAAAAATATTTTCTTGTAAGGCCTATAATATAGATATTATACAACAGAGAAAAAGTCCTTTTTTGTTGAAAGCAACCATAAGAGAAATCAAGTTTTCTTAAATGTAGGACGATTAGATTGACGATAAATTTAAATTCAACTTTGTACAGGCATAAAAATATTTTAATAAATAAAATAATCCTCTAATTTTTTTTTTGTTATTTTCAGTTCAATGAACTGCGTCATATAGACATAACTTATAACTGTAGTCGTTTTTCTATAATAGTGAAATTTTATGCACAAGAATTAAATAGCAAATGTAAAATCAATGTTATTATATTACACGTTAACAAACATTATTTTTTTCGATCTGCTCGTCAATTAAATCTATAGGTCGGTTTAGTTTAGTATCTTGAAAAAAAATTACATAAGCATTATTTTGAATGTTTTTGAAAACTTCATCTGCAGATAATATAGAGACATTCATATCATCGTAATAAAACCATTGCTCATGATGTTTAACAAAACTTATGTAATGTCCAGAATTAATACTGTCCCCAATATGTGAAATTATACCAACAGGCTCAAATTCTGGACTGTATTCAACATCTTGACAATTATTACTGAAAGAAAGAATATTGTTACAATAAATTGAGATAAATATGAAAAATTATTAAACACTTACATAACAAGAGAGTCCAATTTGAGAAGCCTTGGAATATGAACACAAGTAGATTTTTTCATCAATATTCCTTCACTTGTCATTTCATATCGTTTTACTTGTAGTATAAGAATTTTAGGAAGCTTCTTAAATTTGCTTTCCATAGTATGTGCGTCATGTCTACACGATTCGCACGTCATGCTCCTTTGCTCTTTGGCAAAAGTTTTATTTATCATATCTATCAAATTAACAGAATCGCTATAGTCTTCAGAAGGTAAATCAATGAACAACATTAAATTCTCAACTTTTTGCGATCGCTGTTTCAAGCAACAATCGCAAACGTATTTTTCCATCATGTATGATGAGAAATATTCATTGATAGGATTACGACATTTTTCTACTTCATTTTGGTTGATACTTTTTATTTCCACATTATGTTTCACTTCAAAGATATTTTCTTGGTTATTATTAGATACTGTAATACAATTGCTTTTGACTTGTCCTGCAACAGCAGAGATATCAGATAAAGGTAATCTCTTATTTATGTCATAAATACTTTGCAATTTTGATGTTGAATCTTGTTCATTATTGGGTATATTTTCAATTTCATTTTGGTGAGAATTCTTTTTAATTGCAGCTTCAAATTCACTTCCTATGAAATTCAATAAATTCATAACGAATTCAGAAACATCTTGCTGGGCTCTAGAGGAATATAGTTCATCCAATGATGACAATTCTTCCTTGAAAGTACTGAAAATAAAATTCTTTTGTTAAGTGATTCAATAAAATTGAATTATATGAAAAAGGTATTGAAAAAACATACTTAAAGACATTGTCAAAAGTACGATTCGTGATTCCTTTTCTCCATAATTTTTGTATATTTATAAGTGATGACATTAGTTTTGAACATTCAGAAAAATATAATGAATCTAATTTATCAAGTATAGGCAATGCAAATAATGCCTGTAATGTAGCATTAGTCCAACATCTATTTTCACCAGCTGGGTTTGGAAATCCTGTTGTATAATGAGGCCGTTCTTTAATATTTGGATAATATGTTTCACAAGGAATACCAATATTGAAAGGTTCATAATCTGTAAAATCTTGAGATGCTTCATCTAGTTCTTCAACAACAATTGGTGAATTGACTCTTTTGCATTTATTAACACTAAAATTATTATGAGATTTTATTTGATTGTATTTCACATCAGGATTGAAGGTATTACTAGTTGCATTTAAATTTGCTTCTGGCCTTTGATTTTGAAAGACTTCCTTTTTCTTCAAGAAATCTCTAGCCCGATCAAGTTTAGTTTGTGATCTAGTACTAATTTTTGGACTATTAGGCATTGAAGAACCATTATGTTCTGATTTATTAAAAGGATGTTTAATTGTTACTTCAGAAAAGTTAATATTAGTATTAAGCATGCTCCTTTCATCTTGCTCTACAATTTTATATTTATTAACTTTATCAGAGTCTAGCAGTTGATTGTTTTCAACGTGATAGCTGGTGGTTTTCTTTTGATTTTTAAATTGTACATGTTCATTAGAACCGAGAGTTGTTAATTGAATTTCTTCGTTATTTTCTAAAATGGATCGATACTGTGGTGGTACTTTTGATAATATTCTATTACTACTCTTTTCCTCCTGAACTTGATTGTCAATAACGCCTTGTTCCTTTTCAATCTCTGATCCTGTTTTTATTTTTCTGTGAAGAAGATCTTTAATGTTTGGACTATTTTTAGGAATAGGAGTCAATGTTATTTCAGCACTATTAAATATAAGATGTTGACTCAAAATATCTACAGAATTATCGTTCAGCTTTTTCTCATCAACATAACAATCTGAGTCTGTCTTCCTACGCTTGAGCAAATTGGATCTGTCCGAAGACCAAGATCGCCCTATAAAATACGAAAATGCAATTATTTGATTTATACATGTAAAAACAGTAAATTGTCAATGAAATATGAAGTTTTACCCAACATCGAATGTTGAGACGCTGATCCCGGTGTTTCTGAATGTCGTACTGCTTGGGCCACGCTCAACATATTGATAATTAAAAGAGTTTCCGAGTTCGCAACAATCCTTAATAGTAAGTACTTAATCAATCGAGTATTCTTCGCAATTGAGTAACTTTTGACTAATGAAAAACTTGCAATCGATAAATTCACAGCATTTAGCCGCACAATTTTCGTAACTTACGTGGTTCACTTTGAAAAGAAGTTATTACTACGTTGTACCTAAAGCTGAGAAGCTACAATAAAGTTTAGCAGAACAAAACAATAGCCGGGCGAAATAAATGGCAATAAACAGCATAGACGATTGATTAATTCTACTGATCTATTACTACTACTCTTTTTTTTGACGTTTCTTATATGTTCCGGGATAACTTGGCGCCCAAAAACGTGCACGTCTCCATCGTTAATTTACTGACACTGTACTTGAGAAGTCTCCCTTACAATTATTGGCGGGAAAGTGTCGGCTTGGCAATCTTGGCATATCCTCGGCAAGCATGCATACATTCCCTATACAGGCTCACGTTACAATTCCCATATCTACATCCTGTTCTTTTGTTTAGCTTTTTTTCCTAGTCCGTTGTTTCAGTTCTACAAGTAAAGACAATTTTCACAAGAGCAATCAAGCAGATCAACAAATCTTTTCATCACTTTTGAAATAAGGACTGTAAAATTTTACTTGGTCCTTTTAAAAAATTTATTTATTATTATTATTATTATTATTATTATGTGATCAAAATCATACAAGCAATTTTAATTTTGTAATAAAATACAAATTTTTTTAAAAATTTCTTTGTTTTTTTATTATTGAAGAAAATTATTTTATTATTTACATATTTTTTATTTATAAAATATTCTTATTCAGTATATTTATTTACAAGGTTTTCTTAAGTATGAAGTTTCACATTTCAAAATCATCTCGCTGAAATAAATTACATTTGTCATTATAATTATTCTATAACTTGATGATACAGTAAATAAAATAAAATATTGCTGCTACTTACACAATTGGCATAGTCCAATATATGCTTTTTTATAGCTGAAGTATCTGTCCATGTTATAAAATCCTCCAAATTTCTGTAACATTACGTTGCTTTTTTTATATAATTGTTGAAAAAAATTTTAAAACAAAAATAAAAATTTGTTTACCTTGTTACTAAGAATGCTGGATCTTTGATTACTTCTGGTCCAACACGAATATGCCCTTGTTCAATTAACTGAGTAGCCATTTTTATAGTTTCACTCATTTTGCTCCTGACCATAATAACAGGTAATCTACGTCTACAGAATGAACTGGCTGTAATTTTTTGACATAGAGAAAGATCCCACTTGGTAGGAATAAGACCAAGCATGTATAATTTTTCAAGTAAAGCAGCGCTTTGTTCTGCTCTGAATGGACTATCTGCATCCAACTCTTTAATTTTTTTCCCAAGTTCTCGAATTTCTCTGGCTAGTTTATTATACCTACAAAAATTTATTCATTAAAAACCACTATACTTATTATTGAAAATCGCTTACTTACTTTGTATAATCTTCTCTCTTTTGTATTTGATAGCGTTTTAGAACTTTAACTTCGTGTAAATTATTGTCAGCTTCCCAAGATATAAAATCGACTTTCTTCAATAGTTTTTGTTCGTGATATTTCAATTTTCTGACCATTTTAAGTTATTTGTAATCTGCAAGAATAATTTAATCGTTACAACTTTCAATTATCAAAGATCGTTAGTAAGAACTGATCAAAAACACGCTTTTTTATTTGGTTAATAATTTGAGGTTATGTTTGAGTTGCATATAGCCACGCTCATGCGGACAGGGGGACTGCGAAGATTGCTTATGACATGCTATGAAAAAGTTGGCAGTTGGCAACGACAGCAACGATAGCTAGAATAATATGTGATATAAAAGTTTTTTTTATTGTAGAACCGCGTACTCCAAAGTATTTACATTCCAACAAAATCTCAATAAACATTAATGTAACGAGCTACATAAATATTTAACGTCCCTAAATCACACCGTATTACTAAACAAATCTTCAATTTTCTATAAAACGTAATAGATAGATAAACTTAATTCCTCAAGTTAGTTTATTTACTAATACAGCCAAGTAAGTTTAATATTTCGAAAGAAATGTGGTAAAAATCTACATAATTTTAATTAGATAAACACTAAAAACATGGTTTTGCTAATATTTTGTTTACTCAATTTCAGTTTACAGTTATGACAAAGTTAATGGAATGGTTGTTTGGTGCATTTTTAATGTTTGGAGTGTGGTTATCAATTATAGTGACTGAAGCTAATTCATCAACAAGTTTCGAATGGTACTACAGATGGTTTCCAGTGATATTTTTAATACTTTTTGGAATTTACTCTATAGTGACAGTTTTGTATGGAGTATTTACATTTAACAATTGTGAATCTGCAGCAATGGAACTTCAAAAAGTCAATAACACTAATATCTATCTAGAAGCTATACACAATATAATAAACATTAATTTAAATATTGTTTATAAATTTGCAGCAAATTAAAGAGGCAACAGCTGATTTAGAGTCTAAAGGCATCAAACTCTCAAGAAAAGCCAAATTATAAAAAAATACACTTCTTGACATTAAATTGTCAAAATAAAATGAAATAAATTAATCGAACTTTTTATTTTTTTTATCAAATACACTGGCGCTATACAAATCCACAAATCGTTTCCTTTTCCTATTCATGTATCATATATTTAATAAATTATTTAAATATAAAGATGATGATGCCAAGCTGCTTCTGTAAAGTACTTGATTAATATAAAATCAAAATTAAAAGTTTTGATATTTTGTATTTGAAATTAAAACTAAAGTATTTGTAAAATGACATCAAACTGGTTAATAATTCACAAAGAATTAAATAATTATAATAATAATAATTTTTGCAACAATTTTTTTAATGAGGGTATTTTATAAATGAAAGTAGCAAAAGTAGCAATTTCAATGTACGATACATACAGCCATTATATATATATACACATATATATACCTATATGTACCTATATATATATGTATACATATATATAATGGTAAAGCAAATATATTGCAACTTTCATTTATTGAGCAAGTAGATGTTTATTCAATCATAATTGCTAGATAGATAAATAGCTATGTATATTTTCTTTAATTTCACATTGCAGTTCAATCAATTTTTAATTCTATTTTTACAAAAGTCCAATTTGAACAAATAGATTTTAGCATTAGATATTCAAGTTATCAACTTTTTATGGACATTTTATCTTTACAAGTACCAAATATTTTACTTATAACATAAAAATATATTGATTCTTATTCTCAAGATAAATCCTATCTTAATAATAAATTTTATTTAACAAATAGTAAAATATTAATTATTTTTTTATTTTTTTAAACAAATGAAAATATTCTATAGGTATAAATTTTAATAGAATAATAATAATAATATTGCTACTGAAAAATTCATATAGAAGATATTTTTTTTTATCTCGAGTTTCAAATAACTTATTAAAATAGCACTTTTATTCAACTGAAAATTAGAAGGTGTAATATAGACCAATACTTTGTTTTACTTAAGTGTAAACAACTTTATAGTATTTTAGAAATGGCGGAATAACTGTAATCAAAATAAGAAAGTAGAATCAATATTATTCAAAGCATTTATTAATTTTATAAAACTTTCATTTATTTATTTTTGTTTGTCTTATAGTAAAGATAAAATGTCATTAAAATGTTGAAAATAAAGATTGTGAATAATTTTATATTGGTGTTAGAAAAACTTGGAACTACAATGCTTATTGTTCGTAGGTAAATCTACAGTATTTTTATCTTTCTTTTTTTTTTGTGTACTGCTTGTGGATCTTTTTTCATTCTTTCTCTTTCATTTTTAATCATCAAATATTGAATAATTGTGCCCATCATTGTCCATTTTTTTTTCTTTTCACATGAAGTTTTTTCTTTTTTTCCCCATCGTCATTTTTTTTTTCTGTGGACATACCATAAGAAGTAATATAAATTTTAGATCTCTCTATCTTAATTATTAAAAAATTAGAAGTACTGAAATGTAAATATTCTACTGCTATAGAAAAATATAGTTTTATTGAAACATGATTGCACTTTTATACATAATAATCACTGATGTAGTGATTCAATATATACATAATAATCTATCCACATGTTCTCAGAAAATCGTTATTAAAAATATATAAGTATGTTGAAAAAAAATTGAACAATAAAAATTATATGAAAATGATCAAAATAAAAATAATTATCGAAAATTAAAATGTAATACTATAAAATCACTAAATAAAGCATTAAAAATTGTATTGAAATGTAGAAAAGAATTACAAAATTTACCTTAACGTTTTCCAATGTGGAACAATGAATTGACTGGTCAATACGGCATATAATATCCTCGCCTGTAACTCCTAAAAAAGGAGTCAATATTTTACAAATATCTAAACATTTTTTTAATGCTTTAAATGGAAGTAATTTGAAAGAAAAACAAATACCTAGGACGTCTAGTAGGTCGATAGCCAAAGTATGCAGTTCCACGGCTAATACCACGCGTTGTACCTCTGAAACCACGTGCTCCCCTGGGTGCTCTGTAATTGTAGAATGTTTCGAGTTTATACATGTTTATTTGAAAATGATGATTATTATAAAAATAATTAATTTTACCTATTAGTCATAGACATTCCTGGTCTGTTGGTTCTTTTTGGCATAACTTTAATTTGACGCCCTCTAAACATTGAATCATCCATCGCCATTGCAGTTTGCACTGAATCACGTTCTGCGAATTCAATATATGCAAAGCCTTTTGGATGTCCATCGAATTTATTACACAAAATAGTAACTCTATTAATACTGCCGCATCCATGAAAATGCTGTTCCAGTTCTTCGGCAGTTGCCCCATAATCAACCTGTCATCAAAATAAATTTTACCATTGTATCACACTGCAATGTTAAAAATATAAAAAAATTCCTTCCTTACATTTCCTACATAAATAGACCTGTTATCTACTTCCATTTTATCCTCAATTGACATATTTAAAGGACTAGCTGTGAAAGTATAATTAATTAATAATATGCATGATATTGATAAAATAGATTATAATAAATTTCTGGTTTTTACCAATTCCTGGAGGACTGCCCATGTTCATCTGTTTATCAACTTCGGATTGAAGTTGCTTGAGTTTTTCAGCTTCTTCCTCCATTTCCCTAACTCGAGCTTTGATTGCCTCAAGTTCCTATTAATCATTTAATACATTTAATCATTAGTTATCCCATTAATCATTTAATATATAAATAAAATACTATCTCTTATTTTTTACTTATAAATTTAACTTACAGGATCATCTATGTTAGCTTCATTGAAATCACGTTTTATACCGTCACACTGCATGATTGAATCACTGTCTTGACCATTCTCTAAACCATCCAAACCATCAATTTGTTCGTTGCTCAGAAGATCTGATTCAGACATTTCTAAAAATGTTTTAAGATTATTAAAAAAATTCAACCCCCAACCAATAAATATTCCAATTAAGAATAGTTTTAATTGGAAAAAACCAAAGATAGATGTAGTCCATGCAAAAGCACTAAGCATCTATTGAAAATTACTACTATAACAGAGAGATACGAATTAAATTTTGTATTCCACGCGTCTTAAAACAGTAGATGTTTGAATAACATAGTGAAGAAGCACACAACGAAAACGAACACAGCCATACGCTGAAATGTACATACACTTCGACGTTTGGCAAAAAGGAAGTAGAGAAAACTGTGAGCATATATGAAAATTAATTACACGAGGTACAAGGAGCGCGCGCTCGCTTATATTCGATGCCGTGCTTGGAGTTTCTCTCTCGTAACTGTTCTTGTCTCGACGAAGGTCTGCGATGATAAGCTTTGAACGAACCTCTACAACAAGCTGCAGTCGCCGGATATTTTACGCAAAGTAAAAGTGAGCGCAGGACGGAAAAGCGAGCTTACGCTTTCGCGGACTGGAGTTTAGATGAAGAGTAGAGCCACGACGAGGCGACGACTTTGATGTGGCGGCCTAGCAGTCCTGATGACGCGTGCCGCTTAACACACGCTTGGCAGTTGTCGAACTGTCGCCATTCGCCGGTCTGTGCGTGCGCCGCTACCACCAAAGACTTTGAGTAGGCCATGCCAAGTATCATTAGCCCTGTTCCAAACTTACCGACGGCTATACTCAATTTTCATTGGTTTCCAACAGCGTCGTTTTCAAAGCTATAATGCTCCTTTCACCTATCGTTACTTTAAAACGCATTTTCAGCTTCAACAAAAATAAAGCTTTATTCGAATTGCATTAACCCAAAAAAATTTGTAGAACAAATGAAAAATGAGTTTAATTATTTATAAAAATTGTCAATTAAAAACATATACAACTTTTTACATCTACTACTGTTGAATAAGCGTTCAATTTTCTTACGCTACTCTGAATTTTAATTTTACCACCTAAATTTTGGAGTAATATAGCTGCGCACATTGCGCGTAACATTTAATCTTTTAATATCAAAGAATATTAAAATAAAATGACAAAGATACCATTAATTAACATTGCATAGAATACTTTAATTTTTATTAATTTACCTTGAAAATGGTAGTAAAAATATCACTTATAATACGTATATTTTAAGTAAGACAAAATAAATATCATGTCAATTATATATAACCTATATACAGATTTTTAATGTTATATGTGATCTATATAGACATGTTTTTGTTTTAGTAATAGTATAAAAAAGATGTCCTTTTTAATCATGTTCATGAATAAAATAATTACTTTTATTGGCTATAATATTTTTATCGGCTGTTTGTTATTGATTGAGTATTACATTGATATAGATTTACAAATACCTTCATTAAACTTATAAATAAGATCAATAGATTTCATTTAATTTACTCGTATGAACAGTCAGATGCCTTCTACATAAGTATACATTGGACAACGGACATCAGACTTATACTGAGATTATCAAGCTATGAAACAAATTGTTTATTTAACGTCTAAGCGTGTCCGTGATAACGCAGGATGCAAATAATGATAAAAAAAATAGATCTACTATATTAACATTATTAGTACAAAAATACATCACTTGATTATTTTTTCACCATAGTAAACGTCTGATGACTAATGTAGAAAGTTCCTTACAGATAGGAAAATTAATTTAAGTGCTCATATTAATTATGTAATAAATTCATTGCTATATTTTATGATGATCAATATAACATTTTTATTTTGCCGGTATCAATTTGATTTTGTTCACTTTTGAAAACTAATTTGCGGAAAGTGGTTAATGAGTTTTGCTATCATTGTTGATCATGCGCAGTCTTTTTATAATTTTTCTAGGTCGATTTTCGTAAATTTTCCGTTGAGCTCCTTTATCTTATGATTTGAGCGAATTTCAAACCAATAAGGGCAAGAATAGCGATTTACGACGTGTTACTGCAGCTTAATAAGACAAATAATCCATATAATATTGATATAATTTTAGTGCCAAAAACCGTCAAAAGAAATGGTCATTTAACGGAGAGAGCAAATTTCAATAAGTTTTAACGAAAAGAACACAACATTACTCAGCAGTATCCATAAACATTTTGTCAGCCTGTAAGTGGAATGTTTTGAGTGGCTGATCAAACAATGGAAAATAAGAGAAAGCTCAAAGAAAAGGTTAAGCCGATTTCATCCCACAATAGCACAATAGACTCTTTATGTGTACGACGGCTCTAGACATACTTTTTCTTGCCTTTTCTAATTAGGTTGGGTCAGATTGCACCCCTGTCGTAGTAGCGCGGAATAAGGACACTGGGTGTTGCACGTTGCGCCAAAACGGAGCCGTGGAGGATATAAATTGTATATAACGGGCCAGTACTTGTATGACAGTTAGAAACGAGCACACGCAGGAGCAAATCGCACTTTCGCAAGTTCAAATATCTAAAGTGTTCGCGCCAGATCTGCCGACAGATATCACAATCGTTCTTGCTTGTCAGCTTACTCGGCAGCTTGCGTGTGTATGTGAGCCCGTACATGAAGCAAAACGCAAATCGGTGGTCAGTGTGCATTTGCGCAAGTTCGAGAAGCCAAGAGTGACGGAGAGGACAAATACATCCGTGTTGGAGGGGCAGGTGCGACAGCGATCGCAACGACGACTGGCAACATACACGTGTACGTTTGAGAGAGAGAGAGTAGAACACGGATTCTCTCCTGTGTATCCCTAACAACTTCAGCAGCAGAAGGGTCGAGGGCATTGACGTGTTAACGGTACCTCGCTCTCACTCTCGCGCGGCTTCCGAAAGGGCCATCATCTCTACACGCGCGTCGAAGCGACTTGAAGCTGAAAATTAAGAGTGACTTGATTAAAGTGCTACTGCTGCTGCCACCGCTGCTGCTGCCAGGGAGAGGTTCGTCGTCGCCAGAGAATACCTAGGATTCAAAAGAAAATGGCCGACAATTGGTCAACACAAACTGTCGCTTGCCGGTAAGGATGCATCCTCAGGAACATGCTATTCTATCTCTCTTATCAAACATACTGCCAGTATTGTAAACATTGTGCGAAGTCGCTTTTTGCTTATTTTTTTCTTTCGCTCCTTTTCTCTTTACCCTCTGCTTAACACTTAAACTTTTTGTTAGGGAAGTCTCTTGTCTTTTTTTTTACTCAGATGTTGTCGATATTTAATTAGTTTTGAGAATTAGGAGTAAAGTTGAATCTTATGTGTAAATTATAATGGGACGCAAGATCAGAACCTATATTAACCATAAAAGTGTTGTAGTGTATTTTATAGTTTGATAAATATTGTGAAATATTCTGTTCTTTGAATATCAGGAGCTCAATATGTATGCATAAAAATTTTGTTATCAATAATTTACAAGTGAACAGCAAAGAAGAGTGAATTTCGTTTTATCTATATCACTGATATAACTAATAATTTAATCAATTTGTTTCCTAAGCAAACAATTGATATCCTTTAAACTTGATTACCCAGAACATAGGTTAAAATTCTTTACCATGTTAATGGCACTTTAATAATTCTATTTGAGTTAATGAATCAATAATCCCTTTAGTTAATCACCATTTAATGAATTTTGCAGGTATTTTAGATCTGGACGTTGTCGTGAAGGTGCAAACTGCAGATATAGACATACGCTCTCTGGCAGAAATGAAGTAGCACTTAGTGAATCTGGTAGTTCACAGGGCTCTTCGACACAGCAAATCTGTCGGTATTTCAGACAAGGTATCTGCAGATATGGTACTCAATGTCGATTCCTTCATATTACAAGTAACCAGTCAGAAAGGTCCAGTACTGAAATTCCATCAATTAGTACAGTGGCTTCTTTGGATAAAACGTACGTTAGAATTGTTCAAATAGTGTTACTTTTAAGAGTCGTTTTTGATAGCTGAAATACGATAGTCCATTGGCAATTCATTTTCTGAGAATTAGCAAATAAATAATGTGATGATATTTTGTACTGCAGTATAGATGCCACATCAGGTGCTGTATCAGAAGAATGGGTAAATGCTCCAGAATTCATACCAACTTCAGGGAATACAACTACAAATGATGCACAGGAGAATCCTTTTGCAGAAGATGTTGCATCAGGAACAACAGAACCATTATCCTATGCCCAAGCAGTTAATCCAGGTTCCACAGGAGTGCAAGGATCATTCTCATACTTAGATCCACTATGCCCATATGCAGAAGCTACTGGAATATGTAAAAAACCGAATTGCGGAAACCTTCACGGTGATATGTGCGATATGTGTAACAAACAGGCACTTCATCCTTACAATGAAGAATCAAGGAAAAGACACAGTAATGTATGTTTTACTGATTTTATTTCTAATTAATAGGGAAGAGAAAGTTTTAAGTAGTATTGAACTTCTAAGCTAAATTAATTCATTTTTATTAGGCTTGCGTGAGACAGCATGAAATAAATATGGAATTATCGTTTGCAATTCAGCGTAGTCGGGAGAAAACATGTGGTGTGTGTTTTGAAACGATTATGGAAAAGTCATCACGCGAGCAAAGGTTTGGTATATTACCAAATTGCAATCACTGCTTCTGTTTATCTTGCATTCGAAAGTGGCGCCAAGCAAAGCAATTCGACAATAAAATCATCAGGGCCTGCCCAGAGTGTCGTGTTCCTTCAGACTTCATCTGTCCTAGTATGTATTGGGTGGATACAAAAGAGGAAAAAGATAAACTTATCACAGATTACAAGTCTGCTTTAAGGTAATTATTTCTGATTATTTATGTATATATACATACATACACATATATATATGTGTGTATTTATGTATGTATATATGTATATATATAATGAGATATTTGAAAGGGAAACTAAAACAATCTTTATCTTGGTAGTACCAAAGATTGCAAGTACTTTAGCAAAGGCAGAGGCAAATGTCCGTTTGGTAATAAATGTTTCTACCTTCATGCATTACCCGATGGCACGAAGACTGACGTCGGTCCTCCTGTCCGGCAACGTCGTAATGCTGACAACGATATTGATATATTCAGGGTAAATAGAAGTGTAAATAGAATACAGGACAAGTAATTTTTCTATAAATAGACCGATTTCAATTTCATTTTTTTCAATTACTGGCAAAATTATGTCAAAAATATCAATTATAAAATAGAATAATCTTGCTAGGATATCTTTTTAAATGAACCTAATCTACATCTATTGAAATCGGTTTAAAACTCTCAAAAATAAACCCAAACACAAAAAAAGTCAAGTCGACTGCAGAACCTCCTTTTCTATAGTTGGCAAAAATTACAATATGCATTTGATATTAATTATTCAATTAATTATTGCAGCAACTGTTGCTTTGGGACTTTATGGACGATAGGGACAACTTTTGGATGTACAACATCGACGACCTCCAGGACATCGTCAACATCGTTTCCGACTCTGATGACTCCGACTGGTCTGAATATGACCTTTACTTCGATTAGTTTCCCCACCTATTCCATTTCAAGAGTTGCCACTTTGCCATTGCAAGAGGATTCTGTATGCCCTTTGTATTGTGAAACAGTTTTAGCGAAATGAGAGGACCTCCAAATACACGCAAAATAATGAAGAAAAAAGAAGCTGAATTGTTAAAGATCACTACTCGCTATTGCGTAAATCTTCTCTGTTCAACTTTAAACTTTTTTGGAGTTACCCCATTCACATTCGCGCTAATATTAAATGCGAGGCTGGATCTATTCATTTGGTACAATTTGATAGCACGACACGCTTATGAGAGGCGCTTACTGAAGATTAAGGAATTAATTAAAAGAAAAATTACGTCACTGTATGAAAAAACTTTGCAATCTTCGTTCGAAGAACTTGTACAGTACTAGCTTGCTGCTCTCAAATTGTTTTTAAAATAATAATCGTTGACGTTGTTGAATATCCTATTGTGCTGTTATTAACCTCAAAAGGTCGTTATATGCTTATTTATTTATTTTTTTTGAAAAATTCTAGCAGTATCGCTGATTCATCTTTGTTAATTATCACCGAGGCATACGTAAATCTGTTGATGTTGTGTTTTCTTAAAGTGGAGCAGCAAGCTAGTTCTCGGATTTTCATTTAAACGAAAATAACGATTCGGGAAAAAAGTGAAAGAGGTTCGCTCGTTCGTTCACACAGGTGTTTTTTCTAGCGAGTCTTAGCTTTCTTCGTCCGCTGATATTTTTTTAGGCTAAATATCATAAAATATATATAAAAAATTAATAAAACGTAACTGAAAAAAATACGATGATAAGTTTTTGCTCGCTGTTATAGCATGTACGCGTTCATGAACGTGTCCTTTGGTCTGAATAAACTGCGAACCTAGCACATTTCCAGAATAATACGTAATCTCTAGATTAACATTACCTGGGCTGTGCGATCGCACAGATATTGTCTGCGTATCTTAGATGTTAATTTGTATATTTAGCCAAGCTCGATGGACCAGGAAAACATTGATGATTGGCTTCAGATCCGTTTCTTACGATAATATATTTTTGTTATTGGAAGTAATAAAGTAGTTCGTATCCTCCACGAACCGTGAGACAAATTTTTATCGTAGTAATACTCTTTACGCTCTCGATTCAAGGTCAAACAAAAAGAAAATGAACGAATAGCGCTCTTGTTCATTTTTGAAACCTCTGACGAGGCACTAAACATACAAATTGACAGTATAGAAATACACTGAGCACTATCGTTAAGTATCGATACATCTTAACTGTAGCAGCTTTCTTTAGAATTTATTTTTAAGAGGTCAAATAAATATTGGAAAAAAATTTTAACGAATTTACACAATTTGCTTGATAAATCTTTGGCTCCTTAAGATGCCGTTACACGCGTACGTTATACACTGTAAAATTCTAATAAGGTACTTAAAAAATCATCAAGTCACCGTAAAATACTACGTTGTCATTGTGGGTAAAAAGCAATTTAAGGCCACCTTTTTTTTCAATCGATTCACTAATACTATACGTATGCTCCTGGCAGTGATGAGTTAGTTTAAAAACAAACGAAAAAAATATCGTCTCAAAATTGAAAAATTACTCCTATTTTAAAAATAAATCTAGTTTTTGATTTACTCAAATAGAAAGCGTGGTTTATTTCATCGAAAACCCTGTTTTATAAAAATACACTCCTTATAAAATCATCATTGCTTTCAATGATTACTCAAAAACATCAAATAATCTACTCGCTTAAAACTTATATATCTCATACTAAAAAATATTTCTTTGCACTGGGTTGTTTTGATCGTTTTAAATATTGACATTGACTGTGTCTGTTGATGATGCTGCTGTTGTGATGGTAACTATTGCTGCTGCTGCTGCTCATTAGACTCTGCCCTTTTACGGTATTTCGTAGAGTACTTATAGAAGTCAGACATTTCGAAAGGCTTGGTTACTTCTCGATATGGCTGATACTTGCCGGGCTGCACGACCGTATGGTTCGTCGGCGAGTTCAATGGGATAATAGGCTCGTTACCGTTTTCTTGAGATCCTAGTTAGCAAGCATAATTTTTATCTCTAGGTATTTATGACTTTTTTTACCTGTGATTTATTTCTATATCTATTCCTACTATTTTTGTGCGTAATTTTAATAATTTGCATTTCTGTTCAATGAGTACAACTATGAACTGTACATGGCTTATTTTGTTGCGGTAATTTTTAAGAAGAAATGAACGTTTGATTTCAGTACAAGTAATTCTTTGGTCACTTAAAAGTTGATTGCAGTTAACTTGCATAACAAATAAAATGTAATAATTATTCAGGCTAATTGCACCGCAAAAAGCTACGTACCAGGCAGAGGTTTAGATTCAGCAGGAATCTCCAACACACGTCCTTCAAACCTCGGTACAGGCGGAGGTAGTTGTTCGTCAACCTGTTGAGGTGGTGGAGGTGGAGCTTCTCGAAGTCTTCGATTCGACGGTATGGAGTTGCTACGTACAGGCGCTGCACGTTCCTTTACCGGCAGAGGGTTGTGCTGAGAAGTTCGCCTCACGGCCCGCGGAGGCAAAGGACCACCACCGCCACCGCCAGTGTCCAAAGCCGTTTCGTACCATTCTTTCGGTTTAGGTTTCGGGGGTCTGTCGACAGACTCGTGACCTTCGCTGTCCGTAGGAGAATTTGGTTGCTGTGGCCATGTCTCCACGCTGCCTAATGATTGCGTACGTAGAAGGATTCGATTGGAGGACGGTAGATTGTTGGTGTCGGGGCTGTGCATTGATGGCTGCAATTTTTTTGTTCTTTTCATCTTTAAATCATATGGAATTCTGGTAAGAATTATTTTATTTTCTGTGCGTAATATATTGATAGCTATGCAACGATCATCGAATATATTTTTACATTTGGATCATTCTCCACACGATTATTTCAATAACATAAAGATAATTCTTCCTCGAGTTAACAGTCATCATCAATTTGAGCATGTACATTAAATTTATAACGAAAATTATATATTTCAACATTTCTCGGAAACTACGTGACCAAAACGTCTTTAGACTCATGATAAAAAAATCTCGTTCAATTTTTTTCCTATATATTTGAGTGTGTGTTTAATTACTCACTCCATGGTGTTCGTTAAAAATACACACCTGCGTTGGATAAGGTCGCGCGTGCGGTATTAACGCATTTTTACCACTGATAGCCACAGTGTGATAACGGGATTGAATCTCAGGATTTGGCGGATGATGAAGGGTATGATGCTTTCGACGATCTAAACTGCCAAATTTGTCGGCAACGATCGTTGAAGTTTGCTCGTCGGTACACCAGACTATTTCGTCATCTAGACGCATCCAGTGACCTGGAGGCACGTATGTTTCCACTGGTGGCTTATTATCAAGGTTTTCTCTGGGTCGTAGAACTGGCGTAGGATTTTGTGATTTGTCTGTTTAAATAAAAAAATGCTTTGGGTATATGTGACAGATCACTTGTATTCAAGAGCAAATCAATCGTGAATAATACATTAGTAATTATACGCTCATTGTGAATGCATAAAGCGCTGATTTTACATAACGAACAATACCATTATTATTGCCGATTAATAGCGGAACATTTTTTTCTTTAATTATCAAACAGGCCAAACACTTTCTCATTATAAGTAGTATAAGCTTTTTTAATGTTAAAAGTGAAAAACAAAACCAAAATAGAAATTCACGGTGATGCAATGAAGCTAATCATAGTCCGTAGCACACATACCGAGATGATAGTGTCCGTATTCCGGTATCCTACCATCATACCGTGGTACGACAAAGTCAGCTTCAGCATGCGACATCTGAGCAGATCTTCGATGCACTTCGTTTTCCATATACATCGAATCTGTATACTGCGGACTTCTTGTAATATCATCGTTATTTTGCCTCTTGAGCTTCATCTGTCTTATTTGCATCCTTTCCTCTTCCGTATAGGTGTTTGGCACTGGTCGATAGGGACGTTCTGGAGGGAATTGAAGCTGAGGGCTTACACTTTTACTACTGTTTCCACCTTGTGAGTACGCTCGATTTCGAAAGTGTTCCGGTGGCACATAAATATTATTATTGGCATTGAGATCGGCATTACTACGTCTATGTTCGACTGGACTTGGAGTTGGTCGCGAAAAAGTGGCGCGATTTTGATTGGATATATTACTCGAGCCAGGTGGGTATCCGTGATTGCCAAGATCTTGAAAATCGTAGCTTGGATAATTGAAATTATGTTGTGAACCTAAAGGACTTAAACTAATGCCTCCCTCTTCGAGGAAATTTCTTGACTCTATTTTTGGACTGAGATCTTTTCCTGCAAATGTTAAATCTTATTACATAAAGTGTTTATCTTTTGATGAGCTGGAATACAATTAGGTAAAATTAAAAATTACCTGCAGTTTCCAATGGAGGTCTAGGCTTTTTAGTCCTATGCCTTGCATTACCTTGTAAGTGAGACTGCGAACTATGGAGTGGAATGTGTGTAGACTGTCTCAAGCCACTTCCATAACTCTGTCTAATAAAGTTCAGTTGAGCATTTAATTCTTGTAGCCTCCTCTGGCTTTGCTGATAAAGCGAACGATGTTTACGCCTGACAGCTTTGCTTTCTGATAAATCATTCAACTTAGCAAGAGCAGCTTCTGCAATATTGATTTGAACTTGTCGCTCCAATTCCAAAGCTGATTCCTCCTGGAATAATAAAGTAATTGTTCAATAGTGAGATATAAAATTAAGAAACATGATAGATAGAAAGAAAGCTTACAGCTCCACTGGATTTCAGTTTATTTATTGCGTTTTGAGGATAATTAATACTTGTTGCCAGTCTTTTTCTAAAATTAGGTATACTTTCTCCTGGTTCTAATGGGATTTCAGGAGGTAAGACTCCGGTTAATTCAGCTTCCTCAATGCAAAGACTTTTCAATTCATTATTTTTTTGGGAAAGTTTTTCTTGTAGTGCCTCTCGACGCTGACGTAACCACTGTAGCCTGCTAGACAAAGGTTCGTCTGTTCCCGACCCAGGCACACCCTCTGATCCTGCCATCACTATAAAAAATAATAAAAATTAGAATCTATTTCTTTATACCATAAGACCAATTATTAAGGCTCTAAGATTTTAATGATTCTATCAGTAAATAACATTGTGTAAATGAAATATTTGCTTACCCATATTCTTAGCGTAAAAATCTTGCTTTACAATCTTATCTTATTTCCAATGCTCTACTTGTAAATGTATTTATTTGTCATAAATTAGTATCTATTAAGCTCGATATTATCTTCATAGGCAATAAACAATTATGCGTGGAATAAAACATTTTGATGAATTAATTTCATCATATATTTTCGCTTTGTACTTTTTATAAAGGCAACTCTTGACAAATTTTTTTTTTGCAAAACCCGAAAACATATCATTAAATCCTAATATAAATATATATTATGCATTCGCTGTAAATATACAAGAAAATTGGCTTTGTTCCAAAATCCTGCCGACTGCTTTCGTTGCAAACATTATGCAGGTTATGTGCTTTGCAAGTTACACAAAAAGGCACTCTTGACACTTACAAATAACTGATTCTTCAAATGACACAGCAAGATAAACACTGAAGAAACCCTTATTTTAATCAAACTCACGATCATTGTATTTAAACAAAAGAAAAAAAATTAAAAAAAACATTAACAGAAAACTCGCGACAATCTCTCGCGTTGCACTTGAGGTGACGCGCGGCCATGAATTGTTTGGCTTTACACATATGATACCTTGCATGCTAGGTATTTCTAGGATACACATACAATTGTAGCATTTATATATAACAAAATATAATAATGTTTTGATTAGGGATACATTTTTATATCGAAAAATTATTTGATCAAATGTTACTTATTCACTTTTATTAAAAAATAAAAATCTAATTTTCTTTTTCTGTTTCAAAGGAATGTTAAATCATTATTATTAAATTAAAAATTTGATCTTCCAACATTATTATATATTGCATGCATTATGTACTATATTATCTCAAGATCATATAAAAAACTAAAAAATCTACAGGACTATAGGCGAATGCCTCTTATTCGGTCGGTAAAAGATGCAGCATATATATTATATATACATTTAAAAGGCAAAAAATCGTGCATGCCTTTTATGTTATTTTTTTCTCACGGAGATTGTCGAGACCGGCCGAACATTTTTTTTCCATTTGGACTTGTGGGGGACGATGTTGTTGGATGAAAACAAAGGCGACTTTCGCAGCTTTCTGCCTTTTGTGCGTGGTTACAGTTTTGCCAAGGCGGAATCAAACGGTGAGTTATTTGTAAAAAACAATTTATTACAAAAATGATCATAAAGCATTCAAAGTTAAGTAGGCTGAAGAATTAATTTATCAATATCTAGTTATCAATTTTGTAATATAAACATTATTAACACAAAATTATAAAATTCCGACCACATTTATTATGCAAGTAATCTGTAGATAAAAATGTGTCCAAGAATTTTATTTTTGTGTAAGACCGCCATTTAATACGTGTTGACATTCAAAGTCAAAACAAACAAAGCCGAAAACAAAATGAATTACGCATTAGGCATTCTGAGCTCGTCCCAGTTTCAAGAGGCTTTTAGTTCACTCAGCAGTATTTAATAGTGCGTAATGAAATGTAGATGTTATCGAGGAAAGGGTCGATGGGTTAGATAAGGCTATTATTCTTGACATAATAAAGCTGGGGGAGGGGGGGGGGTCGATGCATAGTCTTCATTTTTGGGCTCTTCAGCTTAAGTATTTCAGCAAATCGACAATTGTACTTATAATTATTTTACACTTAAACTATTGTGTACAGTGATATAACGTGAATCGGCATGAATCAATTCTTACGCTGTTACTGTGCACAATAGTTTATATGTAAAATAATTGTGCACAATCGATAGCTTGTCAATATTTCAAGCAATCACATGTACATGTATGTACGTAATATTATACAAAACCATGTGTGTATATAAGAATTTCAAAAACTCAAATCTAGCTTGCATCTTATGAATATTTCATTAAGTAATCAACATTTCTCAAGACTGAAATGAGTTTTCGTAATAACCATTCCCGTTAAATACTCGCGACATCACGTCTCGACGTGTCATCTTTCACTCTGTTGAAATTGCATTTCTAAAGGATAGCGCAGAAAAATCTCGGCTTTCGTCGCTTGATGCATTATGTTTCGTTTCCTTTTTATTTGGCGCAGACTGCTGCAGCTGCATACGCGAACACGTTTCAGTGGGAGAGGTAAAGAAACCATCTTTATAGCCGGCCACTTGTTGCTGTCGCGCGCACACACATACACAAGTTAAAAAACCTGCCGGAGCGCTCACGTCATTGGTCCAGCGTCAACAGCATCTTATAGGCAACTAAGGGGGGAGGTAAAACTCCGAGACCACCCCCACTCAAGTATAAAAGAGATTTTGGAGTAACCGTCGCTGCGCGGCGAGCGTTTGAATGCTAACGTCAGAGGAGATTAAATGTCCATGCTTTTCCGTTTCGGTGAGTTTCTTCTCCTATTGTGTGTAGTCTTTTTGAATTGTTTTGTGAAAATTCAGCACTTGAAATTCAATAGTTTTTCTTGATCTGTATCAGTAAGAAAATTTCTAAAGGATGAGTGTTGTAGGAGAAGGTAAGTATAAATGGACTCCAGAAAGCACGCAATTGCTTGTGTCAGTCTGGACAGACAAGCAGGTCCAGAAGCAACTGGAGTACGCCACCAAACCACAGCTTATATGGGAGAGTATAGCAAAGTATATGAACAAGAAGGGTTACAATGTCAATGGAAAACAGTGTCGTTCACGCATGAAACAGGTGCTAGTGTGCTATCGAGAGGCTAAAAGATCTGGCACTAAGGCAGGAGTAGAGCAATACTATGAGTCGATTGATAGAGTTTTGAAGTTTAAGAAGCAGGAGCAGATTAATAGTAACGGTATTGATACTGTTGGTATGTGGGAAATAATACTTTAGTTTGAAATTAGTCTTTAGAACTATAATTAATACTTGTGTACAATGTTTTTAGATTCTGTTGTAAATATAAAATCACCACCAAAAGATGTGAAAACTAACAAGAATATTCAAATGCGTTATAAGTATCAGCAGCCCCCAGACTCCATTTACCGTACAGAAGCATTAACTCCTGTTTGGAATGGAGGACGTAAGTCTATTTTATTATTTACAATTTAATAAATTGCTCAGTCATTTAATAATGTTCTGTTTGTTTTTGTAGGGGACAATGATTATCCAGAATCTCCAGAATCCAATGAAACAGTATTAGCTCAACCATATAGAGTTTTTTCTCCTGTAAGAGATGCTGCTACTAACACAACTCAACAGCAGCTTAGCATTACTAACAAAAAAATCTTGCATCATAATGGACTTTATGAAGAACCACCCATCAAAGAAACTTACAGACAGAGCACATACACCAACAAATTCTATGATGTTCCATTTCAGAATACTGTGCAAAATGTTCAAAATCAGATTATTCAAGAGAACATGCAGCAAAATCAAACTCTGCTTCAGCAAAATTTACTTCAAAATCAAATACTGGAGCATAATAGACTGCAAATAAATCCTATTTTGAGACAAAATCTTCAGAATATCAATCAAGGCTTGTACAATGATCAAGGAGTCCTATGTAATCAAGCACCATTAGGTTGCAATCATAACATAATTGCTGAAAACGTTTTACAAAATTTACAAAGCAAATGCCAGCTAAATTCTGTGGGTAACAGAGCAATGCCACAAGAGCCTAGGAAAAATAGTTTCAGGCAGAATTTACTAGCAAATTATCGCCAATTTCAAGAACCAATCTCACAGAATTATAATGCCAATATGAATCATTTAGGCTTTGTATCTCCAAGTATTTCTCCAGACATTCCACCAAATCTCAATTATGGATTTTGTCAGACCAAACTTGATAAAGCAAATGGTATACATGATGCATATAGTCGTCCTTCATCAAATCCACTCAATGATGTAACAACAATAACAAATAATGCTACTTTTAACGACGATAGTCTTTCTATTGAATTTTTGCAAAATTCTCCAACACCAGATAGCGAACCAACGAAGCCGAAAGATTTTGCAGTCAATACAGATGACATACCCAATGCTCCTTTCAGAAAAAAGAAGGCTGAAAAGCTCGAACGCTTGATGATGAGTGCTATCAATTCTCAAAATGAAGTCGTAAACAAGGTTAAATATATTTTGCACACTTGAATTTCACTTATAAGTATTATACTTTGTTAACAATTTAATGTTTTAATCGTTTCAGATACTAGCAGCACAAAATGAAATGGTAACTCGCGTGTTAGACATAGATCGGGACCGACAAAATCGTCTTGAAAATCGCCTTGACCATCTTCTAGACGTAGTGCAAACTGCCGTGTTAAATAAGAGCTCCGAAAGAGTTAATGATACTCCATCGCCTCCGTCGGAGGCTGTGATTACGAATCTTCAACCACCGCCAAAACCAGGCATCGTTCCGCCGAAATTAGACTTAGTACCTCCAAAACCATGCCGAGTACCTTGCACATCATCAAATACCAATAAACCGCCAGTCAATCAGAATCAGAATCCAGTGAAAACGAGACCTGGTGTGGTGTCGCCCATTATTAACAGCCCGTCGAAAAAAGTCGGGGCCATCTGGCAGAAATTGGGACCAGTATCCACATCGCCATTTGTGCGTGCTCAGCAACAGCTTGGATTTAGACCAATTAGTATGGTAAATAAATCAAATATATTTTAGTTTAACATGTATTTAGTCGAGGCACTAGTTTCGAAAGAGAACGCCCTAATTGGTCGTAATGAATGGAAAGTCGTAAAGTTATTAGAACTGAGTACTAGTGTCGTTTTTACGTAACATAACTTGTGTTTCTTTACTTTTCAGAATGATGAAATCCGTACGAAATCATCAGCTGAGCGTCGCATCGCTAAGGAGTTTGAGATTGGCATGGATACTAAAACTCTGATTTTCGAAACGCAGAATTTGCTTGAAGCTGAGCGTCTAATTCAAGAGGAAACTGAGAATGCTCGTATCAAGTCGCAAATGGGCCAAGAACTACAAGCACGTCGTCGTTTGTTCACTCAACGTGAACCAAGTGCCGCGCAAATACTTACTGCCGCTTTCCTCGATAATGAGATAGAGTGCACGGAGGCGGACGAGAACGCTAGACTCGAATGGATTAGACAGAAACAGAGGATTAGCGAGAGGGAGTACTGTAACAGGCCTCTTGAGCAATACAAATATGATCATAACGGTAAGTTTTCGATTAGAAAATATAATGAATGACGTTGCTTTGACTTGGGAAATGTCGGAAGAGAATATGTCCTTTTTTTCGTTTATCGAATGCTTTAGCGCCTTATTCGTGAAACACGATTAACTTGAAAAACGAGTTTGCCGCGATAACGCCCAGCGGAAGTGATACAAACCCACGTCCACCTTCAGTACTAAAAAAGGAAATAGGTTGGTTAATGTAAAGTGCTTAGCAGTAAAATACTTTGATGAATGTATGCGTAATAGGCTGATAAAATATATCGTTTATTTAACATTCTTACATTTGATATAACATTTATTTTATTACAGTCAAGCGCAATGAAAATGTAATTACTGGACAAGAAGATACATACGAGCGATTAAGATACTTGGATATTCGTGAAAAACCTATCGGCAATCCTTGTAACTCGTCGACACCGTCGAAAGTGCCTGCGCCACCGCCACCACCACCTAAACCGGGTTACATTAATAAAGAACCAAGGCAGACAATCCAACAACTCGCCCAGTTAGTTATGAACAGTGAGCGCTGGAAGAATGCTACTACGGAGAATCAGCGCAAAGATCTTAATTTCCGATTAGCAAACGGTAATGTACTTTCAGTAGTGGAGATGTCGTTAAATATTTTGTTATTGCTCGTATCCGATAGCAAAAAGTTCTAATGCACAAATAGCTTAGTTAGAAAATTAAAATCTATTTGTTGGTATTCTATAATTAAATAGTGCATCATTAAAATCAAATGAGATATGTTTTATTGAGAACAATTTGGATATATTTAAAAAAAAAAACTTAGATACAAATGTTTATTCACATAAAAAATTTTTCATTTTAGGAAATTTGCAAAAGTCATCGACTGTTAACAATGACATTGTGATTTTGTGCAAAGAAGAGCAAAATAAGAATCACATGCAATTCGAAAATCAAATGGACGGTAAAGCTAAGACTTTAAATTGGCTACAAGAGCGTTATTCTTACGATGAGCAACCAAATCGTAATAACTACGAAGTTCACAATCGATTAGCTGCAAACAATGGACCACAAAAACCTGCCCGCCATACGGTTGGTTTCACTACCGGATTTGTGGAGAATGAGTCAAACAATCAACAACGCAGACAAACTGTCGGTGATTTAGAAAAACGCGTCGGTTTTGTTTATGACAACTTCTTCGATGGAAACAAAAAAAGCTATTTCAATAATGATGAGAAAGATCCGTTTGAGGAATTACATCAGTTGTATCTTCAGAAGCAGATGAAATTGGCTCACAATCAAGAGATGCCGTTCATGGTGCACAACGGCCAAGTGGTTTTAGCGCAGAATGATATGATCGAGCGTTATGTACAGGATCTAAATCCTCGTAATAGAAGGAACAAAGACTCCGACTCAGATAACGACGACGAATTCCTTGATACTACAGCCACTATGCCTAGTTCGCGGAAAAATTCAGTCACTTCAGGTGGTTCCAAGAATGGAAAATTCGAAACAGGATGCGTTATTAGTTAAGTTCTTTAATCAAAATTTATTATTCATTGCATAATTTTCAGTTCATGGACTTATTTCTATCTTATTTTGTATGATTTTCATTCTAATTGACAATTATTCATTTCCTCACACTTATTCATTGTTATGAATTTTTGGTGAATTTTGCATTTTTTCGCAGTCAAAATTAACGTTAGCTGTGAAAATTGTCAAGGTCATTCCAAAAAAAAGACTTATCTTACGTTGTAGGTTTTCAATATATAGTTTATTTTGACGCCGAAGAAAGGTGATCGTGCTTTTATAAGGGCTACTTTATCTCATTATCTCGTTGAACAAATATATCATATATTTTAATTGATTTTTTATGTTTCCGAGCTATAAATGATAAATTTATCGGATAACATTATATTGCTTTTTGCCATTGCAGTCTTCCAAGCCAGTTTATGCTCAATAAGTTTCATGAAAAGTATCGATAATGATAAGCATTTTAACTACCTAAGTTAACGATCTCTATGTTTATTTCTAATATAGTAAGACGTACGGTTGGTAAAGTATAATCAAACCGTTTGATAAATATGCCTTACCTCATACGGCTGCGATCGTACTCTTGAAACATGTGCCAATAGCATTAATTAGTGCTTCCATTTGACTCGTTATATTTGTTTGTAATAATAAATGATTGAATAAATAAATAAAATATGCCTTATGAATAAATAGTTTAAAATAACATTCAAATAAGTCATGTACATTTTAATATTTGCCGGGTAACAAGAAATTTTTATTAAAATTAAATATAAGTACGCATAGAGGAAAGTATCATTTATGATACTAATAGGTTCACGTCAATATTTTTTGAAGAAAAAAGTTAAATATTTTCTTTTACAATAAATAAAAATATTCTAAAACAACAATTAAACAAATTCTATATAGGGCGTCTTACATAATTCTACGCATGACTGTATGTATGATTTTAACTAAATTATTATTCTATTTAATCGGATCGACAATTACACCTTGGAACAAAGTTACTTCTGGAGTACCAATTTCATAGTAAAAGGGTTTGTCGATGGTTAAAGTGACGGGTGGGTCCTTGAAAATTTGTATCCTCTGGACCAATATCGTTCCTGGAAGCACATGAAAAATCATCGTATCTAATGCAGCTCTGTGTTACATAAATATAAATTAAATAGTAAACATGAAACCCCAATGCGTATCTACGCAAAAATTTCGTGTTTTTGAAAAAAATCCAAATGAAATGTTAAAACAGAAAATCGTTGTACTCATAAATAATCTTTGAGATTTAATTGCTTTGGATTAAATAATAGTTAGTAACTGTTAATTGACAATATTAATTTTTGATAGTTCGAAGAGATGGTATAAGAAAAGACAGAAGGTATAAATGAAGCTTTTTTCATGTACAAAGATACTTTTAAAGAGTATTTTTATTTAACTAAAATATATTGCTTACAACTCATGACCACAGTTATAAAATTATTGTGTATTAAAAAAAATGTTCAAGCATTCAAGATATTTAAATTATTCTTTCGTTGTCACTCTAATAACGTGTTATATATAAATTAGAAGTACATTTCTTTTTATTTTAGATCAAAATCAATGGATCGATATAGAATATATTAGATTTACACAATTGATGAAATGTCGAAAATTCATGCAAATTTTACGTGCACGATATAAATCTTGCTTCTATTTTAGCTGAAGTCGATGTTTTTTGGGAATCTTCATTTGGATCTACGACCACTCCATTAAAAATGATAACATCTTTTTTGACGATCATCCATACAAATGGGCTGTTAACTACAAGTTCTCCGACATCTCCAAATCTAGAGTCAATCCCCGTCTCTAAGAAATTCAGAAAATTTTAATTTTTGATAATTTTATTTTTGTTTGAACTTGAAATATCTATATTAAATTCATGAATTTAGTGGTTAGCTGTCAAAAATACCTTCTAAAAATTAAATTAATTAGATATTTCAAGAAAGGCTGTTACATTCATTTCTTTATAACAGCTGCATTTTCAGATTAATAATAATATTATACAAAAAGTTAGTTTATTGAGATGTTGATCGTTAATTTATTAGTACTATACTATGGAAATTATTTAGTTAAAGAAATAATAAAATTTAAAAATAAAAGAAGGATAAAAAGTTGATTGCAAAATTTTTTATAAAAAGAAAACTGGACCTAATTAAAACTGTAAGCAAAAAAAACACTAAAGCCACTTTAAAACGAAAAAAAAACTTAAAATCACATTTAGAAACAAAAAATTTTCAAAGTCAAAACATGCTTTACCTGATTTTAAGTTAGAGCTCGTTGATGTATCCAGAGAACAAAGTAATTATATCTTCATCGTTGTTCTGTTTTACAATTTCGTAGTAGAACGGATGATCGACAATGAAATCGGTTGCTATCGGTAGTGAGAATGATACTAATGCGCCGACTGTACAAAGGCCAACAATATTGGAAAATGATTTAAATTCACGTTTAATACGTGACAGATTGTTGTTTTTGTTTTAATTTTTATACAATCGAAAGTATTTTTATTTTACGTGAGGTATTTTAGTCACAATTTATTTAATTAAAATTTATGTTAAACACAATACCGTAACATGCTGTTATAGAATTATTTGTTTTATTTCAAGATAAGCTTCACACATGTAGTTGTTTTTTAGGATAGGAAAGGTAATGGGTTCACATTGGTATTTATCTAAATATTCAGGTTCAAATGTCCTCAAAGTATTATTTACTAGTATTTACTAGTTTATTAATATTGGTACCTGAATTAAATATATTTATTTTATGTACAAGTATTTAGACGTTGGCTGGAATGAAATAATTCATTGACGGTTCTTATCTGAATTGCATTTAATTAACAAATCATTCAATATTCAAATGTTCTTTTACAAGGTTGCAAGAGTGTTTATTCAAATTTAGCTCAAGTAAGACCGAAATATAATAGCTTTGTTATTATCAGGAAAACTATTTGAAATACGTATAGCCACTAAAAAGAGTTAAATCATCTTTAACAACGATGTAGTAAAAAGGACGATCGACGTGAAGTTTAACGGATCGATTTTGTAGACGGGCGCTCTTCGTCTTGATTATCCCTGCTGAATTATTTATAATTTATAGATTAATCAATGGTTTTAACAGTGCAGTCTTACTTGGCAAGCCAATAGTGGTGGGAATAATTGAAGTTCGTCTTAAGAATAAGACTTGGAAACATGTGACTAACATATAATAGCCATTTATCTAACTTATAGTTAACAGTTTACACACAAATATGGATAGCAGAAACATATATAATCAAGTTAAATAACAATGAATGTAAAATACTCATATTTTATTCTTGCTTCCATTCGCAAGTTTTTTCTTATAGAACAGAACATAAAAGTATTCAATTTTGCGATGTAGATTACTGAAATATTACGATTCTGAATATGTTTCATTAAAACAAATGGAGTTAAAATGTCCAATGAAAATATGAAGGTGAATCACTGAATCGAGCTTTCCTTGAATTTTCTATTAAACATTCTATTATATGATAAAAGCATAAGACATTTTGCTGCAAGCGAAATCTCCAGAATCATAAAGCTCATTTTTATTATGTAAATATCATTTAAGGTAAGTGTACTGCTCCGGCAAAGAGGATCAGATCTTTAACAATAACATGGCAGAAAGGACGATCAGTGTGGAATGTTAAATTGGACCTAGGTGGTCCAAAAATTGGAACAAACGACCCAGCTATAAACTAGAATACGGTCAATTTATTTTATTTGTAATAATCGTTCAAAACCATCCCCACGATATTCTATTTCATATGGGGACCATGAATTGCGAAAATGAATTCTTGGTCACCATATGACAAATGATTCAAGTTTTCAACGAACAACAAGGACACAATCATGAAACATCGACTAGGTGCATCTTTAATAAAAATTGATAAAGGTAATTATTGAAAATTCTTATTTCGTAAAGTTAAATCTATCAAAAAATACTTGTACACTTTACAAAATATTTTTTATTTTACATAAATGCACATGTTGTAGTAATTAAAATAAAAACAAGATGCTTTTTCGGGTAAAATATTCAATAAGAAATTATCAGAAGGGCAAGCGCACTGTTCCAGCAAAAAGAGAAAGATTATTTTTGACAATGATATAGAAGAAAGGACGATCAGCCTGGAATATCGGCTTCGATATAGCTGGTATGTATGCCGTCGCCATTTCAAATGTCATAACTGTAGAACAAAACACCGTTAATTTTTTGTCATTACTACATCGCAGTGACGTATGCCTATAATATTAAATGTTATGCATGATATACGGAGACCGTAGATTACGAAAATAAACTAAATAGCCGATCAGCGTTTCGCTTAATATTTTAAAAAGTGACAAGTCACTTTTAGTAATGGGTTATTCGTCGAAATAATTATTGAAATATCCCATATCACTAACTTTCGTTAAATTCTCCAAAAAATATTTTTACATTTAGAAGATTATTTTTATTTTTACTACGATATAGTATAGTGATTTTAAATATCTTAGACTTAATTAGAAAAAAATCATTTTTCTCTAGGAACTACCTTAAGAAAAATGATCAAACTTCCTCATATCACTATAAAGTAAAACCTCTTAAATTAAAAACCTTATTTGTTTATTGAAAAGATAATCTAAAGTATGTGCACTGCTTTAGCTATGGAATATAGTTGCCATTGCTAGTGCAACTTACATAGTTGTGGAACAGAATATCATCAATGGTTTTATTTATCATAATGCACCCTACGGAGGCATTCCCAAGATATTTGATGTTATTTTGGGGACTATGGATTACAAAAATGAATTGGAAAAAATAATATTCAATTATTTTACAAATGTAAATTGCAAATTGCAAGAAATCGACGTGATTTATGTTTGTAAAATAAAAAATAATTTGTAGAAATGATTATTTATATATACTTTGCACTGCGAATTCTTGTTAAAATGTCAAAAAGATATTTTTCTACTATATAAAGTACTATTATTTTGCACATAGTCTAGTGTTTAAACATTTTCTCGAATTCAAATGAAATAAAAAGAAACCAAAGCCTTTCGTGCAGATAGCTGAATTAAAGATCATCAGAAGGCAAATGCACTGTCCCGATAAAGAGAGACAGATTATTTCTGACAATAGCATAGTAGAAAGGACGATCAGCGCATAATATCGGTTTAGGTTTTGGTAGTTGGATTCCCGTTATTGCAAATCCTATCCCTATAAATATGGAACAAAGTACCATCAATTTTTTATTATTATTATATCACAGTAATGTATACACATAATGTTGGATGCCATGGATGATATGCGCAGGCCATGAACTATGAAAGAGCAATAAATAATTTATTCAAGCTCTTCACGAATGTAACATTGTCGAAAGACTGACAAAATCGTTTTGAAGTCCATTTGCAGGATTGTATTGTAAATCAGAGAGGGTGAAGTTTTTTTTTAATGAAAGAAGCATAAGCAAATATTCTTTGAGACGTTGCATCAGTTATGATATGTGAATTTTTTAAAAATCTTGAAATCTACTTCTTTGACTCTAATAATCGAGGGTGGTACACAACCCAGTCAAGTTGAAAATTCAAGTTTGCGGATCTATAATTTGGCAAGAATCATTTTGTATAATGATAATTGATAAAAATGGTTTTTGAAAGATTTTTACTTTGAATACACATAGGATAATG